ATTGTACATGATGGGTGCGAGTCATACGAGGAAGTAGCGAACATAACAAACTGATTACGGGGTACTCTCGGTGCAGCCGAAGCGGGTACCCTCTTTAAAAACCCTGTTGAAAGCCAGAGGACAAGGAGGACATAGCGTTAGCACGATCAAGTAATTCCCTTATTTGACCAATCTGATTGGAGAAGTCCTGGTTAGGGGGGCTCGGAGTAGCAGCTACGGGTGCAGGAGCAGATGTTGGGGTCGAGGACGCGATTTGGACGGATTCGTTTGGGAATAGGGAGAATGGCGCGGGTCCCGTAGCGGATATCTGTTGGCGTCGAGGTTGCTGGCGTCGGCCTCGGTCTCGTCCGAGTCCCATGAATTTGTCTTGGCAGACTGCTTCCAGATGTCCTCGACGTCCACAGTAGCGGCAGGTGGTTTCTCGGTGTGGGCAGTTTTGCTTGACATGACCTTGGGCACCGCAGCCGAAGCATCGTCCTCGCATGCGAGCTAGGAATGCTTCCCTAGTATTCCCATTACTGGTGTGGGTTGCGTCAATGTCCATAGCGTGGGGGTCAGCAGGGGTAGTATGAGCGGTATGCGTGGGAGGGTATCCAGAGTTCCGGCCAGTCATGGTGGGATCGTGCAGGTAGACATCCACCGATATGGCCCGTTTGATTGCCTCCTTCAGAGTCGGAGCAATTCCTTGGGCAATGTTTACGGTGATGAGGTGTTGTCGGATCTCTGGGAGTAATGCAGTGAAGAAACGTTCCCGCAAGTCAATATCAGACATTTCAGTCCGATCTCCGATATCCTTGAACTTCTGAGCAAATTCCGCAACTGTCTGTCCTTTACTTTGCCTGAGATTCTTGATCTCGCTACGGGCTTCCATACCTGGGTCCATTGGTTCAAACCGTTGGCTAAATTCCTTCAGAAACGCCTCCCAATTTCCTCCGAAAGGGGGATTTTCCGCATTGAAATGTAGCAGATGGGGAGTTGCCCAATCTCCGGCACTTTCTGTGAAGAAACCCAAGGCGGACTTGATGAGTTTTACTTGGCTTTTGGCGAGATCCGGTTGTTCTGACGCCCAATTCTGGAACTGAGCCATGAAGCGACGGGCTTCAGCGCCATCTTTACCCTTGAAAACCTCGGGTTTGTTCATGCTTGACTTAGAGGATGAGCGTTCCTCCATAGCTGTAGCAAGGTTAGCTACTTGTCTGATGAGCTGAGCCATGAGATCCTCCGCAGAGGTGTTTGGGGCAGGCGGGATAGGAGTCGACATGATGGGAGTAGGCAATCGGGGCTGGGGAATCGGCAGGAAGGTTATATTGCTCACAGTGAGTGGCTCTCGGATTGAGTTCGAAAGGGCGTTGGGGCAAGGTTGAGACTGGCAATCGCGCCAAGTATCGTCGTTGTTATGGGCGTGAGCTTGGTCTCTGGGGTCAAGTGCGTGCGGGAGTGTGGAGCAGTCTATACTGGCAACAGGTGTTTCAGAGTCGGGCGGAACTGGGGAAGACGTGGTGTCTATAGACCCTGCAAGGACAACCTTATCGGTAGGCTGTCAGTGCAGTAATGGATCTTGACCTAATGTCACGAAGCGGCAGAGGCGGAGTGACTAACGGGGCGGGAAAGCGGAGCGACTAAGCAGAACGGCGAGGCGGAGCAACTGGACAAGGCAACAAGGCGGAGCAACTAAGCAGAACGGCGGTAGGCTGGTCCCAGATAATGACAGAGATATATTGAGTATCGTAGTCATAGGTAATAATAAGTAAGCACATACCTGGTCCCAGATAATGACAGAGAGGTCAAGATAAGGGACCAGGCTGTGGAGGGTTGGCTATATATACATAATCCGGTCTGCGAGAAACAACGATGTAATACTGTACAGTTTAGGAACAAGGAAGGTGGCGGAAGCCAGTAGAAGGAGAAGATGGGTCAGGTGGATCAGTAATCGATGGATCAGTAATCGATGGGGGTTTGACAGTGATGGGATGATGTATCGTACAAGTAAAGGCGTCGAGACGGTGAGAAAAGGAAAATGATAGGGGCTGCGTACTTTATGACACCTTCAACTTATTAGACTGATTCAGTATTGACTTTGACTGTCAATCTGGGTCTCAATTACAGTCCTCTTGATACAAATCTATGCGTGAAAATGTCACAATTCACAGCATAGACGTCTAGCCAAAATTTAGGCATGTCATCGGTAGTGGTAGAATCCCTTTAGTGAGGTCTCCTTCCGCTTGTCCTTGAGGAATGTGGGGACTCGCACTGACAATGCGCCATCGGAAAAGAGCATCATGTACCTCGCTCCCCCTATGCTCTGGGTGGTTGCCGGTCCCCAGAGGTCGATATGCACCCTCTCGAGCACTTCGGTCTCGTGGGTGAGTTTCTTGTCGAACGGCCTTCGCGTCGCCTTCCCATACAGGCAGTCGATGCACATTCCTGTGAGCTGCTTCGACTTGATCTGTAGGCCATCTACTAGCTTCCAGCTCTCCATCCGGAGGATCCTTGGAACCGATACGTGTCCCAGGCGCCGGTGCCAGGTGTGTATATCTGCGGGCTTCTCATGGGACCTTGCAGAGTTCACTGATGTCTGGCTCAAGGACCTCGACCTCGTACATTTTCGTCCTGCCCCTCCCCGTCATCACAACCCACCCCTCTGGTGTCTTGACACTCAGTACACCTCTGCCCCAGTCGCCCTGGAATGCTTGCTGATCGAGGGTCGATAGAGAGATGAGGTTGTGGCCAAATTCTGGTGTGTGCTTCACCCTGGTAAGTCGTATCCGCCATGCAGTTTCACCAACTCGTGTTATGAATTCAACAGTCCCAGTGCCCTGTATCTTGAATCTTCCAGCGTCACTGGCTATTGCACTGGTCCCACTCTGTCCCTGTATCTGCTTGTATTCCACAAAGTCTGATCTATTTACCCAGCAGTGTTCCGTGGCACCGGAGTCAATGAAGGTTCGGACGTATGGGGTTTTCATAGGAGTGTAAAGAAGTTTATTGCTTTGGTGCATCGCACATGCCAGTGGGCTCGTTACTACATTATGCCTATGTACGTCCTTAGCCCCGTTCCCCTCTACTGACTCCTGACGCTCCCACCCTTTCAGAAAGGTATGATCATCGCTACTTGGGGATCTGTCAGTTGGGGTTGTGCTTTGGTGGGGGGTACTGGTGGACGTACTGGAGGATGCGTCCACGTCGGCTCTTTTCGTGTCGGCAGACAGGATGTATGTTTCCAGAGGTGATGCTGTAGTAGTGGTGGCGTTGGCGTTAGCTACGGTGGCCGCTGGTGTATTTCTTGATGTGGCCTGGCTCCGGTTGGGTTCGTTGTTCTTATTGAATCGCCATCCGTTCAGCCCTTTGCCTTCTGCGCCTCCTCCCTTTGCCCAGCACCTTTGGATTGTGTGGCCAACTTTCCTGCAGTTAGGGTTGGTGCATGTCGGCTTGTTTTTCTCTGGGGCCTGTACGCTCGCCACGTGCATTGCCAGCAGGGCCTTGATCTTCTTCTCCTCTCGCTCTTCTTCCGATCTCCTCTTCTCCCTCTGTAGCCAGATGCCTTGAAGGTATATGAAGGCCTCGCTACTAGTCTTTCCAGGAAGGTGTCTGATGTCGGTGTCCCAGTCTCTGGGGAGTGATGTGAGAACAATTACACGGAACTGTCCGTCCGTTATCACTGCGCCGGCATTTGTTGCCTTCCTGAGTAGGTTTCGCATCGTCTTTCCGGGGTAGGAGTATCGATGGGCTCTGAGGTTACTGTCATGGAAGAGGAGGAGCTCCTCTGACTTTTGTTCGAACTGCTTGACTAGCTCACCCCAGATATCCGAGGCTGATTCGGTATAGTCTACCCCTAGTCCTGTGGGGTCGACAATATTCGATACTATCGTGCTTGCGACATATTGGTTGCACATGTACCATTCCTCGGGGGATGGTGTTTGACTATATGGCGGGGTTGTTGCTGTGGGTGTAGTGGTTGTACCCTCTGGTGAGGTGACGGTGACTGCAGGCTTGGCATTACTGGGCTTAGGTATAGTCCCATGTAGGTATCCTTGCAAGCCTTTTGATTCTACTGCGAGGCTAACTTCCCTCTTGTAGGGCCACCAGTTATCCTCCCCCTCGAGTGTTATTCCGGTGGGGAATCGTTGGACGTTCGGCATATTCGGCGACAACGACATCGTGGAACTGGTTGGTTCAGTTGTTTGAGGCGTAGGTTTTTTTTCGCTCCTCTAAAGCTCCAGTCTCATAATCTGTTAGCTAGTGAGCACTCAGTTGGTTAGAAAACAACTGAGGGAGTCTGTGTCCGTCGTCCGCAGGTAAGTAATAAACTATACAGTTTGTATGTAATCCTGTGTGCGGAAGCAAAATAGTGTACCCTGCCTTATAGACTGTGCGTACGCCGTGCGGAGATGTAGTCTAACACATTTTACTAAAATTGATGTTCAGGACACGCCTATTTTCGAAATTTTGTTGAAGTCAAAAGAAGCACGTGGTAAAAACCCGACCTGCCAAAAGTGCCGGATTAAAAACCAGTCGCTTCGCTGACACCTTTGAGCGCCAGTTTCCAAAGTGTCAACATCCGAAGCTACTGGCTCGAGTCTAGGACAACTTCGGCCCAGTCCGGGTTTGTCAGTAAAATGATTTTTACTACAACTTCAACTATTCGTAGTGGGACTACTCTATGGATACACATATATATATCGAAATAAAACATATAGATATAAACGGTGAATAGCAAGTGAAATCTAGAAGGCGACGGTACGATAAGATAGAAAAGTAGATGCGGGATACGACAAGTGTCATGAATAGATTCCAGTAGATTCCATGTTCCTCCAGCCATTCACCAGATATAAAACGTATCGTGTCATGAAAAAACATCGATAGAAGGAAAGGAAGAGACAGCCCAGAATATAAAGAAAGAACAAAAAAAGCCTGGGGCGGTCTTTAGCAATGAAAAGGATATAGATGATAGAACGCGGAAGCGTAATTATGGGACTGAGTCAAAAAACTGTTGGATGAATTTATTTGGGGGTGCGTTTCGATTTTACGGTCGAGTGGGCGGTTTTCCTCTGATCTGGAGGTGGTGCCCCAGACCGATCGAGTCGGTCGAACAGCACAAATAGCTTGTCCATTTCGATTTCCTTCTCTTCTTCAGTCATTTCGGCAATATGACTGTTCAAACCGCCTGGGGGCATCGTGTCATATGTTCCGGTGATGGGGTTGACGACGCGCTGTGAGGAATGAGGGTCGTTCGAAGGCGGAGGAGGTGCGGAAAGTATTCCTTTGTTGAATAAGAATCCTGCAACGTGCCCATAGCCAATAAGACTGGAGAGGATTGAAGCTGTTCATGTAAGGTTTGAGAATGACAAAGAAGTAAAAGGCAGTGATGCTTACGATCACAATCGCAAGCAGCGTAAAGCATCTCCCCGACCGTGGCCTTCAATCTCAAATGGTATACACTTCCAAGCAAACGAATACACTTGCCCAAGAAATCATCTCTCTCATCCAATGGGTATGAGCGGTCTAGGTTAGGGGGTATAATCCACTCCCTCACGCGTTTGCGGGAGGTCTTGTCCATCATACATATCCGAGTGCATAATGCCAGCAAGGGCGATACGAGTTCGTCGAGACTTGTATCTGCGGACATTGCTGACCCGACCAAGACATTCTTGAACGCTTCGCGGACTTCGCGTGAATCTGGGTTGGAGTTTGAGGGGAAATGAAACGAGAAGACGACTTCGAGGAGGTCCATTGTTCGGACCACGACGTCGTGGTAAGAGTTTCCGATCATGGAAGCAGGGGAATTAGAGGAAATAGAGAGGGATCGACGTCCTGCAGCAAAGACATTTAGAGCACGGTCTAGAGTGCTTGAGCTTCGGGGCCGAGGGGTCTGTGGTGGAAGTACGTGGCGGGATGTCGAATTACGAGTGGCAGAAAACCATAAGTTTATTAGAGTAGGCGTCATGGGTATAGTAACGAGTGCGTGTATGGCATGAGTTAATGGTGGGGCCAGTGGTATAGGGAATGTGCGAGGTAGGTTTTGGTAGACGCGCAACAAGGGGGGCAAAAGACTGATAGGATTATAAGCAAAGGGTGTTTCGTGCATGCAGTGATACGTACCCATCAAGATTTGGGCTTTGAAATTCTTGCTCACTTCTCGACGACGCGGAGGCTAAACCGTGTAACTAACCAAAGGCATGGTTAGGACATCGAAACTAATTACAATCCGGGGACGAACCTTGGGATAATGTAACAGAAGATTGAACGAGAATTTCAAGAGTTCAGACATAGCGTCACGAGCAAAGGCCTTATTTCCTAAGACATTAGAGAGAACAATGTCTATTTTCATCGCGATTACATCAATTATTGTGCGTCCATGCCGCTTGTCTTCGACCAGAGAAAGGATTAGAGAGGAAGGAGAAGCAGTTGCGAGAAACATGATTCTGGAAAGAGTGAATAATTGTTCAGGAGTTGTCGCTTTCTAGAATATACGATATGACCATCAGCACGTAAAGGCCACCTGAGAAAAGTACTCACCTCCAACATACTTGCGCAGAACTCTCCGCCACTAACTTCCTTCGAAATGAATGTCACTCTAGCGTGATCGTATAATAGCAAGGTATTCGCTACACATTTCAACGCCTCAGAAGACGCGTTCCTGTCTTCCTTATAGAGCGAACTTGACAATTCCAACAACGTGCAGAGGCTTGAAGCTTCAGTGAGTGGCTCGGATCCAACGGGAACTCTGCCTAACGTCTTTAGAGCTAATAACGCAAGGGCAGCATCTATGGAAGATGATCAACGCCATCAGATTTACGCTGCTAGAAGAGTTTTGAGTGGACGTACCTTTATGGAATAGTCTAGATTTCGAGCTCAACGTCTTCAAGTCCTTCAACAGTAACCTGACTAGTACTGCACGGGTTGATTGGTCAAAAGTCAAAGGAAGAGCTTTGCAAAGGGGCTTCAATACGGGCTCAAAATTTTCTTTGATAAACGTCAAAAAATATGTACCGTTAATAATCGACTGCAAAACCGTTGAAACATGAAACCGAGGTGTCGAAGGGGATAAATCAGTATAGGATCTGAGAATGTCCGTCATTAGATGCAGTGGGGAAGCCCCAAGCAAGATGGTCGTCGGGTGTCGTGGTCGTAGGTGTGTAGACCGTGCAGTATTACAAGGCGTTGAAGGTATGAATCGGAATAAGGAATGACTATTATTATTAATAGCGCGTCCAATTTCAATACACCCCTGGATGAGTTCCTATCATATAAATCCTCAGTGGAGCTCTCAATTTCTTTGGGCAAATAATTCTACTTCAGGAAAGCTGGAATTCCAGCGTAATACACTTTTTTTCTTCCAGAAACTAGGCTGCGAATACAGGGGAACCCTGAGGAGCCCTGACCTACTCAGACACCGCGACCGAATCTCTATGGCAACCGATTTCCGATGTTTACCCATGAGCTGGCTTTGAAGCTCTCACTGCGGCGCAACTACGACGTGCCCCGGGAGGTGAAGCCGGAGTAGGCCGTAGCCTGAGTGGTAGTGAATTCAACACCCTCCGACATGACCTTCCACATCGAGAGCGGTAAGAACGCGATCTTGACCCAGTCATTATTTGATTCGGAGCCGTCGAAGGTCCAAAGTGTTTTTTCTTTGTTCAATACTGGACGCTTTCTAGCTCCTCAGACCCTCCGACCATAACAGATGCCAGGTGATTCGGCCGATGCTGTTGATTACGTGTGGATCTTTTGTCTGTCTGAACATGAATTGGGACCGGGGTACCACAGTCAATTTTATGTAGCATTTTCTCAAACTAGTTCTTTGACTGGTTTTGAACCGCTACTTAGGGGAGACTCGGGAGAGCAGGAATCCTTGTGGCTGTACAAGCAGCGCCCCGCCGCCCCGCCCCGCCCCCGACTCTGTAAGTAAGCTTTACGTCATTTATTGAATTGTGACTCTCTAAATCTCACCGTCAGTGTCAGTGACATTGTCACTCCTGCCATTTATACCATTCTGTTCTCTCTCCTGTTTTTTGAAGAGTTTTCCTGTAGAATTCACCCAGACCCACAATGCATTCAGATGCATTCGATGTGATTCCTTACGAGGTCAGTTGCTCATCGTATTGATGAATATATCATTCTACTCAAATTTGTTGCGGATATTAAGGACATCAAAGGCGACTGGAAAACTCTTGGATCTGGCTCGTTTGGCAAGGTTTACAAGGGTAAATCCCTCTTCATAGCCTCGCCCAACGTAAATTAATCAGCTCTTAGGCACTTATCTTGGAATCGACGTCGCCATCAAGGAAGTCTTACCATCTACTGAATACGACGTGGCGAAATACTTTGAGCGTGAATGGCGTCTCATGAAGGAATCTCGCCATCCTAATATCGTCCTCTTTCTTGGTCTCTCTCGTGCTCCCGAGCCAGACAATCGCATTTTCATCGTCTCCGAGTTCATAGACAACGGCAACCTGCGTCATTACATTCACGACAAGAACAAACCATTCCCGTGGCGTCTTCGATTGTCTTTTGCCACAGATATTGCCCGTGCGCTTGCATATTTACATGCTCGAAAATGCATACATCGTGATTTGAAAGGCGAAAACCTGCTTGTCACCGCTAATGGTCGTTTGAAGATTACAGACTTTGGCTTTGCTCGGATAGCTGCCCGAAGCGAAGACGAATCCAAACGACTCACGTTTTGTGGAACCGATTCGTACATGTCTCCCGAAATCCTCCTTGGAGAGGAGTTTGATCTCCCTACCGACATATTCTCCTTTGGTATCATCCTCTGTGAGATTTCTGCTCGCCGACTTGCGGACGACCATCATTTCAAGCGAGCCGCACCCTCTTTCTCCATAGATGCAGATGAGATCCGCAGTCTCGCTAATCCAGGATGTCCGCCTGACTTGATATCATTGTGCATTGAATGCTGCTCTTCAAATCCTGCCGCTCGTCCAACGACTCGTCAAATTCTCGAGAAACTTCGTGTCATCGAAGCGGAAGTCCTTTCTCGTCCTAACGAGGGAGAAGATGTCAATGTCGGAAGTATCAAATTCATGACAGGTCACAAACGGCCAGGACCCCAACTTCGGATTCCAAGCTTCGGGATGGGAGTAGGGAAGGATATCAGGAACAGCGAATCATCAACTGATGACAGTGATGATGAAGATGAACTTATGGAAGCGGTACAAGGACTTTCGGGTGTTGGGCTAAACAGTGATTGGACTGAAGCACCTAACGGTAAGTCGCAGTTTTCCAACCCTCGTCCAAATTGGAACTCAATTTTGCTCACAGGAAAAGAACCTCTACTCAATGGCAATGCTTCAGCGATCTCAGAATACAGTACTACCGTTGTTCGCGCTCATCCCAATCACGATGGCAATGGGACTCAGCCTCCTTCTTTGTCTTCTATTCTTACTATCCGTGCTTCCCCCGACCCCAATGCAATCAACAACCAAATCTTACCTGGCTCTGATCACTCACCGGAAGCTTCCACTATCATGGCAGAGCACCCTGCAAACGGATCGGATCTTCTAGGCCATTCGTCTATTCTTTCCATTGATTCGCTCGACTCTTACCATACCGCTGCTGGGTCTAGCATTATTTCTAGCACGATGGCCACCGAGGGTGGGTCTACCATCAAATCGCTTCACGGAAATTACTCGGCTCCTCTTGTTCATCGATTCACTATCCTGAAGCCGGGAGCAAAACCCACGAAGAAGAGTGGAAATTCAACTCCTCCAACTAACGCACCAGTTGCGGAGCCGCTTTCGTGGAATCCGTTCGATCTATTCTTCTCCGGTGGGTCATTGGTCAGTAAATGCGATGTCTGTTCCAAGAGATTTGGACCTTGGAAGCCCATTCTAGAGTGTGATGATTGCGGACTCAAGTACGTACCTCTTTTGAATTCTGCTCCTTGTTTCTCATCATATCCAGAGCTCATGTTAAATGCGGTGACGATGCACCAATCGACTGTGGTGTGCGCCCTGTACGTCCTCGAGTACATCATCAGCCCAGCAACTCGTTGGGAAAGCTCAAGTTTGGAAAGGGCGAGAAGACAGCTAGTCCACCCAGGTGACAATATGCTACGAGCGCAATGACGAGACCCCCGAAAGTTGCAACCCAGCAATTACATTTCATAATTCTTTCCGCATTCCATCAAGCACGATATTTTTATTTCACTCTTCTCATCTGATTCAAAGCTCCATGACCCATATCCGTTCGATACCTACACGTCACGACCCATTCATGAATTTATGTCGGACTTCTTTTCATGGTCTAATGATCAAGGACACTACACGTACAATACATTCAATCATCATAACGGCCTTTCCGTTCTTCATCGTATTCGCCATGTACATTGACGTGCAGTTCATAATAATCTATTCCCTTTCTTAATTCCAATCATACTTTGGAGTTTACGGCTCGGAAAACTCAATCGATTGTTTTCAGATTATCCTGCAAACACGAGGGGAACACCTGGGATCACGAGCACTTCGCTTCTGAAATAACGAGTAGTTCGGCAAAACAAAATTGTGATATAAAAACTGCACATTCGATCGGTATCATGTCCTTCATCTGTTTTTCTGACCTATTGCCAGATACAAACATCGTACTTCATAAGTTGCAACAACATGCCTATTCCAACGGAAGTTGTAGGGAGCTTACCTCGTCCACACTGTTGGTTGCAGATAAACTTCTTCATCATTGGAAAACAGCTCACTCCCTTTCCTTCTTGAATAGACCTTCAACAAGCTTACGCGGAATATGACTCGGGAAAGATTTCTAAAGATGAATTGATCAAGCTACAAGATAAGGCAGCTGCAGATTCTTTGTCTCGTATGCAACAGACTGGGGAGATTTACATCACGGATGGAGAACAGAGATCGAGCTCGTGAGTATATATTCAACTTTTCAGGCGTGTTCGTACTCAATTGCATCATAGATTCGCAACATATCCAGTTCTTGAGTACGTATAGCCTGTAAGTCCGAGCATTCTATAAATGACACTTTCAGCTCTCTGGGTGGTACGGGTTTGAGCGAGACCCTATCAGCAGAAGGCGGTCAATATTTCGTGAGTGTGGACTTCTTTTCAAAAAGTACACAGTCATAACTTACATGTAGGCGATATTTGATGACGGACATCATAGGAAGCTACCCAAACTCATCCGAGGGCCTTTCAAGTACATATAATCCGTGAAAGCTACAATCTTTTTTCAGCTCTTAAAGACCATTCTCCACAGATACAAACACTATGCATGGCAGAACTTTCAAAAGAGTTCCCCTCTAAGCAACGGTCACCAGATGAAGCAAGCGGTCATTGCTCCAAGCATGATGTATCTCCTGTATCCCTTGAGTGAAGAGATCGAAGGATATTCAAAGGATCAATTCAAAAGAGACGTTGTTGACGAGGTTGAAAATGAATCCTCTTCGTGCCAGAAATGTTCACTCATCCAGATTTGTAGTGTGAAAAGGACATTCGGGGATGTTTTGAAGCGGGGGCGAAAAGAGTTTCCATTGATTTTACGGAAGGTCAGTGAATATCGGATTCCATTCGTGACCAACGCTCAGAAGTAACCAGGTCGTTTGGCATTGAAGAACGACCCTCGTAACCCTTGGACAGGCGCAAGCCTTCTGGAGACGTTCATCAATCTGAACAACAGGTGAGTGTCGTGAATGAAACTCGAAAACAGTGGTTATACATATACTATATCAGTGTCCTTGACCGCTTCTCTCCCGAGGAACGCGTTAACATCGGTGTTCACTCTTGTCCAGGCGGAGATTGTGATTCTGTGCACTCCTCTGAGGTGCCATACCATACGCTCCTTCCGAGTCTGTTCAAAATCAACGCAGGATACTTTCTCATACAACTCGCGTCCGAAAATGCAGCAACGCGTGCATCGATCCATCAAGAGATCGGGAAGCACATTCGAAGAGACGCCAAAGGGGTGAAACAAATTGCATTTATCGGTGTGATTAACCCACTTGATCCTGTCGTCGAAACCCCTGAACAAGTCTGCGAGAGCCTAATGGAGGCGAGCAAGTATATCCCTGTAGATCAGTTAGGGGCAACAGACGACTGCGGATTTAGTCCATTCAGCATAGATAAAAAACCAAAGCATGGTGGTAATCCCGATTTCGCGAGAGATGTCGCATTTCAAAAGATTTCAGCGAGAGTTCAAGGAGCAAAAATGGCCAGTGAAAAACTAGGTGCTTGATGAATGTGTTGATCCTTCGTAGTCGTCTACAAGTACATACCCTCCCACTACTAGCATATTACTCGTAGATACCCGGTGTGGTATGAAGCTGACTCATAAGAATTACATCCCGAGGACAGCCGGCAATGAAATCGAAGACACCCCCATTTGGCGATATAACCGTCTTGTCACTTGAGGTGTAAATTGTTCTAGTTTTGAACACGATCCACCATCCCCAGCCTCAAATTCTGACTGGTTTTTCTTTGACCAACTCTATAACGTTTTCTGTTCTTTGAAATCGAGCTTTCTGCACATGTCTTCTACAGTACCATCAACGACGACGGTTGCAACGGGCGCAACGAGTACAACACTGGTAAAGTATTCAAGCCAAGGGGAAACTCAGGCTGACGAAATACTTTCTTCCTTTCTTCCTTTCATATCCTTCCTTCGATCCAGTCTTTAGAGGAATTTCCGCCTTCTCAAAGCCTACTCTCATTATCTATAGCAGCTTCCAGTGCTGCGCCCATACCCATATCATCGCCTATGGACTCTTCAATTCCCGACTCAGGGCCCACGTCGTCTTCTGTTCAAAGCTCCAACGTCAATGGCAATGCTGCCAAAAACCAACGGAGGTTATCATCCACAGGAAAGGCCAGGAGAAGACTGAGCGATGCAAGGGATGCAGCTGCAAGACCTTTGTAAGTCTATCCTGTTTAACATATCTTTCCTACATCTCGTTTTCTTTCCACTCTAACTACCCTTATCAAAATTTTTGCCACATCCTCTACCATGACGTATACAATGTTGCGTTCAATTAACTTTGTTTTGTTTGTTGATAGGCCAACTGCCCTTTCGCTAGCTACCCTTTCGCTTTCGCCCTCTTCACCATCAACACATTCGTTTGCAAATACTAGTGCCCCAGGTGCTATTTCTGGAAGGAGCGGGATGTCCGCTCTATTGACTGCTACATCATTAGAGTCACCTGTCACACTTACAGGGATCCCCATGAGTGCAACTCCTCAAGACTCAGCCGCCACTAATGTCGGCTCGACACCAGCTTCTGCGCCCGCTTCGATGCAGCAAGTCATCAACTCCAAGCCCATCAACATAAAGAGTGGTAAGAAGAGGGGCATGGAACATAAGTGCGAAGGTTGTTCAAAGGTAATTCTCTTCTATCCCTTTCTAATTTAATGTCCCAAAATAACACTCTCTATCGCAAAGATCTACCGTCATCCCTCTTGCCTAATCAAGCATCGTTGGGAGCATACTCCTCATTGGCGCGAGTCGTCGAAGTACGTGCTCAGCAAGCACCAGCAGGTGCAGCTTCTTGAAGCTGCTGCTATCCTGTCACATCTTTCTGCGGACTCGGCGACGGGTACTAGCCTCCCGGAAGACCGAAGTCTTTGGCCCAGCTTTCTAAGTGGCGGTACATTGCCACTGCCTGAGGGTAGCAACCCAGGAACATCTGCTGGCGTGTCAAGTTCGGTACCCGCTACCAGTGTATTGCGCTCTGCTCTCGTTTCTTCTACAATTCCGGGTACGATACCAGCACGTTCGCCCTCCGTTGGACCAAGGTTGCACGATTACCCCATTCCTACTACGGACGTCACCCAAGTCCGTCCTGGTCTTTATATGATGGGCGGATCGTCTGCGCCTGCGAGCGCTGTCAGTCCTATCACGACTTCGCTTAACGACTCGTACTCTGAAGTGCGCAGCCTGGGTCCTGGAATAGGTTATGGTCGGGCTTCATCCCTCTCTTCGTCTTCTGGTGACAGTCCATCTTCTCAGGGTGCTAGCCCTAGTGGACGCCGAGTTCCCGTTTCCAATTTTACCACTTCCTCTTCCTTCAATTCCGTTACATTATCGATTCCTCGTAGTTCTCTACGCAGTGAAAGTGTGTTCAGCGAAAGCGAGCGATCGAGCTCATTGGAAGAAGAGGATGAAGCAGGGGAAGAGGATTACCCTATGAATGAGTATCATGATCACGAGTTTGAACTTGACGTTGACGGAGATGACGTCCTTGATATTCCAGGTCGCAGGAGAGATGTCTATGCTTTCAGTGGCAGAGGAGACTTGGAGAAGAAGAACTTTGACGAGTATGGGTTCGAGTATGAGGTTGGTCTTAGTATGGGTGTGCCGAAAACCAAGGTTGCCACTCCTATGGGCTTGGACTCTATGAAAGAAGAAGATTGGGAGATGGAAATGGACATGGATTGAAGCAAATCCTATCCAAGTTGATGATTTCGAACACATCAACTCGAAATCGCCTTGTCGTCTTTAGTCTCTTTTTTATCTCTAATTTGGGGTTTAGATGCTTTCTCTTGCACAAACGGATACACCTTCGTCGTTGTCCAGACAAGTTTTCCTATGAAGTTTATTCCCATTTAATCATCACATCGGACTAGCGAAGTTCTCATCTTTTTGCTGTATGTATACTATTCATTCATGTGCGTTCCCAGTGCCGAGCATCTGTTCTCTTTTATCCCGGAAATTCTGTGCACTCTCCGGTTCATTGTCTGACTATTTTCCAATTTCCTTTCATTATTTTGCGTCCTGCTGGTACCTGCATCTTATCTCTTTGTCTGTTTGCTGGCAAGAAGTGCATGAGTACTATGTTTTGGACGTGGGAGCCTTGTATACTCTGGAGACTAAATATGTTGTTGTTACAAACTAGTGTACTATACCGTCATGAAGAATGGAAACCAAATCTTGTACATAGTCCCAATTCTCTATGCTCCTCAGTTCGACCGGTACCGTCGTTAACGGTGGGTCAAACCCGCGATGACGGCACGTGCTTGTGTGGCGTCCTTTCACTTTCCTACCCCCATGGCAGATAGTACGGAACGTTCGCAACCTTCACTCTTGTCTAATGACAAAGCTTCTTCCTCAAGTATGCTGTTGTCCAACGATTAATTTCTCTCCAATTCGTCTGACCCTCATGCAGGGCCGAGCTCAGATGCTCCTTTGATTGAAGAACAGAATCCCCCTGCGGAGCCTCCTTCAGAGATTACGGAGGATACAGGTTTTCCCCAGAGCCTCAGTTCAGTTTCTTGTTTCTCACAGATGCAACTCGTAGATATCTCGACACTCTCCGTAGCACAAGTATACGAGCTTAATCAGGCGCGTCTTATCCATCCATATCTACCCAAACCTTTAAATCCTTACATTTTGCCACAGAACCTACTAGACCTTACTGCCGATGTACAACGTCCCCTCATAGCTAATATGGCGCCTATCTCCGAGCTGCGAGCAGAATATGAAAATGGATCTCCTTCGTTTGTTCAGCAAATAGACTATCTTCAATCTCAAGGCTATTCATCGATCATACGGGCTCGAGGTAGCGTCTGCGCTGTTTCAAGCTGATAGTATCATCTCAACTACTGTTTTATTAAAGGTGACGGCGACTGCTTCTATAGATGTTAGTCCTTATTTAATCTGCTTTCTCGTTCAATCTTGATTTTTCCTGTCAGCTGTTGCTTTCGCATACGTCCAAAATCTCCTTCATGCTCCCGACCCTACTATCGCTGTAGCGACGGCCTTATCAACTCTAGAAGCGACTACCAAATTGCTGGAAAGCGTGGGATTCGAGAAGATGGTGTTTGAGGATTTTTATGAAGTGCTAGAGGAACTAGTGAAAAGCGTTGTTACTCCTAACGCGTCTGGAAGCATCTTAACCGATGAGGGACTTTTGGAAACATTTCAAGATCCAGAGAGTGCGTCTTATCAATCTGGTCATTTCTCTATCCTCACTCACCCATGGTGCGTACGATTTAGAATCCAACTCCATTGTAGTGTATTTGCGGATGTTAACATCTGCGCAAATTCGGCTGGATCCAGAGAATTTCGCTCCATTCCTCTTCCATCCTGAACTGGGAGAGCCGATGGAAATAAGGGATTTTTGTGAACACTTTGTTGATGCGACTGGCAAGGAAGCAGGTATGCCTAAAGTGGTACTATGAAACTTGTGTGCCGTATGTTCACTGCTTTCTAGACCATGTCCAGATGACAGCGCTTTCTAGGATGATTCGTACAAATGTAGATGTTGCCTATCTGGATGGACGAGGGTCTAATGGACAAGTGGAATTCGTGAAATTCCAACCAGACGAAACCGCGGAAGCCGCCGCATCGTCGCCTATTTGTTTATTGTACAGGTAGGATTTACATTATCGTGATTAGAGGATAGAGCCTGTGGGCTCATACTCACTGATATGCTGTAGACCTGGACATTATGATATTTTAGTAGGCCCCAAACACTGAATTGCAGCTTCGCAAGAGCTCATACTGTATCTGCGATGTGCAAGAATCACTACATTTTATTTCGGAGAATTCAGTTCTCCTGCCACTGTATTCATGAACCGTTTTGGAAAATGTCAACGCGCCACTGCTATCGATCGTCCTCTCAATTCAAAATCGTCGGAGACGGGTTGCCCCCTGTTTACGTATAAACCAATTCACGACGCTGTCTTAACCACTACAGTCTTCCACAGTTCATCTAGAGTACAGGCACTCTTCAGACGTTATCTACACCTCTTGTGATAAGCCATCCATATGGCATGCGGGAAGCTCTGCTATATATGGGACCCAAGCGGGTCATTCTGAGAATGCATATAAATACGCAGACGTCAATTCCACGATGACGAAATAGAATTCCCCTTCGTTCCCCTTCTTATTCGACCTTTTTTTAGGACAGGCAATCATGTCCAAAGCTCGAAAACACGATGTCCAGCATGCAGACGAAGCGTTATTGGCTTCTTTAGGGTATAAACAAGAGTTCAAACGCGCGTTTACACCACTCGAGGTGTGTTTTCTGATTGAAACTCGCCTTATGATTGGTTTTCACGCATCGCGTGCACAGGTGTTCGGTATCGCATTCTCCATCATCGGACTGCTGCCCTCAATAGCATCTGTGCTGTTCTATGCCATACCAAATGGAGGAGGACCGGCCATGGTCTGGGGTTGGGCTGTAGCAAGCATCTTCATCTTGATTGTCGGATTGGCCATGGCGGAGTTAGCGTCTGCGGCCCCAACTTCTGGTGGGGTGAGCGCTACACGTCAACTTCCAATGGTGTTGACACTGAATCTCATTTCAATTTTGATGATGTAGCTCTACTTCTGGACGTTCTCCCTCTCTTCGCCTAGATGGAGAAATCTGCTATGCTGGATCGTTGGCTGTGCGTTGGCGCGTACGAGAAAGACATACATACACATAGTGACTTCACATTCTTTTTGGTATAGATGCAAACACAATCGGTGCCGTGTCCGCTGTCGCTTCAATTGACTGGGGATGTGCAGTACAGATCATGGCAGCTGCGAATATCGGCTCACCAAATGGGAGCTTTGAGGCAACCCGTGCCCAGCTTTAGTACGTACATACCTTCGCTGACTCGAGCTGTGACCTTGACAATATCTGTACGTATACTTTTTTTCAGTGGAACATATGCTGCAGTCATTCTTACACATACCCTGGTGTGCTGTCTTGGAACTACTGTGTTGGCCAGATTGCAGACAGTCTATGTCGGGCTTAATGTATTGTACGTTCTATCTCTGTTACAAGGACTGCCGCTACTCATACGTTCATCATAGATTATGTTTAGCAGTGATTATCGCCTTACCTGCAGCCACTCCTAAAGAGTTCATGAACACTGCGAGTTTTGCCTTGGGTGATTTCACCAACCGTACGTCCGCATATGATCCCCCATTTCTATGCTCTCAATACAATGTTATTCCAGTTAACGGATGGCCAAATGGCTATGCGTTCATCATGAGCTTCCTTGCCCCGCTATGGACAATCTGTATGTGGAAGTATTTATACCCCTCGCAGGACCTAACAAATGCCAGGCTCCTTTGATTCAAGTGTGCATATTTCTGAGGAAGCTGCCAATGCTGCCACTGCGGTACCTTGGGCCATAGTTGGTGCTATAAGCATTGCGGGGATTTTGGGATGGGGTAACTACGAACTTTCCGCATCTGGACCGTACGTTGAATTTACCAAATGTCGATAGCGATTAACATGTCTCTCGCTTTTTGTATGGGAACCGATCTCGAGACGTTGTATGCCAGTGCGCAACCCATGGCGGCGATTTTCAATAACAGCTTTGGGCATAAAGGTACACTGGCGCTCTGGGCATTTGTAGTATTGGTACAGTGAGTTATCAGCTTCTAAGTCTACGACCAAATGATGATTCATTCCGACTCTGTAAATTCAGATACATGATGGGTTCCAGCATGCTTCTTGCCGCCAGCCGTCAGAGTTATGCTTTCAGTCGTGATTCTGGTCCGTCTTTATATCCATCTCAAAGATAATCGTTCTGTAACTCCCTACCCCTTGTAGCTCTTCCTTTCTCATTCTGGCTTTACCGTATGAACAGCTACACCGGGACTCCTGTCAACACCGTCGTATTCGTGGCTGCATTAGCATTACTCCTTGGTCTACTTGCGTTCGCAGGTACGGTCGCAATTGACGCCGTATTTGCTATTTCTGTTACCGCACTCTACATCGCATATGCTATTCCGATTAGTGCGAGGTGGTTAGGTGATAATCAATTTAAGCCTGGTCCGTTCAATTTGGGATTCATGGTAAGTACTTGCAACGAGATATTTTACCTGACGCCTGACCACTGTTTGTCAAAAACAGAGTCTTCCTGTTTCCATAACCGCAGTTCTCTTCATGTTTTTCCTTGGCATTGTCTTTCTATTCCCCACCACGCAACAAACCGACGTTTCGGACATGAATTACACCGTGGTCGTCCTTGGAGGCGTGCTGATTCTCTCCTTGGTATGGTACTATTTCCCAAAATATGGTGGTGTGCACTGGTTCACAGGTCCCATCGCCAACATCGATAAAATGGGAATGGAAGTGAAGGGGTTGGAGCTTCCGCTTGAAGAGGCTCAAGTAGTAAAGAAAGACGGGGATGGGAGTGCCAGTCCAACACTAGAAAAAATGTCGAAAGCATCCGCAGAGGAAGCTTGACAGACCCAGAAGTTTCCGCCATGTAGTATCCGTACACAAGAAGCATGCTAGATTGCATTAGAGATCATCCTTATATCATAAAAACCCATTGTAGACTTTGACCACTCTGAGGTCAGTATTATTACAGTGTAAGGACTCCGAGGAGTGAAGAAAATCTAAACCACAATTAGACGCCAAAATCTCTACAATTGGATGAGAACTGACAACATATTGAGGTTCTACTGAGTAGACATGAAGTTACGCTCTCGTATCCTCTGTTTGTTTTCTCTTCTCCTCTCGAGTCTTTCCTTTCGACCTCCGGGACCATCGTCTTCTAGTTCTTTGGGCTTTAAAATTGACCAAAGCCAAGGAGGATACTCTTCATCCGGAAGCGCAAGGACTGGTGGTTGATTCTTTAAGTAGTTTAGCCCAGTAAGAACAGTGTCAGCAGGGCAGGAGGATTTTGGTGTAGGTGTTTGGGACTTCGGTGCAGCGTTCTGGGCACCTATATGGAAATTTATACGAAAGAATTGAGAATAGGTTAAAGCAAGACTTACGTGCTGGCACGGAATAAGAACGACATTTCAAGAGTTTCCTGACCCCTGCTCTCTGGGTACTTCGAAGACAGTTGTAAAGAGACATGCTCGACTCGCCGATATAGCACCGTTATGGGCCGAACGCGCGTGTGAATCGTAATAAGATCGTAATGGCAATTACTTTTCGGCAATGTTAGAGCGCTCTGTTCCCACTGCGATTCCGACATGGGTTTCACTTGAATTGGAATAATTTCGGTATATAAGTCCACGTCTTCTTTATATTTTCCGCATTCACCATGCTAGGCTTTAATTTCTTCAGTAAAAAACAATGGGAGGTCTCCTCCATCCCTGATCTGACTGGTCGCGTCGCTATTGTGACAGGAGGAAATACTGGACTTGGATATATCACTGTTCGTGAACTGGCCCGCAAGGGTGCTCGAGTATAGTAAGCCTCTCCTCATCTCTCATCATTCGCAACTTGAAATTGATGGTATCAAAAGTATGTTAAGCAGAACGGAAACTCGCGCCCTCGCCGCCATTGCGAAAATCAGGAAGGAACTGGATTCTGAACTCAAACCTGAGCTTGAATACATCAAGTTTGATCTTTTGAGTCTCAAATCTGCAAAGGAAGCAGCTGAAGAGTTCATGCGTCGTGAGAAAAGGTTGGATATCTTGGTGAACAATGCTGGTATTGTAAATACGAAGTTTGTCAACTTATATTCGCGTCTGATTTTCCAAACTTCTGTAGATGGCTACCCCATATGAGCTTGGCCCTGATGGAATTGAAATACAAGCCTGCAACGGGACTGGTCACTTCGCATTGACTGTTTCTCTCCTTCCTTTACTGAAAGAGACTGCCGCCATGCCAGACTCGCATGTTCGAATAGTGAATGTCACATCTGCTGGCTACCTTTTTGCGCATATGGAGAAACCTAACTTCACTTCCCTTGAGGCTTTGAATCAAAAAGCCTGGTCAACATGGGGGAGGTATGGCTTATCAAAGTTAACGGTGAGAGATATTGTCCATACTGTAGAAAGATAGAGACTGACTGCTGGGATTGACTCTGCAGAACATCTTGTTCACCAACGAGCTTCAGAAGCGTTTCGCTGAATCGGGAATCACGAGCATATACTGTTTATCTGTTCATCCTGGTGCTGTAAATACTGAACTGACACGCGGTACGTAGCTATCACATCTCACTGCGTTCTTCATGTGATTTTGCTTGTTTAGGACCTCTACAGTCGTGGCCCTTCCTTGCGCCTCTATGGTCTCTTGCAAAGTTGTTAACTATGACCCCTGAACAAGGTGCTTTAACACAACTCTATGCGGCGACTTCTCCAGAAATTGAAGAGAAGGATCTAAAGTGAGTTGTTACAGTGGTTTTAATTTCTTTTTGTGTGACAAATGGGTTTTGTCGCAGAGCCGCATTGCTATTTCCTATTGCCCAAACGAAATCCAAGTCGTCTCTTGCGAAAGATAAGGATGGTAAACTAGGTGGTGATTTTTGGACTCTTTGCGAGGCACTGATTAGGCAGAAAGCTTGAGAGTCGAAGCAAACGTGGGGTCGAATACTTGGTTGTGTAGGCGAACGATACATGTCTGCTACTGGTCCTTTGTGACTGTTGGCGACGGTATATAATATGTAGAACCGCAATTTTTTATCAAAGGCGGGAGTGGAGCTTACCAACCCGCACTCTTCGGTGCCAGATTATGTAAGTGAGGAGTTTGTCGGTATCGTCTGGGCACTTGAGTACTGTTTCCCACCAAGCAATGACATTGTACTCGAAGAAGCACGATTCCTCCGTACCGTGTTAAAAACCCCACGTCTCAGTCTTTTACCAACATCACCATGCTGGGTTTCAGCTTATTTGGCGGAAAGCAATGGGAGGTCTCCTCTATCCCTGACTTGAGTGGTAGGGTAGCGATTGTGACGGGAGGAAACACTGGACTTGGATATATTACTGTGCGTGAATTGGCCCGGAAGGGTGCTCGAGTATAGTAAGCCTCTCTTTCTACATCATTTGCAACTTGAAAATGAAAGTGCCAAAAGCATGTTCAGTAGAACGGAAACACGCGCTCTCGCCGCTATCGAGAAAATCAAGAAGGAACTAGAATCTGAACTCAACCCCGAAGTTGAATACATCAACTTTGACCTATTGAGTCTTAAATCCGCAAAGAAAGCAGCAGAAGAGTTCGTGCAACGCGAGAAAAGGCTGGATATCTTGGTGAACAATGCTGGCATTGTAAATACGAGACTCTTTCCGCGTTTGATTTCCCTTGACCCTTTTACAGATGGCTACCCCATATGAGCTCAGCCCCGATGGGATTGAAATCCAAGCGTGCAATGGGACTGGTCATTTCGCATTGACTGTTTCTCTCCTTGCTCTGTTGAAAGAGACTGCTGCCATGCCAGACTCGCACGTCCGGATAGTGAATGTTTCCTCTGGTGGCTATCTAGCTGCTCACCTCGGAACGCCTGATTTCTCTTCCCTCGAAGGTTTGAACCAAAAGACTTGGTCAACATGGGTGAGATATGGGATGTCAAAATTGACGGTCAGAATGACTCTTCTGTTGGAAAAAGATTATTCATAAACAGGAGTGATTCTGCAGAACATCTTATTCACCAACGAACTTCAGAAGCGTTTAGATGAGTCTGGGACACCGAATATATATTGTTTGTCTGTTCATCCTGGTGGTGTGTCCACCGAATTGACGCGTGGTACGTAGCTGGGTAACTTTCTTCGATTTTTTACAGGACTGATTTTTCTTATTGTTCAGGTCCCCTACAATCTTGGCCCTTCCTCGCGCCTCTCGAGCGAATTGCGAGGATGTTTCTTGTAACTCCTGAACAAGGCGCGTTGACACAGCTCTACGCGGCGACTTCTCCAGAAGTCGAAGAAAAGGATCTGAAGTAAGTTTCAAGTTGGGGTCTTCAAGCATTAATTCGGCATGCCGATTGTTTTTATCGCAGAGCCGCTTTACTCTTCCCTATCGCCCAGCCTAAATACAAGACGTCTCTTGCTGAAGACAAGGATGGTAAACTAGGTGGTGACTTCTGGACTCTTTGTGAGGCGCTGATGCGGCAGAAAATTTGAGGCTTGCTATCAAATCATTCTTCCATGCTCTGTAGTGCAGTGTAAGTAGGTGTATGCTCGTCCAAATATTCTATCTGAAATCATGAGAGCCCTTGAACTCGAAGCGTCGGTACTCGGCTTGTTTGCAAGATTTTTAATACTGCCAAGATGCGATTGGAACCCATCGCAGTTCATTCTTGATCTTCATTCCTTCTCCTTCGTGTGTTCTCTTTATCGTGCATCTCCTGCATCTTTTTCAACTATTATTTCAAAGATACATTTAACAGCCTTTGTGTTCTACGTGATTCCCTTGATCCAAATTGTGAGGCCAAACACAAGGTCTGATTGAGGATAGTATAGGGATCCTATTCTGGCTGTATGATTTTTTGCGTAAGGGTATAGCTGACGCAGTCGACGATTCACTTGGCTAGTCTGAGGTCAGCAGAGCCCAGAGGTCTCATGATATTGTAGTTCTGGTTTCCTTGTCCAGCTTGTTGAAATATTAGCGGAAGAGCACGCGTGCCTTTCTGTCCCCAGCTGTCCCTTCTACACTGTTACAGAGCTCTGTACAATTCAATTTGAGAGATGACAGGCTTGCAGAGGTGCGATCCTCAAAACTTCAATTCAAGAGCCCATTTTGGCTGGGATTTCAGTGTTACGGACCTATACAGTACTATTAAATAATCACCATAAAACAACGTCAAATGTATGCAGAATGAATGCGAATGAAGATTTACTATTCTACTGTGTACATGGGTGGCAGCTCCGGTTGTAACTCTGGGTACACATCATTTCGAGGTCTGTGTAGTAAACGTATGCCACTATCGGTATGCACCAACGGTGAGACGGTCATGCCATCGACAGAGAGGACGAAGAATTGACCCTGCCGTTGCTTGATATCCGAATCGGATGAATACTCGCCATCTGCTGGAGTAGTTCTCTGTATTTGGCGAGTGGGAGTGAAACTGAAACCATAGCCCGAAACCTCAGAAGGCGAAAAGTCTTCGGAGGTTGGATTGACTGACGATACAAATGGCGTTGTATCTGAGTGTACAAAGGAAGTTGAATGTATAATATGACTTGGAGTGACGGAGCGAGAGACTGAGCTTTCGGAATAAGATCTATGGCTATGTCGGGTGGAATACGGGTTTGGCAGAGAGATGTAACTTTCCTCGTGGGTCAAATCAGGTTGTAAATATGACTGGAGGTCATGCACATCGCGGTATCCAAATCCGGAAGCTGAAGCATCATGAATACCTTGGGAGGGTGGTAGAGGGAGCTGTCGACGTGTCGATATACGTTGTTCTTCGGAAATACTGCTAGCCTTTGAGAGAGATGAACTGGTGTGATGGACAAATTGTGGACGATGGGGCACCACTACGTCGGCCAAATCTGGTGTTGTAAATTTAGCCATTATGATTGAGGTTAGATCTTGAGTATTGACTTACCTACTGTACCGGGAGGGGGGCTATCTTCGTGCTGGCGTGTCACGCTCTTGGGACGCTTAAAATGACGATATAATAAGATGATTCCGAACAACAGAAGGATTCCGCAAACACCCCCCACAACCGATCCAACTATCACAGAAATGTTGTGACGATGAGAAGTACCAGTGACTTTGTATGGTACCGCATTGCTTATGGTAGTCTGTCCTCGAACGAGTACATAGTCGATCCAAAGTGGAATATTACCCGTATTACTGACGGCTAATTGATGTTGACCTGTATCAAGGGGACGCGAAGCATAGAACTGCTTATTGTGCACCGCATTACTAGCAGTGACAGCAGTGAATGACACTGAGGGAGCCCCATCAACTGAAAAAGAGGCTTCGGTGATTTCCCCAATCGAAGCGTTATCCACACGCCCAAAGACTTGGATGGAAGTACCTGTAGTTTGTGAAGACAATAAATCAGAAAAAGGAAGGCAAAATGTTTTTATGCACAAGGATGATAATCAACGAACCCTCAAAATCGAATAAGAAAGAACTACTTGGTCCAAGACTAGTTATAGTCCCTCGGAAGTCATCTTCCCCCGGGATTGAGCTCCAATTCCCCGAATATGCTATGCGCGAGTCATGGTCATCGAAGAAATTCGTACCGCCAATCACCGATGTAGTCCTGGAAGTGTTGTAAAGTAGATAGTCGAGCCAGATAGCTGATTCTGAATTATTGCACGAAGAGACTGTGTAAATGAATGTGTGGTTGCCATCATTGAGAGTAGGGGACATCCAGAGCGTTTGTTGGTACTGATTACCGTGGGGGGCCGCAGATGTAAAGTTGGTTAAAGCGCCATCGATGGAGAAAGTGCAGCTGCAGGTTCCTCCGCCATACAAGTCCCCCACGGCAGTCAACAGGTTACCTTCATAAATTGGGTTTCCTATTGAGAACAGAAATTCGAAAATATCTTGTGGTGAGGTTGGACATGCCTGAAAATGAAAATGACGCGGTAGCACCGGTCGAACCGGTCGAGGCTGTCTGGCCAAAATCTACTTGTTGTCCGGCCAAGCTCCAATTGCCTGTATACTTTAGGCTCGCGTCCTGGTCATCTACAATGAAGGTGTTGTTCATGAAGAAAAGAGAAAGAAAGAAGAGAATAATATGACGCGGAGCGCTGAAGAAATCATCCTGTTCTTCTCGGCGCTCAGTCATTGTCAACTGAATCATATCCGAAGACGTGACAACATCATTGAAGGCTTCAGAGTTGGCCTTCTTTTTTGACACACAAGCACGCGGGAATTTCAAGTATGTTGATAGATGTTGATTCTTTTGTTTTGATACTTGAAAACAGCAGTAGAGTTTTTGATGGCTTGCCTTCAAGTTCTCTCCCAAATTGCGGAGCTTGAGGAAGATTGTATATCTATTTCGAAAATCCTTTGAGAGGAAGGAAGCTGAAGGAAGCCTGAGGAGGCTTCGGATCAAACCTGGCCGAATCCTACCAATCCAAGCAGGATCCTGACCCTAACCCTGGTAATCACACAGTTGAGCGCTTCCTTCGAAAATCGTTGCCCTTCACGCGACGGGGAAGGTCAATGGAGACCATTTCCCAACTCAGAACTTTACTCCTTGCTGCACTAAGTGATCGCGGAACTCACAATGTGGAGCAGGAGCTTTTTGATTCGTTAATGATTCACAAGTCGCGTCTTGCCAGTGTTTTCGATGTTGGGCAGAGGAATCCCCAGGAACAAAAAGAGATTGAATCTGGTGCGCACACTCATTCTTTCATTTCATTCTAGCCTATCGAACTCGAACTTTCTAGGCAAAACTCTCATCAATGGGAAGCAAGTTGCAGTGAACTCAGATTTTGCGCGACAAGTGATATTCCTGTCTCAACATCTCGAGTGTTCCGAACGATATGTGGCCGGTCTCCTTAATTCTATCATGATTCAAAATCCCAATATAACACCCGTGAGCTGCCTCGAACTAGCAGTTGCAGAGTTCCATTCCCGCCGTCGCCACCTAGTCGATTGTTTACGCTATTTACTCGAAGCTACTGAGGCCGCAGAAGTATCGGAGGCACCTCCCCTGTACTATCATCTTGACCGATATGTTAGAATGGATTTGACAAAGCCACAACACCTTCCCGGCGGAGGTGAATTACCTCTAGCTTACAGAATATTCCAAGAGGTAGAAACTCTCGGCAAAGTGATTATTCGGGCAGACAATATGAGAAAAAGTGCCCAAACTCACACTGTCATTCCACAACAAGGTGAAAAACTTGTGTCCGTGGTATTTCTTGGACCTGACGTGACTCTAGGTTCTCCTACCCTTGGATTCGACATATGCAATGCCCGTTACGATTCCTTGAAGTACGAACAAAAGTATCTTGCCACCTGTTTATACCTCATTGCTCGCCTTGGCGTCATCTCTCCTGACGAGATAAAACGCATGATCGAATGGCTGGTCACTAATCCCAATCATAGCATGACATTTTACGTCCTTACTACAGTTTTGGCTGTCTTTGATACAGTAAATCCCAACACTCTAGGAGCACAGCACCGAAGTCACATTGCCAACGACAAAGCCCTCGTATCATTCATGACGAAAAAGCTAGATGCGACGGCGGAGTGGAAAGAGCCGGGTTTGAAGGCCACCGTGCTTTTGAAGTGGACGTTATTCCTTACCGAACAAAGGCATCGGGATCCAGGTCTGGAAAATCGTGACGGTTTCCGGACAGAGGAACTCGAAGTACAAATCTGGAACGCTGTCCAAGGAGATGTCTTTCTGTATCTTTCAACGGTCCTTCTACAACTCCGGAGATCCACAGTAACATTCTGTCCATCGCTCTTGAGTGGAATAGCTCTCTCTTCCGAGCAACAAGAGCAGCGAGAAGTTCCTGCAGATGACTTTAAAGTTCATGTTCTGAACGCGTTCGAGGCCATTGTTCGTTCATTGATTACTCACGCCTCATCGGAACTTCGCAAAATAAAACAACGGCAGGAAGACTTGGTGCTGGCTAATGCGCGCACAGACCGTTCGCGATCCGATCCCTCCCTCTTTCGTCCCTCTTCGATCATGGAACCCGAAAAACATTCATCTCCTCCGAGATATGATATCGCTATGCTCTACTCATTCATTGGACTGCTGTATTCAAGTCTACCCGCAGAAGCAGCTCTTCAGTTTTGGGGTGCTGGATCTCAGGTTGAGCCGAATCGCACAAATTATCTTGAGTATCTTGAAACAACGGCAGGTCGCCTACCTGCTTTCCTACAGTGGACTGTGTGGTCCACCCAGACCCAGGATCTGAACATGACGATGGCTTTGTATGACATGTTGGCCGGATTATCGAAAGGTCAACAGTGCAGTGAGCTGGCATACAATTTTATGGCACGCGGTGGCGGAGAAGTTGTTCCAGGAAGCTCATTGCCATCAGGCGGTTCATCTGTTTCATGGGATGTGGTTTTCGGCCTGTTAGAATCTTGGGCTACTGGCACAAGTGCCCGAAGTCCAATAGCTTCCCAGGGATACAGTCAGGGCATCCTCGGAGGTTCATCTACTTTGATGCCCCAGTCTACCCGTTCCCAAGAAATGCAAATTGGACCGCAGGACGTTCTTCTGGCACAATCATTCCTTCGATTGCTGTCAATGGTCGTGACTCACTCCGTCGCGGTTCGTTTAACGATTTCAGGACACGCTCATTTTCGTGCTATACCTACTCTCGTGTCGCTCATACCTCTTCGAGTACCTCTGGAGCTCAAAGGAATGGTGTTCGAGACGCTAGCCGCGTTCTGTACACCAGGAGCGGGGATTCCTGGCGTTGAGATTTGTCGGGCTGTGTGGACACTGATGGAGAGGCTGGAGGTAATCAATGTCCGATCCGGCACCACAGTCAGCTTTGGGAGCTCCTTTGTATCTGTCAAGGGTGTCGAAGTTGAGTTGGAAGAAGTCGAGGCCACACATGGTTTATATCCAGCAACGATACCTTTTTTGAAACTCCTGAGCACTCTCATCCACACCCCAAAACGGATTGCTTTGAAGGACCGCGTCTCAGACCAAGCTTCTATCAACACGATACCTGAATCCCTCGGCCAACCGTACCGCCTCCCCGGTATCGGGCCGTTTGTCGCTTTCGTCATCGACAATATATTTTCGAAGATTTCCTCTCGGGAATATCGGCGTCCTTCTGAAAGATGGCAGATGAATGACCTTTGCTTAGCGTTCATTGAGAGGGTGCTAGCTAGCTATGATATGGAATCTTTGCTTGCGATAGCTGAAGAAGGTTCCTTGAAGGAGAACACTGTCGTACAATATCTTGTTCATCCTGGATACGAGGTTTTGAAACGCATGTTAACCGCTTCGAATCTCCAAACATCAGTGCTTTCATACGTCGTCGAGGGATTGATTGGACTTGAAAAGGGCTTTGCCGAGGAGGAACCATTCTTTGAAAACACTATTACCCGCGTTTTGAGGATTGTGCATCGAGTTCTCGAAATCCAAGATATCTTTTTGGATGTTCTCGTACCCCTCACTTTGGAATTTGATAGCGCACCACTCATTGGCACTATTCATCCTCGCTCTTACTTCATAAAATTCGACCAGGCATTGTCGTTCAGCGCAGACTACGTACCAGCTATTGCTGCTTATGTGGCATACCCTTCCCATTTTGAGATAGTTTTACTGTCGGTCAAGATCATTGATCTTCTTTCAGCTTCAAGCGCGTTCTCCAATCTTGCTGCCCTCATCGCACGCAGTGATGACTCAGATCGTATACTCGGTGGATATCTCCAAATCTTGAGTGTAGAATCGACGGAAGATATTTCCATTGCGGAGGCCACAGCAGAGCAGATCACTGGTGCTGGTTCTCCAGACATCGAAGACATCCCGGTCTCGCTCGAACAAGCAACTAGAACGGCTGTTCTCGACATGCTTATACACAACACCGAACCACGACGCTCTTATCCAAACACAGCGCACTATTTACTTTTTGGAGAAACAAATTTTGAACAAGGAATTCAGGATCCCCACGCATTAGGCTCACGGGACGCTTGCGTTCATGTGCTTCTTCAACTTGTCAATGCCGGAATTCCGACAAACAAAGGAAAACGCCACGACATTTCTGCCACACCTCTGTTCATCACCCTTCCTGCTCTTGCGGAACGCTGCTACCATGTCATTTATCAGCTTTGTGTTCATCCCCGGACTTCTAGCTCAATGATGAGGTATCTACGCACCCGTGAAGATTTCTTTACCCGCCATCTCTCCGCTATCCCCTCCCAGGTCCCACAGATGCTGCAAGAACCCACTATAGAGATCCAATATAAGGATGGCTCACGCGTTATCACCACGGTCCCTACTCTCAGCTCTTTCCTGCGATTAAGGTCTTGGATATTCGACCTCGTGGCTTTGGACCTGCACGTTCTTACCGGCAAAGGTCGATCGCGGAACATCTCTGAGGTCCTCGATATTCTCTTCGGCAATGAATCTGTCTTAGAGGAATCTGCCTCATGGCAAGATGAAGTGTTCAAACCTTTCCATGAAGTTGGGCAGTCACATCTCAAGATCATAGAGTTCGTGCAGTCATTGACATTTGAATGGGGAGATTCACTTGCAACAAAGCCTGTCGATCTTCAATTGTTGGCCGAAGTCAATCTACAGGTCTGCTTGCGCAAGGATGCAGCAGGTTGTGAGATAATTGATCGCTCTGCCCTTCTCATGCTGTTGACTGCTTCTAGACGCGCTCTGTTTGCGCAAAACAAGATCATAACATCGGTACAAGTGCAGCAGCTCGAGGCTGAGACTTCTTATATCTTGGAAAGTTCTGCTATCGAGAACCACCGCCGCCAAGTCGTTCATGCTATCAGCACAGGATTTGAGGCGTGGAGGCGCGTGTTGGACATAACTTTGACTAGATGTTTCGACTATCTTCCACAAGACCACCGCGAAAACATGTTATTCGACATTCTCCATGTTCTCCCTCCAATCATCAAATCCGAAGACATCCACGAATCGACCGCTGTCCTGTTGTCTGAAGTTGTTCTTTCTTCTATCACGAAGCTCTATGAAGACAGGCGTCACCAGATCATATTGCAGTCAGCGGGTGGAGATCCGCACTCTGACCTATTACCTGCTGAACGTCTGTATCTGATTCTACGTAGCATTCTAGAATGCATCATAGGCAGTAATCACATCGAGTTGGTTAGAGGCAATCTCTACGCTGCGCTCATCAACTACGTGAACCTCGTGTCCTCTTCGGAAGACTCGACCTCCAAATCCCAGTCGCTAGCTGTATCGGTGTTTGGTTCCACACGGGAAGCAAGTCCGTTCAGCAGTTCCCTTTCTGTTGTCCCTCATATCCCGCTGTCGCAGAATTCTCAACTTCAAGCCAACAGCTTGGCTTTGCTGAAAACTGGTCTAGAGCGTCTTCTTATAACGATTTCCCGTGATGCAATTGACGGAACTGAGGTTTGGAGAACCGTGGCCTTCATGCTCTTGGATTCATTGATCCAATTGTCAGCGTTGGAAAAACAACACCCTGTGCTGCTTCAGTTGACCCGTCACGGTATCCTATCTAATTTTGTTCAAGGCGTCAAAGAGTCGGACTCACTTTTACAATGCGTTCTGAAGCCAGACCCAGGTAATATCATTTCTCTGTCGCGTTGTTTCAGATCACTCAAGCTATCGCTTTCGCTAGATGATTTGAATCCTCTGTATGTCTATGAGTCAAAAATGTCTTTCTTCATCCGGATGGCGGAAACACGTACGGGCGCCGAACAATTACTTGATGTACGGTTGATCCCTACCCTGGCGCAATGTGACTTTCTGGACTCCAGACCAGAAGCCGATGCATCCTTTGTTGGTATGTTATCCTGCAATTATCCCTTCCTTTTCTATTGAACTAGATCGTCCAACAATCTCTAGATCATGACTCGTTTTTACCCTCTGCAATACAAAGATACCATAATCTCTTCATGCCGAGTCTGCAAATCATTAATGCTATGCTGGCGACTTTGGGTAGCAAACATGCTACGGCGTCTAATCAAGTGCGCATAGAAACCTCTGATTCTCAGATTATGTTGACTATTTCTGAAAGGCCCTGGATTTTGTATCGCGGCACAGTGCAACAATCATCATTCTCCTCAAAAATGAAACGGAGGACTTTTCGCTGGCTCTACTTGAAGAAGTCCATCTACTTGTCACGCTTTGTGCCCAGGTCCTTCCCCTCGTTCCACGGTCAGAACTGGTAACCCTTCCATCGTCGTAATTCTCAATCTCCATCTGACTGATTTCTCTCAGGCTTCCACTCACTCAGGTTTTGGTGCTATCAACGGTGCTATCCTGGCTCTTTCCACAAAATGCCTTGGTAGAGGGACGTGGACGGACGCTATCAAGCCTCAAACCGATAGCGAAATTCTCCGTGCTAGTGTTCTTGCTTCCGGTAGGATTGCAACTTTTTTCCCGTCTATCTGTGTTGAATGCCTTCTAATAGGTTCCAGCTCCGATTCCAACTTTGATATCGAAGTTCGAAGAAAGGAACGACTTCTCCGGAAAGCTTTGATCGCATACGCAGGTGCAACCAGCGAATTTACAGGTATGCACATATTAATACCACGCAGATATCTCTCGGCTTATACATGGTAAAATGACAGAACCCGAAATAAACTTAGTCTTGTCCCCTGTCCATGTGGCATCGCGATACGATGAAAGGAGCTCTCACTTCCTTGGTAAGAATTGCTGCCGATTAACCAGACACCTTGTTGAGACTATCACTAGCTACTATTCCTACAATTGGCGATGCATTGGAGGCAATGAACTCCCTGTGTCAGGACCTCGCAGCAACTCTGAAGCAAATATCGGACATATCTGCGGAATTGAGTGCGAAGGACCTTATCGCAGTGGACAACATAACAGAGGTATAGCATACATGAACTATTATCCCATCCGCGCTCTTGTTCATGAAAGATATCAGATTGTAGGAGACCTTGACCTTAATTTTGTTCAAGACTTGGAGATTGGTCAAAAACGAAACCTCATTTGTCGTCAGCTGGACAGGATGGTTGTAGAGGCGCAAAGGGATGCTAAAATGATAATCAGTACGTCGCATTTTTGTTCAGGCCGTGAGTTGGAGAGCTCAGATGTACCACCAGACACCCTCGAAATGTTACTGCTATTATTATGGAGACATATAATGTATTACGCTGAAGGGGCGCACGTACAAACACCTCAACTCAATGCATCTACGGCGACGGCAATGCGGTTCCTGTCTACCCCCGATCCTGAAGCGTTCCGACAACAAATCGCAAGAAATCTACTGCCTACTCTACAGCGGCTACAAACCCTCTTCACTGTACGTGTTAATATCGTTTTGTCTAATCACGACCCCCTTTTCAAAATGATTACAACAGGACGATACTTTGATTGGGGATGAGTGGCGCGCAAATCGGGCATACGTGGAAATTATGTGTCGCAGGCTGCGGGATAGTACCGGTATGGTCGACCCAGATGAGAACGAGACGTCATGACATTTGTTGTTTGTATTCATGTAACTGATAATCCTGACGATTGCTGCTTGAACTTCACAAATGCAGGACGAAGCATAAATGTTATGATATTACACATACTGTATTCCGCAGTCTATGGGATAGTAGTCATCGAGGAAGCAAATTTCCAGCACCACGAAGCGCGAGCGAGCCACCAAGCCGTAATGTTTGTGTTCCACCAGGAAAGTACGCGAGAACGTACGCTACCAGTGCAACAATCTGGAATGCAGGTCAGGAGTCCGATGGGGAACCGAAAAACTATTGAATTCGCACCTGTACTATCCCACTTATGAGAGACCCGAAGAAAGAGTGGAGCTGGGAAAGAAGAAAGAAGAGCTGTTGAAGGTATGAAAATAGTATGATTGTTTGTAAACGTACGCCCAGAGAGAAATATAACGTTGCTCCAAGACTAGAAAAATAGATGAAAGTAAATGGTAATCGCTCCTTTGATACCAAATGCTTGAGATGATTTATAGGTCCTATGAGGACTGAGAAACTAATCTTGTTTATGAGCGTGTTTTCGGATACAAGAAAAGGTCGGGACTCACCCAATCATGACCAGCAAGCTACCCAAGCTGAACCGAAGAATCAACAACAGTTACATATTTATCATTACTTTTTGTTGAATACCTGAACGATAAAGCGAACTTGGATGGTCTATTGATACATTTTAATAAGTCAATAATCGTATAGATATTAAAATTGCATCTCCTTACCGTAGCATGGTGATAAACGCGACGAAAAAACATACAGCAGCCCCAAGAAGACACGCTCCGAATCCCAATAACCTTGCGTTATCATTGGAAACAATTCTAGACACAATGCACAAATCGACCTGCACCTTTCCCATCTAGATAGCGCCAGCCAAGCCTCGTCTTCATTTGATCTTTCGTTGGACCGAAGTGGGATGTAGTCACCAGCCACAGCGTTGTAAAACCGAGCGAAAGGATTACCAGACTGTCGAGGTTGAGATTGTTGTTGTTGAGAAGGTTGTAAGTCATTCGTAGAGCCTCTGGCCCAGGCAAATTGAGAGAGATTGTTACGGAAATTCTGTTCTGTCGAAGATGTGTTATGAGGAGCCATTTGGAGGTTGTAATTATGGTACGGAGAATCTAAGTTCAAGGAGTTGCATTATTAAATGCCGAAATTGAGCCGATGGCATTCACTGATTCAGTCGACAACGCATTCTGCTCTGGAAATAACCTTCATACATCGTTCTTAATCATGAATTCCCTGCTCTGTCTAGTGTCTAGACCTACTTAGATCAGACTTAGATCTTAATTTCAAGAAGGCGGAATCTATATATTCTATAGATTCCTGGCGAATCGTCCGAGCTGTTATCAAACTTTTCAGATACATTTTTGCACAAAAACTGCCGCTATAAAATTTCGTATCCTAAGGATTTGAGAAGAGAAGTGGGGAACACGAGATCTTAATGGTATGGCTCCGTAATAAAGTCACAGTTAATCTTCCACTTTCAAAAGATCTTATTGATAGAGCACACTTCCCAGCTCCGCACTCCTAACCTCTACACGGTGCTCCCAACGCACGAGGCTTCATAGAACTATGCTGATTGAATTTACATTGTATCGACTATTGTGTAGCGGCATCCAAGTATAGCTGACAGTCTTCGAAATGAGTGTCCCCTGCGCTCTCTGCGCAACAACGATTGGAAAGTGGCTTTTTCAGCTCCCCACCATGACCCCGCATTTGGCTGTCTGCCATGTTCCGCTCCAGTAGGACCACTAGGCACCGACTACGGATGTCTATGTATAATGGAAACCTCCGTCGGGATCCCTGATATTCCCATCCGACCATTTGAAACCCGAACCCCGAACGAGTGCGGAATCAGGACCCAGGCAGCCTCTCGTAGTCAACCCATTGTGTTATGTACAGATACTCGATGCTGATTACCTCCCATATCATCTATCCTAATCTACCATTTTGGAAGACTCCCAAACGCAAAGCACAATCCTGGCGTTACACATGCTTCCAAGCTGCCCAAGCCTAAACGCGATATACAGAATGATACACATCCAGGTGTTCCATGCTGCTTTTCCGCATGCACATCACTACTCTCAAACTCAAGCTTTGCGTAAAACAAATACTTGTGGTGACTGACACAATGGGCTGCTATCTCCTGCTATCGAAAGATCAAGAACACCCGAGAGATATGTGCACATTCCAAAGTTCCAAACAAAAATCAATTCTTTCCTTTATCCACTCCCAGGCGTCGGGGGGGCTTGGATACTGCGGTGAGTCGGGTGGTATGACGCACCTCAACTCGAGCAATCTGATTCGTTTCACTCCACCTTTCGTAGTTCGATGCCTTTTCTAGCATCCCTGGTTCCTGTGTACAAAATAGGACAAACTATTTGACTTTCAGTAGCAGTCGTTAAAGCATTCATGCCGTATGCTCTTAATCCTGACTCGTGCGCCCACTTTCCTCACTTGTGACGAGCTGGAGTCATTCGGATTAATCGGGAGCCACGTCTGTTAGACAAAGATGGTGAAGTTTTACCCTCCACATGCTACTTACAACTACCATTGTAATCTGACACAATTTTCTGGCCGTCACCCACACTTCACCCACCTTATGATGATAATGGAGACAATCGCTCAAAGCGCCACCATCTACGACAGTAGGCGGCGAAAAAAACGCAAACGGGATTTGTCGGAGGGAGTCGGTGGTCTTCTCCTTTGGTTGGACGGTTGAACAATGCTATGCACCGTTGCTAACGATTTTTTGTACAGCCTCATTTTCCTCAAGCGCATCGATCTTTGTCGCCCTGTGGTTCAGGTGGTCCCGGTTATGGATCTCTGAGCGGAGCAAAAAGAAATCGATAAAGTCTAATTCTATAGATTTTTTTTCTTGGAAAACGATAACTTTGTGTCTCGAAGCAGGGGAGCTTTGGAGAGTTTTGGTGGAAAAAAGATTGTTCTTTGCTCTTTGACTTTCATTGAATCATTTTGTAAGTAACTCGACACTTCTTCGATCAAATTTATCGCCATAGCCGATAAACCAAACCCTACATTGTCCTCGTTGGTCCGTGCACAGGTTTAGAGGATATCGGCCCTGTCAATCGGTGCAAACACATCGTTTCTCTTATAACCACCATGTTCATAAAACCATCACTTTAGTTCTCCAGTTTGTTCGTGTATCTACTGTCACAACGCACGTCGCTGGCAGACGCGCTCCCTCACAATTTTTTCAACCAGTTCTTCGCGTCTGAATCATTATGGTATGACTTGCCCAAACCCGCGATATCTTTTTCTAATCTTTTTCTTTCGCGAAGGTCCTATTTAACGAAAAGAAGTATGCTTGGTATGTCCTCATGGTCGCCTATAATGATCTATGTTCATCTGCTAATCGCATCAAAATTCAGCGAAACTTGTATCAAGGGACATCGTTCGAGTGGATGCAAGCACACCGATCGAGCTCTGTACGAGATAAAAAAGAAAGGCCGACCGGTCACTCAATGCGAACAGTGTCGTGAATTACGCAAAACGAAACAAGTCCATGTCAAGTGTATATGCCCTAAGGGAGAAGGAAGTGGCCAAGCCTCCAACAGTAACTTGAAAGGTATACTTCGTCCTGTCCATTTCTCCGCCATCAACCTAACCCTCCCCTGCTTTTCTATATTGCTCCTGCCTACAGGTTTAAACAAAACGTTGCAGAAACCCGCGTTCCCCAACGGTTTGCCTCAAGCGTCAATCGCGGTACAACACCTATCAGAAAGCTCTTCTGATTCGGAATACGGTATGGCTGTAAGTTTATTGCAGTCCAGATCCTTACTGACGCTCCATGGCGTGTGATAGGTTGCTCGTGCAGATCTACAGGAGGTGACTGTCATTGCTCATTATCTCGGAAGGCGTCGAGAAATAGCGTAGAAAGGGATACAAGACAAACCCCACCAACGCTAGCCGAACCATTCACTGTCTTTCCGTCACGTTCTTCCGATTCATTGGGCTCTCTTGACTCTCAATCTTCGACTCGAGGTCGGGTCCCTGACTTCCGGAATGTGGTTACGAAATCATATTGTCATGAAGTATCGCCTGGTAGTGCGCCTCGTCACAACCTGCACCAACACGAGAACACGCTCTACAGTCCTTACGGTAGAGCGTATGATTATGCTCACCCAAATCACCCCGACCTATATCACCCGCATCCGTCCAAGCCACAAGTCTTCAATCGGGATTTCACGCCAGATCAAACCTCTAGGAGATATTCGAATCCTCAATTGAGCTTTGATAATCAATCATCATCCGTTATGCCCACGAACGAGCAATATGGTTTCGGCACGGTGAAAACAGAAGAATGGGATACTTTCCAATTACCTCCATCAGACGTGTCCGTCTGCGGTTCGGACGATCCATGCACATGTCCTACATGTGTTCCTCGTAATCCTAATGGTCAAATTAATTGCGCTCAGCCAGATTGCGGAGTTTGTTATGGTTCTGTATACTCTTCCTCCCAAGCTCCTCCTAACACCGCGTTGTCAATATACAACAACAACGACGAAAACGGCGTAATCGATGCCTGGATTAAACAAGTGTATGATCCCATACCTTCCAACAAGACTCCTTCTTCCCGTCCCATGTACGCTGAACCCCGTCCGATGTTTTATAACGCCAACGGAGCTTACACCCCATATCCTGGACGTATTCGTACAAGCGACGAGCTGTCAAATACATTCGAGGAAACGGAGCTTGTGGATATCAAGCCGTCTTTGAATCCTGGTCTCCTTGGGTACTCTTCTGAGTTTAATCGTTCGGAGTACAATCCCGGCCTCCAATTTGGCAATGTGCCCAATTCGTCGTCTCTAAATTCCAGACTAGGGATGGGTTCGTTGTCAGCAGAGTTTGCTGGTGTCAGTATGAACCGCACTCGGTCAGGATCTACTTCTACTTCGGAAGCTTCTACCTCGGAGTCTGAAGTAAGTGAAAGGAGTGGGCTGAGCAGGGGTGGCGCTCCAGTTTCGATGTACTATCAGCAAGTTGGCACTCGCACTGGCGCTACTGAAAGCGTTTACTCGTCGTATGCCCCTTGCTCATCTCCGGGCTCGTTGCCTGATTCATTCTCTTATTTTTGATTATGTACAATTCCAGTTTTCATATATAAACTTATTTTTTTTCTTTTCCATCTTATATATTTTCTCGAGCTCACTGTCCTTACCGCTAAAAATTGGGTGTCTTTGTCCTGTATATTGCTGTATCATGTTGCACCAATTACTTATATATGTATTATCGCAATGCAAAAAAATCGCAGCACTCAACTACTTTACTATCGTGCAATTGGTCGTTTAACGTTAACTTTCTACTCGATGGGAGAGATTAGTAACGTGCCCATACACTTTCTTTCCTCGCTTTTGCTGCCCATGAGTTTGTTCAAGCTTGATACTAATACTATAATGTGCTCTCTGAACACGCGGTAACATGATATAAATTCATTGCGAGTGTTGTGGATTGGAAGTGCAAACAGGTCGGGATGACATCGCACCTAGTCTCTGAACCACAAATTCCTCGGTGATATCTCGATTGTAGAAGCAATGCAGGTAGATACATTGAAACTATCTAAAAGATAGCTATAAATGGTAGAGATGTTCAGGAGGACTCAGGAGGGAGTGCTAGGGAGTGTAATGATTGCTCCTCATTTGTTTCACTGAATGGTCAAAATAAAAAACGCTCTTCAACTAAATGCAACTTGAACTATGATCAGATCCTTGCGATTCTCTCCAGCTCATTTTTCAATTATGTTATGCAAGTAGTTAGTAGAATAAGTAAACAAGATGTATATATTAAGACGAAACGGGTAGTACCACGATTATCGAATATAAGTATAGAACGAAAAGATTATAGGCGTTGTAGAGTAGCAGCAATGTTAGAATGAAATCAGAAATCGCGCAGCAAAGAAATAACAATGAAAGTCGTGACGAAGCATTTAAACGTACGGCAAGCCAACAGTATTTTCCTGTATGTCAGGCTACTGAGTAGCTCTTACCAAAGTACTTTTTCCAGTAATCATCGACGACCTCGGGAATATCCTCGAACAAAGTCTCGACTGGCTCCCAAGTATCATCCTTTGCAGAGTATCCGTACCAGTGAACATTGCACTCTATTCGGCCTCTGACAACACGATGTGTCACGATCTTTTCCACTGCCCACCGTTTCTGAACGGAAGGCATTCTATTACAGCGTCTCGTGATATTACGCCGGGCATGCGACCAGGCTTGCGGAAGCACGGGAGTCGCAGGATATGGCTCACTTGAAGGTGTCCACTTTCTCCTGAGCTCTGACCTCCCATTCTTATTATCGACAATCCAAGGATGCGCTTTCCGCGCATACTTGTCTACCTCGCAAATCGCATGCTCGATATCAGCCAGCTCCATCGGCAAGCGATTGGGACCAAGACCTGAAAGCTGTAGACCGAGCCTGCGAAAGTGTTGTTGTTGCGTCTCCATCATATATCTGATGACAGCGATACGTATATTTGGGTCGACCTTGGCTGCGTTCTCAATGCTCTTACCGAACATCTTTCCGAGGCCAGAGACGGCGCCAATTCCGGGAACGACAAAATCATTACCAGAGAAATTGATGACGGAAGAGTAAGAGAGGTTGAGCAAGAGCTGATAGGATTTGAAATCTCCCATACTAGGGAACGACGCAATGAATGCGTAGGCTTTTTCCATGCTCTTGAACTTTTGCAGTTTCCCTGCAAAATCGTTATCCATGAGCGTTTCGAGGAGGAGAAGATGATTCTTATATGTCTCCGGGTAATCCCACTTTGGACCGGGGGACTGAAAGGCGCCAGTGTACAAGGTGTGCGTTTGGGCTCTTTCCTCCAAAACATTCATATAACTCTCTTGATTGTAGTCTTTCCAGGTTATTGAGCCGAGTCTTTTCTCCAACCACTGCCATGTTTCTATCTTGGTGAAAATATTGAATAAGACAACTCGGAATACAATTTCAACAGGTTCCTGTGAACCTTTCTGTATCACTTGGGTAATGATGTATTGAGATGTCTTATCCAGCACTCGATACGTGTTGCAAAAGAATTTGGTCTGCATGATCTCATCCTGTGTCCAGCTACATATATCACGAGCTGGATGAGTGCAAGATTTCCAGTCAGTAGATTAAGAAGAAAAAAGCTCACGGAAAAGGCTCTCCAGCTCGACGGCGGTCATCAATGGATTTACGCTCGGCACACCAGCGCCAGAACGTGTCAAAAACAATTGTAGGCGTTAACACATGGCCGTTGACGGTGATGGTTTCGGACTGCGGTGATGATGGATCGCTCATTGATGGCTTGCGACGAGCGCGAATAGGAGCTGGTAAAGATTCGCGGTAGAATTTGCGCGACGACCGGGAGAAACGAGCCTGTTTTACGGGCAACTGGGAGGCACTGTCATCGTCGTCGTCCTCTATTTCAGTCAGTGGCGATAAAGCCGAATTCACAAAGAGCCCCGGAGTTGATGCTTGGGTACTCGGAACGAGTGTACTTTCTTCATCGTCAGATGAAATAATGGGGATATCGGAATGGTCATTGCTCCGGATGGGTGGCATTGTAGGAGAAAGCGAGAAAGACGCGTCTGCCAACGTGAGGGTCAGTGAAGAGCGGTACAAAGACGTTAAAACGTTATACATTATCCAGTGAAGAATAAAAGAAAGGAAAGGCCGTCTTGACGCGTCTTGCACGTCGTTGGCCAAGGCGAAGAACAGCGAATCCTTTGCCACGATTCTCACGAAACCGTATCGATACAATTCTTCTTATGAAGGGTCAATTTTCAAGCTCAGATTCTGTTTCAAAAATCAACATATATTTCCTAGAACGATATCCGAGTATTGAATACCATTCACAAGTTTAAAAACCCTAAAATAACCTCAAAAACCGAACAATCCATGGAAGGAAAGGAAGTTTATCACATACCACTGACATACACCGCTACTGGGTATAGAAATGGAAAGGAATGAGCAGCTATGAGCGCAGCCCCAGCTGAGCTATATCTATCTTCCATCCATCCAAACGAGAAATGGTACAGTCCACCGTCCCCATTCCGCTGATGAATATTTGGAGAATCATTGCACGTAGTATACCGTTGCAATTGTACCAAGCCTTTTGAAGTTCTTTCTCGCTTTCAAAATCTGAATATATAAACCGATTAAAGAGACAAGACCTGACAAGACTATTATTCGGCACCCTTCAAGAGCTGAAAAGCCATACATCTTTTTCTGATCCGGCATCGATATTATAGACGATGCGCATCGCGTGCTAATTCTCTGAGGGTGGTGTCTCTATTAGCGCTTAATGTAATCGATATGCCTCGAGCATTATTAAGGGACATGGTAGTGCTCCCAAAATCCTGGAGTGTCATAAGTGTCCCAACCAAAGAAACGAGATCTTACGATTGGGTACAGGCAAAGGAGGCGACATTCATACCTTGGTCTGTGATTTGGCATTACTCGAAACTGAGAGGAGTGCACGGGCAATCCTCGACGAGATTAAGCAAGATTGTGTCGTTTGGGCTGTTGTTAAGTAACGCAATACTGGTCCGTAGCGAGTTATCATACGTCGATGACCATGATCTGGCCGTTCCTGCTGGTTTAGGCTCTGACGCCTCGGGCCCCCCCTCGACGACGCAGCGAAAAGTTTTATCTAAGCGCCTTCCATAAGCTTCCATAACGAAAAACTTGATTATATCCTTTCTTGCTTCACGCAGAAAGCCTGTCCCGTGGTGGGACGATCGAGATGTACAGCTATACGAGGATGAGATAGAAACCACGCGGACGAGTACTTGATGGCCATGGAGGGCCATGGGAACGACTAGCGGAGAAATCGATCCCTACTGATAACGATGCACATAGGTATTTTGAGGATATTGCAGCCGTTGTGGTTGACCTCTAGAATAGAAGCGACACTAATGGTTGGTTCGACATCCTCAAAGGAGAGATTGCAGTTGGAGAATTTGTCATTGAAGTAGCACGAAAGGGAACAAAATGTATTAAGAGCGAGGATTTAAGGAAGCTGATCGAAGTCTTGTATTACACTAAATAAAAAACGATGATACACAGGAAGTGCACGGTCTCCGAACCGCTGCCATGATAATTCATGAAGGCAGACAATTTTACCCCCACTGGCCCATTCCTGGCATTGATCCACCCATGTTCATCCCTAGGGTATTCATATTGACATTCATCATATTATCGTCCCAAGTATTGTTGTCCATGCCAAGACCTTGTTCTCCCCACCCCATGTTGCCCATTACAGGATTAAACATATTCATCCCATTCATGGAAACATGACCACCTGGCTGAGCATGGAGGCCCATACCACCTATATCAACCAAACTGTTATTTGTCCCCATTCCCATTCCTCCGCCCATATTGCCCATGCCGGAGGTGCTCAGTCCCGGCATATTCCCTATTCCCATATTCCCCATAGTACCTAAATTACCCAAACCTCCCATATTACTCATCCCACCCATCATTCCGGGCCAAGCCCCTATCATTCCCTCCATACTCAACCCATTTCCCATCTCCATCCCAAGTGCATGCATATTTACATTCATTCCCATCCGCCCTCCAGACAGTGGCTGTGATCCCATCAGCTGGTTTTGCCCAGGCGCTGACATAACTCCTGAACCATGGGGATTGAAGACACCTCGATTCCCTCCGCTAATGTTCATCCGTGGGCCCACGGCTGCTGAATTCGACATTCCCATCGTAACTCCGCCCGGTCCCATTGTCCCTCCGACATTGTTTCCGCCGGGACCATTGTGAGGCGTTCCTGCAGCTCCAGGTCGGAACGGTGATTTGGGCCGTAGAGCGTCGATGTCAGCCGTCATAGGAACGACAGGTTTCCCTCCGTTCACCATTTCCTTAATTCGAGTTTCCCAGATCTCGCGTACCCATTTTGTGGCCTCTCCTCCCTCAGAGTCGTCTACGAACACGGTCTCACCGACGCCATGGGTCCTGTGAAGTTGGTCTTCTTCAACCTGCCCCAGAACGGTAACCCAGCCACGTCTGATGGAAGAGGAAGCTCTACCGAAGATTTCGAGTCTGCGAATCCCGAGGCAGAAGTTTTCGATTAGAGTGTACATCTCAGGAGGTTTACGCGTGGGATCGCATGGATCACCCTCCCAAATAATCACGTCGGTATCTAGTACCGGTAGGAAGAATGGAAATAAGGAACCAGTACCACGGACTAGATAAGAAGTAAGGGGATGGAAATCCAAGCTCACCAACGTTGCAGTGAACGAACCAGCTATCAGTTGAACGTCGGACTGTACCACGGATGCCAATGAGACAATGTTGTTTTGTTCGTGTTAACAGAGACGTAGTAGGCGGGTCAGTCTGCATGTAAAATTCAGCTTCAGAAATTTGAAAGTTGAAGGGAGAGAACCCATACACCCGGTCCTTTATTACTCGTGAGATTCGTTTTGACCCATACCACATCCTCACATCTCCGATAACCCCACTTTGCAAGGACTTCTCGTCCTCGTTCTAAACCTCCGCCCGCACCGCTTCCGACCCAAAGGAAGACAAAACTCGGGTCAGCCGCAAGTGCAGGTATAGGAAGTTCCTGTAGGTGATCCCAGGTAAAGGAGGATGAAAACGGTGGGTCGAGTAGAATGACGTCGAATTTGCTAGGAGTCAAGCTATTCAGTTCAGAGAAAGCTAGATACGAAGGAGGTAATGAGTAGTTGGCAACGGAGGCTTTCTTGAGATTTAATAGCCGCTGTTGCTTTGGATATCTAAAGTATTAATGAGGTTTCCATGTGGTAAGTGATATTTGGGCCGTAGAACCTTACTCCTCGAAACGATGTTCTGGGTCGGCACCTAAGACCCAGTTTTGTGGCCATTCACCACCATCGACATAACGCTGAGAGTAATCATTACGGATAGTCTCTTCCTCCGGAACGTAGTTCTTGTACCGCGCAACCCGGGCACGTTTAGCTGGAGGCAAGTCAAGTCTCAATGGCAGTGCATTATTGTAAGACTGAATTGGAGAATTCTCTGTGGGAGAGGAAGAAGAAGAAGGAGAAGGCAGAGGAGACCGAATAGTAGGAAGTCGAATAAGCTCGAGACTTGGGGGAGGCTGGATTGACTGCAATTTCCGGCGATGATTTTGCTGAGATTGTCGAACCCTGGAGACGAGGGCGGAGTGCGCAGCGAGTAAGTCGTTGGCAGAACTAATGGCTTCAGTCGTGCTATGCGAAAATTCACCCATGGGGTTTCCGGAATCGAATGAAAAGCACTAGTAAAGGGCAGATACGAGCTTATATATCACTATTGGATTCGCGAAAGTGCAAGTAGAGGTGCAAGTTCGCGTGTTGGTGTGCCGGCCCGTTCTTCCGTTGAATCGAAACCTTTTCCTCCGAATCCCACTGCCAATTATTCATCTTCCTGCTTCCCTTTTCTACGTCAAGTTCTGTGATGGGCAAAGCAACGAAATCTACGAAAAAATTTGTGTCGAGTGGAAAGTTGAAGAAAACTATCGAATTGAGGAAAAAACAGCAACAGGTCCGCAAAAAATATCAAAATCGACGAGGCGCGAAATCTGGTGGAAGGTCTACCGCTCCAGAGGCCCCAGACAATTCTGATGAGGAACAGGATGTACCTCAGGAATCTCAACGAAGGTCTGTCTCATATACATTTATATGTCAGAGGTCCTGGTTTTAAACGAGTTTTAGTTCCAAAAAAGGAATGTCAGTAGACGATGTCCTAGGCGCTGCATTCATAGACGACAGTGATAATGACAGCGGACAAGAAGAGGTACCTGTAGACGACATTGAGGCTGCCCTATCATTAGCTCAATGGCAATTCATAGGAGTTAGATGAAGATGAAGGGGAAGGTTCCCAAGATGAGGACTTTGAAGACGATGCTTCCTTCGGTTCTGTAGATGAATTAGAAGGCATGTCAACGCGCAATTTCTCTAAGCTACATTGCACTAACTATCGCATTAAGTAGAAGAAGGCCAAAATCATCTGATAGAGCTATCACAACTAGCGGAAAGGGATCCCGAGTTTTACCAATATCTGCAAGAGAACGACAAAGAATTGTTAGAGTTTGATCCTGATAATGCCCATGAAGTAGAGGATGATGCTGTCCTGGAAGATGAAGATGTAGAGATGGCCAAGGAGCAATCCCCTGCGCTGACCATTAAAATATTGAGAAATTGGCAGAAAGCGATTTTGGAGGTATGTACATGTCCCCTTGTTTCTTTGTTTTTGCTGGTTCTCAACCTCCCATCAAGCAACGCTCGTTGAGGGCATTGCGCAAGCTTCTGGTTGCTTTCCGTTCTGCAGCTCACATGAACGAAGATAGTCAGGTTCTAGCGTGGACCATTGATAATTCTTCAGGTATGCACTCCCGTCATTATTTATTCTGTATTCAATGACCTTGACATTAATTAGTGTACAACAAGCTAATCACCACCACACTTCGATACACGTCCGTCGTCCTTGAGCATCACATACCCTACAAAAACCTGCCAAACGGTAAATTGTATGATCTCAGTTTCCATACCTGCCGTGCTTTCTTGATATTGTTATAGTAAACCCCCCACTCAGACAGCCAAATTCAAAACCCTGCAGAAGATGATACTGTCATATTTCCATAATGTCATATACGTATTATCGCAATTGACCGACAACGAATTACTTCAACTGGCGGTGACAGAAAGTGCGAAGATCATTCCTTACATCGTTAGCAATCGTAAGGCCGTCAAACTCTACCTCAAGGTACTCGTTCCTGTGGCTTTTAGCATGCGCAACCTTTTCTGATGAAGATATTCTGTAGAAATGTCTGGAAATATGGTCGAGTGCGAATGACAGCATAAGAATAGCTTCCTTTGTTGCCATTCGAAAACTAGCTGCCGCTACCGACCAGTCGATATTAGACCACGTCCTCAAGGCAAGTTTTTCCAGTAATTCGTAGATCTTCATATTGATAGGACATCAGGGTACATACCTTACCTTGGTTCGGTCGTCGAAATCCACCACTGCGTATAACCTACCCTCAATCAATCTGATGAAGAATTCCGCCTCGGAGATATACTGCCTCGACCAGGCGATGGCGTACCAGCATGCTTTCGGTTACATTCGACAGCTCGCTATTCACTTGCGAAATAGCATGAAAGTGAAATCCAAGGTGAGATATATTCATCGCCGCGGCGATTTTTGATCACGAATCGATAAACTCTTCGTTTGATTTCAGGAAGCCTACAAGCAAGTGTACAACTGGCAATTTATCCATTCTCTCGATTTCTGGAGTATCGTTCTCGCTAGAGCGTGTGATTCTGAACTGGAATTGGCTAACGGAGCACCGAGTGAATTGAAGCCGTTGATATATCCTCTGGTTCAAGTCAGTCTGGGAGTTATCAAGTACGTTGTCGCGGTGTTTTACGATAGACTGGTATCCCGTTATCTGATCTTCACAAATTACCAGACTCATTTCGAACAGCCGTTCCTATCCGTTCCACCTTCATGTCATACGCTCGTTGCTCCATCTGACCCGGCACACCCAAATTTACATCCCGATTGCCCCTTATATCCTTCCTATCCTCACATCGACCCTTTCTTCGTCTTCTCGCCCGAAATCCTCAACACTGAAATCCCTTGACCTCGATCTTCAAATCCGTACACCGCAACAGTACCTAAAAACTCGTGTTTACGTGGAAGGTCTCATTGAAGAAGTAACGTATCTTTCAGCCGAATGGCTCTCCACAAAAGCTGTTCATGGCAGCATTGCTTTCCCAGAGATTGTCGTACCGGTCTTGGTTGTCTTGAAAAAGGCAATTAAGACTGCTAAAAGTAATGGTTCTCGTAAAGATTCTGCCTCAATCAAAACGCTTGTAGAGCGTATTGAGGATAGTGTGAGGTGGTCCGATCAAAGGAGAAAGGAGGTCAAACTTGCTCCGAATATGATATCGGCGGTGGAGGTTTGGGAGAGGGAACTGAAGGCAAAGGTGGACGAGTCTCCTTTGGGTAAATATGTCAAGGTGCAGCAAAAGACAAAAGAGAAGCAGCGCAAGCTGATCCAAAAGGTGATTTATCTTGTTCATCCGGATTGCGCGATAATTCTCATCGCTGTTTATTAGGCACGCGAAGACAGAAGCGAAATCCTAGAATAGGATCGAAATCCAAGCTCGATTACTGAGATGTTATAAAATTCGTATATTACCAGAGCAGAGACAATTTGTCATTATGATCGACACGACATAACCTTTCTTCCTTTGGTTGTCATCACGATGAGGGAGTTGTGTACTCCACTATGTACGGACACCATTTGTATAGTAATACGTACCGGTACTAGTAACTACTACCAGAATCTCGACGGATTCTGCCGAAATGTTCTGGATACATACCGGGATTTAGTAGCATCACCAAGACTGTGGAACGACCTTGCGACATTTAATCCATGAGGGACCAGACCCGGATGTTCATGAAGGCGAGCTTTATTTTCCATGAGTACACGGCATTTCTGTTCGCGATAAGTCGACGATACATACCGGGTTCAAGCATAGGAGCTTTGAGTCCCCAATCACCATATGCCAAAAAAGACTTTCCACCAAGGTCTACCAATACCTTGCGCACTTTTGTGTAAACCCTCCACGAGACGATCATAATGCATGGGATAAGAAACCGGCTTCGAAATCTCTTTTGCAAGAGGAAACTAGATCCAGTAAAAAGATCCCAGGTGAATAGCCAGCTTAATTTTCGCGGGAGAAGCCTACTTGTTTTTTGGCTTGTCCGTTTTTCAATGCTTGGGCAGCTTGCACGGCCTCAGGTGTGAGTTTTGGATGTTTCGAAAGCGACTGCAAAAACGTCGGAAGGAGAAGGTGTGGACGAAACGGGTCTTTGGGCCATTGAGCAGCTACAGAGGATAGCTGTTGACTCAACTTTGTCGCGCCTTTGGTCGCCATCTAAGTACGGCCGTTAGTGAACGTTTGAAAGAGAGCCGGTAATTTGAGCGCTTAACTCCGATAAAGCGCTAACACGTGCCCTTTCGCGCTTGCATATGTCATTGTGAGCAACCTGCTCTCCTGCTCAATCTCATCTATCGGAAATCCGCAAGTTGCCATTGTCAAGAAAAATTAGGCTTTGACTAAGAATACCAAATTAGGTTAATATATTTTCCGTATAGTAATCCCAAGGTTCATCCCATACGTACGCAACTCGAGTATAAACCAACTTGTTCAACAGTTAATGCATATGCCAAATCATTCAATCTCTTTTTAAGGTTATAGTATGGAACACAAATTGATATCGATACCCTAGTATCTCATCCTTCGAGGCTCGTGTACTTGCCCTGGATCCTGCGCTCTAGATGGCGGGATACACAATTGCCCGCGTGCATCTCCAAGACTCCAACCTTGTTCCAATTTCAAATCCCAGCCTCATGTACACTGTACACTGTCAAATCAACTCATCGGTATTGTTCCTTCCATGACCATCCAGGCTTTTCTGGGTCTGGTTTCTTCACATGCCTTTATCCACGGAACTTAAGCTACTAACACGCAAGAACGCGTTGCTTTCAAGTCAAGATATGTACCTCTTGGACTAATTACTGAATGTCTCAAGTTCTTTCGATACAGATCAATCGTTGTATGGTGAGTACGAGATGAGGTAATTTCACACTGCGCTAGAGGAAAACATTCCCTTTCAGGTGAACTCGAGTTGAATTGGTATGAGTATTTCGACGTTGATAAATGAGTTTCATTAACGAACTTACAGAAGATAATTCCGCCTGAGAGGGAACTGAATAAATGGCGGTGTGAATTTGTGGCTTCAATTTGGCGTTTTTGCTTGACTTTTGCCAGTAGGTACGAATATGGTGGAGTATGTGTATCTTATTTGGACTACAAGTCTGATACATGGATTGATACTCGACTTTCAGTGATTGAAGGCGGGGGTCAGTCTCGATGCAGATGCAGAAGGTACACTATTTCGGGCGAGAATATTTCAGATGTCCCAGGATGTCCCCAAATCAGAGATGTCGGCATCAAAAATCTCGGTGAGGCACCGGAGTAAGTAGGACAAGGGATTCAACCTATTTGGGCTCTTTTGGGCAGGATTTGAGCCGCTAACGACACTAGGTTTAGGGTTAAGTACAAGTGGTCACGAAACGAAATATATATAGTATGAGTAGCAGGGAGATGCGAGTCTTGAAAGTGATCTTATTCCTATTCAAGTTGTTCAATGCCCCCATCGTGCTATGATGACAAAGACGATTATGGTCGGGATAGAGATTTACAAGAAAAACGTAGTAGTATTATCGGGTACTTAGTATCACTTTGACTTGTCAGTTTTGGCAGTCAGCGGATAGATCGGTGTATATAGGCATGCCCTGGTGGCAGTGTCGCCGCTACAACTTGGCGCTTGTACGAAAACCCTGCATTAACGTTCACTGTTCTCTACGTTCTCGACTACAATGAGTTGTTGTGGGGAACCAAAGAACTCTAACGATGAAAGGCAGACCAAAGCCGTTGTCGGGAACCAGATTATCAGCCAGCAACCCGGGCCGATGGCCGGTTTGTCGGAGAAGCCTGGAGCAGCTGTTTTTCAATCGCCTTCACCTCCTCCTGCAGTTTATTCCAATCAGTATGGTCAAAATGCACAGCAACCCTCATGGTCATTTAACTCTCCTTCTCCCCCACCGATGAATCAGTTTGGAACTCCTCCACCCGGCTCACCTCCACCTAATGGCTCATTCTCACACAACAGTCGCGTCGGAGACTCAATTGCAAGGCCTTCTTCCTCGTTCCAGGCTGGACATGGAGTTGGCGGAGGAACTATGTCAATATCAATGTCTCCTCCGCTCATGGCGCCCGTGCAAATCCGGTCAGACAGCGGCATTAATGTTGTAGGTGCAGACGAAGGGAAGATGTCAATTTCCATTGATTTTGGTGTGTCTTTTCTTCTATCCTTCAATGAACGCCTCTAACTTGCAATATAGGAACAACATTCTCTGGAGTGGTCGGTCACCTGAATAGATGTTGTACTGTGGTAACTTGATTATAGACTTTTACAGGCTTACGGCTCGTCAAGGATTTCTGGTGGACAGATTCAACAGATACTCACCTGGCCTGGTTCAGTGGAAACATATAGAAAAGTGTGTAAAAGCACTGCTTTTCATTATATTTTGCTTGAACCTTGCATGTAGATCCCAACTTGTTTGCTGTATGATGAAGGAGGTTGATCTTTTATCTTCATTCACAAAAACTTGACTGAACTCTTTCTAGGCCAGATTCTTGCTTGGGGACTTGAAGCAAAACATACAGCTTTACCCAACACCTACGTGAGATTACTTCCACTAATGTCAATCCTTCTTCTATCTCTCTTATTATGTTATAGCGTTGCGAATGGTTTAAACTCTTTCTGGAACCTCGAGCACTTCGTGATGATTCGGCAATCGATCCTCGTCTTCCCCAACTGCCGGTAAGTTTTGTACATTGAACTCCCGAATGCTTTACTTATCAAGTTTCTTTGTGTGTTAGCCTGGAAAACGTGCTTTCGACCTCATTGTCGATTTCTTAAGCTGTCTTTGGGAATACGCGAAAGAGCAAATCACTCGAGAAATCGGTGCTGTCGCAGATCTGGGTAAACAAATAATGCACATAATTGATATCTCATACTTACAGTCTCATACCAGCTTCTGCTGACGTTTGGTTGACTGTCCCCGCGGCCTGGGATGCTAAGGGTTGTGACCTAATGAGAGAAGCTGCTATTCATGCTGGACTCGTTCATAGCTCAAGAGCAGGCGACACGCAATGGCGAAACCGGCTTCATATCATCACCGAGCCCGAAGCTGCCGCTGTTCATTGCGCTCATCTTACAGATCTTCACCATCTACAACCCTCACAGAATTTCGTTGTTTGTGATGCTGGCGGCGGAACCGTCGATCTTGCTGTCTACAAGGTGTGTTTTTTTGTTCGTTTTTAAACAAATCCTCATCATTATATCCCCTTTCAAAAGATTATTGGACAAATGGAGAATTTGGAAATCGCAGAAATCGCAGCCCGCTCGGGGTCTAACACCGGAAGTCTCTTCTTGGACCTAAGATTTCGCGAGCTGGTAAAAACAGTACGCTTCTATGTGCACATATATTGTGTGGTGCACCTTTGATTTATTTCATAGCTTTTGGCTGATCATCCAGCGCATCTTGATCCTGCGTCACTAGCATATTTTAGTCAGTAGCCGCCACATTCGTTCTATCACTCAACATGAGCACTGACATGGGAATTGGCACTACCAAGTGCATTCGTTCAGTGAAACGGAAAAGTTAGATTACGCCGGTACCCAAGATGACGGTGAGTCGTGTGGTTCGAGGATGAGCTATTATGGAAGAAGTTGACCTCATGCGGATAAATCGGATTCAGACAACATGTTCCATTTCACCTGTTTTAATGTTGAGGACCCAGACGATCCGACGGTTGGATTAATGGATGGGCAATTGTCTATCCCCGGTGCATTAATGCGACGCGAAGTGTCAGTATGTCGGGCACAATGTTGTTTTCCGCAAAACTAACATTTTGAGTAGATTTGATCCGGTCGTAGAGCAGGCTAGTGGAAATTTTTTGCTCAGTTGTGTCTAGTTTTTCTCAAGTCATGACATTGCATTCAACAGGTAGTTGTCTTGATTGAGGACCAACTTTCAAAGGTCGATCAAAGGGTTGATGCCCTCCTTCTTGTGGGCGGCTTCGCCGGGAGTGAATATCTCAAGCAACGCGTCGAGGTGCGTATGAGTCAACCCAGACTGTCATCCTGCTTCATATCCTCTTATCTAGGAGCAATTCGGGTCTCGAATTCGGGTCATCGCGCGGCCTGCTGATGCCGATACTGCAACTCTACGTGGCGCTGCGAGATATGGATTGGCCCGACGCCCATTAGTTGCTAGTGTCATTGCTCCTCGCTCGTATATAATGAAGGCGAGAAGGCATTATGTTATAATCATGGTCTATCTTCATACTCACTTCTACCCGATTCAGGTCAAGCTTCCAGCCGAACAAGAAGATTGGCACAAGCGTCCTGCTTACATTCGAAACAACGATGCAGGTTATCCCATCTGTGAAAACAGGCGTGTATATTCCTGCTTCCCTCTTTCAAGAGATGTTCTATAATGTTGTTATCTAGATTGCAGTATCTTGTACAAAAAGGTGCGATAATTAGGAAGGGGTGAGTATTATAATAGCGAACCTCAGTGAAAACCATAACTGAACTTTATATAGGCAAAGGCTAACCACGAAATTCTGGTATGCATCAATATAATACAATTAAAGCCTGGATGTTTGGGATTCATATTAATCGCTTTCTAGTAAATTTTCGCAGTCGGTCCAAGGTCTGTAATCAATTCCCTCTGACTACTTCCCCTCTAACCCCTATACAATAGATTCATCTTTCGTAGCAGTCTTGTACACTAGCGAATCAGATAAAATAATGAGGTACAATGACGAAGGAGAAACAACCGAATTGTGTAAATGGACGGTTGATCTTTCTTCGCTTCCGGCCTTTCAGCAGAATGCATTAATGGGCCAATCGAGTGGATTCTATACCGGTGAGGAAAGTCTAAGCCCAAGCCTGGTTTTACACTCAATGCTCCTGACCCAGAATTCGAAATTGGCTTGGAATTGGATAGTGCTGAAGTGCGAGGGATTCTTTTGTATAACAATCAGGAATGGGGCCGGTCAGTACTTTCTTCCATATTGTTAAACCAAGCTGAACACCATCTTCAGAGTCACTTTTGATTTCTTAAATTGACATTGTTAGCTGTTTGACTTACTACGAATTGCTATATCGTATATCGCCTTCCTCGTTTTCTACAAAGGCCAGAGTGAATATTGAGTGGTACTATAACCGGACCGGTACTCTACGGTGACGTGCTACTTCTCTATGGAACGCATGTGAGTTACCGTTCCCAAGTCTTTCCGTTTTGTACCTTGAGTGCGATTTGGGCTCAATCCGTCCTCTTAGCTCTCGTCATCAACTCGGAATCACACGTTCCTTCAGGTTCCTTCCCGTACCAGGAAGTGAAGGATTTTTATTCGGCTGTTAACACGTTCGGCTTACTAAGCTTGAATCCGGACATTCCCGTAATATTACCCCTGATTTATCGGAGCAACGCGTGCTGGCTTAAAATGGAAATCGATCGAAGATGCGAGTCATCAAGATGCAAAAAAACATTTTCGTATATAAGGTCGACCGTAAAAATGGTTAGTGGACGCTTGATACCATGTCCTCTCGGGTCAAAGTTGACCTTCATGATATCCCCCTCCACAAACTCTATGAGATTCTTCTCCCTGTGACTGCTCCGTCTAATGCCGTCTTTTCCAACTGGGCAGAAACTTTCATTTGCACCCCTCTAGCTATCTTCGAGCCGCGTAATGAGTACCATTGTGAACTCATCTTAGAATTGGCTAGGCGGGAAGGGAAGGTTGTTCGTGTGGCTGGAGTGGGACACAGTCCTTCGGACCTAGCATGTACGAACGAGTTCATGTTGCGTACAACCCACCTGAATCGCGTTTTAACGGTAAATGTGTGCCATATTTAACCGGCTAAGATGTCGCTGAAGCTGTGTATCAGGTCGACAAGCAGAAAAGACGCGTCGTTGTTCAAGGAGGAATCACTCTACATCAACTTCATGCTTCACTTGCTCAACACGGTCTTGCAATGATCAATCTTGGTTCCATCTCCGATCAGACGCTGGCCGGAATCGTCACTACAGCGTCGCACGGAACCGGCATTGATTATGGCGTTATGTCTACTCAAGTTATTTCTATGATTGTACTACTCGCCGACGGGTCTCGCGTCTACTGTTCGCGCAACGAGCAGCCGGATTTATTTCTAGCCACTGTGTGCGGTCTGGGAAGCACAGGACTAATTTTAAACATCGAACTAGCGGTCGAATCTAGTTTCCATCTGAAAGAGGTTCTCGAATCTCGGTCTTTTGAAGACACACTTTCAAACTTGAAACAGCTCGTACACTCCTCGGAACATACACGATTTTTCTGGTTCCCAGCCACTGATATGATGCGCGTCAGCATGTCGAATCGTACGCACGAGGTATGCTCGCAATCATTAGCTATTTAACGTTGATTTACTTCTGATATTGTAGACCAAACGACCCGGTGGCAGTTGGTTCTATGATTCATTCATGGGATATCATCTTGTGCAATTGTTACTGTTTCTGGGCATATTTTTTCGAACTTGCAATACTTGGGCTGGTTTGCTTGCCTCTTGGCTTGTCAGCAGCGCGTCCTCCAGAGTAGATGACAGTTACCGCGTTTTCAATGTGGAATGCAGGGTAAGCGTTGGCCTTGAGACTGCTAATGAATATCCTTTTGACACCACATTAGTACCTTCAGCACACTACAGAATGGGCTATTCCATATGAGAACGTAGAACCGTGCCTTCGCAGACTACGCAAGTATTTTCATGAGATACTTGTTGATCCTCGGGAACGCCCTCATTTCCCTATTGAAATTCGGTTTTCTGCTCCGGACGATATTTGGCTCAGTCCGAGTTACAATCAGCAGACATGTTGGATTGGCATTGTACAGTATAAGTGAGTAGTCACTCAGTATTGTCTGCGTGTCCCTCAATACTCTTCAGGCCGTACGGCTTCAATATTCCTTACAGAAAGTTGTTCGAAGGGTTTGAGAATATACTATCAGTCTATCAAGGTCGCCCTCATTGGGCGAAAGCTCACAAAATTGGTCCGCAGGAGTTTCGAACTTTATATCCCCACTTCGAAGATTTCTTGCAAGTGCTACAGAAAGTGGATCCGAAGGGATTGTTTCGTAACGAGTACATGCAACGCCATTTCTTCGGACTACCTGTAGATGGACGATTGTTCAAGCAACGAAAGTAGAACTTTTATCTCATGTGTAGTAATGTCCGTAATATTGTATGCTCGATAATATCAATACATAGAAGACGTATCTCGCATTCTAATGATCAAGTTCATTGCTTTTTATTTGACCTTCTTAATTGACACAATTATTTCGAACTGACTTTAGATTCCCAGTTGTTCCTTGATAGACTCCCGTACTAGTCTCTCATACTCTTGCTGATTATCTCTATATAATTTGCAGCAGTCGATATTGGCACCACTTTCAAGATTGGGCTCTGACGTTTGAAACGATCAGCTTGAAGAACTTGAATCGACGGCATTATGCTCACCTGCTAACATGGAGATGACACTGAGAATAACTTTCTCAACACTTTGTACTGGGCTCCATCGTTCGGAAGCTTGCTCGTACATCGTGGGGTCGTCTCCTGGAGTGTGCAATATCGATATGCAAACGTTACCATCCGGATAGACTTGGAAATGCAAAAGATCAACAACAGATCGGTTCTGGAAAAATGATGAAAACGGCATCTCACTGTTAGGATGGAATAGAGGGGGCTCAAACTTCATTTTGAACGGTGAAAGTGGGTAATCGGACGGCTATTAAGGACATGTCAGATACCTGTTGAGTGCAAGAGTCGAGATTGAGAACTCGCAAATGTTAATTTCGCAGAAAACACGCCACCTTCCTATGAATTTGAGCAAGTGTTAGCTATGTTGCTGGAGTTTACAGATGTCACTTACAAATGGTGTGTCCTTGGGTCCGCAGATTAATGCCTCCCATGTGAAGAAATCAGATTCGGAGATGGGTCCTAGGGAAAAGCGCTCGATCTTCGGACCATATCATTACTCAAGATGTGTTCGCACCTGCAGTGAACATTCCATCTGGAGAACCTGCAAAGGGGTAATGAGAATGGCACTATTGAAATGTTTCTCTCCAGGCATTCGGCCAACCTCCTGATGTGAGTTGTTTATATTCAGTCATGAGGCGTCGTAAAGCAGTGGCATTACTTGTTCCACGCGAATTCATGTCAGAGTTTGTAGATGAGGAAGTGACTGTTCCAGTTGAAGCAGAATAGTACACGTCATTATCCAGACAAGGCCGAAAAATCCCCGAAACTCCGAAAAGCGCTAATCGGTTTCGGGCGTTCAACTTTCGAGATGGACCTAGTACAATCCGAGTACAAGATGATTATAGATACAGTGAATCTAACAAGTACAGAAAGTCAAGTAATATCAGGCATCATCCAATATCAGTCGAGGAACCACATTCATGGCCATCAACTATGAATTTGAGGTTAGCACTGGGCACCGAAGAAAGAAAGATAGCAGAAATACCTCTTGGAAGAGTAATTTTGCCGCATAAGGAATAGTTAGCTGTGCCATCTTTTTTGAGCTTTTGCAGTAGGTACACCATCCGTTGTACCCCATCAAACCACATTCCTGGCAGGCGTTAACTTCAAATTTGTCAGAAGATATCATAAGGCGCTCCAAAAGTAGTTGCGTGGCCCCGTAACCGATCAGGCAGTCTCGTTCCATTTCTCCCAGCCGAAGGCCACCTTCCCGAGATCGCCCTTCAGTTGGTTGTCGCGTAAGCGTCGCCCGAGGCCCCCTGGAAAGCTTGATCGGCGTATTAATTGAACGAGAGGAATAATATCGTACCTTGCACGAGCATGCATCTTGTCCATTACCATATGTTCTAAGGTTTGATTAGCTGCCAACGCATCATCATCCCGAAATATTCCAACTTACTAAGTTTCTATCGGTAGGCAGTGAATAAACCCATTAAACTGACTGTGTAATGCGTAAGTCTCACCTGATAATATATAGGCCCGAAGTACACATATGCCTCCAACGGTTCGCCGGTGATACCGCTGGTGAGCATATCTTTTCCGGAATAACTGAAGCCATTTTCTATAAGAATACGACTCATGTCTTCTACCTGTATCAAGGAATTTCAGTGAGAGGCAAGAGTGAACGCGGTGATTCCCCACTTTTGATCCACCGAAAGCAGTACCGTATTGCAGCTTGCCGTTCAGAACTCCCGCCTTGTTCACGTAGTATGAGTATCGAAATCTCAGAGAAAAAATGACCACCCAAACCTTTCCAGCGAGCAACTCGATCATCTTTCCCACTGTCATGCGAGATGGAAATCCGTGAGGGTTCATGATGGTATCTGTTTCGCAACAATAGTACTGCGTCATCATAGAATATGCAAGATATTTGGGCTTACCTGGGTTGATGCCTTGATCATTGAAGGGCATATCTTCCTGATTAACAATGAGACCACAAACGCCTTTTTGTCCGTGTCGAGAGGAGAACTTATCGCCCAGCTCCGGTCTCCGTGTTTGACGGATGAGGACCTTGATCAATGTCTGGTCGTTGTCCGTGTCACTGATCATAACTTTGTCAATATTGCCTGCGACGGGAGACTTGTAAGTCATGGGGGTATTTTTGTAGGGCACAGTGGCAGCTTGTCCGGTAAAACTATTATCGTTTGCGTTAGTTGGAGATTGCTTGTTGATATAGACGTCGCCCGGGTCGACCCTCTCCCCAACTCCTGCAAGGCCATCTTCTTGAATGATATCATATTTTTTGGCCTTTGAACCGTTCTCATCGAACGGAGCATCCGCTAACCGGTCAAATCTATCGTTCGATATCGTTCGACTGAGGATGTGCAATTCAAAGAAGAGGAAAGAGTTTCGCTTACGTGCCATTAGGATATTTCCGGATTAATGTTGCGTTCTTCCTTAAAACCTGGCAGCGTCCGTATCCACGATCGAGAGACGCCTGTGATATGATTTAGCAGTTTCTTATGAGAGTCGGGGGAAAAATTAGAAACCTTATTCAAGATCAGTGCATCCTCAATATCATAGCCAGAATAACTCATAACAGCGACCGTGGCGTTCTGTCCAGCCGGAAGACGATCATATCCGACCAACTCTATCGATCTGGTTTTAACCATGGGCTGCTGAGGATAAACGGACAGATAGAGCAATGTGTCGATGCGATTTAGTTGATTGTAACCGATAGCGCCAATCGCTTGTTTGCCCATAGCGCACTGGTAAGTGTTCCGGGGAGACTGATTATGGTGAGGATAAGGAATGAGCCCTGCCACAGCGCCAAGTAAGGTGAAAGGTTCGATTTCTAAGTGTGTCGTGGTCGCAACAATGTCAGATTCATACAGTGCGATGTATGCGTCGTTTTCTTCGTTTACATCGAGGTACTCTACGATTCCTTTCCGTAGAAAGTCATCAAACACGAATTGACCTTGCTTCAGTTGCTAAAACGTTTATCGCCACTCAGCAATTCAAAACCACATCAAATAGGAATCAAATACCAATATGTGTTCAGATGTCACCCGTGGACGCCCCTTGTCAACAATGATTATCGGACGACATATACGCCCCCCGTCACTAGCAATATGGACTGCCTGGTGATGATGATTGATATAAATACTCACAAACTCACTGATTCGCCTGGCGCGCCTCAGTTTACGAAACTGCTGCACAAAGCGCTTGGGATATTTTGTGAGTCCAATGATGGTGCCATTCACATTGACGATAAAGGTGTTACGTCTGTATATCTCGGCGCCTGTTGAAAGACTGATATCTGAATTGAGAAGTTGGGTGATCTATCTTTCCGAGGACATCGAAGGAATACTCACCTTCAACCCCAAGCATATAGGCTATACGAATGATGGGCTCTTCTTCCACATCCGTGGTGATATGCGTCATCAAGGCGAGATTCTTCACAAGACCGCAGGCTTCGCCTTCAGGAGTGTCACTTGGACATAACATTCCCCACTGACTTGGTTGCAGTGCTCGAGGTCCACTGACCTTTCGAGTTTTCTCAAATTGCGAAGAAATTCGGGTCATCATCCCCAATGCAGAGATGAAGCTGAGTCGGCTCAAGACGTGTGTGACTCCCGCGCGCTCCATCTTGAATCGTTTCAGCGACCAATTTCCAGTGGAAATTGCGCGAACAAAGCCGGACGTGATATGATCTCCTTGAAATTGCATGGTGTGCCACGCGTCGTATTCATTTACTCGAGAAGGTTTTTTCAGTGTTTTATCGATGGCTGTCTTGAGATTGGAGTTGTACGTTTTGAAAAGGTCCTCGAATAGCAAAGCAAGAAGCTGACCTGCTCTAAAGGTACACAGTGGCACGAGTGAGTTCTAGGAATAGCTGTGAGGGACACCAAAGACTCACAGCTCGAGACGTTTATTTCCGACATAGTCCCTGTCGTCTACCATCTTTTCATCGTTCATTGCCATAAGAACACGCCGGGTCATGGTCGCAACGAAAATTGCTTTCGAGCGGAAGTCAAGACCATTGACAGGCACATGGGCAAGCACGATTGTCGCCAAAGCTTCCAAGGCTTCTTCCCAAGCAGGTCTCCTGGGACCCATCACCCTCCTATTGACCTTGACGCGCGATCCAATCCATTCTAGAGCTTGTTGCCTGGTGAATACACCGAGTTTAGCAGCATCCTCAAGATTGGCGGAGAAGGCAACTTTGTAAGCTTCGGTATTACCGGCGGTCAGGAGAAGAATTTCCTTGTCCGATTGAATCCCGAGAGCTTTGAGGGCGATCACGATAGGAACGTCTTCGTGTATTGAATTGTGGCGAAGATAGATTTTCCCTTTCTTTGTGGCGACGTATGTTTTCGATTTGAGACCGCCATGCGTCGAGCTATACAGTTACATGAACAATGACAGCCGAAAAATAGTTGAAAGCAGAAACTTACGAGGTACAAGAAGCTTGGACGATACCCTTCACAGAATCAGTCTCGACAATGATACGATTCTTGCTCAGTTGTTCCTGAACTAAAATCACTTTCTCCGTACCCTTCACAACAAAATATCCACCAGGATCGAGTGGACATTCCGTCATACGAGCCAACTCGGCCTCGCTCTTTCCCGTTAAGACGCATTTGTTACTTCGAAGCATGATGGGTAATCGTCCAATATTGACATTTCTCTGGACAATTTTGTTACCCCGAGTGTACTGAACTGTGACAATGATTGGTGCAGCGTAGGTAATGTCGCGAAGACGACATTCATGAGGGGTCACTTGTTTGTCGACGGTCTCGACCTCATTCCGGTCTGGAAATCCTATATTGATGTCGGTATATTTGAGCCAGAATCGAGGATCGACATCGGAAGTGATTTTGTTGTTAGCTTTCACGACGTTTTTAATATCAACATCGACAAAGTAGTTAAAAGAGTCAGTGTGTTGTTTAACGAGGCCTTTGACTTTTAAAAACGCAGGAAGTAAAAGCCATTTATCCTACGACTTCCAATTTAGAGAGAACGTGGAAGAGATATCAGAGCGCGCACCTCGACCGTTTTAATGGGATCTGTTAAACCAAGTCCCCGCCACTTTGATCCAGCATCATCCCAACCGGTTTCTTCAGTTTCATCCATGACAATTCACGAGAAATCGTCAATGATGGTGGTTAATAGTAGACCCAAGGGTCACTTCTTCAGGCCGAGCGCTCAACGGGGGAATCAATTTAAATTTTATCTTAACCTCAATTTCGCCAGAATTCATCGAGGTCCTCGACCTTACTAAAACGAAGCGCGGTCGAAGCGCGGCTAAAATTGGCTAAGAAGATGTTACAGTTCTGGGATCGTCGAAATACAGGTGCAATGCAAAGTGATAACTAATTGAAGAAAGGTAAATTTTAATCGAATGCCTCCTCAGCGCTCCGGCGAACCAAGCGTCGAACCTTCTTCTTATATCCTGTATAGATAGTACATTAGCTTGAGATTGTAATGGTGGAAGTTGACGACACACCTGTCGGGTCAGTTCGTACCTCCTTGGCGGCGTCAACATTGGCAGGGCTGTCCAGGTTGGGTGAATCAGAAGATAGAAGGGAGATCACACTGATGAGCTACGAGTATGGAACTAAGTGAGTAAGGGTACCATTGTAGTAGTAATGGAACACACAATTGATTCGACAGTGTGAACTGGCATCCATCGCTCGCCAGCATCCTCGTATCCGTATTGATCATCACCAGGAGCATGCTGAATCAAAGAATGAGATTCAGGAGGACCCGACGGCGCAGAAGAGGTCACTTGCCAGAATAGACACGCAGACAACACCATCGGGATAGACTGTGGATGAGAACAGGGTAAGTGTGTAACGAACGTTCCAGAACTGTCTATCGACTTACTATTAGGGTGCCACATCGGAGTGATGAATTTCATCTTGGGAGGAAGGAGAGGGAATTCCGGTGGAAAAGTTAGCCTAGCCTTGAAAAATCCGCCTTCACTGTCGAAACGTGAGTCAGAATGTGCGTGCTCATCCGTCTCGCAACCAGAAACGTACTAGAGCGTATCATGTGGTCTGCAAGGGACGAATTGAGCAGGATTGCAAATTCTGTAAAAATATCTTCGCACCCAATCACAAGGATTTCCCACTCATAGAGATTGTTCTCGTCGACAAGCCCTGTTCACGACGTCAGCTCAACCCTCGGACCAAGAAGACAGACCTGCGTGCACAGACCAGCTGAGAAGCCCTCGACTGGATGCTTAGTGAGCTCGGTGAGTTGACGTCGAAGCAAAAGCGTATTAGAGTTGGACGGTGTTGAAGGTTTAGACATTGCGCAAATCGATGGTTGGCGATAGAGATAGAGAAAGAGAAGGTGAAATGGCAGTGGCGCGGATTGCTTTATACGTGGGAAAAAGTTACCTTCTCGCGTTCTACCAGCGTTCTACTGCATTTAGTATGATTTACATGTATTTCAGTGTACTTCTTGATTGCGGGCCTGCGGCGTACACTACGGAAGACGCGATCGGGTCGTGTCACAGCGACGCGCGTGTTTTTGCCTAGCATCCGAAGCTTGTCATCCAAACTCTCAATCCAGCGCTTCAAAGAGGATTTTGCCATTCTTTCCAAAAGCTTTGAAGCTCTGATCTACCAGTAGGAATGCTTCAGACGCGGTAAAAATGCTGGTATGCTGATGTTTTTACCTTCACGGATACTAAACGCTTGAATCACTGAAGGTCCGTTCGTGTGATCGTATGCTGTCAGGACGAATGTTCCGGAGCCCCCATAGAAAACTTTTGTCTGAAGTTCTAGGAATGAAAGATCAAACGCAACATTTCCTCTTAGGCCAAAAATCTCAAGTCCAAAAACCTCAAATCTACATGATCTCCTCAGAAAATAAAGGTCGCCAGTCTACTGGGTAAGCTCAGGATGCGTGGATACAGCTCCGAATCGTAATACAGGAGTAACCATTTTCAAAGATGAAGCGTATTTCGTCTTCCTGAAATCCTTCATAGTCCGGATTCCAATCTTTGCAATCCCTTTCTTGATCTCAAATTTTTATACGTGGACCCGGCGTTATTGTTGGGACGTAGACGTAGTACAAGCTCGGAGGCGACAGGCGATATACTCGGAAAGCAACAGGATGTGAATGGATCTAAGTACATGGTTGTAGGTAACTCGCTCCCGGCGCGCATCATATTTTCGGAGCTCAGGACGATACATTGACAGAGTATTCTAACGGCGGCTAGAACAAGCAAAATACCAAACTGCATATGGAAGGAAGAGACCACGTTATTCCTAGACCTAGTTCAAGTTAACTCAAGGATCGATAGATAGATTTTGCGGGTCAATCTTGAGTTTCGGTCCTATACCCTTTAGCACTACTGAGTTTACTCTATCAGACTTATACGACCCCTTCATTCAATAAAGATTGTGAGTGCACCGAAATCTTATTTTCTCCAATCTGATAATGGGACTGAACTGTTTCCAAAGTCGGATTTCAAGCTTGGAACTTGGAGGTCTCTGTGCTCAGAGTAATATTTAAGATTAGACGGTATGTCCGGCTTTTCGTTCTTAATAATCACTGCCCATCGACTGCGAGCGACTTCGGACACGAATCCGATTCCCCTACGATAAGCAATTGATGTAATATGCATTCTAATTGTCGAGATCCCAAAGAGAGATTATGTGTCAAGCCCAAGAACATAGGGAGTCTGATAACAATAGGGAACCAGTATGGTACTCATTTCTTCAACTTGTGGCAGTTTTGAAGAAGTAAGTAGGGTTCACTTCTGAGTAATTTTCGTCGCGACGGTCACCTTGCTTGCAAGGTCTATTGCACTCCGGAAGTTAAGTTGTTTTGTGCAGGTTTTGGTTGTGCTTGGCCTCATGCTTTTGCCAAATGTTTACAAACATCCTGAGTTCTGTGCTTGCTTTGCGGCACATTCTTTCCTTAATACTCAGATTAATCAAACAAATTTCCACAAGGCTTATGAAGTGTGTATATTCTGTAGTGCACCTTATGTGTACCATTTTTTTTGCTTGATACTTGAGCCAAAATCTACACCTTGACAAAGACACTTAGATGATACTTAGACCACCCTACTACCACCCTACACTTTTTGCATACATAAATCCTGCATCATTCCCTTGTTCCTGCCATATCAAATTTAACTGAAATTTATCCTTTCCCAAGCAAGGTGCAGTCCACAACAGTGGAGCCTAGTTTACATAGCTGTTCTTGCAAGTTGCGGGACTGCAACAGTGCAACGTCATCCGACACTGTCATTTGGTCATGCAATGTGGCCACGTGGTGAAGTCACATGGAATCATAAGCGCGTCTCAACTCCGACTCACGCCCCTTCCACCACCTATAAGTTACAATCTGAGAGCAGCGTACTCATATATGTCAAAGGTGACGCCTACAAATGCGGGAGAAAATGTGTATAAGAAGAGTGCGTTCCTTCACAATCGCTGTCCACTCGACCTACCATGGTATACCACAACAGGAGAGCAAGATTCTATTCCAGCGCCCTTGGGTAAGACACTATTCACGCTGTGTATACGCGTCAGGTTCAAATTTTTTACAGACTATAGCTCTGATTCAGAGTTCGCTGCTGGACCAGTTAAACCCATGGAAAAGGGGTCTGGGAAGAGGAGAAATACCAAGTCAAAGCGGGAAAGCATTAGGCCTGCCAAAAAAAGGAAAGTCGTGTGGTCAGATAGCGAAGATGAAGAGTGGATGACTTCCTTCGACTCCTCTGTGAATGCTACTAGTGAGTCTATGGTCAATCGTACTCATTAAATGCTAGCCTGACAGAAAAGCAGATAAATCTCAGATAAACGGGAAACATACAATTAAAAACCCGCTAGCGAAATATTTTGGTAAGACATCAAGGTTGTATCATGTAGCTTATTTTGAACATAGATGCAGTCGAGATCGATCATGGGTCAGAAGATGATGCCGACGACGAGATGCAGATTGAAGATGATATTGACATTGACGAAGACAGACAGTCTGGTGAAGACGAGGACCCAGCGCATATTCCAAAAACCATGGCAGCGTTCCTCCCAATGATAAATACACGTCGTATCAATATACCCCCTCAAACTGCAGTTAAAGGTGAGTGATCATCTTGCTTGCGTAACCTTTTTGCATGAATTTAGCGTGATTTATCGACCCTTCCATTATTTTGTGCCGCAGATGTCGAACAGACATCCCACACTGAAGACGATTCATCACATACTGAATCAGACTCAGAACCTCCGTTTCCATCAACTAGTGAGTTCCCTTCCTGAGATCGCTAGCCTACTACCCTCAACTTCCGTAGCGTCGATTAAAAAAGCGGATTCGTCTCACACAGAGGACGATTCCGACATCGGTATGTCCCTCAGGACTATTGTTACCTGCAAAAGTATAATTATTCGTACAATAGAGCTTGAAATCGAGAAAGGAGATTATTTTTCGCAGAACAGGAATGAATCTGACAAAGAAATGGATTCACCCGTGAGTGCGATCGACCACACTATGTCTGAACCTGCGTTAATCTCTCGAATCGTAGCAGATAAATCCGAGGCCTGGATTCCAATCACCAGAATCGTCAGTCAACGAGCCATTCTTTCTAGACCCCGGAAATAATATCAAAATACCCTCAACAATTAACATATTTCTTCGTGATTACCAACGAAACGGCGTCCAGTTCTTCTACGAGAGATATCGGGCAGGCCGTGGAGGCCTTTTGGGTGACGATATGGGACTTGTGATTAATTTATTTAGTTCTTTCCGTTCATTCTACAACATTCATTTTTCTCCTTTCCTAGGGTAAGATCACATCTCGTATATCCTTTCGTTTCTTCCTAAATTCCTTACCTTTGATGTAGGTAAAACTGTGCAGGTCATCGCCTTTCTGTCAGCTATAATGGCAAAAACGGGTTTTGAATCTGACGAAGATCGTCGACGGAACCACGTACGAGATCTTCAGAACCAGCCAGGATGGAAGAAAACTAAGAAGTTACCCCCTGCTAATGGGACGTGGCCGACGTGCCTCATAGTCGCACCAAGTTCAGTTGTCCACAATTGGGAACGAGAGCTTCAGACAGTGAGCCTGAGAAGTATTCCTTTTTTTTTTTGTTCTTAACCATTTTTCAAATTTTGCCATAGTGGGGATATTTCGAATTCGGTGTATACACAGCACCTCCTAAAGAACGGGCACATGTGTTGAAGGATTTCAAGCTTGGGAGGTTAGACATAGGTCAGTAGGACTACTGTTTACGACAATTTTTCTGATGTCTATCGCAGTGTTGACGTCGTTTGACATCGCCCTCAAAGACATTGACCTATTGGATAACTTGCAGTGGTCCTGCATATTTGTTGATGAGGTTCATCGTGTAAAGAACCTATCTTCACAAATTTCCCTTGCGCTGCACCGATTCGAATGTCTACGTCGGTTTGGTCTCACTGGTACTGCGATTCAGAACTCTTATGACGAGTTACACGCCATCCTTCATTGGACTGACCCCGGCCGTTTGGGCATGACTAAACATTGGAAATCATTGATTTCGCAGCCTTTGAGACGCGGTCAGTCCAGTACTGCCACAGATGCCGAAAAAGCCAAAGCATTGGTGATCATCTCAATTTTAGCTGAAGTAATGCTTTCTCATTCTGATGGTCACGAAGATTATTTCAGATATATTAGTTCGAAAATTATTGCCTGAATTCTTTCTAAGAAGGTGCGAAACATGTATTTTCAACCCATAATTGTGATCGAGCGACATAATCCAGGACCAAAGATCTCATTAAAGACCAAGTATGGATTTCCTGCAACTCTCAACCTTGTTCACAATCCTGATTCTGTTTCGAGCTCCCCACGAAAACAGATATCGTTGTTTTCTGCCCACTAGCTCCCACACAACTAGCCGCGTACAAACGCATCCTTCAGAAGCCAGAAGTTCGGCATCTAATTGAAATGAATGATCCATGTGAATGTGGGTCAGGTTATATGCGAGTAATCTGTTTTCTTGTATCTTCACTTTTATTTACGACAAGGAACACAGGACAAAAGAATGTTGTCATCCTTACAGAAAGGAGAACGCGCTCCGTTATATGACAGTCTTGCTACAACTCTCCAATCATCTTGGATTGATATTACCCAGTAAGTTTTCTTTCTAGCACTGTACTTCTCTCCTTCATTGTTGTTCCAGATTCAAATCAGAAGCCAGAACAAGTGAGTTTCTTTTGACTCACCTGAGTTCTGTCACCTGTTCTTATACCAGACTGCAGCTTGCACGAAACAGAGAACTGGCAAAATGGATCTTCCCGGATAGTAATATGCCAAATCGAATCCAGATCGAATTCGGGAAAGATTTTTGTGGCAAGTGGAGGGTCAGTCTTCAAATCCCCCTATGTCTCATGGTCCTCTTACTGTAATCGGAGCAGGTACTAGAGACTCTGTTACAAGAAATTCGGCAAGATCGTTCCAATAAAGTGCTTATATTCACAAAGTCTGTTCAACTGTTGAAAATTGTCCAAAATTACCTGGAGACGCAGCGTAGGCAGATTAAGCACTTGTTTACCTCAATAATGCTGACCGTATATAGCATATCAATATTGCGCTTTTTCGGGCGAGACGCCGCAGAAAGACAGTGAGATGAGGTCTCCTGCTTACATTATATTTTGACTGAAAATCCTACATTATAGGAATGGGTTTAATTGACGAATTCCATTCAAACCCGGAGATCTTCGTGTTTCTCATTTCGACTCTTGCTGGAGGCACTGGTCTTAATCTCACAGGTTTGCCGCTAACCTGGTTCCGATTTTGTGCTGACTGCTCCTCAACAGGTGCCAACCATGTCGTGATATTTGGTCTGTAGTCATACTACTACTGCTGTTGGCTTGTCTGAGTTTGGACTTGACAGATCCTCACTGGAGTATGTCGTTTCGTCATTCTGCGTAACCGCTTCGTCCTGACGACTCTGTTAAGATCCCGCTCACGATCTGCAAGCCATGGACAGGTACGATGATCACCGATCTCTCCATTTTCATTGATTTTTTAAGATCGTTCTTGAAGAGCGTATCGAATCGGTCAAACTCGCCCTGTCAAAGTTTATCGCCTACTCGGAGCAGGCGCGCTGGAAGAGTTGATATACAATTGTCAAGTATACAAGCAACAGCAAATGCGGATCGGGTACGAAGCTAGTATACAGACTCGGTACGCCCTATTTTTGTTCCCTGGTATTCCGTTCTCATCTCTTCCTTCCTCGTCAGCTACTTTGAAGGCGTCAAAAATGATCCACAGAAGCGGGGGGAACTTTTTGGTCTGAAAAACATATTCCGACTCGACGAGAGGAAGATAGCTACAAAAGCCTCAGTAAGAGCACAGTCAGTATTTATTTTATCCTTACGTCCTCATTCCGTCTTTTGTCTAGATTGAGGAAGCCAATCAGGCTCAACTCGATTGGGCTTTTGCTAATGTTGACACTAAAGGTATCAAAGGAGACTCGAATGACCTGGAGGTAATATACCAAAATATTGCACGTTACCGGTACTGACCTTAGTTTCAGAGTATGGCAGGACTAGATGATTTTGTCATGGATGACTCTGTTAAATGTGTGCATCTTTGTTAAATTGTCCTCAGCGTACTCATTCTTTGGTTGCAGCTAACCCTGCCGGAGAGGGAAAAGAGGGGAGCAGAATTGACAAGATTTTCGAGACCGTTGGCATTACCTACACACATGACAATGCAGAAATCCTAAAGCAGAATGATATCGAGGTAGAGAAGGCAAAAAATCTTCTTGTGCGCCAATGACTGCTTTTGCCTCTATACCTGCTAATTTCCTCACAGAGACAGTTGAAATCTTCAGGGAAGCGTTCCGGTCGCAGTTCCTGGCCGAGTGTCCATGATTCCCGGTCTCAAAAGGGCTCTCGGCGCAAAAGTGGTGCGAGCAAAGGAAAGAGCGCCAACAATCCCGCTGAACCCGCTGAACCCAAGGCACAATGGCCGCCTGTTCGAAAACACCATCACCCGAAAGTTACCCCCCAACAACAGTAAGCATTATCTTGTTCTTCGTTCAATACTCTTTGTCTTTATTTCTCATTGTAGAGCCGAAGCTCGTTACGAAGCACTCATTGATCTGGGGCTGATTCAAAATTTTGATGACATCAAAGAAAAGTTTGTCCCTCAGTTGTAAGCATCGTTGGAACGTCTGGTGATATTTGTTCTGACCTTTTGATGTCGGGCAGTCTTAAGAGCAATCTGGATGAACAGAAAAAGTGCTTGAGAGTTCTTGATGAACACAAACGGCAAATGGACAAGGATAAAACGAACGCAGCGGCTGTGCGTCAAGCCAACGGTGATAGCTCTGACTGATTTGACCTCACCACATATCCCTTTCTGTTATGGGGACCTCTATACTTATTGAAATCCTGCTGTCAATGTTGTCGTTTCAACCGTATATTTATTTTTATGTACATAACGCGTTTCTTGTGGTTTCTCGAGGATCGGCTGCATCTCCTGAATCACAATCGCAAGGCATTGATCGTGAGGACGATACCTGAGCACCAGACCCTTACTACTTAGCACCGCTCGCATCGATCTTCAAGCTCCAAACAAGATTGCTATACTAGTATTAGAAGATTGGGCGATGAATACTTAGATATCTTGGTGCCATTGCTGAATACCTCCTACGTAGCCTGAGTTTAGTAATATTCACTCAAGTAAAAGCTAAGCGCTGCTGAGGATTGCTGTGCTCAAGTGCTGTGCGCGTGGCAGTGGGAATTTAGTCAGCGTCGCGTTGGGCGCTTCTTCAACTGGATCTCAACAGCCTTTCTCTGCTCCTTTCTTCTCGTTCGAAGCGATTTCGAGTTGGAGCATTTTATAGAGGGCTGGTAAGTCTTCACATCTTCATACTTTATAGGAACTCGGGATTCTACATGCACTTGCAACGCAAATCATTCTTTATATTGAATCTTATTGTATTTTTGAAAGATCGAAATGCTTAGTTACGGAGCGAGGATAAAACCATCAAACTAACGACTGCTTTCTTTTAGATCGCTAGGTTGCCATTCGTGCTGCCATCTCTGAATCGAAGAATTTTACCCCCATAAATTTGTCGAAATTGCTTCCACAGCTTATCCGGACTACTTTTACCAGTCGAACGAAGATGTTCATTCTCCTATGAATGCTTCGGCTGCTACTTTCGAACCGTCATTGGATAATCGTACTTATGGACACCCGCATCCGCTGGACCCAATAAAGGATGCTCCGACAACTCGAGCTTTCGAACTTGCTGCACATTATGGGATCCCTCAATCACTCCCCGCGCCACCCAGAGCTCATTCGCGACCGCCCGATTCAGAAACACAGACCTCACCCCATTTAGACGTGCCACCCGATTTTGAGGCTCTCAGACAGAGTTATCTCCGCATGTTGTCGAGTGCTCCCTCAGAGAATCATGCTCCTACCGCCATACCCGAGCCTTCCACACCAGCTCCTACCTCAATGCCAATGGCGCTAGAACCCCAAATCGATGAATCGTCATTGCAACCGATTATTGACCTTATTGAAGGTAATAATTCTCTCTACCCTCGTTTTCTACCTTGTTAATACATTCACAGCGTCGCCTGAGTTCAGGACGGCAAGAAGTTTTCTCACTTCGCCGTATACACCATACCTTGACGACTTCACTACTTCTCCAATGGATGACTCACCTTTCGTGGCTGACCTCAATACGCCGATCATGGACCAAATCGATGAATTTGAGTATGGTGTTGTGAACACTGACTCCGCCTGTATAAATGATGATTTTGTCAATCCGCTGTACAATGAAACCACTGTGTCGTACTATCCTCAGCCCCCTGCTCAACCTGGACCTGACAAGAAGGAAAACCATGCGGCGGGGCTGTTGAACACTGAGAAGTTGTACACCTTTTCTCCGAGCAGTCCTCTTCTCGAGAACTTCTACTCTCCGGTTACCCAACCCGTCCGTTCCCCTGTCACGCATCCAACTTCGTCGTTATACCCCTCTCCTCGCGCTCCTACGTCGGCGTTCTCCAAACCAGCCTCTGGTCGTAATCGCAGTAAATCACGTGGCCCGTCTCTGTCTGCAACTGGTACCCGCAGAGACATCACTCCCGCGTCGATGGTGCCGCTCGATGCACCCACACAAACAAGAAATTATGTGCTGCCTTCTTCGACGTCGCGCAAAGTCAACCCGATTCATGCTCAGAAGCGTTCATATTCGCAAGCCTTCGGTGACCAAGAGCAGGACGAGCTCGTAGGCGAAAGCCCTCCTGGACCGAATGCCACCGAGATCGAGCATATTGAATGGAAGCGCAGACAGAACACGATAGCGGCGAGGAAAACTAGAAGACGTAAGCTGGAGTATCTACAGCGTGTGGAAGCCGAAAACGTGGTTCTGAGAGATGAGAGGGATAAATGGAAAGTCAGATGTGGTGTACTCGAAGACATTGTTAAAGCTCACGGAGTGGCGGTCCCTGTCTGGGATGACGAGTAGACGTTTGTGTCTATTGGACTAAGTACTTCTGTTTGAAATTTCACGATATGCTGATATTTTTTGTATTACCTGACCTTTTTGTTCACTCATGCACCCGACTCCAGACTCTATTTAATGTTTATCTCTTGCTCCTGTAGTCTCATGGACCTTTCACGAAATTGGCTATATCTACGTCGTTCTCCTGTTATATATATATACATATGCGCTTTGTTCGATGTCCGTACACTATCAAGCTTAAGTATTCGTATGGCTTAGATTTGCAACCCTACTCCTTTCCTGCTCTCTTCTCTGCTGTTCATTGTAACAATATATATACTATGCCTAAACTTCAGGCTCTTTCAAGCTACCTTCAGCTCTCCAAATTTTTCGGTAAACATCAATCACTGTACATACATACATACATACATATGAGACAGGCTCGGGACAGCCAAAGCCTGAACAAAAAGTACGGGGCGAATCCGGATTCGAACCGAAGACCCCCTGCAATGAACAATCGCCCAAAGCAGGTATCATACCTCTAGACCATACGCCCGTTAAACAATCCGTTGGTAGCTTCATATATATGTTCATTCGCTGAGTAACATTGCCTCATAGAGGGGACTGATTTCAACATAACAGCCTCAGGCTTATTTTTATACATAATCCGACCCATTATGGTCTTCTGAATCTTTCCCCACTTCTCCGGATTCCTTGTCTGGCTCCACATCCTGCTTTATGTTAGACTGAGGCCCATGGTAGTGCCTGTGTCCATCGAGGATATACCATATGCTAGGAAGTGCTTAGTGTTTAGTGTCAATCGTCACGTCATCCAACTCACAAAGCAAAAACCATGACCCCAACGGTGATAACTGATGCATAGTTCATTGTTTCTGGAGTGACGGGTAAGGTGACTGGAAATGAGAAAATGACACAGACGAAGAGCGTCCAACAGATGCAGATCCAGTTCGCAGCCCAGCCAAGCATGCCGCCGCCCATATAAAAAGGGCCTGGTTTGAACATCACGTCCGGGTGGTTTTGGAAGACTCGACGGAGGAAAATGGGAATAATGTAGCTCAAATCCAAAGCTATTGCGGTAAGAGCAAAGATAGCATTGGCAGCAATGGGACTCGCTAGATCGAGGAGACCAGGTATGATGCTGACGAGTGTGCATAGGACTATGGATCGAAGAGGCGTTTGTGTAACTTTGGAGTTATATCCGAAGAAGCCCCGGTCAGGTAAACCTATGGAAAGAGAAACTCAGCGCACATCACTACTGTTATTCGATGCATACCATGATCACGGCTAAATGCGTAAATGGTACGAGATGTAGCTTGAAGAGCCGTTTGAACGACGAAAAATGCAGTGAAACACACAGGGACCTTTTTTGGAGTGGTCAACTAAAGTCAAACCTCCTCAGATTTGTGATATATAACTTACCCATAATATAAGGGAACCTGCTTTTCCCATCCTGAGATACATGACCTGGCTATCCATAGGAAATTGAAGTCTCAGTGAGATCAAGGAAGACCGACCTGTAAGAAAGCGGAACCAGATGCTCCAGGAAGATCAGCACTGATCATTCATGGTGAGTATTGAACAAACTCGTGAGCTTGTGCGAGTAACTCACAGAGGACCTGAACATAATACAATCACAATGTTCAAAAGCCATCCGAGCAGCCCTGTACCGATTACTACATAATTTGTCAATACACGCCGTTAAGTTCCTTGAATGTTGCATGAGGTTGCATACCGGCTATGAAGATAGCAGTTGGCGCTGCAATAAGTTTGTTAACACCATTTTTGTTGCCATCAAATGCGATATTTTCTACCTGCATATGCCGCACGTTTGACCTCCTCACTATCATGGGAATTCGTTCAGTATGCCCGTGCGATTTCCACATATATAAAAATCATACCAGATATGCGCTGTGGCATCATAGTCCTAGAATAGCGTAAGGCTTAGCACAGAACAGTCATATGCACGACACGAAGATTGCTCACCGTCATCTGAAAACAAGATTAATCACCGTAAGAAAAAGGACTACGCGACAGACCGAGCGTTAGTTGACTCACCGTCCACTGAACGCTTAACAATCCAAAGACGAAAGCGAGTCCGTTATTCCAACCCCCGGTCTGGTTTACGATTCCTTGGCTGCCGAAAACATAGCCGGCAGCATGCATCTCCGAACGAGGAGTCGTTGCAAGTAGAACAATGATAATCACTATGAAAATAAGCAAACATGATACGCTTCTCGATAAGCTGGTACTCACGGATAGTTGCGCCCAAATTCACAAACACAAACGCGGAAGATATACGGGCCAACCAGCGCGTACCCAGACAATTCTGTGAACAGTTTAGGCTTGAAGACAGATTAAGGATTCATCTAAAGATAAGAACAAACCAGACATCCGTGAACTATCAGAAGGACCACGAATAACCACACAGTTTTTGTCTGAGAATCGTTGATGTGACTGCATATAAAGCAACAAAATACCAAGTTGTTACCTGAGTCACTTCGTAATTGCCATCCTACAATGAAATCAGAAGCTATAGACTAATAGAATGGATTGTCGACTTGCTTTGCCTATCACCACCGCAGCCCATATCATGTTAGCCAAGCCAAACTCTGTCGAAGACACTCCAGCTATTTGGCCTAAAATGGAATGATTTTTGAGTTCAATATATGACACGTTTGACTTGAGGCTGTATAAGATCAACTTACCGAGGATATTTAGCCATCCCACTAGCCAGCCAACCTAAAATATCGAGTTGATAATCAGTTACTTTTTATAAGCCGATAAAGATCGTTTTACTCGTGCACGGTATTTCTTGGGGGTAAGCCGGGCAGAAGCTGTATACCTATGTATATTGGAAGAATGAGGAATCGAAAAAAAAGGTAATGCGAGATCGACTTCACATTCCACCAGACGTAGGATAAGCGCTAACGATTTCAGCGATACTGCGTCCGAATGTAAATCAATACATTTATTCGCAGCTTTTGTGTCGCGTTCCATTTACCTTGAGCCAAGGGCCAAGCACATGCTTGCCCCCAAAATCCAACACCACACCACCTATGTAAAGTCCTCGGATAGAGTTCTCAAAGTAGACGGAATAGCAGAACCCACAGAAGACGGTCCTCCCGTTAAAAGCGGAGTATTGAGGGTCGTTGCGATACTAGAGCACAATCCCTTCCACGGACATCAGTTCCGCACATATCAATCAAGAATGTTCAACCCACCATTATGCTAAAAGCAAAACTAATCTAATAAAACTTCGAATTAGGACTTTTCAGTCGAGCTGGAACCAAGACGTTACCGTAGCTAAATTGGAAAATTCGCGTTTGAAGGAGGGCACATAACCAAGAGCGACGAGCTCCCTATCATCGTCAGAGAATGCGGTCATGATGGTACAGTATCAAAAGAGTTATTTAGACCGATACAGCGTGCTCACAAATGTATAATACGATTGCAGATAAAGTGGCGTCCAATTGCAGCACTTCGGGAGCAGAGTTCAACGTGACAATTTCAAGATAAGCATATCCATCGCAATGCGACACGAAAGAGACTAAAGAGACCATGTATGTGGACAGTAAACATTTTATCGAAAGATCGAGAACTAGTGATAGTCGAAAACTGCAGAAGCCTGAGAAGGCTGGTTGAATTTAGAAGCAAGCACCTTACATAATTCATAAGCGCCTGTTTTTTTCGTCCATTTTGATATCATGATCACCTCCTTTTCTTCTTCTACAGGGGGAAGGCATGTTGTGTGCCGTCCGCCCCAAGGGCGCCCTCACAGCAGTAAGACATTGCAAGCAAGGGCTTTCGGCGATTCTAGTACGAATAAGTACATAAAATCTGCCCAGGTTTGTTTAACGTTCCTACATACTAATAGTGCGCTGCACCTTGGTTTTGTTTCTACAATACTTCGATAATGAGTGACTAGAGTAGGTATTGCTATGTAGTGGCTAACAAAGGTTATAGGCTTCAACTGGAGCGTTGAGAGAGGCCTGCTGAGGCCTAGGATTCAGAGTATCGAAAATACAAGAATTTCACCCGTAGAGATAATCGTTTCTATCACAATGTTGATTAGTACCGGTCGAAACCTTCTAGAGAGAAACTTCCCATAGTCTACAAGATTGGCAGATTCTTGAGAAGAGAGAAGTGCAATGCACCAGGGCGCACCCACGCAGCCTGGAGGATTGCAAGTATTTAGACGCCAGGTGATATAAATAATTGAATAAAATTCATAATGTGTTCCCCGAATGAGAAATGTGAAAGTACGAGATGATACGGTAGGGTTATCTATTTGGGACAGTTTGGAACAGGCTCCCGAATCTCAGGCTATCTCAGGCGAGGATACAAACGCTTGGGTTATCAGATGCAGATGCCGCAGTGTCAAAGTCCCACAGGGAGTGGAAGTCTATTCGCCGACTCTATCACAGTTCGGCATATACATGCCAACACAAAAACATGAGTCGGAGAGGTAGGTATTGTACACTTTAGTATACACCACTGCTCTCCGAGGCTCCGAATGCACTGGCCATGTGTCATAGTCACCTTGACACACGATATGTAAAGTGCTTAGAATCTGAGTGCACAAGGCCAACCTGAGGCCAACACTGAAGTAGCCCTAAGGTTCCAGCCTACAATCAGCAATCCCACAAGTACTGACAGTAGGCAGAATGCTTGTTGCTCGTGTTGAGAAACAATCACTGACCAATATATATCTTCAACATGTGGATTGATTTACTGGGAATCCTGCCATACGACGAGCACCCATAACTTAGAGCCTACAGTTATTTTGAGGGACGTATACTCACCTATGGTAACTGGCTGGTCTTCAGCCGCTTTGCATAAGCATTACTCTGGATCACGGAGCGCCAACTACTCATACGAGGGTGTTCTCATTATGAATAGCCACAAATATTACGTCGCAGGATTGAGGTGTATCCCAGCCCAGGAGCTTATAACGAATTTGCGTGTAACCTTCATTGAAAACGGAGTAGAAATGCTTCAGTCTGACGAAGGAAAGGCACTACAGGCTACTAAGTATAGGAAAGGAACGATCACTGACAGGAGCAATATCATTTTATTTTGCGCTGACCTTGGTGTAGTCCTCATCGGAGAGTATCACATCCATGCTTGTTGCAAGAACCCGACAACTTCAGCGGAAGTAGTTTGCTCATGTTGAAAGGCGTCAACTGGGTGACCATGACTCAATAGGGCCTTTGATTCAGATACTTTCAGATACTAGATATCTAGAATTATTATGAAGACGGGGAAAGGAACAAGTTTGAAGTTGATTGAAGAGCGCACAGGAACAAGTATGAGCAGGGAATTGAGTGTGACTTAGTTCCATTCGGAGAATCGCGAAGTCCCGACTGAACCCGAACCTACCCGAGCGCGCAATCGTAAATGATTACAACATGCTGTAACAGGCTGTAACGTTCTTGCGCAGGCGATATAGCCAGACCCGCCGTAGTAGCGGATAAGGCCTTTGCCAAGCAAAAAGCATCGAGAAGAACCTCAAAAGTAGTCACCGCAACGCCTCACATCGCTCTATGACCTGGCAAGAAGCCGAGCGCGCTGTCTTCGGCCCTAACTTGTTGCATTGGTTCGGTGGAATGTGTCTTGTCAAAGATTCCGGCCGTTGAACCAGCTTCCGATATTACCCTCCGAGTGGCAGAGACCGTCCAAAACGGATCTTCTGAAGCTGTTCCGGAGATATTGCAAATTTGGGTAAGGGATAGGAGGAGACAGCGATGATGAGGCCCACTGTCTCTTGCTGTAAGTACGGGCAGTTGGGTTCACCTTGCTTGCTAGGTCCTTTGCCACCCCGTCTTTGCCAAGCGCCCGTGCATTTTTTTCACACGTTAAGCGCCATTCTAACATTTCTTTCCTGATGTAACTCTCTGTACTCATCTTCATTTTCCTTATTATTTTGTGTCTCTTCCTACGTACTTGCTTCATAATCCCCGCTTTGAGCTCCATTCCCTTCCTTCTATTTGAGCTTTTTCTAATCCCATGCACAATTTTAATGTTCTGAGATATTCATGGCTAATTTTGGTTCTGAACGTTCATCCGCTGTTATGAATAATCATAGGCTATAATCTAACACTGAGTCATGTCAAGTTTTCCATCCTTTGTATGTGTATCATTGCTTTTTCAAATGTGCTTCATGACAATTGCTACAATGTTTGTGTGCTCCATCCTGTCTCTCTCCAATGTTGCCACCCAAATTCAGTTCTTTTATGACTGGTAGCACTCTTCCTCCTACTTCTGACCATGCTGTCACTGCTTGCACAAAATCTGCAATGTCTTCGAGCTGAACAGTTTTGGATATGTATTCGTATGTCAGTGCATGCATGTAGCTGCATACCTGCACTAATGCTGTCAATCTGTTTCCCAATATCTTGCATATCGACAGCCAGTTTTCAATCAGTACATTCATTGCTGTTGGTTTCTTGCTTATGACTGTATTCATCGTTCATCTCCCAATTTTTTTCCATTTCCATTATCAGAGAAGCTTCAGTGAATGTTATTGATTGTTGCACTTCAACAACGTTCTACTCATTCTCCTTTTCTTTGTATTTACCAAACCTTCCTATATTTCATAATCATAACACTTGTTTTTCACCTGGAACTAGCTCGTCATCATTTGTTTTTACTCCTTGTACTCCTTTTTTCCCCTTGATCTCAGTGTCCTGGGTCCCTCTTATTAACTGATTGGATTCTTCACTTGTCTTCTTCTCTATCTCTTCCTTGATTCATTTATCTTACTCATTACCTTTTGAGTCAATAAAATTGTTTTGACATAAAAAAACATACATCAAGCAAGGTTTGTCGTGCCCCGCAGGGGTCCGCTAGTCACAAAATGTGTTAACCGAGCAAGCTCAAGAAATTGATAGAGAAGTCTTGGAATATACGTCTTGGCGCAGTTCAAATTGTCCTCCGACCGAGCTTGAGAACGCCGGTATGAAAAAGAAGGACTGTTGTGTGGCTAGGCCCTATGGGATATGAATCTTCATGAAGGCGAGATATTCTCCGAATGTGTTATCATAGCGGCCAGTCGATATGGCGGGAGAATGGACGTGCGGTCTTATAACGACGCACAGATAACCGTTTCGTTTTGCTTGGCAAGAAATGGCAGAGAGGGGATGTAGGAAAATTTATGTTAGCGTCCTTGAAGTCGAGTTGCATCGGGTACTAGGCAGGTTCAGGAATAAAGGAACAATCGGAAAGATAAGTCGGACTATGAAGACTGGACAGTGGTCACACTGGACAGCGAACATGCTTGTTTTGAAGCGACTTCCTCCATATGTATAAACAGAAATCAAAGCTTTTGATTGAAAGTCGAGACTGCCAATGATATCAACGCTAATAAATCTGCCGAATGTACATGGGACCTAGAAATCAAGGAAAAATCCGCTAACCTCAACAAGCATCGACCACAACGTCGTTCTGGTTGTCTCTGTGAGGATCCTGAAATATCATGAGGAATGCGTTTGTTGGAGGATGATCCGACGCGCTCTCCAGACGATAGGTGGAAAAAGACAAAAAGAGACTAGAAGCACAACGCCAGCCGCTATGCTTTAACAAGTCACCAGAGCACAGTAAAAGCACAACGTAGACCATCATCCACGGTGGCGGTTGGCTAGATCTGGCCTTCGAAGCTGAGGATCGATGAGAAGGGATACCCGTTATAGACTGTGATCTGGAATGTATCATTGTGCTAAGAAGGTGGAATAAAGGAACAGTGCCAGAAGTCTAGCGAGAAGATCGAGTTACTGTTTTTGGCAATCGCACGTGGCTATTATATGATAAGTGAAAGGAAAAACAAGCCGTCAACAAACCCTCTTTTTAACCCATACCACCACTCGCCATGTTGCTCTCAAATTTCTGCTAACACAGGCGTTCTGCGTCGTCGTTCTTTGTCGTCGCTTTAGAAACGTCGTTGAAGATCTGTTTCTAACCCTTTGGTGCTGAGCCATGAAACCCTCTACCGTATCACCTCGACCAATCCTCAAACGTTCGCCTTCTGCTTGTCCCGAAAACGACTCAGAGCTTCCATTCTACGGGATTCAAGAAGTTCATTTTCCACCTTCCCCCTCGCTCAGCCGTTTCTACAACGCTCATCCTTCGTCTATCTACGATAGATCTCCAATCGTCGTTTCCGCGAATACCTGCGCCCTCCCAGAACGAGGTTGCCCAGGTCGAACCTATACCCTTGACGAACGTAATTCCTCGACCTCACAACCTCCAATAATAAGTTCTGCTTTATCTCCTCGCGGAGGGCATTTTCATCCTCGCGCCTTGATGAACCAGAGACCAGCGCAGCATCTGCAGAACGCAATTCCTCCTCATTGTCCGCCACTGATACCTGACCTCTCCTCAGAATCAGAGGAGTCTGATGGTTTCATCAGTCCACCTCCAGAAGCGTCCTTCGCCTCTTTGGGTCCACATGCATATTCACATCGTGCTGACAAATACCCTTTCCAGCTGTCGCTCGATAATGCTGTTTATTTCACGACAAGGTTGGACAATATTCAGCTCCCATCGCCAGCAGACTCCAAACGGAAAAGTCATCGCGATCGGGATAGGATACGGAGCCCCACTGGACCCGGGGAAGTGGCTGCGGATGATCCAGGATACGACGATGATCGTGATGTTCCGGCGTCGTCCACTCGTTCTATCTCACCGAAGAAAAGTCGTTGTAGAAAGAATTTGTCGTCGAGGGCGAGGGCTGGCTCTGATGACGCTGCTGACGGTGGATGTTTGGGTGGGTTTTAGTTTGTCGCTGCGAACTTTGGTCTATGCCTACCCCCTTTCCTCATTATTCCTGACCTTCTTAACTTACCTCTTTAACGCCCTATTTATCGTCACCTCATATTTCGAATTCACTTGCACTATACGAGCACATACACTTCATGACCATTGCATTTGAACTGTACATGTACCTGTCGCAAGATGGAACACTCAAATAATCTGTACACCATGCCCGGTATCTCATTCTGAACTGGGTCATTCGCCAAAGCATAGGCTATACTCTTACTTTTGTTCTCAGCACGTTGATCGTTATACCAATTTCTTCCTCACTCGGTTGAACCTTCAACATCTTACCTCCAGGCGGTTTCAAAATACAACAAGACGTCGGCTCCAGAACCTTCATTCCTCGCTCCCATTCTCCTTTCTGTGCTGTTCCCGTGTGCATCCTTCCAGTCTAGACTCGTTCTTTCTCTAGTCACCCGTTCCCTCTTTCCCACTGCTTGCACCTGCTGTTGTAAATGTGGTTTCTAAATTTCCGATGCCGTTCTACATACTATACATAGTTCTCACTTGCTGTGAAGCTTCAGTAGTTCCCGCTCTTTCGTTCCGTTATACCGCTCCGATCTATCCTCGCGAGATTTCTGCTGTGCCGTAGTCGGCTCCTATTCCTTTATTCTCCGACATGCACTTTCAAAACATTGTGAACCGTGGCGGTTCTGGCAGCCCAAAACACCTGCGTCCTTGCAACGCGTTCCAACCTGCACACGTTTTCATCCGATTTCCTTCTGGTAGAAAATTCGAAAACCCTCAGGCTGAGGCTGTGGGTTTACCTGAAGTTACACCTCCCGCCTCACGTACTTAGTGATATCTGTTGGCCGTAGGCATAAGGCAGCCTTCTCCCACTGTTACCACGACATATTTATTCGAGCCCCACCTGTGAATCAACCCATTGATAAAGCCACTAATCAAAGATCAAATAGTGTAAATTGTAGCTGCCTCGGGGGTCGGAAGTCGGAAAGATTGCGGGAAGTGCAATTGACAGAAGAATTAGATATATTCATAAAGGTACGACTGGCATGTACATGCTTTTGATTCGTGCTTTGGATTAAGCACGTCCCCGCCTTGAAGCTCCCCGCTACATTGAGGCCAGATTCACATTTAGGTTTGAAGCAAGATACTCTACCCACAATCACCTTAGTGCTTTGCTAATTATGTATAACTTGGTCCGAAAACAATGACTCTAACCTCGAGTTAGGGAGTGTGAGGGAGCCTTAGGGAGCTCGATTTATCGCCCCATATTGCCATGGAGTTATTTGAAGCTGTTGTAAATTCCGGATATGAGCATCGCCGCAATCACTCCAGCAGAGAATGACTTGCGAAGGGGACTCGCATCTGGTAGGGTCCGGCGGAATCAGGAAAGGTAAGTGTTTCAGAGATCAGAACGTTGAACCAGTCGACGCTAGGAAAGTATGGAAAGTTATTCTTTTGACTCGCAGCGAGAATCCGAGGTAGTTCAAGTAAGCTGGTGGGTATACATGTTACATGTGAATGTGTACTTGAGTCTTGTCAGTGTCAGTCTGTCGCCCATAAGTTGGTACTTCTCGTGTTGTGCAATGGTGTTACTACTAGGGACCCGGTTGATTACAGAACCACGACTCCAACGGGTGAACTAATATCATAACCGTAGGAAACGAGTACGCATATGAGAATGTACGCACACTTAGCCTCGATGCCGGCCTGCTATCTATCAGGGTTGGTTGAATCACAGCAAAAGAATATCAGACATTGACAAATTCGCATGCGGTAGAGAAGAGAATTGATGTCCTGACGTTGTGCTTCTAGAATATTGACGGGTTTGGTGGAAACACGTTGGTAGAATCGTCAGAAGTGCCAATGCTGCTGCAGGTCAATGCTTGAGTCTTCGGTGACGAGTCGCAGAATTACGCTGGAACTACAATGCCATCTTCCTGAAATCAGTAGTATCAAGCCTTCCCGGATTCTTGGAATAAAAGTTGGGCCTTGGAAGGATAGACCTGAATCTCCGCGAAAGCTTGCCATTCGAGCTAATTCAAGGTAAGTGCCAGACGCGAAGGTAAGGGGAGGTAAGTTTGTGGATGGATGGCGGTGATCATCTGAATCACAACTAGCTGATTTTATGCGAGTCCTCAGGCTGTTGACACTGTTCAGCGGCAAAGGTCACTGAGGGTACTTAATATGCCACTACAGTTATCCTCTGTCTTTTCATACTCGTTCGGGCTCGCTGCAAGTGACAAAAGAAGTCTAAAGAAGTTAACTTACTCTCACGACCAAACATTGACCAAGCTATGACGCCACAACTCCCGTTGTGCGGCCACGTGATGGTGTTGAAGTTGGAAACCGCGTGAATTCAATTTTACCGACCTTCAACTGTTTTTTCGTCTATTGGACCTCGGTTCTGCTCGTCGTTGCTTCGGGTCCACTCTAATCCTTCATCTATCACCCGACCTTTTTGCCATGTGGCGGAAATTGACGAGCGCGCTCAAGCATGGCGAGCAGGACACGACTTCTACTTCGACTGTATCACAGGGCGACGTTATGGGCAAGGTCCTAGAACAGCATCCAAATCTCTCTATGTTTCATCCAGGGCCTCAGGAAAATGCCCCTAATTCAAGCAGTCCACCACCTTCGCCCACGAAATCTCGACGATCGATGTTCAAACGGGGGTCACGAATGCCTTCAGACGACGATGAACGTGCTCCTTCGCCTTCGCTACCCAAACTTTCTCTGGGAATTCCAAAAAAGGTCAAATCATCACTTTCACTTGCTGGTAACCGTAAGTCTTTGTTTGATCAATTGCAAAACGCTGCTGAAATATTTCCAGAATCTCAATCTTCACTAAGTCGAGCTTCGGGTAAAAATACCCTCAGTGCCGCCACCGCAGAAGCAAATCGAGGTCTTTCACTAGATCTTCTTCGGTCTCCGTCGTCTCCTAATGCAGCATTTGACTCTATACGGTCTTCACCACCAGAATTTCATCAGAGACCTTCGATTGACACACTACGAACTCTGAATGCCGACGCCGACGACATACGGCCTCTTACTCCTGGAATCCTACAAGGCTCAGTACGGTCTATCCTTCGTGACCCCAACACACCTGGTACTGGTAGAAATGTACGATTCTTCTCGAGGGATGCATATCAGGCCGTCACTCCCGAACAATCAACCGATAACGAATATCCACCGCTCTCCGTTCCTCCAGTTATACCCACTGGAAGTGCTGTAGATCTTAGCGAGCCTTCAACTCTGTCCTCAGTCATCATCCGTCCGTCTTCTTCACCGAAGAATGCCAGACCTTCGGTGACAGAGGTCTTTTCTCCAATGCGGCAAGATTCAGAGAACACAAGCAGTGCTTCTCCACCCGTACCGGAGAAGGATACATCAAATTTGCTGGACATGTCCCAGGATATACAATTATCTGCATTCTCGCCTCCTGGTTTAGGCTTTGACATTGATTTGGACAAAGCGCTTGATTTGCCATTATCTGACGACGACAATAGGGACCTTGTTCCGAATGCCATGACCTCGACTCCCTACCGTGGCCCTGCGAGATTGAAGGGCAAAGAGTCAGCTCCTCAAGACTCCGTTCAACCGAGCGTTGATGTGGTTGATGAAAGTATCTTTCATTCCAAAGAAAAGTCTCCCAAATTGCCTTCAATATTGCATGACCGAAGCCATTCCTTCAGTTTTGGTCAAACTGTCTTTTTCTCGATGGCTGATGCATCCAAACGGTCGTCGACGTCGTCTGCAGTACCTTCCCTAACGTCGACTGACACAAAGTCCTCTCCTTCGCCAGTCTCCCTTCATAGTAGCGATTCGCCATCCCAGTCTTCCATTCGGAGTCGTAGTCGTGCACTTAGTGACACAGTCTTCCATTCCATGTTGCGATCATCGCCTATTAACAGCAAACCTCCGGAAGCCGACATCAACGACGAGTCGTCTTCGGAGCTCGTAGTATATGATCCTGCCAAACCTGAACCTGACCCATTCAGTGCCACAGCGAATACATATTACACTCCTCAGACTATGATTCCCGTTACACCTCCGAGGGGTTTGCCAAATCATGCTCGAAAAACGTCTCGCGAGGATAGCATCATTGTTTCCCTCCAAACTCAGCTTGCCCTACAGAGTGAACTCTGTGGGCAGTATGAGACCGACCTTCGTGCCCGGGATGAAATGGTCCAGATTTTGGGTCAAAAGGTTAATGATCTAGAGAAGGAGGAACTAAAGCGAAAAGGTATTTTGAGGGCCTGGAAGAAAAAAGTTGCTGAACTGGAGCGAACGTGTCGCTTCCTTGAAGAGGAGGTTGAAGGGTCACGACAGGAGAGCATGGACCGGAGTATAATGGACGAGGCTAGTGGTGAAGCCTTGCGTATGCTCCACCGTCAAATAGCCAGTCTTGAACGAGACAAGGGTGAAATGGCACGACGCGAAGAGGCTCTTCGAGATGAAGTTCAGGCATTGGAAAACATCGTGCAGGACCGCAGTGAGGAGATTCTCAGTCTGAAGGAAACGGTCTGGAGTCGCGACGAGAGTCAACGGGAGCTTCAACAGGGCCTGCGGGAGGCACAGGAGCAGATCGAGCAGATCGGGAATATTAGTATGGTAACAATGGATTTGGCCTCCGTCGTGGGTGACGGCAAGAACGACGATGAAAAAGAGGAGGAGCGGGAAAGACATCGGTTAGCGGAAGTAGAATGGGAGAAGCAACGCACGGAAATGATCATGACGACGGAGAAGGCAAAAGCTGAAACTGTTGCTTTGGAGGGCCAAAACGAAAAACTCAGGCAGCAACTGAAGACGACTGATGATGAATTGACGATGTTGAAGAACGAACTTGAAGCGCAGTGGGGACATAGTGAAAAGGCTAGCGAGAGGATTGAGGCATTGGAAGAAGAGAAACGTGAAATTGAGAAGGAGCGTCATGCTTTGAGTGGGGATGTGGAGGAGTTGCAGGAACGCCTAGGTGTTGTGGAAGGCCAAAAGACCGATTTGGAAAACGAGTGCCAGTCTCTGACTGCCACGATCGAGCAGCTGGAAGAAAGGATAGGAAATATGGAGGTGGAATGGGAAGAGAGTGAAAACAGGCGTGCCGACCTGGAGGATGCGAAGAAGGCATTGGAGGATGAGATGCACCAGGTTACTGAGGAACTGCAACAACAGCTCCAATCGGTAAGCACTTGTCATATTTTTCTTTTCCGTGTACTGATTTTTTCTGCAGGCGAAAGACCAAGTCCGTTATAAGCATGAGCACGCCGAACGCATAGCTCAGACTATGAAGGAAAGCGAGACCCGTATCGCCGAACTCGAACTGGAGCGCCAATACTCCCTCAGTGAAATATCGCGGCTCGAATCCAACGTCAAACAACGTGATGCTGATGTTGGGACTTACTCTTCACGCGTCGTCGATTTGGAGAAAGAAATCGAAACCCTGCGCGAACGGCTGAGCAACATCAACAGAGATCACGCTCGGGTAATGAACGAACAGGAGAGGGCGCTTCAGGCGGCTACTGAACACGATGGTGAAACCACGGAACAGATGAAAGATTTGTTGAAGCGACAGGGCGAGCAGAACGCGGAGCTTCGTATGAATAAGGATAAGGTCAATAATCTGCAAGCCGAGCTCGACAGATTGAGACGACAGGTACATACGCTGCAACAAGAGAGTGCTGACAAGGAGGTCAAGATCGTTCAACTATCCAAGCAGCACGACCATGCCAAGGAAGACCTCATGCAGATGAACATGGCTTTGGATTCGAAGCAACAAGAACTGGAATTGGTATGTCCCATGATTTCTCTTCCCATTTCGTCCATTCAGGTTTACCCACGACCTTTTCATGTGCAGCTCAAACGCCGCCACAATGTTCGGGGTACTGCCGGGTCTACCAGTAGCACACCTGCTCCCTCCCGGGTCAGCCGTCGTGATTCCGCGGTGTTCTCTACCCCTTCGACGTCTCGACCCTCGTCTGTTATATCTATTGGTTCAGACAAGGAGTCCAACACGGGCAAAAGCACGGTTACGAAGGAGCGGAAGCTCTCCTCGGAAAGTGTGCTACCCAAGATGAACACATTGGCAAAGAGTACCCGGATGAATGGCCCGGCTCCCAGTGCGAATGTAAGTATGGGTCCACCATCTACAGCAAAACCTCGCTTGGGTGGAACTATGGGTCCTCCACGGATGTCTATGGGCACACCGACTCCTATTGCGCGTGTAGCTTCCCTCTCTCGATCTACGACGACAAAGCCGGCATTAGTGTCCTCTTCAACATCTTCAGGTGCAGTCGCTCATCATCGACGGTCTTCCGCCTTAGCCGGTGGAAGCGGGAGTTCAACAACCGCTGGTAGCATGAAGCAACCGTCATCGATGCCGAGCGTTCCTACAACTCTCCCATCTGCTCCTGTCACCCCTTTGCCAATAAGCAATCTCGCGAATTTGATGGAAGAGAAGGAGAATCTTGATACCCTGCATAACCTCGATGCAACGCCAGCCAAAGCGGATAGGGGAGATAGAAGGAGGAGTATGATACCCACCCCTGCATGAAAGACCGAAACCGCTCAAAATCCGTATAGCCATCTTCCTTATATCCATTTGGACTTGACTCCATTTTGGACTTGACTCGTATATCTTGAACAATGACTTTGATATGGTGACCATTCACGTCCTCGATTCTTCATCCGGGGAGTCACGTATTCTTCACACCTTTCTCTCTCGATCGGCATCCAGAATTTCCACACTGTCTCTGCTCGTGTACATATAACAAAGTCCCTCCCTTCATCTTATCTCTATCATCAGAATCCACATACGATTCTATCTGATCTCAAACAGCGTATTTATTGACCATCTCATCCAATCATCCGATATCGAACAACCACACTTTGAAATACTTATTACTCTCTGTTTTCGTTGTCGCTATGTTTGATTTCCTTTCTCCTTTTTTTTTCTTTTCTGCTATCTGATGATGTGCTGTGTAAGACTACTCTACGAATATCTCTTCAAATAAAACACTGGTTACTAGAAAAAGATACAGTAGACTAAATCCGACCCCCGGAGTTAATCCCGAGTCCTCGACTCTTCGTTGATCATGCATCATGAGTGGCATCACAATGACCCTTGATATCGGCCTCGTGGGTGCATGTACTTATTATTTACTCGTTTACTTTTGCTACTACACTGTACACACCTACACCATAACGACCAAAACGACGATGACACGATTCTGACCTGCTGGAAGCACACCGGAACATTGGTATTCGGACATTCAACTATAAACGATTCGAACGACTTGAACGATTTTCTTGGAAAAGCATCATAAAATTATCACGACAATGTCTCCTCCTCCTCCTCCAGTCTTTCCTATATTCCTTACCCCACCTGCTAAAGAATCATTCCCCGTCGTTCAGTCCGCTCATGAGCACCTTCGACATGCTTCAGACACGATCCATCAACACAGGTATTCATTGGCGTCGCAGCTGAAGGGGTTTGATAGCCGTTGGGCGCAGTGAGTTACACCTTGTTTAAACGAATTTCTTTCATACCGTCATATGTTGTTAGGATTCGGACTTCGTCTTTTAATAGTTTACTGATCAATGCTATATTTGTGTGTGTAGCCTATTCAGTGTCGCCCCAGTGCTCAATAAATTAACCAAAGGCAGACAACGACCAGATGAATTTCGTAAGAATGCACAGGGCTTAGATGATGATGTTCAGGTGCGGGCTGCTTGCTTGCTTCGAGTAGGCGACCAGTGTCCGATTATCAATTTGATTCCAGGTTGCACTCGAAGAGGCTCGGAAACGAAAATATTCCCAAACACGATTCGCGGACGAGCAGGATAGTATCATCCCTGGACCACCACCGTCAGATACAATATATTCGAAGGTTTCTAGGAAGGTGTGTACACAATTCTCTTATATCTCCTCTCTTCTCGGAAGCAGTCAAATCTATTTATGCTCATGGCGTTTTAGGTGAAAGCACTATCGTCGATCCTGGAACGTGTTGAACGAGGCGATCAAGTTCAACCTGGGGCATCCAGGACATCCAAAAGTCCACATGTATCATCGAAAACATCCAGTCAGTCGAAACAGTCGAAATCTCGAGCCAAAAGTCCAACAAAAAGTCCATCCGAACAATCGAAGGCAAGATCTTCCAAGCTGACGGTAAGTATATCAGATATATATACCTTCCACATCTAGGCATTCACTTTCATATATCCATTCCTATTCCTCTGACTTGTCCTCATTGATATTCTGTAACTGATGAAGATTCCTTGTATTTGCTCTAGGTCAACCAAACTTCCACTCGACGACCTGCCAGGGTCCGGAAGAAGGATTCACGACATAGTATTAGGTCTATACGCAGTGCCAGGTCTATGACTCTAAGGAGTTCTAGCCCTTTTCGTCATCCGAAGCCCAAGCGTTCTTCACGCGACCGACTTCGAACTACCTCTGGTAGAGAAGGGGAACGGGAACGAGATAGGGACAGGGAACGAGACTTAGGGAGAGACCGGGATTACAGGCATAGGGAAGATAGGGATAGATATCGGGATAGGAATAGGGATAGAGATCGTGATAGTAGGGACAGGGATAAGGATAGAGACAGGGATAGAGAACGAGACAGGAATAGCAGGGATAGGGATAGGGATAGGGACAGGGACAGGGAACGAGGGCGGAACAGCAGGGAGAGGGAAGCCAGTCGAGAACGTACAAGAGACACCCGACGTTCTCCACGATCGTCTTCCCGTCACGATCACCACCATCGTTACAGCCCTGAGGGAAAAACTTATTCGCCGAGAAACTTAGGAAACGTAGGACAACCACCTGTACCTGCTCCTCCGCATCCTGTACTCTCCGCTCCTCCAGCACCAGTCATCCCTTCGAATATACCGCCAATCTATGCTCGGTTCGCGAATGGGCATAAATACGAATATGACAATAATGCTGACTTGGAACCATTGCAGCCGCCAGTACTTCCGTTCGTTACTGAGCGGATGGAAAGGAGGAGGGAAGCGAGAGAGCAAAACGGTAGGTCACCGCAGGATCAAAATCCAGACTATCGTCGTGGTCAGCCCCCGCCTTCATCATACCCCCTACCGACATCTTCATATCATCCCCAAAATCCTCAAATCATACCTCCTTCAGATGGAAGGGGCAGAGGCCGTGATCGGTCAAACAGATCTGCACATAGACGGGCAGGTTACAACGGTTACGAGAATTACACTTACTCCTCGACAAGCACGCCTGTGATCCCAGTCATGGCTACTCTGCCTAATTCATCATCTGACCCCATAAACACGAACATTGTGATCCCTGCACCGTCTTCAACACGACACCTCTCTCGATCACGGTACCCACCTCCCAGTAGCAAGGCTAGTCGTAGCCCGTATCTACATACACGAGAGGAGTATGGGTATAAAAATGACCATGGGTACAATGGTTACAATGGGTATAATGATTACAATGGGTATGGACGTGACGGGCGTACCGGTGCTGAGTATCAGGGAGACGGCGGACACAGGTACGAACCCAATTCCAATGTTCGGGATGGTCGAAGTTCTCGAAGTCCTCGAACGCATTATCCTCCTTCTCCTCAACCTACTAGGTCTCCTAAATCACCCCTCATCATGCGCTCGAAATTCAAAGAGAATTTCAGTGTTCTCCAGTCCGAGTCGGGTCGGTAGGCAATATCTGGTAGGGAACAGTTTGATGGTTCAATTAGGGGTTTGACAATCAGGGTAAAGTTGGAATGGGAGTACGAGTGGTGGCTGAGAAAGAGATGCATTTAGATATATCTACTCCAACTTGCGTTCTTATCCAGAGTGCCCGTTGAAATCTCTAAACTCCAGAATAACCAATTCTGATTCGTGTTGCACTGACCTCACGGGCAGAGATTGAAATTATATACATGGAATTCCAATTGAGAGCTAACAATAATGTAGGTAAGTACAACGGGATTTGAGCCTTTTTTTCCTCCTTATCGATGAGCTGATCGATAAGCGTCTATAAAATACTTGCGTTTTACAGTAATCGTCTACACTTTTAAACATTGTGGCAGTTTCGAGATGCATAGCCCTTTCGCTTAGAGAGCACCATCCTTCTTGGCAGCAAACACCAAGAGATCAACAACTCTTCCAGAGTAACCCCACTCGTTGTCGTACCAAGCGATCAACTTGACAAAGTTCTTGTTGAGCTGGATTCCGGCGGTAGCATCGAAGATCGAAGAGTGGTTGTCCCCAATGAAGTCGGTGGAAACAACATGGTCCTCAGTGTAGCCTAAGATACCCTTGAGAGGACCCTCGGAGGCTTCTTTGACAGCAGCCTTGATCTCGTCGTAGGTTGCACTCTTTTCGGTACGGCAAACAAGGTCGACTACCGAAACGTCGAGGGTAGGAACACGGAAGGCAAGACCGCTAAAAGATAGAAAGAATACCACATCAGCGGTGTCATTAGTGAGATAGCTGAGAACAACTCACGTCAACTTTCCGTTGAGCGAAGGAATAACCTTTCCAACAGCCTTAGCAGCACCAGTTGAAGAAGGGATGATGTTTCCGTTGACAGAACGACCGCCACGCCAATCTTTGTTCGAAGGACCATCAACAGTCTTCTGAGTAGCGGTAGTGGCATGGACGGTAGTCATCAGAGCCTCGACGATACCGAATTTGTCGTGGATAACCTTGGCGAGAGGTGCGAGGCAGTTCGTCGTGCAAGAAGCATTGGAGATCTAAGGTATGGTCAGAACTTTGCGAGAAAGAGGGTGGGCCAGTCATACTTACAACAGCATGTTGCGAGTCATAAGAGTCGAGATTGACACCACAAACGTACATAGGTGCATCAGCGGAAGGAGCAGAGATGATGACTTTCTTGGCACCACCCTTCAAGTGAGCAGAGGCCTTTTCAATCGTGGTGAAGACACCCTGTGAGATGGAGAAACAAAATGGCAGGTGATTACCAGATCATGAAAGTGAAATCAGAGTTGACGCACGGTAGACTCGACTATGTACTCTGCACCGACAGAGCTCCAAGGAATAGCACCAGCATCCTTCTCACCGAAGACGGAAATTTCCTTTCCGTCGACGATGAGCTTGCCGCCCTTAGTCTCGACAGTGCCTTTGAAACGTCCGTGGACGGAGTCATACTTGAACATGTAGACCTAGGTAGCACCAGAGTAAAAACATCTCTCAGTACGAAAATGCGATCAGATTGGGGATGCAACCCGCACCATGTACTCAAGAGCAATGAAAGGGCTGTGGAAAATGAATTCCTTTTACGATGCCTAGTATGATGAGACTACGCACTCGTTGACTGCAACAACGTTGACTTCAGGGTTCAACAAAGCATTTCTGAGCACGATACGGCCGATACGACCTAAGAGATGAGACTCAGGAAAGATAGACAGAAGAGACTGATCATTCGCTTACCGAAACTGCAATCATCGTAGAATAAAAGACACGGAAATCGTTTAATCGCGAACCATCTCTAAAACTTTCAACCAAACAACGTACCCGTTGATACCGACTTTGACGGCCTGAATAGACATGGAATGAGCCAAACAGCATAGATGCTATTCTCTGTAGTGATATACATACCATTTTAATTCAAGCAGTCAATGGATTGGAGTGTATTTAGAATCGAAGGTTGTGGAACAAGGAAAAGATGCGGACGAAAAACACAACTGATCCTTTTATAGATAATCGCGCTTCAGTCAAATCTTGATTGCGTGATGTTGTGACTTCGACAATAGCCCTAAAGTCTAGACCCTAAAACACTTTAGTACCTCGGACCTGCGATTGGGTAGGATTTATTGGCCGAGTCCTTTGGGGTGGACTGCCAATCAGCAAACGTTCTTCAGTTCTATCGCCCCATGACTAAGGTTGCCTGGAACCGTGCTCGAGCTTTGGATGGAAGTGCCTTTGAAGAGCCCTGCAAAGTCTTGCAAATGCTACAGCTTCCTCCCTGGCCTGGGTTTGTTGTTCTAGAACTACTCTCATTCTTATCTTCTGCATACAACCATTTCATGCTATCCCAGGATACACCGGTTTCACCGTAGTAGCCTTATGGATGCAACTTTGACGCACTGACAATCTGACTGATATCGACCAATAAGAATAGATAAAACTCCCTGTCCGAGTCCTTTCCGTGATACATGCGGCTCTCCGACTGCACTCTAACGCCGATAGGATACGGGCCCGCTCAGATAACCAGCATAAAGGGATGCTCATGCAACTCTTTTCGGTTTGGCGTAAAACCTGAACTCTCGCATCTACGACAAAACGGATTTATCTGGTGCATATGCAGAGCAAGGGATTAGAGGCAAGGCCTGAAACGAAATACCTCTCAACCGATGTATAATCACTCCCGAGTTAACTGCTATACTCCAGCTAAGGCCATCCTGTACATTAGCGCGACCGGACCCGGCCTCTTCACGAGCTTTCTTGGTCATTGACAATTGTTCACTAAGCTATGCACATGTACGACAAGAGTCGCATCTCACTCTCAGTCTGGAAAGAGAAAAGATTCCGCTCGACGAAATCATAAAAATTCAGTGCAACTGATGTCATGTGACCGGGGATATGCCCGATATGGCTTGTCACAAGATATATCAGTTATGCTGCAACTTATGAGCGTATTCGCAACCACCTCAAACTTCGAATTCGCTGCAAGAAGGTTTCGAAACGAAATCGACGATTATCTGCAAAGAAATCACGCGCGTTAAGAGATGAAGGATCATCTGAAACCTTTCCGAAGTGACTTACTAATGTTTCTACCGCGGCCGACCGCCTCGACGGTCAAATTAGTTGTCTCGATTCGCCAGACTAATCCTGGACTAATCAGCAAAAACGGAACTGCACCACCTTGCACCACTCTCTGCATTCATAATCTTCAGGTATATAGGTAGGATCTACCTGCTGCTGCAGGCCCCGAACCCGAAAGGGTTTCACTCTAGATCTCAACTTGGGTCACAACAAAGTCAATTTTTCTTTGAAGCTATTCACTATTCTCCATGAGACTGCTGTGATATGCCACCAAGTACAAAAACCTGGTTCGTGCAGTATTCTATCCGTCCTGTCATAGATAGGTGTTCATTCAAATAGATTTTCGACAGAATTGGAGATTTATGGATGGAACTGGCTTTCGAAAATTCTGACCAAATGTGTGCCTGCTCGTTCCTCGAGATCTTCATCATACACTAGAAAAATTTCAAATGAAAAATTGATGAAATTCCTTCAAAGAACCGTGCAACAGTGTATAGAGCTACAAATAGCACCGAAAATCAGAAATCCTCCCATCTATTACCGTATCGCGTGCGGGTTGGGTTCGTACGTGCCACTGGCAAAGAGATGTTTTGGGAATATAACGTGGTACCCCTTGTTAATAGATGGCAGACCCCCCACAAAACCTACAGTGCAGTCACCCTTCTCCTTGCACTCGCCCATCCCATGGAAGTCGACTTCATAATTATGTGGACCATTTGCCCTTTGACTTATGAATGTGTTTTCCAACTGCACCACGGGGCAGTCCCTGGGTTTAATCGTCAAGAATTCCGCATAAGATTCTACAAGCTTTTGCAGTTCAGCTTTAACCTCCTTTGGTGCGCTCGGTGTCCCGGAATCGATGCCCCAAGGTTCACGGAACTTGACAAAGACTGTCGGCACCTACATACAAAGGGAGATCGGTCATTATTCACTTCGTTGAAAAGATGACCAGAGCAATGTACTCACAGGGGCTGCCTTCACAGAAGATATGACACTAAGTCCGATACCAGCAACGACGACAACAACATAGGTAAGATTCAAGCGCATGAGGGAGGGGATTTAGTAACAGCGATTGATCTTTTTCGATGAGAGGAAAGGCTATGGACAAAGTGTTTAGGCCTAAGAAGATCCAAATGTCATAGAGTGTAAGTCATGAAGAGCTGCCAATAAGGACTTACGAGGCTTGGTAGCAGAAGAATTATAGCAGCGACTGTCCAGCAGTCGTCGGAAGGAAACTAACTCCCCCCCTCAACTTTCATCTTCTCTTTATATCGAACGTATTTTAAATTTTCGCTCGCATATATACCTCCAAACCTGTGCTTCGATCCGACGGCGCATATTCTAGGGTTTGTCAGGGGTTCGTTACACATGCCACAGTTCAGGTCTTCAGGCAATCCTCAGCCTTGTCAGCTCCTTGCCTCTTCCTGTACCCATTGTGTACATATCAGTGCATATACCCTCATATATCACTCATATATCCCGTCTTCGATCCAGCAGTCTTTCGCTGATGTTCAAGGCAGTTCAGGGAGCTTAGGGTCAACTCGACATAGTCTCTAGGCAACAATCTGTTGAACACAGAACACTTACTGCAACGCAACACATCAACAACCGTCTGTTTCCCCCCTCCAGCCCTCTCCATTCTCGACCCTTCCTCAAAATTTCCTTTCCAAAGTTTTACCCAAAGTCTCCATCACTACTGCAATACTGCACCTTTGGTTCTCACATAACCACATATCCACACCCTCGGAGTTTCTTGCGTACACTGCGTCCCCCAAGTATTTGTCCGCGTTGATCACAGGCCCAGTATGCAACTGGATACTGTGTGTGTAGTACACGTCAAATTTGAGCGTATTATGTATACCATGTTTTCGAACCTGCGTTCCAAATTATTGCCGCCGAATCACTGAGTCCTGGCACAGTCGAAGATAGAACACATGGTTATCATTGACGGCAAGAATTGCTATACGAATATAGGACATGGCCAGACCAGAACGCAGGAACGAAGAAACGAAGGACACGAGATACAGGTCATCTGCTCATATCATTATCAGTACCGGTGCGAGATCTATAACTATAAGTACTCCCCAATATTCTCATCCTAGTCAAGATTCCAGCAAAGTTCTTTCCCTAACACAACCTACTAATCATCATGCCTCTTGCTAGCGCATTGCGATACACACGACATGCTTCATTGTCCATACGCAGTGCCGTTCGACCAGCGTGTATCGCGAGCCATACCCAACTAGGACCTTCAATCCACACACGCCTGTTCTCCTCATCGCCCTCCCTTTCTTCTGAGAAGAAGCCCCAATCAGTCTCTCCGTTCGCTCCGATTGGAGTTGACAGCGCCATGAAAACGCGCTCCAATCTTCCTAATTCGACTCCTCGCAAAATCTTCTCGGAAATTGCTATTCCTGACCGCGTAGGCATCGTCTCTGGCGGCGGACGAGGCATAGGACTAGAGATGGCCATGGCATTATGCGAGGCTGGTAAGTCCGGGCATGCAATCAAAACTCTATTCGAGTTCCTACATGCATTCTTTAGGTGCACGAGCGATATACTGCTTCGATATTCACGAGAAGCCGACAGAGGAATGGGAGGCCGTTAAGGAATATGTGGGTCGGTTAGAGCAGAACCCGTATACGGGTTCACCCTCGCGTTTGGAATACGTCAAAGTCGATGTGACAGACCAATCCGCTGTATGGAAATGTGCGGAGGAAATAGGCAATAAGGAAGGGAGGATGGACGTGTGCGTTGCTGCAGCGGGGGTTTTGAAACCAGAGAAGGACGTGCTGCAATATCCAGGGGATGAGTTCAGGGAGGTGAGTGAGGCCTGAACCTTCGTAGCGGTTTCTTCGACCTTGTCTGTGCACGTTTATTTATCGAGTTTTACAGGTCATGAGCATCAACGTGAACGGCGTCCTGTTCACTGCGCAAGCAGCTGGTCAACAAATGCGGCGTTTCGGGAACAAAGGGAGTATCATCTTGATTGCTTCGATGAGTGGAAGCATCACTAATCATGTAAATGTCATTTACCAAATGTAGTTGTTCAAATACTAATCGATATTTCAAGGGCCATGCGTGGATTGCATACAACACTAGCAAGTCTGCCGTCCTACAAATGACACGAAGCATGGCATGTGAGTTGGGCAGTGAGGGAATCAGGGTCAACTCACTTTCTCCGGGGCATATTTATACCAAGTATGTCCTTTGATCTTGAGTCCTCGCTCCCGCTCCCTTCTGAATTCACAATCACAGAATGACCGCCCAATACCTTGAGCCACAACCACATCTTGAGGAAAAATGGAGCTCTCTCAACCCCTTGGGCCGACTCGGTCGAGTGGACGAGATGAGAGGTGTGGCAGTCTGGCTCGCAAGCGATGCCTCAACGTATTGTACTGGATCCGAGTGAGTCTCTAGGTCTTGTCCTGACTTAATCGAAGTTAAAGCATTCTGCTCTATCCAGTATCCTTGTTGATGGGGGCCATCATGCGTGGTAAGGCTCGCGATAATACCTTTTTTTTCATTTGGTGTCAAGTGGTGGTGTCGTGTACATGTGGGGAATCAAGTCTAGATTCAATTTCCTTTGGCAGAAAAAAAAGACCTTTAAACATAAAGATTTATGTCGAGTAGTATTGCAGTATGGGCACATATCATCCGGAGTTATAGAGCTTTTGCATAAGTGGACATAGTAGGGCGTTCAACCTGAGATGATCAGTGTGTAAAAGAAGACAAGCTCTCAATAATGTCATCACACGGTATCATTTTTTGAATTCTTACCACCAGCTACAGTCAAATGTGATGCTACTATCTGGAATCATTTTATTACTGAACACGCTCACCAATCTCGACGTTGACACGTACCGCATATCTCAAGTCAAATCAAAACTTCAGAAAGCGTCTGGGGTCAGTTCCAGTCCATTGACTGCGACTATAAGCGGTTGCTGACTCGTATACGTAGTAGCAATATCACCAGTTTGGTCCTTTGCTGATCCTACATACGTGTGACGACGGTGTTGAACATGGCCAGCAATTGAAATCAAATCAGGTTCGGGAAATGACCTCAAGTAATTTTAACGCAGTAGCGACGGCGCTGAATTTTCTCGTTGTTGCCCACGCCGTCGTCTTTCTCAAGCTCGCAATTAACCTTGCCTTCCTCAACTTCGCTCATGCACATTGAAAGAAGACGGTACTAGATTTGCTGCCCTTCTAAAGTTTCAAGCGCAGGTCCCTTGCGCCTACGATTGGCACTAATAGTTGCCCAATGATGCGTCCCGATGCGTCTTATCTATATGCATCCATTGGGTTCTCCCTCGGGCACGCAAACACTGGTTCATCGGTGATACTCGAGTATAGGTAGCGGAATGAGCTTCGAGTCGTGAAGTCGAATACTTATTTATATATACAGGTATAGTAAGCGGATGTAGCCTTCGAAAACTCCGTAGCTGGGTCTCTTCTCGATGAGCACGCATTATTGAGTGATAGGATCTGGATAGGATGTATTGATGGCGCCAGTAACATAGAGAAAGTTTCGTGGGACCCTCACAATCCATCACTTGACCAAAACTTGTTCCTCATGATATGTCCGTGTCCTTCGACTGAGAAACCTTAGAGTTCTGCAGCTTCATATAAACAGTAACTTCAATACCTCTAGTCATTGACTTTCTTCAGACTTTCACACCGTTGTGTGCCTGTATCTGTTTCTCAAGTTCTCTATCCCATGTCAAACCGATGCTTCCAGTCTTCTCGAGGGCTATCGATGTGCTCATGTTATATGGATACTATTCAAGGGCATACTCATTATAAAATCGGACGGTATACACAGCGTAGGCTACGAGAAGGTCGGGTTGCAATCTGAATGTGCGTTTTCCTGCATCTTCGTTTCCAGAGTCTTGTCTGAGTCTCCAATTCTTCAATCACAGAAAATCATGGCGCCCTCCAGATGACAAGTATCGAAAAAGAGATCAACTATCGTTTCGACGTGTTGACACGTTACTTTTGCATTCGATCTTGCCTCCAGGACTGTACGATAGTGGCATCATGATACGACTACTAGAACTCCTATAGCACATCCGGTTGCGTGGTCTCATCAGGTTTTTGAATCTGCTATTTCCTTTTCAGGTTTGAACGCTCAATAACCTGTTGGTCTTAGCGGCGCTTCCCAGTTCCGTACAAGAACATTAATTCAACAACCTTTCATTGGATAATCTCTGACAATGTGGTACCTCAGCTTCTGTAGTTCTGCGAACGTGTGCCCATCACGAACGAGTCGCCCATAACAGACTCAATCCTCCCTCACGTCCTTTTAACTCCTTTGAGCCGCTAACATCGATGCTAATATGACGACTTGCCATTTGTACTGTTAGTGTATCGCTGCAGTCTTCAATCAATCGTGTAACATGAAGCGTAAGGATTTTAACTACCATCGAAGCTGGCCTTGAGTTCACGTCTAGAAATGCTTCATAGGGTTTTCAGAACATACTACAATGTGGAAAGGAACAGGTACGTGTCATGTCTCGGCCCATCTCATTCACAGTCTGACGCGGGAAACTATTTACAGTGCACGGCTCTATCCATATCTCTATCCATCCCTTCGAATGGGGCGAGTCAAATCAGCAGCGGAAGCCCGAATGGGAGCCTCGGCAATAGACGATGGGTCGAGTGAAACTGTGCTTGGGGTATGTTTAACCTTGATTCCACGTTAGCGATCTGTGTGATATAAGAATTTCCATAGGTTCAATCAATAGGGTGCGATTTCAGATTCACGACTGTCGACGTTGAAGGTATATCCCGGATATCTACTACGAAGGTCATCTGAATCCCGAAAGACGGTGAATACCGGAACCCACACATGCCTTCACCGTCGAGATTGCACTAGCGAAGTTTGTGATAGACAATGCTTGTGTACGTAGTTTTCCGGGGTGCGCTATTACCAAGATGTTTTTGGTTGCTTCAATCGCATTGTGAGTGCGGCCGATGAGCAATACGCAAGCAACTTGTGTGAACAGAGCAATTCAAGTTTTCTTTTTCTTTCCTTCGAATTCTTCTCGAGTTCCGGACATCTTGGCTCTGTTGATGACTCATTGCTGAGCTGGCAGATTCCTGTACTCAGTCCCATTCGGGTTCCATCATCTTGTAGGGAAGTTTTATGAACGTCCTTGGTTCTGAGACAAGTGAGTATTTGCTGAATTGATCCAGGACTATGTTTGACATTCCTTTATTACAGCAAACCCGATTTTGATACAGTATACCATCCCAAATCATATCAGAAACTCAGTGTCTAGTTTAGCTACACATTGTTGTGTTCAAAGTTCCTCTCAAGGGGAATGCCAGTGGATATGGGAGGATACTCTTCCAAAACATCTCACTGTAGGAGAAACTCTGAACATAACAATGTGTGGAAATTTTACGTATGAAAAGGTGCATGATTCTGTACGTAAATCCTAGTTCAGTTTAACTTATGTTGTATTGTTTCTCTGTGATCAAGACTGCAGCTGGCTTCATTTTGCCAATGTTTAGGTCTTATGGTTAGTTCCTGTGATTATATTTATATCTTTCTATGCAAACTATCTTATGTGGTTCATTAGGTTATATTATCAAGTTCTAGGGTGAGTCATCATGCATTATCAATCAACTAATACACTTCATTATTGACTTGTGTAAAGGTCAGGTACCTGGAGGCTGAGGTGGTGCAAAAATTGGGTTTACCTGCTTTAGGTTGAATACTGGTGAGCTATTGCACATACTGCACGATCACATGATCTCCTTTAGCACCATGTGCACTCTATACAGGTAAACAAATACATGTAAACTCAAATGGGTATATAACCAGTGAAACAATGCTTGATATTGTTCCTGCCTCTCTCTTTTCATCCCTCATCTACACACCTGAAGAAGAACACTGAGTTGTGACTCCTTTGATAATGTTCACTCCAAATTCGGAAGTTCCTGCGAAGACCGAGGTTGCATCAAAATGTGACAACACATCCTTGCTGTATAATGTGTCGAAGAACGGAAAGGCGCGAAAAGATGATGGAGTTGACGATGTCAACGAGACTTATAAAACCATCCTCGCGCGTATCGCTGAACTAGAGGATGTCTTGGATCGAACCGAGCTGGGGTTAGTTTTATTGCAAGATGGCCAACCGCAGAATAAAAAGGTTAGAGTCGAGGGAGTGGATGTTTGGCGCCGTGAGATCCGACAGTGAGACTACATTTTTTGGTGGTCCTTGACGATATTGATATACTGCCGTATGCATAGGATTCGAGCCCAAGCGATGACGCCAACGTTGATCGCTGTGACCGGCGGTGAGTACACTAAAAGAGCCACTTATCTGAAAAAGGGCCTTGATGATTTTGGATAGCGACCGGGGCTGGGAAAAGCACACTGCTGAATGCACTGCTTGATCGTGAGTACTCGAATTCAGAGATCAAGGAAACTAATCAACTTTGCTGCTCACAGGGATAATCGTACCGACAAGTGGTATGCGAGGTGAGTATCCCAAACTGTGTAGAATTTGAATCAATGTGCGAATTTTGATCTCTTGTTGCAGCTTGTACCTCTGTAGCAACTAAGATTTCGTACCACTCCGAAACTAGTATCACAGCTGCGATCGATTTTCTCACTCGAGAGGAATGGGCGATTGAAATTCAAATGGGATTAGGGGATATCAAAGACAAAGGTGAAGAGAAAGAGAATGACAATTTGGAAATACGGGCGAACGCTAAAGGTTTGAAACACGGAAAGAAAAGAGCAAAGACGAGAGAACAGAGAGGTTTTGGAATGGCCTGGGATAAGGTGCGTGCATCTCCTTTCATAATTGCATCGTTCATTCTTCCTCTCATTGTTACTCTATTTGCGTCCTGTGCTATACTGCATTTAAGGATAAATTGGCTCATTATTGACACTAGATCCATGCAGTATACCCCAACTTGAGCCCAGACGAGTTCGCAAAGTTCACGACTGCAGAGGATGTCCTATCTAATTCAGCCTTTGATGGTGAGTAATATCCTTTCCAATGGTCCCTTTCATATGATTCATGCTCAACACTCATTTGTATCATCATAGGGATTACTAAAAGACTTGGGACATCCGAAACGATTACTTGCGACACCTCTGCAGAGTTCGCGAAAGCTATATCAATTTATATTGATGCAAAACCCGTTCAGAATCAATCGTCTCACCGCCAACCTATGCCCAGTCATGTAGATGGCGCCGAATCGACACTACACCCCTCCGGTGCACTCTGGCCCTTAGTTCGAGAAGTGCACATACGTTGCAATGCCAAATGTCTTTCGACCGGTGCTACGTTGGTCGATCTTCCTGGTCAGTCTTTCCGTTGCTCATACTACGTAGTTTATCCGAACTTCCATGACCCGCGCCTATTGCCCGCCGTAGTCAACGTCAGTATTCATTATCACTTACAGGCATAGGCGACTCCAACGCCGCTCGGAGTGCAGTTGCCGAGCGATACTTGGCACATTGTGATTGCGTTTGGGTAGTGGCACCGATCCACAGGGCGGTCAATGATGAACATGCGAAAGGTGAGTTTAATTCTTCACTCAAAGTCACCTTTTGGAATGTGTCCTTGCATCTGACCTTTTCTGTAGAACTTCTCGATCGAGCGTTCAAGACACAACTTCTCAGTAAGTCCTGTTTCATACTATTCAGATATGTACTCACACCTTTTTTTGTGCTAGTGGGTGAGTCCTACTATCATTTTGGTATGTAGAATGAAAGAAGCAATTTGAATCTCACAGACGGAAAATTAAGGTTTGTATCTTTCACCTTTACGCACACTGCTCAACCTACAACTAATCTCTATATTAAAATTGGTCGAAGTTCAAAAGACTCGATAACCTTTATAGGTTCGTGTCTACTTTCTGACTCAATCTGTGAAACGGTATTCATGAGAGCATTCAACATACAGCGAGCAAATGCGATGACATCCTGGTCTCTGAAGCAATCGAGAATCTTGACCTTGCAAACACGACCGTACTTAGACAATTCAACCACGATATAGAACAGAAGGAATCAGAATTATCTCATTACAAGAAGATACTTCAGGGTAAGCCTATCCAAGTCGTACGGGGAAAGAAATATTTTTATTATTGTGTTAGAATCGTGGTTTTCAATGTCCGGGTCACCATTGAACGAGGAGCTCTTCAAGCGTAGAGCGCAGCTTTTCCAAACAACTCCAATCGTTCCTTCTCAACCAACAACCAAGCGAAGCTCGGATGTCCCGAACTTTAATACCGGTCCCAATAAGAAGATCAAATGCGAGTTTGTTTTGGCAAGCTCCAGTGCCGTGTCTGATTCGACGACCTTCAATACCTCCCAATTATCTCATGATCTTAATCTGGGAACTCAAACTTATACCCAAAACAATCAAGCCATGACGAAAGTTGATGTCAATGATCCGCAGGTCTACATGGAGCGTCAGGATAAGTATATAGAGGGTTTAAGGAAAGAACTGATGGTTCTGCAGCAAGGTAGAGATGATTTCATTACTCGGGAACGAAATGAGGTTAGTGCTTTATCATTACAAGGACGGAGTTGTGTACCGTTTGACGAGTTTTTGTGTAGACCTTCAAACAACAACTAAGAGAAGATGTTTATTGTGAATTGGAGGACATCATTCAAGGTTGGTGTCAACTCACAATTCCGTCAATCCTCGAAACAACTCAATCCTTATACTTTCATTATATGACATTAATATGGCGTCTGAAGATGCAAGTATGTGCAGTCAATCTTGGATTTTCATGTCTGTAGATTTGAACGGGGGGTTCCACATCTAGGCGTCATGAATACCGACGGGTTTGATTTTCCTGTGTTCACTTGTTCCAGTCGAAATTATCTTAAGATAAAAGGTGGGTATTCATAACTTTTCTCTTGCTTGCTTATTTATGATTCCCTGGTCCAGATTCCGCCTCTGATGAGCGGTGTGAACACTTGGATATCGTACAGACAGAGATTCCTCTCCTACAAGAATGGATCCACCAAATAACCAATACTTCACATCAGAAAGAGCTAGGGCTTATGTCGGATATGTTGAACACTCTGGCTCAAGCAGTAAAAACCTTCTGTCAGGACAATGCTGGAGGACTCACTACATCTGAACAAACCGCTATCAAACAAAAATGGAGATCGAAGGTACTCGCCTCAGGCAAAGTCGAGAACTCCGAAGCCATCGCCGTACGTTTACAGAAAGTAAGTTCTATCTCTATTCTCGAATACATAACGTCCCAATTACTTGTTGATTTCATCAGATCCTTAGTCCCTGCGTTGAAAGTATATCATTCTACCAAGTGTTCCAGGAAAATTTGGAACAGGACATCCGTCAAGCTGCCATGGACGTGCGTTCATTTCTAATTCCTAAAGTCAAAAAGTTTATGCCCATCTAGGCGGCATCGGAGGTATTGGAGCTGTATGAGTCTATCGTAACGGAGTCTAAGATGCACGGAAATACATACCGCGCAGGTGGGCTGATCAGTCAAATCGTAAGTAACACCCACTAACCTTGGTGCATACAGTGATCCGCCATCACGGTGAATTCAATTCGTCGAACGGGCTTGACCTCGACCTGAACAAAATTCTCACCTCCACAATGAAGGAGGGCCTGGCCCAGTCATGGGCAGCATTCTTCAATAAGCACCATTTCGACTCTTTGGAATCAGACGTCATCAGTGTTATCGGGGAATTCTTAGTCGAACTGTCCAATGAAGTGACTTTATCCCCGATCAAAAGCTTTCTTGAAAAACACAAGGATGGAATCATTAAGAAAGCGCGTATACTTGTTCGGCATGCCATTCGCAAAGTTCAGCGTCAAATCGATCAAGAGCAGAAGGGGGTGGGGAGGGGACTTGGACCTCAAATACAAAAACTGTTGATGGCTACGTACATTGAGGCCGGAAAAATATCAGGAAAAGGTTGCGCCCAAGCACAAAAGGTTGTTCCTATGTCTGCACTTATTCCAGGCATAAACTTACTCCCTTCCAGAAAATCATGCATGGATATATCGACGAAGAGGCAAATAATTTGTTCGAGGGGCTGGCAAAATTTCTTATAGAGGGTGTCAAAAGCATTTCCCGAGAGGTGGAAAAGTGTATAAAAGCTGATTGCAGTCATCTTGCTCAGAAGGTATAATCTGCAACAACTCCGTCAAAAACCATAGACTAAGATTACATTTCTCAGGTAGAATTCACCGTAGCTGAGCTGTGGAAACCAGACCATAAAGCCCTCCCATTGCAAGTTCGCGCGGCTCTCAGCGATGTAGAACGAGTGGCAGACGGTATTACACAGATGCTAGCACGACAAATGATGGGATAAGCAAACGCGTGGCCTGAGGAACATCTGTCTTGTAATTTTTTTGTGGTTTGTCGTATAAACTGTAATCGCTGTCAACTACGTGGATAAAAAAGATTGATTCTAGTCTCGACGAGGTACTTTGAGTCTGTGACTCGAGTGTGGTCTTAGAAAGAATATGGGAGATAGACGGGCATGCGCGGTTGACATTTCGTAGTATGTCGGGAAAGTGCTGCGACTCCAACCGTCACTAGTCATGATATCGATAGTGATCAGATAATAACAGAGGAAATGGCGCTCTTTTGAGAGAGAATAATTTAGCGGAGAGAATAGGAGCGGAAGCAATTCGGCCGATCAACTCGATATCACGTGAAGCCGACGTTAATTACGCGTTGGAGATTGGGTAACGACCGAGTAACTCTTCCTCTGAACCCTTCACTCATCTCCATCTCCAAGCAACAAAATGGTCAAGGCTGTCGTTCTTGGTGCTGCAGGTGCCGTAGCCATTAACTGAATATCTGACAAATATCTAAGACATAGTTCAAAGGCGGTATCGGTCAACCACTATCCCTTCTGCTGAAGTGCAATCCCCTCATCACAGAGGTATGTTTTCATCAGATCCCAGCGATCTCAATAAAGTCTCATGCTATGCTGTAGCTTAGTCTCTATGATATCGTGAACACTCCCGGAGTTGCTGCAGATCTTTCTCACATCGCGACACCTGCTAAAGTCGCGGGCTTCTTGCCACCGGATGAAGGACTGACGAAGGCATTGACCGGTGCTCAACTTGTGATCATTCCTGCTGGTGTGCCGCGTAAACCTGGAGTGAGTAGCATCGAAGTATATCTGGCATAAAAGATTTCCTGAACAGTCATTCTTTCTTTAGATGTCGAGGTAAGAGCTCAACGCATATCGATTACACATCTATTGATCTTGAACTCTAGGGATGATCTTTTCAAGGTAAATATATGATTCAGTTTGAAGTATCGACTGTTGACACATGGATATCAGATCAACGCAGGTATTGTGGAAGGTCTTGCTACTGGCATTGCTACCACTGCTCCAAAGGCATTCGTACTTGTCATCTCCAATCCTGTGAACTCCACGGTTCCCATCGTCGCTGAAGTTTTCAAGAAGCATAATGTCTTTGACCCAAAGAGGTGTGTTCTCTCTGCAATTGTTAATTCCTCGGTTTCTCAGGTGTTGAATCCTCATATAGGATCTTTGGTGTCACCACCCTTGACGTCGTTCGCGCATCCACATTTGTCGCCGATATTATTGGCGATCTGTCAAAGGCTCCCGATGTTGTTGTTCCAGTTGTTGGTGGACATAGTGGTGTTACCGTGAGTCGCAACTTTTCCAGATTTGAACATATCTCATTAATGGCATAGATCGTTCCTTTACTCTCTCAATCTTCCCATCCTCTTCCAAGCGGATTTTCAGGCGAGAAATTGGACGCTCTTGTCAACCGCATCCAATTCGGTGGTGATGAAGTTGTCAAAGCTAAGGACGGTGCAGGATCCGCAACTCTTTCCATGGCGTATGCTGGTGCAGAGTTCGCAATTAAGGTGATCAATGCCATGAAAGGACAGAAGGGCATTATTGCACCTAGCTTCGTTCATCTCACCGCCGACCCTGCTGGCGGTGAAGCTCTGAAGAAAGAGATTGGCGCCGACCTTGAATATTTCTCTGCTCCAGTGGAACTTGGGGTTAGTGGATTTTTTTTCTACGCTGAACCTCAATTTACCCTTCCCTTGTAGCCTGATGGTGTTATCAAAATCAATCCTCTTGGCAAGATTACCGATGCTGAAAAGAAGTTAGTGGAAGCTGCTGTTCCTGATCTCACGAAGAACATACAGACTGTACGTTGATGATTATTCTCTCCCGGAGTGCGGCCGACTGACGTTCTGTCTGCTATTATCAATATAGGGAATCGCATTCACCAAAAAGTCTAACTTGTGAATGATTGTAGTACCAATGTAAACACTAGATTCAAGTTGCTTGTAAGTATGAACGTAGAATCGCAATGCTTGTAAAGTAGATTCTCTGAATTGCCTGTACGAACGTTTACGCTAGGTTTACGCCCTCATGTTTACGACCATGCGGTATCTGCGCGGATAAATACTGTACGTATTACACAGCTTTTGGAAAATCTTGCCCTTGTGATGGGATGTGATGAGATGAATATTAATAATATAGATAGTGTATGTATGCGTACGGTGGTGGCAAGCATCTTTTGACTTGGAACTCTTTTCCCAGCTGTTCACAGTCTCCTCATCGTTATGAGTTGTGAGACGAATTGAGCTCAAAATCAATGTCGATTTGCCAGGTTGGGCACTGCTGATCGTATCAAGTGCCAATATGAAAGGTGTGCGCCCGCCGCTTGTTCCGGACTTCCGACGACCCAAGAATACTCCATGCTGGTACAATCAATTTGTATAAGTAGACTCTTCCACCCTTTTTTCTCTAACTTCAATGTGCTCGTAACGAGCTCATTATGAGCAGTGTCGCCAATCTGACCGATGCCCAATTGAGAGCGCTATCTGAGTGTATCACTCATGGACGGATAGGACAAGTGAGTGCTTTTTTTTGCTCATTTTCTTCGCCTTTACTCACGGCTACTACTGCACAGGGCATAAGCTGTTCGTTTTTCTTTTGATCGTCTTTCTTTGTTCTAAATCCACCGTAACTTGCCTAGATGCTAGTGTTGTACTATTTGTGAGTCTTTGTCCCACTCTGTCCCACTCTTATCGAATTCCGCGGATTGTTCATAGCTTATTTGGAATTTTTCTCAGTTGTATGATTATTCCTTGACCGTATGGAACGAGGTGCACGTTGTTGTACGAGATTTCCGCTCAGACTCGAGTCCTTAACAGCCTTTCACAGGCAAAATACGTGTGGCAGCCCCGTCGATTTACTTTAAGCTCTATTACCTTCGTCGTCGCTCGATACGCTGCAATGGCGACCGCTATCATTGCTCTTCTACCCGTCCGTGTAACCTCACAGTCTTATGTCTGATCTTCGAACCGATTCGCTGCTCTCTCAAGAACGCCAGTGTCCCTGCGATAGACAGTACAGCGACCGGTGAGCCATAGTCTCCGTACTCTGATAATAGACTAATCATTGACCACCAAGTATTTCGCTTGATTGCAATTATTGCGTCCGAACGTGAGTATATATATTCGCTTTCCAACAGCTGTCTTCACGAATTTGGCTTGCATTCAACTCATTTTGGACAACTCAGTCATATTGGCAGTTAGGACTTGGGCCATATGGGGTAGGAGTCGTAAAATACTAATAATGCTAATTTCCTTTTCTGTGGTGAGCCTGTCATACACGATTTTTCGCACAGAAAATTTAATGAGATGCTTTTCTAGGCTGCAATTATACCTGCTGCGACTATTGTAGCCGAGAGTATCGTCTCAAATCATGGTGAGCTCTTTCCCTGTCAACGTCTCTCTGTTGATCATTAGTCCATCATAGTTGTACCACTGGTCAATGAAGAATTTCAGGATATTTGCAGCTTGACCATTAGCAATATTTCAGAAGGGTTCATCGGTCCCTACGTTGTAGCGATGCTTTACGAATTTGGTACTTTCTACATCCCGCTGCTAAGAGTTGTCATATATGACAGTTCGTCCTTCAGTAACGTTGACGCTTTCCTTAATACGCATTATCAGTTGGCGCAAAACCATCCCTGCGCGCATACGTGCTCCTATCATCGATACTCTCTGGAGAGACGGTCAGTGGAGTAAGATTCTTTGAGCTTTCTTGCGTAGCTGAACGCTCTTTATTCTATTCATAGGTGTATTATACTACTCATTCATGTTGAGTACGTTGCAATCCTTGGCCAAGAAAAAGCGCCATGTTTCATGTTTCTATTCTAGTCCTCGGGTTCGTTAACATCGGGCTGGTTTTGCAGCAGGGGGTACGTCTAGTTCTTTTTTTACACCGACACTCATTGAAAGATGTTTTTTTCAGGTTCCGCAAGTACGAACAGGAGGCGCTGAGTACGTGTGATTCACTAAAATTAGCACATAACCTCAAATAATGGGTGTTCAGGTTGCAAGCAGTCTTACATAGCATCCTCTCTACCCGAATCGTCCTAGTAAGCATGTCGACGGGTGGTGCTGTTGTCGTTGCCTAACATGTTCACGTAGCATCTCGCTGCTTCGACTGACTCTAGAGACATCGCGGCGCCTGGATGCTCCGTATACCAGACTGGGATGCAATTTACAAGCGAGTTTGCTACTGTGGATCATAGTGGCTCTAATGCTTCTCGGTTTGAACATGGCCCAATACTTGAAGGAGAAAGATGAGGGCATACAATGGAGGCATCGATATCAATTATTAGTTCTGGCAGGGAAAGAGACCGGGCCTACAATCATCGGTTGTATATCACCGTGCGTTCTGGGCTTTTTTCTCATAGTCGAGATTTGCATGGCCAGTAATAAACAGTCAAGGCCGTCTTGCAGTACCAATTACTCCCCGTAGACTACACATGTACGTAGATTGTTGACCGTGTCTTACGACTATGAAAATGGAGTCGTGGGTATGTTTGTCTAATTTAGGGTGTGTTTATTTTGAGCGACCCAGAACGTTAACCTGTTGCCCATCTCCCATCTTGCTGCCCAGTTGCAGGCCTTTTCGGTGTTCTCTCCCCGCTTTTCTCTTGTTTATCCCTTTAGACTTTCTGTCTGCGCCTTTCTTTAATCTTCTCACTCTGTAGGCCTACTGCAGAATGGCCTACCACGACGCCAACAATCAGAACTTCAGTTCACAAAATCTAAATTCTCCGTACGCCGCTGGCGACCCCTACTACAACCAATCATCTGGATTCATTACTCCTCCCAATGGCGAAAAGTCGAAAGGAAAGGGAGTCAGCAAGTGGATCAAGATTGGTATACCCCTCGCTATCCTAGTCATCGTCGGAGTAGTCGTCGGTGCAGTCGTAGGTACCAAGAAGAGTAAGGATAGTAGTAGCAGTAGTCCTGCCGCTCAATCTGCTGCTGCTGCTTCCAGCTCCTCCGCCTCGGTCAATTCTGCTCTGGAAGAGCTTGCAACTGGAAAGTTTGCTATGGCTACGAACAGTCTTTATATGGTGCCTCTCTACCCTCAAGTCGTCAGTCTCTTTTCATTCTTTCGTCAAGTAATGGAGGCTCATTTTTTTTTGTTTTAGACCGACACTGCAGTCTTCACCACTCCTACCTTTGCTTCCTCCGCCAAAGCTTCTCTCACGTGGCCCAGCGATACCTTCTCCGCTGCCACTCCTGCTGCTACATCTGTTCGTCCAGACAGACCCAGACTCATCGCTCCTCAATACAAGTGGGATGTTTTGGCGGACCACATAGCCGCCGATCCTTACCTCTCTTACTGGAATGAAACCATTTTCGGTAATGCCACTGATTGGTACAACGACGACCCAGTCGCCTACTTCTTCGATGGAGGTAATGGTATCTTGGATATTGCTCGTCGATTCAAGCAGAGAGCCAAAGCATTTTCGTATGCCTATCGTATGACCAACGATACTAAATGGGCGGATCGTCTCTGGGTTGAGATTCAAGTGAGTCTTCATATCAAGAAGCTATTGTCCACGAATTAATCACGATCTGTACACAGAATGTCGCTGGTAATTATACCACTTCCTTTGGTCCCGATTATGACCGCTGGGACTCTAATCATTTCCTTGACACGGCCGAATTCTCCGCTGGTTATGGTATTGCCTACGACTGGTTATACGACGTCTGGACCGACGACCAGAAGGCTGCTATGCGTTTCACCTTGATCGAGTACGGATTGTCCTTTGGTCTCCAGGCCTATAACAACGCCAGTTCTTTCATTGGCTGGTGGAAAACCAATACTACAGGAAACTGGAATTGTGTCTGCAATGGTGGACTAACATTGGGTTCTCTCGCTATTCTTGGCGATGATGACACCGGTAGTGCTTCACAGCTCCTCGCCCTCACTGTCCCCAATGCTCTTGAGAATTGTGCTGCAGGACCAACGAGTGATGGTACATGGAGTGAGACACAGGATTACTGGTATTTTGGTACTACTGGATATGCCGAGATGACATCCGCTCTCATAACTGCTACCGGCTCTGACTACGGCATGCTCAACGATGCATACACGCTCACTGGCTATTCACACATGTATGGCCAAGGTCTTACTCAGCTGTTCGCTGTCGGCGATACCGGCCCTAACAAATTCTCGTCCACTGCCAACGGATTATTCTTCTTTGCTTCCGAATTCAATGAACCTACTATTGCTCTGTATCAGCGTGATCAGGCTGACGCTGCAGATCCATGGAGTATGTTCTGGTACGATGCCTCTGTTCAGGGTGCCTTCTGGGATGGCTTGCCCTTGGACCGTAACTTCGACAATGAGATAGATCAATGGGTTTCTATGCGAAGCACATGGACGGATATCAACGGAACCTATATAGGTATGAAAGCCGGTATGAACCAAGGCCGACAGACACATAACGACCTTGACTGTGGTGACTTCGTGCTTGACGCTATGGGCCACCGTTGGGCTGGAGAGCTCGGAGACGGTAATTACAATGCTCTGGATTACTTTAGTAACGACACCCAGAGTAGTGCCAGGTGGTACTACTACAGGAAGATGACTGAAGGCCAAAACACGATATTGATCAACAAGTCGAACCAGAATGTCCTCGCGAAGCCCACTATTCTCGGATACGACACTACCAACGATACTCAAGGCTCGAGCACGGTTTATGAAGTTGCAAGCGGTTCTACGGCGTATTGGTATGCTGATATCACAAGCGCGTATTTCAGTGACACGTGAGTGACTTCGTTACCGAGGTGACTCGTTATTCATTCTTCTTGTCCTCAGCTCTTCGGCGAAGCGTGGTGTGCGTTTCATCAACAACAGGACACAGATGCTCGTCCAGGACGAGATAACCACCACCAGTCCGTTCCAATGGCGTATGCACACGAACGCAACAGTCAGCGTCAGCTCCGATGGCACAAAGGCCACCCTTACCATTGACGGAGATGAAATGATTGTTTCTATCCTTAGTCCTTCTTCTGGTGCCACATTCACAACCTCCGCAGCCGTCCGTTTCGACACAGACCCTATCCCTCCCGAAGCTGACCAACCTAATCCTGGTGTCACAGTCTTGATCATCGAGATGGACGCAGGAACCACTAATCTCCAGGTCCTCTTTTCCCCTCAATGGAAAGACGGCACTTCATCTGTCACTCCTCCCTCTGTGGACTTGGCCAACTGGTCGCTAACTAGCCACAATACATAGCCCCTTTTAGTTTTTAGTTTACTTTTGAATGGGACAATTCCTATCATGACTGTCTAGTTTATTCTCCCCCGTCTTGAGACTCCTGTCATTAGGATAAGTATAGATCTGACATTGATCCTTACTGACATAGTTTGTGCTTTAATCTTCGTTTTGTATGTTACAAATTGCAGCTTCATTTCTATCTGTGTAATTAACGACCTTCGAGCTCGAGAACTCTGGATTGGTTTGATGGTATGTAATATACAGTAAGGATATCTAGACCTACAGATAGCGAGAGGAATCGTTTGTGCAAAACAGAGGGTACACTAAGCATGACAAATGGTGAGATATCAAAACAGAAATGGTATGTACTACAACAAAAGCAATCGGCAAGATAGACAGTGTGAAAGATATTACAGTCGGCTTTCTAGCATGTCCAGCTGGCTTCTCCATCCGATGACACCTTTCCCAAAAGCAGCTTCTAAGGCTTCCTGCAGATTGCGTACAAAAACGAATTCCATTGCGTTACGGATCTCAGGAGCTACGTCGTACTCGACGTCTTTGCGGTTTGCGTATGGAAGTATAACTTTTCGAATTTGTGCGCGATGAGCACCGAGAACCTAAGACGGTTCGATTTATTAGTGTCAATTGTAGTAGCCCAAATGATCGAGTCCCTTACCTTTTCCTTAATGCCGCCAACAGGGGTAACGCGTCCTCTAAGGGTTATCTGGACGAAAACATCAGTACACAAGAACGGCTAAGAATTTCGTTATGCATACCTCGCCGGTCATGGCGACGTCTGTTGGTACACATGCACCGGTAAGTAATGACACAAGTGCACACGTCTAGTAGAAGAATGCTGGTCAATACAATCTGAGTGTCACTGGGTGATGATATATACCATTGCAACTCCAGCGCTAGGTCCATCCTTTTTCTGCGCACCAGCAGGAAGATGTAAATGGATATCAATAGGATTTGATCCCCTGAGAGGATCATGGAATGGCGAAGTGGTAATGCCAAGGTCATACGCATGCGTTTTCACCCAACTCAATGCCAGTTCACCAGATTCTTTGATGACCTGCACCATTATCAGATTAGTGAGTCGGTGATCAGCTAAAATGCAAAGATATACGTACATCTCCCAAGCTACCAGTTAGCCGTAATCTTCCACCATCTCCACTGCCGCTTTTGTTGCCTGTGGGGACGACAATAGTCTCAACCGGGAGTATACCACCTTCACCCTGGCCCATGACAACCAATCCATATACGACGCCTCTTCTCGACCCACGATTCCTCTCTGCCAAGCTTTCATCCCCGTCCTCCCAGCGCGCAATACCGAGTATTGCTTCGAGCTCGGATTCCTCGACCAATGGTTTGTACAGCGCTGTCTTCGATGGGTGGTCCAGATTAATGACTGAGAGGTCCGTGGAGGGGGAATGTGGAGAAGCCTCATTAACGATCTTTCCCTCTTGTGCCTCAACGGCGTCGAGACATTCCGCCCATTCAACTGCTTTGAACCGTACGACTGAACCGATAGATCGTTCGAGCGTTCTTACGCCGGCTTCTCGAGTGTACCTAGAAAGACTCAACACAGCTGGGCAGTTCAGAACTAGAGGATACTTACCGTATTGCAACGGCTTTGAGTGCTTCTTCAGTGAATTCGACTTGGTCCTGCGTTAGTCCGTTGGACTTGAGTTGTTTGGGAAGTAGAAATTGTCGGGCAATGTGAAGTTTCTCGTTGTGGGTGTAGCCTACAAACATAACGTGAGAATGAGAGGTGGTATATGGAAGAGTAGGCTCACCAGGCAGGACGACCACTTCGCATCGATCCAGAAGGGGTGCGGAGATAGTCTCCAGTGTGTTTGCAGTGCATATGAAGAGTACTTGACTCAGGTCTATAGGTACGTTGATGTAATGATCCTGAAGCGGCATCATGGGATAGCTAAAACGAATTGAGATAACTTATACTCACGTTGAAGTTACAATTTTGTTCTGGATCAAGAACTTCCAGCAGGGCAGCTCCTGGGTCGCCGTGAAAGTTACTGGCACCAATCTTATCAATCTCGTCGCTGTAAAAGCCAGGCAGGATAAGGAATATGTCCAAATAAAGAATCCAATCACGTACAGCAAGCAAACAAAGTCTGGTCTTCCGGCTTTCCTCAAAGCCTGAACGATGAGCCCAGGTCCACTGGCTACGTATGTTCGCCGGTGGCCACGAATTTCTGCTTCGTCTCGGACACCGCCCAGGGAGATGCGTTGAAATGGTCGTCCAAGAGCGCGCGCTATGCTTTGACCTAGGGATGTTTTTCCGGTGCCTGGAGGACCAACGAACCTGCGATGTACGAATTTGGCTGCTGAATAACTGGAAACATAGAACCGGCTTACAGTAAGATGGGTCCCTTGACACCCTTAGACTTCTGCACCTTTGCGGGTAGATTCTCAATAGCCGGCTGAGCTTGACGTAGTACAACTTGTAGTTCTTTTTCCTGTCCATCAGTGTCTGCAGCTCCAGCGACTTCCTCCAGGGCTTCAGCCGCTTCTGGTTTGTGAGCTTCCAAGGCTAGCCGACGTTCTTCAGCAAGCTCAGCGAGTTCTTTCAATTTGACAACCGCAAGATACTCTATAAGTCGCTTCTTGACTTTGTCCAAGCCGTAGTGATCTGAGTCAAGCTGAGCACGAGCTTCTGCAAGGAAAGCTGATGTAGTAATTGAAGATTGGGAAGATGCGGGAGAAGATTGTGTAACAGATGGCCACGGTAGAGCTGTAAACCATTCAAGCTGGACAGGGGAATCAAAGATGACTTGATAACTGCGACGAAAATAGACCTACCCAGCCCCTTATGACACCACCTTCGACACTCCCGCCACCTCCGCCTGCACCGCCCGCACCCAACAGCCTCTTCAATCTTCTCCATTCTCTGACACCTGCCTTTCTTTCCTCGCTACCAGGTGTCATTGCTTCAAGTTTACGCCGTATATCCATTAATTCCGTGTCATCCGATTCATTCGAATCTAAATCTAAATCACCGCTGTGACGATTGTTACCGTTCGATGGGTTCGTGTTACCGGATGTAGATGTTGTCTGTTGCAATTCCTTCAATTCTTTCTCAATCGCACGTAATTGCTGCCGGAGGAAGAATTCCTTTTGCTGCTTGCTCAGGCTTTCATCAACAGCATTAGCAATGCGGGAAGTAACCTCGAGCTTGGTGTGAAGTTTTGTAAGGATCATGGTAGCAAGTTGCAGGCGAGGTAGTGAATTCGAAGTAGAAAGGAGTGCTACAAATACAAACTTATCGTTAGCTTAGGTAGAGTTAGATGAACATTTGCTTACTCAGTTTATCGGCCCAATCCTCGTTTTCGCCTTCGTTCCCTGAAGCGGATGCTCTTACGCCCTGTCCGAGGACACTGCCAACGAGAACATCTGCCATCCAAGCGGCTCTGTCCAAATTGTCTCTGGCGCTATTACGTCCATCTTCCAACTCGAGGCCTTCTGCGTCGTCCTTGAGTTCCTCAAGCATGGCCGCGATTTTGTAGAAGGCATCCTTCCTAGCCTGCTGCTGTGAGCTCTGGGCCATATGTTGCAGAACTCGCAAGGCAGCTGCCTTGAATTTAACGATTGACTCTCGAGCCTGTACTTGCACAGGGACAGTAGAGTTGGTGTCGACAGAGTCTTTTAGCTGAAACGATGAAGGATATGAAATCTTGCGCATCAGCAATTTCGGCGTCGTTGAATTAAGAGCCATCTTGGTCGCTTTCTCGTGGTCATAACGCTCTTCGAGACATACCCGGGTAAGTCCGTGAAGTGATGCTAGGTAAAGGCGGGGCAGCCTTTCCCCAGGTTCCAAGTTTGACCTCCCGAGCGGTGGGCGTACAAGCCTAAGAACCCTCGCTGCTGTCCCATATTGGACTGCAGAAGCGTTTGCAGAGGTGTCCACCGCCGGAACGGCAGCCACAACCGGCAGGCTGTCGTTGGCCTCGAACAAAGCAAGTAAAGCTTCCCCAACTTCAGCAGACAGAGGAACCGTTACTCTTGAAGCTGGAAGAAGAATTATTGGGTACGGTAGAGGCAACACGGCCAGCTTTGTCGGTCGAGACATGGTTGATGAAGGAAGAGTTGCAAACTATTGCACGTGAAATCCAACGGGATATTTCGAGGGCTTTGGCAGTCAAGACTATACTTAAAGTACTCCGATGAGACTCTGATTATAAACCATTCATTTATCTACATATTCAATCTCATATAGACGTACCGGTGATACTTGAATGGGTTTTTAATTACATTCAAAACCGTGAAGTATAAGTTCTGACTACGTACGTTGAAGGAAGTTATACCCTATGACAAAGCATCTAAATCTCGTCGCCGCTTAATGGACCCAATCGTAGTCATTCCACCAAAATCAACTGCGAGGTTCTGAGAGGGGGCGCTGCCGATCCCCAATCTAAGGAGCAGCGAAGAATCTTTGCGACGATGATCACGGCACCAAGCCAGGTACTTTTTAGACAGCTTCTAGTCTGTCCGCTGATAATGGAGTTGTCGAATATTCCCTCGGCGTATCTGTGGAAGCAAGCGGGAAGGAAGAAACCTCTGCCCCATGCATACATTCATGTGTCCTGCGCCTCCCCATTAACCTTTCCCCCAGAACCAAGGTAAATAGAATTCGTATTTCTGGAATTCCTTGGAAATTCTTGAATTCACTCCCCCTTCACTAGCTTCACTCGCTTTCCCAGCCTCCGAGCTGTCGTATACGAAATATATGCCACATACAAAAACATTACCACAATTGTAAGGACGGTCCCAAACCTCACTTGAGCGAGGTCTCCAAATTGACCCACTGGAACCGCTACGGCCATAAATCGAGCATCGGGGTCGGCTCTGAAGGGTTCCGAGGTCACGTACAGAGAATACCCTGCTAGCGATGACGCAAACTCTCCAGGAGGCAGGTCGTAGGATATCAGAGAGGCATTTAGAATTTGCACTGTATAGTAGATAAACAAGCAAAGGTTAAGCTGTTGAGTTTGACATATGGCACCCACAGGAACAGTAAAGGGAGAAAGAAAACATCAGCCTTACCAGATGAAGTGCATGATAGAAACAAATGCGGCCATGCAATCTCCGCGGTACGATGTGCCTCCGAATTTGAATGTGAGATTTCGCCGTACCGAAGATGTATAGGGACCTTCACATCTACATGCGGACCGACTGAGGTGAGGGTCAGCAGGAGTGATGTCCCATTCGAATCCATAGCAGCCACTGGGAGCTCTAGATTCGCGTTTCCATGATGATGGAACGTGTATAGATGCTGGTAGTTCACCAGCTCATAAGGATCCACGAAGACAAGGACTGGTAGTTTGTAGTAAAGACGGACGAGGCATTGTGATTCTTCAAGTAATTGAATCCAGTCATCGTTTTCGGAAGCAATTGAAGTGGTGATTGTTCTGTGAAAACCATAAAGTGGTTCAATCGAGGACGAGACGTTAAGGAGCATGAAAAACGTCGAACGTTAGCTCGTTCGTGGTGATGAACGTTCAGAACAAAACTGTCCGGGCCGTCAAATTCTGTTTGAAAATCATCCCGCCCTTCCCGTTCAAATAATAAAGCAAAGGGTCAAGTTACAAGTATCATGAAGCTTCAAAGCCCACTAGCCTCTCTTTCACTAGCAGCTATACATCATCATAGTCACCGAATTTGAATCAACTTTATCTTACACTTCGATCTCTACTCATTCAACATTGACAGGTGAAGGACATGCTCAACATTGAACCCAAAAGATGGAAGTATCATGTACGCTAATGTGAATCCCTCTGAGATTTCATTTTCCGAGTCTAAACCACTGGGAATCTGAGCCTGATATTTCGAGTGCGAGTCGGTTCAAAAGGAATCTTGGCTGGTAGACAGTAACTGCAGGTATGATTGAGGAAAGCATTTGAAAAGATACAACCAGCCGGCACTGAGGAAGATGATAAGTAATAAGTACACGAATATTTCCTTCAAGGAGAACCGGGACATCCTCAAACTGGCTTGTGCAGGCCTTCCCGAGCTGAGACAGTTTTGGCAACAGGCTCCCGATAGTATTTAGATCCTTTGGTAAACGTTTCGTCAATTGCTATCTTCCAAACGCCTCTGTTCACGTCAAAACATAACGGGACGAATAAAGGTCTATTTGACGATAGAGTTGACTCCGCGAGCTAAGAAACCGATTATGATATGGTCTAGAGGTTAGCAACAATTAACATACCAGATAAGTATTCCTTGGCTGTACTTGCACTCTGTCCAAGAGATTATATGAGGAAAACAAACCTCAACCATATCCAAATAGAACTTGCCATTTCCTTGATGAGCGCATACACATCTTTGTCGTGGTACCGAAGACCGGTGACTGGGTCGGTATAAGGCGCCTCTAAGCCTGTGATATCACAATAGTGTTTGTGTGGGAGTACGGAAGGTGGTGCTTCAATCGAGAGGTCTAGCACAATTCATCAGATTTGTTAACACATTGAAGTACAGAATATCCACGCACAAGTTGGAATCTCCTCACTCTCCATGGTAACTTCTTTCCCATCTACCTCCATAGCATCTTTCTCCGCCTTTTCAAGACGTCTTTTCTCCCGCTCTGCTCGTTCACGTTCACGCTCCTGGCCCATTATATTCTTCAAGTTCTTAGCCCGCCGATTCAGGTTCTTCGTGTATTCTGGGTTCTTAAATGGACGTGGAAGGTGTAGATACGACAGTTGTTCTGCCAACGTCTGAGAAGTACAAGCTGTATTCTCTTTTCAGAGCTAAACGGTTTCAAGAAATTCCTACATACAGCAACGTGAGGACTTAGCGTGCCATCCGTCGCAGTGGCTTTTCTCTTGAGGTTTTTTGGTGGCATTATCGAAACAGAGTCTGAGTCTGATAAGCGCCGAAATAAGTCCCCACGGGACGACACTCACGACGCTTGGAGCAGCTTGGAGCACGTGTCGGCGACTGACAATTTTTCGGAATGGTTGTGTAGGGTTGTGTACTTAGAGCTAGAACTGGTTAGAACAAACAGCATTTAACTATACGCTCCACTGTCTTGGGTCGCACTTTGCTTGGTACTTGAATTGTAGGTTAAGAATAGACCTTGCGAGCAAGGTGATTTCATTTATATCCTAATCTAGAATAGTAGCATGCTGCCTCTGCTGGGGGTTTAATCAGGTTTAATCTTGACTCGGTTGAAGGCCCAGCTTTTGTTCTTTCGTGGTAATCCATTTCCTCGCGAACGTCTTCTGCTTCGTTAATGACAACCCCACTAGGTTGACGAAACGTTTTTCCCTAAGATCCAATGCCTGGAATATCCATTCGCAAGTTCCCTATGTGAGTACGCCAAGGTCTAATATAGATACCATCGCATCCTCGTTGTTGTCGGGAACGTGAACTTCGAAATTGAGAGTCATGACTGACTATTTAACTTGTTCGTCCTAAATTCTTTGTGGTGAACGCCGCCTGCTTTTCCTCCTTAACTCCAAAAAGGCATGTCGATCCCCATCCTTTATGTCGGAGAGGCAAAGGCTGAGTACTGAGTGACAGTGCTTCAGCTGTTTTTCTTTTGATGCGAGTGTTGCCACAGGGCAGTGCGAAAGATATCGTGGTCTAAATTCTACAGTCCGTCTGCGCGAAAGCATTCTGCTGCCTATGCTAAAAATCCCGGAAGGGCTTGAAATGGTGTTAGACCATCTCAGTCCTCCATTGCCTCTTCTTAGCTCTTCTTTCAAAGCTGACCCAGCATGTCGTCGGTTCCGTCGTCTCCCTACGCAGACACGAGCTACGGCATAACAGTCGCCGACGGCGTGTCCAAACAGAAAAACGGTGCTGGGATTGATGCGACGGAACATGTATAAAGAGACTGGGAAGAACGGAATTTACTCCTCTTTCAATTTGTCCCCCCAAATACTGCTGGTCAGTAATTCCTTCATCGTGCACCGGTAAGCCCTTATCTCACTCTCATCTTCTTGCTCTACTAATCACTCTACGACTTGGCATTCACTTTCGGACGTCCTTTCGTTGATAAGCTGCGTAATCCTCATTCTTCTTCATTACATGCACATCAACGTCGCTAATATCGTTCTTGGTCTCGTCTATGCTTTGTCCTCTGTGGTGTACGCAGCACCTACTATTGGGAATTCTATGCAGATACTAGATCATGTAAGTCTTCATTCATACGCGTATAAGTACTATATAGTATAGTCACGACCTTGGATGTGCAACGGGAGGAACCAGTCTTCAATGCGTGACCTGAAAACTGGGTGACTGTCCTTCTCCGAGTTTAGATGCCCTTAGTTTTGCAATAGAGCACTGATCATCCTGTCTTTTCTAACACAGTTCCCCGCTCCATCTCCCTATCCACTAAAAATCACCGTCTCAGTCAATCTTCCTCACGGACGTCCATTCGCGCCTCAGGAATCAATGCCCTACGTCCCACCAAAAGACTTTTCCTGTCGTCTACACGAGATTATTCAATCTCTCATGAGAACCTGGACGAAAAACGCCAAACAAGAAGTCCAACTGCATTACCAAAATGCGTTCTTGGACGTCAAACCTTCCGGCACGGACGAAATCCAAGTAACGTTTTTTGATGATTACTTCTGCAGAGCTGATCCGGGTCGAAATCCGTGCACGATCCATTTGCCGTACAATGGCCAATCGTATTTCACAGCGCGCGATTCCATAAAATGGGTTCCTCCAAAAAGAATACAATGTTCTGTGATGTAGTAATATGGCATGTACGAATTTGGGGCAGGTTGTACAGTCTTTAATCTTGTATTATGTGCATGGGTCGTCTGATATGTGTTCAAGGAGAGTCGCAGGAGGCGCCGTGATTAATCACAGATGCTTGTCATGCAAATACTAGGTATGTATGTAGTATATATTTTTGTGCATGTCTCACTGATGCGAAAGAATCCCCCTTCTCCACCTCCACCTCCACCTTCTCCAAGTCAACCTAACCCCCTGGAACCTGCTTCCAATACTTGAAATCCGCAGGAGTTAAGCTCGGTCTCCCATTACCCGTATTATACACCCCGAACGAGGCACCCTTGAAGAAGAAATCGCTGTTCAAGATAAAGATATAAGCAAACCAATACACTGTTACTAACAGGAAACAGGAAACAAAATCAATGCTGAGTGCTGCGCGCATAGTCAGCAAAAGGCGGGGGAGTGGAAGGAATCAAAAGTAAAGAAATGGACATCGAATGGAAGAACCTGAGATACCAGAATATAACCAGAAAACACCAAAACACACAGAGAAAAACAAGCGCACTTTACTGGCATAACCGACATAGACACGCTATCAAACGTAGCAGTATACGTGATCTCCACCGCGTCCAAGTCCGTGTATGTACCTTCTGAAAATCCTAGACTATATGATGTCGAGTTTCCTACAATGACCAGCTTCACTGGATCGGATTTCGTTGATAGTGGGGTGTAGGTGATCTGGAATACAAGGTCCACCATAGTATCAAAGTGTAGTAAGATTTATTTTGTCAGCGCCCAACCTTCCCTGCGATATCATATGAAAACGCTAAAACTCACCGTTGTTACAGTACTATTTGTCGTAGTCAACGCCCACGGCCCGACCTGCTCGGCCGGACGAATAAGTCTTGTCACAATAAACCTCTCCCCACCCCCGTTCGCACCACCCATCACTCCGATATCATTATGTGCGAAATCCCCATAAAACACCGTCGCTCCTGCCTCAGTCAGATTGCTATTTGGCATGAAATCCAATACGGTCTCAAACCTCTCTGCATAGCTCGTCTGCTTCCGCAGGATCAATGCAGGGGAATCTCGATCCCCGAGTGCGTAGGCGTTGCCGAGGAGACGGAGGAAACCTGGTCGGGTGGTGAGGGAGTGAAAGGGTTTGTAAGGGGTACGGAGGAAGTAGTATGAATTGTCGAAGATTGAGGAAGAGGAAGAGGAAAAGTCGTCATAAAAAGTTGAGAGATGGGCTTTGTCGGGTAGTTCCACCCCTGTTATTTCGGTACTCAGAGGCAACCCGTGATTGAACACCGGCCATCCATCTGAATCGAAAGTGACTGGAAACAGGAACGTTTCTCTTCCTGTTTGAGTAAAAGGTCGGTTGAAATTAGTGATTGATTCATATACAGAGAAATTTAGAGATATGAAGGTTACAATGTATATGCACTGATATACACTTACCCAGCTGGATATGATCGAAATCCCCTTCGGTTTGGGGCCGCACACCCAATGCAACACCCCACCACTCTCCACTAGGAGCTTGTACGATATCTGCATGTCCGGTGTATTGTACAGGAAGGGACAAGTTAGCGCCGTTGAACAAAATAGGATTGGCCGGGTTGTTTTCCCAAGGACCGGAGGGCGAGGGACCTCGTTGGATAGTCGACTGATGGGCGGGACCTGAGCCGCCTGAATAGTGAACAGCAGCGAATGCCACAAAGCAGAAGGATTACAGACAGTTAGCACTGGCAAAGTGACTAGGAATTGTTGTAATGTATCTACTGACCTTCAGCAATCAACAAATAATAAGTCGAGTTGATGAGATAGATATGAGGTCCTTCAGGTCGGGCAGAGGAATTGTCTGGAAGGGTTCCAGTGAAGATGAGTTCAGCGGGAGTGAGAGAGTTGCCGGTGGTGATATCGATTTTGTTTTGGTAGATTCCTTCATTTGAAGAATATAAGTTACGAGGGTAACAGAAAGCACCCCGGGGACGAACCGTAGATTTTATCAATGGCATTATTAATCCCCGACCAGGTGTTGTAAACCTTTGAAAGGATACACCGACTTTGAGTTCGGAATGGGAACCAGAATGAATCGAGCTACTCACGTCTCCATTGATGTCCCAGAATAAATCCGCATCATATCCAAGGGCATCTACGGTGCAAGTGAATAATATGACCGATGTGAATGGTCAAGTAATACACACCGAAATAAACCGGGTCGCTCCATTCGTTTGAAAATATGTCTGTGGTGGTGACAAAGAAGGAACGAGGGAATAATCTCAGTTCATCTGGAAAGTCAAAGCCGTAAGTACATGTAGACTCTATTTCGGAATGAAGATATATAATTGGAGAGATCGCGGAAATCTTACAAGTATACACGTATCGAACTGTAGACGTCAAGTAGAATGTGCCGTTGTGATATCGGAGTCCTGGAGCCCATGCGCCTATGTAGTGGTACAGATAGCAAATAGATGGGGAATCATTGTTAGTGTTGTACATTTGATGATTCAACTTATATGCAGTATGAGTGATAACTCACCAGCATCCGACGGCGTTCCAAACAGACTCAGCTGAGAAGGTTTATTCAATGCATGCCCAATCAACTCCCAGTCCACCAGATTCGTGCTATGATATATCGGATGTCCAGGGAAATACTCAAATGTGGATGTAGCGATGAAGTAATCGGACCCAACGCGCAGAATGGTGGGGTCGGGGTTCCAACCAGGTAGAATTGGGTTTATGGAGTCCAATGTCAGAGCAAGAGTCATACTGGCTTGATGCCGAATTGGTTGAGATGGCGGGGTAGTTTTGTGTCCAGAAACGGGTCAGAGTTGGTTCAATAGGGGAGGCCGAATTTCAATTAGAAGGATGAACGGGAAACAGCACTGAGGCTAACCTAACATGAAGACAGGCCAAAAAACACAAAGATGAGATTGCAACATGGGGCTGGCGCTGTATGACCGTAAGGTAGTGGAACGAAAAGCTAGCATCATCCAGTGTTAGATTTTATACGAACTAGAGGGACCGGGAAAATTGAATGATTCATGATCAGCTGCTTGTTGGAGGCGGACCGGGCCGTCGAAATTTCTTGATGAGTATATTAAGTTTTATAGCGTACATATTCGTGGATTCAAAAGGACAAGATGTTGGGAAGTTTGCAGAAGACGTTTTTGTGTGAAGGGAAGGAAGTTACGAGCGCTAGATAAGATAACGGTCTTTCGAATTTAGATCGGACCGCAATTTACCGCAATGGATGATCCTTTCTCCCTCTTTCTCCTCCCTGGAATCTGAAACCGGTTTTTATCATACCACATGTTGAAGAAAAAAGTTGTTCACGGTGATAAAATCGGCCTGAATAGGAGGAAGCCACGGGTCGCACGTTACACTCCTGTATCGGGGAAGAAATCATGTTCTCGACGCCTTCTCAATGAAGACGGAAGAGCGTTCTCCATAAACGAGGCTCCTGATGCATCGGCATCGTTTGTCTCTTTATCTTTCTGGGTAATCAATGGAAACAATGGTAGCGGAGACGCTGTGAAGGAAAAAGATGTAGAAAGTCGCGACCTACAGATTGAAAAAGTTGAGGCTCGTTATATGTATATATTCCTCTAATAAGGAATTTTACCCGGAAGTATTCAAATCCAGGTATCCTCTCCGGCCTCGTCGATGTGCGCATATCCGACGCGAAGACTATTCTAAGCACTGTATCGTTTCGTCAGTGGGACGATGAACACGTCGATGGCAATCAGTATGCAAATTTACCGGATCGTTCCCGCAGACACGTACTTTCGAGAACACGGTTACACTTTTCACCCTGATCCTCCGGATCCGTCTACCGCCCTTCCGTCACAAGATTGTACAATTTCCAGGACCTTGCAAGAACATACCGTTTTTACGCCATCCTACTACCTCACTCACTATATCCTGTATCCTGATTGCAGCAATCGTCGCTCGTTCGCATTCAAGTCCATTTAAGTAATGAGTGTCTGAAGTATGTGACTATCATCTCAAACGTCTGGCGATGGTGACTGACTCCTTTGGTGGATTTACTGAAGAAGGAAGGATACGAGGCATGGCGGCAAGCTCTAGAATAGACTACATAGGCCCAATATGTGGATAGTGGCGGCGTACATTATGATAGGCTAGACGAGGGGGGAAGTATTTCACATGATTACGCAACCTTCCTCGACCATCATGAAATGCCTTGAATGAATTGAAAAGGGAAGAACCTGGAAGAACTTGCTGTCTAAATTTTCTTTTACTGTAACTTTGCTATCATCATGGCTTCATCGACCTTCATCAACCTTCTCCACGTCTAAGCGCATCGTTCAACTCTTCGAGACATCCTTGATGGAAGCTTGCCAGAGTTCCTAGCCTAAAACACTAGAAGAGAGAACTCACAAAGACTTGGGGTAAACAGGCAAAGGATCTGAATTAGTACAGAGAGCGATGAGAAGAAGAGAAAAATGGTGGTGGTACCAGTCTAAGCTATGGAACCGTACGTGACAGTATATATATAGTATTTGGAACGGATATGAGGTCAAGTTTAGCGGGCGCGTGATGTCGATTGTCTTCGTGGACACCCTTTCAAGTGTGCTTTATGAACGTGGACAAGTCTCTAAAAATGCTAGATAATTCATGTTAACCGTAGATTTTAACCAGGTGCTATAAACCCTTATTAAGATATAAGCAATCTACATAATTGCGCCTCGAGCAACGAAACAAGTTGAATCGGAGTGAAGAACATAACAGATAGACAATACGGGCCGAAGAAATATGGATGAGTGGATGAGCGCCTAAAATTTCTCGACTCTACAGTAATTTCCAGGGTTGTACCATCGACTCTGAGGTGACGACTTCTCTCTCAAAGTCACTCAGGACCCCCTCTAGTGCTTTATTAGATCCTCATTAAATGCTCCCTCCAGCTCTCCTTGACTACACCATCCAAACTTTCACCGCACCTTTAGCACCTTTCGCAAAAGCGAAAACCCTCACAAGACCTCTTCCTCTTTGTTTTAGTCGGCATCTAGCCACCGCGGCTGCGGCAGTGGTTCTGAAAGCCTCTAAACCTGTACCGCAACACGCAGGGCATGCAAAGTTTGCAGAGCAGGCGGAACATAGAGAGCATGGGGAGTATGGAGGAGATTTGGTATTGAGTGATCTAGGTTCGAGCTCTAGGGTGAACATAGGTAGGTAAGAATGTCTGTCCCAGACTTGCTCATCTTTTCCTTCTAATTCCGTGTCTGAATAGACGAAACCGGCGTGCTACTGCTATCAAAATTAGACAACCCAAACCTTTAACCGACTCCAGTGCCGCTGCAAATTCAAACGCAAACGCAATTACGGTGGAACTAGCTCGTAGAGTGCGCGCTTTGGAGAAGGTCACTGATGAAAAGGTGCGTAGGAGGACCCGTGTATCACGCACCAGGACAGCTAAATGGGCCTTTTTCTTATAGGACACTGAACTGGATCCACCTGTATTCTCTGAAGAAGATTTGCTCACACTATACGAGGAAGTTTTAGCGCATCCTGATATTCATGTTCAAGAAGAAGGTGACAAAAAAGATATGCAGATCAAGACAAATGAATTTGGCCTCGAGCTTGAATTTGGGAACGATCCTGAATCACAGCATGGACAAGATTTGGATGTTCTAGTAGAGGCGGATTCGCGACTGTCTTCACACGCTGGTATGAAACAGCAACTACAGCACACAAGATTTGCAGCAGCGTTGCTTCGGGAGTCTAGACTAAATGAAGCTCCTCCTAAATCCACTGATACTTCCACGACTTCTATGACTCCTGTGTATCAGCGCGTTCTGAATCATACTGCACATATTCTACAAGATATCGAACGGGTCGAGGAGAGTTTAATTTCCCAGCCTCGAAATGCAGAAGAAAACTCCACAACGAAACTTCCCATACCGCTTCTATCAAAGCAGGAATGGGATGCCTTGATCAGAGCTACTGTGTGTTTCAATCCCTTCTTTGTTTCTGCACAAGATTGACATTATTTTCTTTCAAAAGGTACACACCCGAAATGTACAACTTGCTGAGCAGACGATGGAGTCGATGAAAGTGAGTTATCTGGCATCTGAACACGAAGAGCTGTGTTTCGCTGACATTGAATATCACTAGCGTTGTAACCTGATCATTCCAGAAGAATATCTGAACGCCGTTTTACAACTCCATATCGAATCCCGAGACGACGTTGTTGCCTTTGAATCATGTCTGAAGAAATTTCTCCAAGGCGAGTCCATCTCATCGTACATAGACTCCTTCATTGGTCATTCTGATTTACGTTCTATTAGGCTCTCCGACACCTCAACAGCAACACCTCCATGTAAAATCCCACCTCCTCTCCACACCCCAACACACCCTCCCTACTTCCGCACTATCCGTCCTACACGCCTACGAGATGCAATCCACCCCAGCACCAATGAAATCCTACACTTCAACAATCCATCGGTTATTCACCATCAATCCCACAGTTTCCCCTATCGCACACCTCCAAGCCTGGGATCTTTTCTCCCACATGCGATACGTGGCTCACCCCGTCCCCGACGCAATACTCTACACCGAGATGATCCGAGCATGCGCTTCCTCCTCCGTGAACGGCACCTCTGACCCCGAGCGCGCCTTAGACCTTTTCACCGAAATGCGCCTAGACCACAACATCACACCCCTACAACGCACATGGGATTCCCTCATCCTCGCTTGCGCACGTACCTCCGGGTCCCTCGCTCGGAGACAAAAATACGTCAACGAAGCGTTCAGGTTGGCTAGGGAGATGCTCGACTCGTATCGGGACGCGTATGGACGACCGAAATATACACCTGATAAAAAGACGTTTTGTGCGCTTTTGGAAGGGGCGAAAAGGATTGGGGACTTGGGGAGGGTGAGATGGATTTTGGCGGAGATGGTAAGGGGGAAGGGTGTGAGTGTTGAGGTGGATGAGGAGGTCATGATGCATGTATTCCATGCGTATGCGGCATACAGACCTCCATTTAAAAGGTCCTTGGCGAGGGTCGTTGAGGAAAGTGGAAATTCATCCGTATCGTCTGAGGGAGATGTTCCCTCTGCTCAAACTCCATCGACAAACAGTGAATCTGTATCCAATGCATCTATTCGCACACCATTGTCCCACACCGACGCATTTTCTGCGTTCTCCCATGTACCCCCTCAGACTAGCTCCGAGGTCATCACAGAGGTGGATATATTATTCGATCGGATATTAGACGAAAGGTCCGAAACCAAAGACGATGACATACTCTCTGGCAAATTTAGTTCCGTTAAACCAACCACCCGACTACTCAATTCGTATCTATCGGTGTATTATAACCATCATCAGTCTTTGGAAGCTGTGAGGTCGCGTCTCGGTGGTGTTTTTCACCAGATGACGGACGTACAACCCGATGCCCGGACATATGTTGAAGCCCTCGAACGGTGTGCGATTTCGAAAAAACACGAGAGAGGGGTTGCATTGAGGTTTGCGGAGGAGGTGTTTGAGAAATGGGAGGGCATAGAAAACAAGGTGGGGGTTGAGGCGGTAGTATCGCCGAGGATTATAGAAAGAGCACACGTTGCTTGGATTAGGATGCTAACACTGTAAGTTCCTATCACCCGTTCACTAATTGAATGATTGATCTCACTCCCTAACTTCCTTTTCCTCGGTCCTGTTTTTGTTCCTCTTACCCTCTTTCTTCCAACCACAGCACGAACAACACCGATCGTGCCCTCTCCCATTTGCGTACTTTCGTCCAAAAATATCCGGCGTCAGCTATCCGTTTCCCTCAAAAATCCAGTACCCCTATCCACTCACAAACCACGACGTTTCTGAAACCCGCTATGCGTTCCACCAGAACCTCACTCGTCGGTGCACGCCCGCTTGTAAGGCTTACTTCACCTGTATCCGCTGCATCAGCGATTTCAATTGTATCCCCTGTCAATGAACAAGTAGGTGGTAGTGGTGGACAAATACCCCCGCTGTTAATGTGGAGAGATCTAGAAGTACTGCACCATCGCATAATTGCTGGTGTTGGTTCCGCTGTTGATGAGACGAAGAGCGCTAGTGTGGAACAGGAACAGGAACAGATGGAAGTAACGAAACCGAACATGACGTCTCAAGAGATACTAGATGCAACATTGAAGACGAGAAAGGAGAGGAGAGAAAAAAGGGAGAAGGATCTTGCGTATATCAAGTGGGTGTGTAAGAGTTATGAGTGGGCATTAAGAGTGAGAAGGGATGAGGCGATGAGAGCGGGGGTAGAAGTGGAATCGAAACAGGAACGAGGAGTGCAGGAGGCGGAGGCGCAATCTGATGTGAAGACCGAGGTGGTTCAGGAAAAGTAGTACTACATCTAACGCAACAATTATTGCATTTTAATCGCTAACATACCTACATACTTATGGACATAACTAGAAATTTTGAATCATCTTTACTGACTCACTGTCTTGTCTACTCACCGATTATTCAGGGCAGTACAATTGAAGGTTCAACACCTTTTGATGCGTAGAAGATTTCCACAGGATCGGGAGGAATATGAAGCAACCGCCCTCTAGATTGTGCAAAAACAAAATGATTCGGAGTCATTCCAAAAAATAGTCGATCCGAGACTATGTTTTCCATTGTGAGAAGTAAGAGCAGAGTAAGGGAGAGTGAACACGACGGCCCAAAGCAGATTGTTAAATACATCCACTCGATCTGGGCTACGTGATAGGATGGTAATTTAGACATCGAGCACTGATACTTCTCTAGGGTGGGACCACAGAGACTCCTAAGAGTGATAATGATCTACATCCCTTCTCATGTCCACCCAGCTTTCTAGGCATGCAACCGCTACCAAAACCTGAGCTTATTGAGAAATGACCGAGGACTTGACGAAGGTGTGTTTTTGATTTTTGACTTGTCACCTTTCAAAGCTGGTATGGCTTCTGCTTGAGCATGTCGGCGTTTGTATTCCGCGGGGGTTTCCCCGTCTAGCCCATTTTTCCATATTCCTAATCTTGAGGCTCTGTGAATTTCAGTTTCAGTGTTTTTCAGAAGATTGCTCTGCGTAGTTTCACACTCACTTTGCACCAGTTTCTGCTTTGAGAAACTCTTCTTTACCCCATTTTCCATATTCTGCTCCAGCCTGCCATCATCATTGAGGATTAATGCCGAAACTACACTCAAAAAGCTGAGCTTACCTGTTCGTATACAGTAGCCCATCCGGATTTAAGCATTTCAAGCGAAAGATTGTTGCCAAAGAAAGACCCAGGCAAGAACCTTTTCTTTGTGACAACATTTGCGACCTATGAACCACCCATTTTGAGTGAGTAGAATAATGATAACGTATATCAGAACTGACGATTCGAGCATATTGATCGCGCTGAGTCAACTGGCAGTATACTGTCCGTCCAATAATCCTATTCGTCAGCCATGCCAAGCTTTCTTCCGCATATGGTTGAGCTAGGCGGCCAAAGTGACCAGCCTGAGTCAAACAATGTCAATGAAGGCATTAGGCCTTAGACTGAGACGGTACCTCTGGAGCATCTGCGCCAGCAATTCGGATGTGTACAGTCTTGTTCTTTAGCTCTCTCGTTGTTGAGGGTACGCGTCGGAACTTCAATGGCCAGGTCCATCCGATTCCAGGAGTGTGGTACAATCTGTACGAAATTGTAGTTCAAGCCGTACAAGGGGAAAAACGCGACGACTGAGTACCGGAAGTTGTCAGCATCTCCTACACTGTAACATGGTAAATAACGCAGATATTAGAACACTTGAAGGGTTTAAGCTCACACCTGGTCACGATACCCTTAATCCAACGTTTCTTTTGAAAGCTTTCTGGGGTAATCCAGTCACTGTTCTGTATTCTCTTGAAATAACGGCTGTATATCCTCGAAGCTCCGATAGCAGTGATAGCACCAGCAGCGAAGGCGGAAGTAACAAGAATTTGCGGTGGAATACTCGATGCTTTCTTCTCCAAATTCGCCACATATTCCTCGAGCTCTTGAGGCAGCTTTGGAGGAGCCATTCGGTCGAGCAAAGCGTAAAGAATTGGTATAAGATTTACTGAATGCGCATCTGGCCCGCGTGTCTATGGTGTGTTCGTCAATGAGGAAGAAGGGAATCCGTAGCGGGTCCCGAAGGTCCGGGTGGTGATTACACATCTTATCTCTGTCTTATCTGATAACCATGTCTGCTGAAATGGACCTCGACTTACGACAAGCCTTGATTTTATACGCAACAGAAACTGGCACCGCACAGGAGGTAGCAGACCGCGTAGCCCTAGAATGTCGACGAATACACATCCGCTCCCGAGTCCTCAGTATGGACGCTTACCCTGAGGTTCTTATTTCCTCTATTCGAAACGAAAATCACGCTGAACGCCAAACTCTAGGAAGATCTCGTTTCAGAAACTCTGGTAATATTTGTCGTGTCAACAACGGGATCTGGTGCAGAACCAAGGGCCATGTCAGACTTATGGAACAAGCTTCTACGGGCTGATCTACCGTCTGATCTTTTCGAAGATGTGCATTTTACAGTTTTTGGTTTGGGAGATACAGCATACGAAAAGTTTTGCTGGCCTGCTAAACGCTTGACACGTCGATTGGAGGGTCTAGGGGCACATAAAATATGCGAATGCGCGGAGGGAGACGAGCAACATATACTCGGGTTTGTCCCTTTGACGTTGTAGCTTGGTCAATGGACGCTCATGGAGTCCTAGGATAGATGGGGCATTAGAGCCTTGGCTTGAAACCTTATCCAAGTCGTTACCTGAACTCATGCCACTTCCGCATGGACTAGATATCCTCCCTTCAACTCAAACCCCTCCAGCTCGTGTATCACTAGTAAACTGCTCAAATCATCAGGTCGCCACGAACGATCCTTTGGATCATGATCATGACTACGGTTTAGCTACCGTTAAATGTAACACGCGACTAACAGCACAAGACTGGTATCAGGACGTTCGCCATATTGAATTTGATTTTTCGGACAACGTCGAGTGAGTATCACGCAACTCAATTCTTGTCAATCCTCACCAAAAATCAGATATTCTCCAGGAGATGTCGCTGTGATACATCCTATTGCCAATGCGGACGAAGTGGAAACCTTTCTCTCCCAGATGGGGTGGGGAAACTTTGCCGATGATTTATTAGAGATCAGCCATGTACACAAAGGTCGACGCATCTCTTCTGTCTTGAATTATGAAAAAGCTAATCACCATTTTCAGATCAATCTTTACCTGATCATCTACCTCGATGTGCGACTCTGAGGACAATTTTCAGTCGATATCTAGACTTCAATGCCGTCCCTAGAAGAATATTCTTCAGATATCTTCGCTATTTCACATCGGATGAAGCAGAGAAAGAAAGACTAGATGAATTTCTTTCGCTTGAGCATGCTGTAGGAATTCACCACAACATTCTTCTTGACCTTTACATTGACGCGCTTATGCAGGACGAGCTATATGATTATTGCTTTCGGGTCAGACGGACGATACAAGAAGTGCTGTCAGAGTTTCGCAACGTTCGAATACCGATGAACTACATATTTGACGTGTTTCCTCCACTGCGCCCTCGACAATTCTCTATCGCGAGCTCTCTAAAGGTGAGCTCTTTGGATTCCATCGTTTGAAATCTTCCTTCTTGATTAAATGGAGTTCAATCACTAGAAAAATCCCCAGTCGATCCATATTTGTGTCGCCATGGTCAAATACAAGACGAAGCTGAAGATACCTCGCAGAGGAGTTTGTTCAACGTATCTTTCACGACTACAACCAGGTGACCTGGCAGCACCAAATTTTGTCTCGAGTTGGAAGCTCACATACATTCCCTGGTCAGGTCACCAACTGAGGATTCGGACTCTCAAAGGTTTCATACGACTACCTGCCAACAGTGACATCCCTATCATTTGTGTTGGACCTGGGACAGGTGTCGCTCCGATGAGAGCAGTGATCGAAGAGCGGATTCAACAAAATGCATATAGTGCGATATATTTCTTTTCCCGTTTCATCATTATCCTTAACTCCAAAATATTTCTATATTAGATAACACATTATACTTTGGTTGTCGCTCTGCAACAAAGGATCAGCACTACGCTTCCGAGTGGAATCAATGTTCCGTCGACAACAAGCTTATCTACCGAGTAGCATGCTCGCGGGATGGGCCTGAGGGTGTCAAGAAGACTTATGTCCAGGATCTTATACTAGAGGATGCGGACCGGTTATGGAAGCTCATCGATGAAGGCGGCGCGTATGTTTTTATCTCCGGGTCAGTTTGCGGAAGAACAAAGCTTGTCCCTTCATCTCCCATCTTATGCTTTTTCCCAAGGTCTTCGAATAAAATGCCAGCTGCTGTGAAAGCAGCCTTACGACACGCAGTAGTAACTTGTGGTCACAGGGAAGAGGTGGAGGCTTCCAGGTATATCCTTGATTTAGAAAAGAATGGTCGGTTGATTGAGGAATGCTGGAGTTGATATGTGTAGATATCCTTTATGGCAACAGGCTGGGTCATCCGCGTTAGCGGTTCTCTCGAACCTGGAAACTCAGGCAATTGTTCGTCAATATCTTGACTGTCATCACTGACCTCAACCTATATTTCGTATTAGTTCTTGTCCTCCAATTCGTAGTTTATTGCCTTTCAAGTTCCAGCCTGCATTCAATGACCCTTTTCTCTGTTCTCCAATGCTCCCCGCAAGAGAGATATCGATAACCACGGACGAGGTACTACTATAGACGGTTCAGATCAGGATTGATTCAGTCCCCTAAATACTACTGGTCATAGAAGGAAATAGTAGCGATGTCGATGAACATCAGGATGACTTGCTTCGTTACGTATAAAGTTCGAATGAAATCAAGCCAATACGGAAAACCGACAGAATGTTGGCCCCGGTTTGATCTCCGTGAATCATAAGAAAATGGTGGTGTGCCGCCTGGCACCCGCAAATATTCTGAATGAATTTGAACTAATAGCTGTTGCAGGCTGTTGTTGTGAAGAGAGTATACGTGTAATCGACTCTTCCGTTTCAACCGAAGTTGTGTTCTGATTTCATTAGAATATTTAATACAAACAATGGCTGATTATCTGTACAACCTCATTTCGCCATTGTTCAAGGTATCATGCCGAGAATTATCGGATACTTCGATCAACAACTATGCGTAAGGTGATTGGTACAAAGCTACTACTTAAAGCTTAGCAGGCAATGAGTAAATCCTAGAACATAACATTGGCCACAAGATCTTTCGCTGACAATATCGCACTCTCTACATTTTCAAACCTGTTCAAACCCGAGGTCCAATAAGTGTTTTTCTTGCCCTGTAATGCATTGTACTTTTTGTAGAAGCCCCCCGCTAGCGCATCCGTCAAGACATGCGGGAAATGGTCTTGTCGGGTGAAAAGTTTGATGTCATCTGCGGTTACCGTGTTTGCCGTAGTCACCCCACCAACTTTAATGTTGGCAATCCCTGCACCTAGGTCGGTGGCAGTTTGAAGCAAAAGTTCTATAACTTGCTCGTCGCTGTCGCTAGTACTTTCATTGTAGGGACTTGTCCCGAACGAGTACGCTGTAGCGATAGGAGAATCATTGAAGTAGCGTAACATTGCGAGAGGACCAAAATCGGGTGTGGGAGGGTTTTTAAGGAAGGCGTAAGGATACGGGAGTTCGCTCATGTTGAAAGCTGTAGCCCAGTAGGCTGTTACTCCGACGTCAGCGAAAAGGGACGCCTCATCGGTAGTAAAATCGAGACCAGTTGCCTCCAAGGCACGAGTGGTTGGAGGAAAGGCAAGAACAACACTGGAACATGTCTGTGTGTTTGAAGACCTGTTACCCGCAGATATGTAGGTGACAACGGGATTTTCCGCACTGCGATCTAAACCCGGAACGTTAGCCATGCCATTGGACCTTGTAGTGCTCGACACCGACCTATTTTGGTAACATTTGTGCTACTGTAGATAGGTCCACTGACAGACCTTTCAGCGTACCACAGCCAAAGTTTATGAAAATCTAATGATATTCAGAAGTTTAAAAAGATGAATATGCAACATTCACCACAACGATAGCTTACCAACGAAATAGCCGGGAGTTGTTCCAATATAGTACGTCAAGATCTCTGGCGTTAAAAATTGGAGGGCGTAGAGCTATAATTAAATCTTTATTGAGAGTTTTGTTGTGCTCTTCACAAGACACACGTACTGCAGGAGTCTGAGAAAAATCGCCATAGCCTTCGTACACAAGGCCTTCCTCAACAAACACAGGCAAGAATTGGAAACCTTTGCTTGCTAACCATTCACTCATCGGAACTGTGAGCTCTGTTGGAACACCATTCTGTTTGCCATCAGTGTTCATTTGAGATGCAGTTCCTGATATCAGATACAAAACAAAGAAGACTCACAGGGTACCTTGATTCCGTGTACTGAGGTTGGAACTCAGTGAGCCACAACGTCGTGTAAGCTGCTACTTCCAATGCTATAGCAGCATCCTCCGGTAGAGTTGGTAATGCTGTCTGAGTAACATTCAAGTTCTGACCGGCGTCAGTTCCGGGGCTATATTGCCAGTAACTCCAATTCGCGGAGGGTCCAGGAGAAAGTGCCGGAGAAAGTGGGAGGCCAGCTTCGAGGATCAGCGGGAGGGTATTACTGTATGTCAAATTCGTGAAGATGAGGGCACCCATAGCGTGATACGTAGTTCTTTTTAGGGCATAAGTTTATATGAAAGCTTGATCTGGCCTTGTTACTCGCCTAGTTTCTGGGTCATCGTAATACGACTGACATTTACCCCCCACTTCGACATTAGAATCGAAAATGACAGTGGGGACCCCGCGAGATTCCAATTCATGAGCAACGGTTAGACCCGAAGGTCCTGCTCCAACGACACAGACAGGATATGCACTAGCCGCAGCTCGAACCCATGGCAGCAGCAGCCAACCTGACCCGAGCAAAAGACTAGGAACAGATGTGAGGACCCAAGATCTCATCTTCTTAGCTGGAGGGGAAAAGGAATACCTTCGCTCAAGGGTTTGAGTCCTGCAGATTTTATTTGCTTTTATACGCTTGAACCCCAGATCATCGATCATCTGTCAAACTTAGGATATGAGTCGTTCATCTCGATGCTGTCGTACCAGATTGATCATGTATATGAGACGATTTTGGACAGAGTAAATGTGAACTTCCACGCACATAAAGGTTTCCGAAATTTTCGCCGGACGCATTGCGATTTTTTTGACTATTCCGTCAATTTTTGTGGAGGGACAATAAAGATCCCCGTGTTCGCTGCATTTATTGAAAGATGTACATACGCCTGGACCCGGAACAAGATAGCTTCTCAGACGGGATGATGATCGGGATGCCAAATATTTTGGTGACCTGAAGCGTTGGCGGAGGGTCCATTTCACCGGAAGTCTAGTCTTGAGCTCAAGTTAATAGGATTCAGTAGCAATTGTTGGTCCGAGTAGTGCCAATTAATACATAACTCATTAGCTGGCATCGGGCGATGATGTAGTAGAGAAAGCTAGAGAATCCAGATGCAACCTCAGAGGAGATATATTATTATCAGTGCATCAGGGCCTGTTGAGGTCCTGTTAGAGCCTGTTAGAGCCCGTTGAAACTTGATACGTGTTAAAACAGATTTCTGATGTCAATGGTCGGCTACCTTAGGGGAGCCCGGGGATAATTCTGGATAATTGTGGAATACCAGATGATTAGTATTCACAGAATAAGGGGACGACCTGGGACGACTGGAGACGACCACGGAAGTAGTCATTCGGACGCAAAGCTCCCCTGCGGTGTTATTTCAAAAAACGAATTGGCCCCTATTGGATTAAAAGTACATACGCGGGGTGTGGGAACAATCACGTGGAAGCCTCCAAATATGGTCCGTAAGTTCTTTGCGCCAGGATAATTATCAATGGCGATATTCGCGGTTCTTCTACGTGCGGCCGACATATCCTCTACGGATAAATATGAAACTGCTATCAATGCCATTGGCCCTAGGAGCAGAGGTGTTTGTGTCCCGGTCCTCGAAACGGTTCTGATGAATCTAGAGAATTTGAAACAGACTATTGCGGCAGGGCCGAAGGTAGACGGAGTAATTATGACCAGTGCCAGATCTTGCGAGGCCTGGAAGGCCGTCGTCGCACAGTCTGCAGATGAACAGACGCAATTATGGTCAAATGTCCCCTTCTACGTCGTCGGAGCTGCCACTGCCGCCTCTCTACGCGAAATTTATCCAAAACCTGATCAGATTCGTGGAGAACATAGTGGAACTGCGGAGCTACTAGCTCGATTCATTTTGGAGCAGACGCCAGGAAATCGCCCGAAGTATCTCTTGTACTTGACTGGAGACAAGAATCGGGAAACTTTGCCCAAAGTCATGGATGAGGGCCATGTTGACTTGGTGTCACTCCAAGTTTATGAGACTTGCGGTAGCTCCAGGTTTCCTGATGATCTACGTGAAGCGTTGCAAGGTTGCCAAAGAGGTACTGTATCCGTCGTCTTCATGAACACTGGTTTACCTCTTTCTGAATATAGATGCTGAAATTTGGATTGTATTTTTTGCACCATCCGCTGCCGAATTTGTCTACCCCCATTTACAAGCACAATTTCATTTTCGGTCTATAGACACCAGGCCATCGAATGACGACAAACCACTGGTGCGTATCGCTGCTATTGGTCCTACCACAGCTTCTTTCCTTCGTGATAAACTACGTCTTCATGTCGATGCAATTTCTGCAAAGCCAAAACCTGCTTCGTTGGTTGAAGCAATACGAGAGTGTCTGTATACGTAGCAAACAGGTCTGTCGCTGCGTTGCTTGATGTGCGGTACTTAACGCCAATGCACTCATTGGATGTCGATTATCTTGATGTGATGTGAAGAATCAAGCGCTGGAAAACCCCCATTACTGAACCCTGGCGCTCCGACAAGGGCGTACATTTCCTCAGCTTTACCTCGGATCGTCATGGCGTTCTGTACATGTTTTTCGCACTGACTACGGTCTCCTTTTGAAACCTTAATCGTGTTTTCCGATGGCTTCAGCGCCCGAAACAACCATCATTTTACCTTCCAAAGCAAGCCGTGCGCGGCTTCTCGTCGACCAAAAATGTCGATACCACCCGTCGTTTGCCTCAACCGCTGCGCACGTCGTTCTGAGTGCTTCTGATGGCATTATGTACCGGATGCATTCGTATACGTTGCGCATGGCTTCGGGATTCTTTCGCGACATGTTTACGCTACCCCAGCCCAGCCCACCACATCCGAAAGAGTTCTATTCTCAAAATATCGACGTGGGACGAGATGTTTTTGTCTCCACATACGTGTCTTCCCATATCCTTACTTTATTCCTCATGCTGATCAGTGGAATGCCGATTAATACACCTTTACATGAATGGGGTGAATTTTCCCCGTATACTTCGTGCTCCGACTCGTGCAACCCTAACGAGGTGTCGTCTCACTCCTGCTTTGACATCATAGATCGTGTGTTGCGTCTAGCAGAAAATTGGGATGCACCAGGACCTTTATCATATATACGACTAGGTTTGCGGAGTACAGAGCTGGCGAAACGAGATCCCTTGCGATTATTCTCGATAGCGTCGCATTTTGGATGGGAATACGAACGAAATTGGGCTGCACAGCACTCCTTAATGATCGACATATCCTCGCTCTCCGACAGTGACACACAAAATACCTTGGAAGGCATGTCTTCAAAGGACCTACTACGCCTTTTGAAACTGCGCCACAGAAGGAAAGAAGAATTTAGGGCGTATCTCGATGATCCCGATCGTTTCTCAGTCGGTAATTCGGACATCTTTTGCGCACAATGTCACGAAGCTCGAATAGACAATGGAACGTGGAAGATTTTGAAAGAGGTGATGGTAGCGGAACTGGAACGGCGACCGCTAGGAGATAGTATTGTGGGTTACGACGTTGATGGTATTGGCGGGGAAAATTCTACTGGAGGTATACTCACTTGGCCAGAAGCGGAAGCTTGTTTCAAGGCGACTTGTGAGAAGGGCTGCGGGAGCTTGAACTATGATGAATGCGCCACCTTGAAACAAATTCAAGGTGGTATAGATAGTCTCCCTTGGGACTTGTGATGTTGCTACGATATGATGCATTCTACAGACTCTTCTGCAATGAACTAGAATCTGTCACCAAAATGTTACCGACGCGGCTGAGGTCATTACCAGTATATGTCTACAATTTGCTCTTCTTTCATTCTACCCTTGACACGCATCATAGCCATTATGTATGAGTGTCATGACTAGCAGTTATATCCACGAATATGAGATTAAAGATAAAGACTAAAATATACAGAACTGACGTTCAAACTGATACAAGAAATGCATGTCACAAATAAAAACACTAATAGAATATCTTGAACATAGATTAGATCTTCTACGTGCTCATCTCTGCCACCTTCCTCAGAAACCTTGCAACGACGGCCTTGCCTCGTTGAAGGTTGTTGAGAGACATCCGTTCGTTCGGAAGATGTGCTTGATCCTATGAATCGAGTAATATTAGCTTCGAACGATCGACAGCATATCTCTGACAACGAACCAAACTCTGGCCCATAGGTAGATGGAAGGCATGGCAAGCGAAAGCTTTCTCAAGATATGGTACAGATGGCACAGACTGAGCAATTCATCAGTCGAATAGTTTTCGTCAGTCCTCAGCAAATTTACTTACCCCTCCCTCCCGGATACGAAGAGGCTCCAGGCCCCATTCTTCATGAATCGCACTTTCTAAAGCTTTGAACCAAGGATCGTCGAGCTCTCCGATCCACCAGTCAGCTGGGTTATTGATGTCCACTGTGATCTCATTTGGTGATTGAAGGTCATGGAATGAAGATCGCAAGAATTGACAAAGGGAGTTTGCGATAGTATCTAGTTTTTGGTCAGGAACGATACGAAGGGATATCTGTGAGTTTACGGTCCCAGGGATGACAGTAGGATCTGAGACAATGAATCAGAGATTGTTGAGGCATAAGCGAGGAAGAGTCTCCACTGACTATTCGGGCCCGAGACCTCGATATTATGTATCGTCAAAGCAGGTTCACGCCACCGGGAGGCCATGTACGATGCAGGCTTTTGTGTCACAGCAGCTATCCGTGAGTAAAGCTCTTTTTCCGCCTCGGTTTGCACGCGAACATGGTCGTCTGAACATCAATCAATACAGAAATGAATGCTTGAATGAGATAAACGCACAGAACCCAGGTATCTGTATTTGGTTCTTCCTATCCGTAAGAGTAGACAAAAGGTTGATCCTAGGGTAAAAATACAGTGAACATAGAAAATTAGTTCGGCTCAGGTTGATCAGGAGAACCCTCTGACATGTCTTTCATGGGCTCTGCAACTCCGCCACCATCAACACCCGAGTGTAGATCGGGAAGTTTGTTGCAGACCTTGTGAATAAATTAATATTGCAGGGCTCAGGGAAGACAGAAATTAGGTACCGCGATTGAGCAATGGATTACTCCACGAAGACCATAGGTGATACATGGTGTGTCTTCGGATATCCATGTCGAGTTACTTCGGTAGGGATAATCAGCCTTCAATCTACTTCAACTCTCAAAGAACACGACTAACCTGACTAATATGGCATCAATGTGCCCTATTTGGTCCTACCCATGTCAAGGCTTAGTGATCATACTCCAAGCCAAAAAAACACAACATAATCATACCTTATACTTGTCCACAGCAGATGAAAAATTCATACTCCCACATTCCTCTTGTCCTTCAACAAGAAACACGACATCCACTCCCAGAGAACGTTTGTATAATAGTTCTGCGGCGGCGAAGGCAACGGCTATGATAGGTCCTTTGTTATCCGTAACCCCACGACCATACAGATAGCCATTTCGTCCATCTAGCGTGAAGGGATCGGATTTCCACCCTTCCGGAGGAGCTGGGATGACATCGTAGTGCCTATTAAAGATATTCAAAAAGTTAGGTAATGTATGGCAGGGGAATCGTGGTTGAGGGGAAATGAGACTCACCCATAAAACAGTAATCGAGGACGATTACCTGTGCCATGATTTCCAGTAAAGGTGCCCAGAACTAAGGGATTGGTGCTCCCAGATTCAGAAGTCGGAAGCTATACAAAGAAATAATTTTAAGTGTCCGTGGTAGTCATTAGTTGACAAGATCAGTCCCATACAAGTTGCGTCTTTGCACCAAGTTGAGTAAGGCATTTTTTGAGCCAGATAGCGGCTTGTCGACAGTCTTCGCGATGATTGAGGTAGCAGCTGACGCTGGGTATCGAGACAAATTTCGAGAGCGCGTATGTGATTCTGTCTATTGAACAAAAGTTGTTGCTAAATGGAAATAATGATATAATATAGAAGAAACTCACCTCCGCCTAGCTGTGAACAGTCTGAAGGGATGGCGTCCTCTGTTGACGAATTTCGGAAACGAGGGCGTGGTGGCACGACGTTCCAGACCTTTTTCGAAAGAGGTTAGTCAGAAATAGTGAACAGGTATTTACAATATTCACCTTGATATTATCGTCGTTCCCTCCAGTTACCAACATATAGTTGGTAGTTTCCGTCCTTGCAGTGATCAACGACGATAACACAATTCCATTGTGTGCGTGCCAGGACGCAGTACAATCGAATGAGCCAGAGAAACGCTTGATGTCAGGTGAGTAAGATCTCTCCAGTTAAAGCAGGATCAACATACCTTGACCTGCCCATTGGCCGAACTTGCATACAAGTCCGAGTCGATCAGGGATAGCGAAAGTATATCAATCCCTTCCTGGACAATTATACTTCGGACAAGGGTCTTGGTCTCCAGATCCATGATTTTGATATGCCCGTCCTGGCAGCCACCATACACCGTCTCCCCGTGTGCCACTAACGCGAGTACGGCGCCATAATTACACTCGAAAGTATGGACAATTGATGGTCCCGAAGCGGAACACCTCCAGATTTTGACGGTCTCATCGCCACTACCTGTAACAAGGGTGACTCCGACTCCGCGTTCATCAAGGACAGTCATGCAGTATATATATCCAAAATGCTCCGACTCGATAACGTTCGTTGAAGGCACCTCTAGTCGAGGAATTTCCGCGGAAAAGTACGGAATCGGAGTCTGAGGATTGTTTGCGTTCAAGTCTGCAGGTCTCCGGTCGAATTGAGGGTAGCTATCAAAGAATTTATGGGCTTTTCGAACGCTGGTGCCATTTGGTGTTGTTGTGCCAGAGTCGGTCGTAAACGCAAATTTGTACCATTGGAGGGAGGTATTTTGGCAGCCAATGTAAATCGTTTGAAGGGTCGGTGACCAGGCAATCGAGTACAAGTCCCCGGCGCAGGTTTCGGTGTAGGTGTCGATGATATATACTGGCTTGAGTGTAATAGTAGACCACACTCGAACGGTGCTGTCACCTAAATTGAATCGTTAACATGAGCCTGAAAACCTTGAACACCAAGAAGCGAAGACCAACGCACCAGAAGAACTGAACAGCCACTTTTTGTCCTCAGCGTAAACTAAAGCCAACACACTCCGTGAATGTCCTTGCAATGTTGCCTTCAACTCGAAAGTCTTCTTGTCCCAAACCTAAAACGAGAAGAAAGATTGAGAATTATCTCCCACCAAACACCGAAAAGAACTCCGAGCATGTGAATGAGGATCGGAATGCAATGGACTGACCAAGATATCGTTATCCTGATTGCCAGAAAAGATGTAGTCGTCGTTCGCGGCCAAACAAAGGATAGAGCTATTGAGTTTTTGCAGAGAATGAAGCTGGTAAGGGTCAGAGCCCTCAGTTTGGATATTCCTGCTGAGAGATGCTGGTTGACAGCCATCAGGACGATAAGATTTTTCTCAAGGACGCCCGACGTACAATGAGGAGAATCGGAAGAATTGGAAACAGAAGACATGCAGCTGCTAAGCGAGTTTGCCTTTTCCCTTTTCTTTCACTTTTCGCTATATGTATGTATGACTCGAAAACTGACAGCAAAAATCATGACGGGAATCATTATATATGAATATGAATGAGTGCCGCGATGGATGGTGCGATTAAGAGCTCACTTCAGCGCTTCCGACCACATAGCAACATATGTGGATGGTCTTTCGTTGAGGAAAGCAAACATTATGGTTCGGAATAAATCCACATCATCATATGTATTTACTAGGAAGAGTTCTTCTTATAAGAATTCAGCTGAATTCTGAACAGTGCTGCAGTAGTGCAATAACCTGAGGTTGCAGTGGACGCCCGCATGAGTAGAACGATTTTTCTTCACTCTCGTGAATTCTGACTTGCCAGACTACGACCCCGGACGAAGCGTTGTCATCCTCGGATAAGCACGCATCGGCATGACATTCTACGTATACTTGCGTTGGGAAAAGCATATCAGTACATAATATGCAGTCATTGTGTTCGCAAAACTCATCCTGAGCATTTAACGATACCTGGGCCCTTCCCATTATCCAACTGTTCTCATATACCATTCTTCTCAATATGCTCTAGCCCGATGATCAAAGCACCTCGAACCCTCTGTGAGCGTTTTCCAGAATCCATCGAGAGACAGCAGTATCTTCGAATAATGCATCACCAAACATGTCCACTCCTATATCTAAAGAACGATGAGAGCAAATCGAAAGAACAATGATCCATGGCATAACAGAAATCATCGAAGATGACCGTAGAATTTCATCAGGTGTTTTCCGCAAAGTAAAGATGGTAGCTGAGTCGCGTATTGTCGTTGGTGTTCCTGCTGGGCCGTCAGAAGTAGACTACAAGATGCTACATACTACATAGACGGTGCATTTCCGTTTGGTGATCATCAAGGTCACGATGAACGTTTTGAAGAATTGTCGCGAATTCATCTGACTGCATCCACACCAGACCTGATTCCGAGCAAAATTTGTGAATTTGATGTTCGTTCAATTCTGATGTCGATGAGAGTTGGAGCAAAGATATGAGCGCTTGAAGTTGAATGTGCCCACACGCGAGGTCACACGAGTTGACAGTCAGACTTATGTCTGGACCAATACCGTATTCTGATTCTTCATCCTCGATATCCTCACAGCGAAAGAGTTCTAGCTCGTGGACCTCGCAAGCTCGGAATCCCGTCTCTTTACGATTATACAAAGTTCTTGGTATCAACTTCGACGATGAAGCTACTCGGGAAGCGTTGCAGACACTTTCAGAACTCTATGTCAATAGCAGCTCATCTGGCTCCACCGTAGATGCCAGCTCAAAAGTGAAGGAAACTCCCAAGAGCAATGCACATTTTGATGGCGCGCTGCTCGAAGATGGAGAAGACGAAGACGACGATGAAGAAGAGCGCGCTCAATCATCAACCGGAACCTCAAAATTAGTAGAAAACACGCCAGGGGAAGCAGCTGCAAGGGCAAGGAAAAATCTGAAGCGGGATATGGAGCTCAGGCTGGCTGAAGGCAGTCGACATTTTCTGAAAGTCTTGAGTGAAGTTGATGAGGTGTGTACTCACTTCCCGATCGCAGTATCGTTATTCATCTACCCAATGTCCTATTCAGAGACTGGTCGCCCTCCAAAAACACGTTTCGGCAATGCATACAAGCTGTGACGAAGCCGAGAAGCAACTCCAACTTTCAAATGAAGCGAGCAAATCCCTTCTTGAACGAGCAGGTAATCTACGTGAAGAGAGGTGCGTGTTTTTTGTCTCCTGCGAAGTCCTCTATATACTGAGCGCAAGAAAGACAAGAAGTTGAAGACCGAAAATCGATTGTCTCCTTGTTCCTTTCACGATTTACACTCACGGAGGAGGAAACGGAGGCGTTGACATCTAGAGATGTACCAGTGGGCAAGCGATTTTTCCAAGCTATGGACAAGACAGAACAGATTCGAGAAGATTGTCGTGTGTTAATGGCCGGTGAGGATGGTCCGACGAGAGCTGGGTAAGTTCGACAAACAATCTCAATTGAGATAACTGATCATGATACCTAGTATCTACGGCTAGGAAAGACATCATGGCATCTACCGCCTCTCAACTTGAACAAGGCTACGAGAAAATATTTCGTTGGTGTTCCTACGAGTTTCGTCAGGTTGGACGCGATTCTCAGCTTGAAGTGAGCACGATCATGCGGGAGGGCGTCCGTCGCCTACGAAAGAGGCCTGAGCTCCTCAAGTGTGTTCTTGTCACGGACTTCTGTTCTTTGTCTGACAGTCTTCGCCCAGTGAATCACTGGCTGCGCTTTCACTCACCCGTCAAACAACACTGACATCTTCCTTCCTAACTGCCCTTACGCGTGGCGGACCTTCTGGTCTCCCTCGACCTATTGAGCTCCATGCTCACGATCCTCTGAGGTATATCGGCGACATGCTTGCATGGGTTCATCAAGCTATTGCCGCTGAACGGGAGTTCCTCGAGGCCTTGTTTAGTATCAAGGAAGACGGCCGTTTGATTGGTAGTGCGAGAGAGTTTGCTGAGAAAGGCAAGATGAGCGAGGAAGAAGAATGGATAAGGGAGCTCATGGACGCGGCGGTGGGGAAAGTCTGTGTCCCTTTGAAGGTAAATAATGTGTGATTTCCTTTCCATCAGTGACTTACGCTTTTCATTTTTTTTGTCTAGATTCGCGTACAACAAACTATCAGGTCGCAAGAAAGTTCGATTATGTCATACAAGATCGCGAACCTGTTGCAGTTTTACAAGGCAACCATGACGAAGACGATTGGTGACGACGCGGTTCTATCTGTAACGTTGAAGGAGTGCGTACAAATAATGATACATTTGTACAGCCGTTCTTCTAAATGTTGCTCAGAATTACCGACCTGGCGTACCAGACTTTCTTTGGCTCTATCGAAGCTCAATGTCGTTCACTCGCTCAAGCAACTCTAGTACGTTCCGAAGATACTTTTATCTGTCTCAGAATTTCTTTAATGCAAAGTAGGATCTTGATGATACATCCCTTACACCTCCCATCCCCATACTCGACCACGTTCAAATACTTCGTGAGATCATGGCAGTGTATCAGTCGTATCTCGGGGACGACGAACTGGATGACGGCGACGACGAAGATAATTTGATCGGTGATCATAACAAATCGCACGCAGCCGGGAACACGGGCTTCCTCAAAATCGGCGATGTCATGGTACAGCCAGCGTTAGATATGTGTCTTGATGCCGGGGAAACGAAGAAGAGGCAAAGACCTGAATGGGACAAGGATGTTTTCGTATTGAATTGCTTGAGTTATCTTTTGGTATATGCGGGTTTGGCAAATTGTTCGTGTTAATTCACTGACTCGAATGGTTTCGTATTTTTTTTCTGCAGAGTGTTTTGGAGCCGTTTGCATTCACCAAGCCTCAACGAAAGGTGATTCAGGAAGCAATTGAATCGAAAGTTGAAGAGTTGACCGAAGAACATGTGAATCTATTTATACTTGACTAATATCGTCTTTTGTTGAGCTTGGTCTTTCCAGTACCTCGATATCATGACAGACGCAGGATTAAACCAAGTCGCCTCCCTATGCCGCAATCATGATGACTCGGTAAACTGTTCTGACTATACACTATTTGTCTTGGCTTATATTTTTTCCTCTCTTTACAACAGGAACCTCTCTCGCACGTTCCCGGCATTCAACCTGCCCAGCTTCAATCCGCTCTCGCCTCCTTCTCCCGTTGGCTATCTACCTCCATCGAAGTTGTCTCCTCATCCTCCCCCCGTTTATCTCGCCTGACCCTTCAGCGTCTGCATACGCAGATACACCATGCTGCGCTAGAGAGAATGGCCAAGGCGTATGGCATGATTTGTGAGAGGGTGAGGAGGAAGGAGAATAAGTATGAGGCTGCGGCTACGTTACTTGGGGCCGAGAGACCATTTGGTCAAGTTGGGCTGCTGTGGCAGATATTTGGGCTCAAAGAAGAAGAGGAGTAGGAGGAAGAGAAGGACAGTGTTGAGCATGTAACATGTATATAGTCCACTATTTACATAACGAGTACTACCTGCCTCAATGAATACAAGTAACAATAGGGTGTTTCACGACGAAAAGAGAAGCCTTTTTCAGGCCTTTTTTGGATATTTTTCGGACCCTTTTTTCAATTCTTTTTCAGTGAAAAAACAAACAAAAAAGGCTCAGAAAAGGCCATAAAAAGAGCTCGTCATGAAACCCCTCCTGGGACTTTATATAGACCTGTATTTTCTGTAGTAAATTAAATCATCTTGTTCTTTACATGCCCGCAATATCGACACGTCAGCGCGTACTTCGTGGGGCTTTCAAGTATGCCCGAAAGCTACAAGGATGGAGGAGGAAATGCCGCAAGGAGTCGGAACTGTTAGATGAATCGGACTACACTGTGGATAGTGATGAGTTCGGAGTTTCTACAGATGATAGATCCTCACTTTCCACACTCTCATCGTTCTCCTCATCTCTCTCGTCTCTCTCGTCTCTCTCGTCTCTCTCATCTCTCTCATCGATGGAAGACAGAGACCCCGACACTATGACGGAGTTTTCGGAAGAAGAAGAAGAATGGGAAGATCAGAATTACATGATGCGCTATCGAGCCTCTCGCGCTCGGATTGCAGAGATTCTCAGCACCCGGGTCCTGTTTCCCCATCGCGTTCATAAGCTCTCCCAGCTCTTTTTGGTTCTCGAGCTCTACAAGAAGGACGATCCGAAGCGTTTTCGGCGCAATATCCGGGTCTCTCCATCCACTTTCGATGAACTCCTTGCACGAATCTGTGATCATCCTGTCTTCATGAGTCAAGGCTCGGCACATCAGATACCTATTCAACATCAGCTTGCGATTGCTATGTTCCGTTTTGGACACTTTGGAAACGGAGCTTCGGTAGAATCTATTGCTCAATGGGCTGGGATGTCTGCTGGTACAGTTGTAAATGCCACACGACGTGTCATGGTAGCATTCTTGGCACTTCATGATGATGTGATCCACTGGCCAACAGCGAGGATGAAGGAGGAAGCGAAGGAGTGGGTAGAGGCTGCAACATGTGCTGCATGGAGGAATGGTTGGATCTTTGTTGATGGTACCCTGATCCCTCTCGCGGAGAAGCCTGCTTATCATGGCGAGGCTTATTTTGATAGAAAGTCCAACTATTCCCTCAATGTTCAGGTGCATGACATCCTCTACAAAATCAATTTGTGCTAACAATAGTTCTTTTGGTGTAGCTCATAACACTTCCGAATCTTCGAATCATTGACTATGTGATTGGTCACTGCGGCAGCACTCACGATTCAACAGCATTTAACGAATCTCGCACTTGTCTACAGCGGCAGCATCTTCTTGGACCCGGTGAATGGATTTGGGCCGACTCAGCATATCCTATCGAAGCTTGGTGTGTGACACCATATAAAAAGCCTCATAACCGAGATCCTGCCAACAAGACCTTCAACTTTTGGGTCTCACACGTATGCAATAGAAACTCACTAATCTTCACATCACTAATCCTGACTATCGCAGGTACGTATCCGATCAGAGCATGCTGTTGGCCATCTCAAGGGTCGCTTGCAGTCACTACGGGGCCTTTGTCAACAGATCTTGGATGAACAATCACATCGGCGTGCTTTGGAATGGGTTCGGACATGCCTTGTCATACATACCTTAATTCATATAATTGAGGAAGGGGATGTGGACTCCGAGTGGGAGGAGGAGCTCATTCAACAAGGTTTGTCATCTGATTCATCTGAATCAGAGTCAGACAGTCATGAGCATGTACGAGCTGAGGTTCGCCGAGAGTCTAAAGGACAACGTAAACGTAGAAAGGTTCAGAATGATCTATTTGCGAGCGGTATTACTGAATGAATACATAGTCACATAATGGTACCATAATATGACTAGATTTGATCGAAGTTGAAGTCAGGATAGTCTGTGTTGTTACCAGAGAGGGAGGCATTGAACCCATTACCCTGTTGCGAACTGTCCCCTGGCTGCAGAGCTGGAATTTCTGGAAGTGGGGAAGATGTCGAAGTAGGTGCAAACTCTTGACCAGTAGTATTCATTCCAGTAAAAGAATTGAATGTTGGCATAGATGGTCCAGCAATGTTTGATCCTCCCATGGCATTCAGATGTCCACGAATGGTGTTTTGTGGTGCAAATGCCATAAGAAGGTTGTTCATCATCATGAAAGTCTGCTGCGTTGTCTGAGCCTGCAATGCCACTGACTGCTTCTCTAACTCCAACTTTTTTTCATCCAATCGCATCTTCTCGCGTTTTGCAGCTATACGGGCAGTGGTATTTTCGAGTTCCTTCATGCGAAGAGCAGTACGAGAATCACGGCGCTGAGCAGCATCATCGAGTTCCTTCAGGTGAATTTCGTCAAGGTCAGCTGCATCAAATTGGCGCTTCTTTCCTTCCTTCCCATCCCTTTCCTTCTTCCTCTCTCTCTTCTTCTCCTTTGTGAGTGCAGATTTCGGAGGAGGAGTTCTGTGGTGGTCATCAAGCTGGTCAAGCTGATCCATGTCATCAGCTAACTCGCTTCCAGCAGATGAAGAGAAGCGCATATGATTGGTAGTGGTATCCCAGGTTGGGACATCGAGCCCACTGTCTGCAGCATCATCATCATTGTTGCTTTCTTCGTCTTGGTCAGGTAAGCGAGTCATGGCCAACTGAGATCTGGTGGGAGCGACGGACTGTCCGAATAGTTCAGAGGTATTGTTGGAATGGTTACTGCCACTGGTTGCATTACTAACACCAATAGGATTGTAATTTGGTAGTTCAGACCACATAGCATGGAGATCATCCCAGAACTCGAATTCCTCCTGGATCTGTTCTGCTCCGGAAAATTCAGTCAACTGACATGTTTTCTTAAAGGGTTTGAAATACCTATGATATTTTGTGCTTGATCTTCCGGCAAAAGTCCTCCTCCTGTATCCTTCAAACGACGGACATGCTTTGAGTAAGTCTTCTTTAATCTGTAATGTGTTTGCATCAGATCAAGTAGTTCAGTTCTGTTTCTCATAAAAGAGTGAATTACTTTGCAAATTGTTGTTGAAGTGAGGTAGCGAAGCGGTGGGGGTCTTTTGCATATTCATCTCTCCACTCTTGTTGTGCTATCGGCTCATCATTGCTTGTGAAGATGTGTGCAGCAAGGGTGCTGAACATGTTGATTTTTCCTTCCTTTCCCTGACTCTTCTTTCGGTCCTCTGCCTTTGCATCCACTGTAGAATCACTAAACAACTTCAAACGGAATTCAACGTTGTTGATAAGATACTGAATGGCCTTTCGTATCCAACCAGGATTGTCCCCCCATTCAATTGGCTTTGCTCGTTCTTTCTTCGGCTTGTTGGATACTTTGGGTGTTTCAACATTAGTTCCTACCCCATTCTTGTTGGAGACCTTCTTATTTCCTTTACCCATTGGGTCTGGGGAGTGGCAGGTTCTTATTGAGGATAGGATATAGGAGTACCAACTCGTACAAATTGATGACTAGTATTACTAAGCAAGGAGGTGCAAAAAAGAGAGAAAAAAGGACTTGGAAAAAAGACATGGTGTGCAGAAAAGGCTCCCTACCCTTTTCTGCAAAATGACAAAAAAGAAGTTCTTTTTCAAAATCTTGAAATCGAAAAAGGTCTGAAAAAATCATCGAAAAAACCATCAAAAAAGGCCTGGAAAAGCCATATCTTTTCATCATGAAACACCCTAATGTTGACTCGCCGGGCTGATGACTTTGCACTGTTGCACCGCGATTATCACGTGGCTGGGTTCTACTGTGTTTCTTTGTGAATCTTCCTTTCTCTTAATGGTATGTAGACATAGATCTACGTTTCCCTACATTTTGATCTTGTTGCTCGAATCTGCACCTCATCCAAGACCCTCATGAACCATCACTATGCTCCGCCACAGTATTTCTCTCCTCCCAGCTTTTATTATCCGTATCCAGTATCGCCTATCCATTCTCTTTCCTCGAGCGATCCATCTCCTCCAGGCTTCAAGCTACACATAGAGAATGGCTGGTACGTCCAGCCTGCATCTGTGCAGACTGGACTATCCACCTTAGGACCAGTATCGTCTAGTGAACCATCGCTTCATCGCTCCAGTAGACCACCATCCCCAACTCCTTCACCTTCTTTAGTTTCGCGTCATGATACCAAAACACATCATTACTGGAAAGGAAGACTCGCTCCGCTTCCGGGCTTCTCCTCGCCCTCCGACATGCTCAAGTTAAATCATGCCGTCGAGATCAAGAAGGATCATACGGAGAGACCTCTTCCGCCACCTCCTGGTTTGTCGAAGAATAACGATGTTAGTGTCTATGCACTTTGCTAGAGACTAGAGTCCTAATTGAATCAATGCCGCAGGGAAAATCCGTTTCTACCCTTGATAAATATGTGTGCATCATCGCCCCTTTTTTACTTCATTCTGCAACCTAAATTCTATCTCAGGCTGATATATTCGTACCTCAATTTCTGAAAGATATACAAAAACAAAGTCAAAATTTTCAACCTCTTGCTCCGATACCCATTTTTCCCCTTTCTTCTTATCTTCATTCTTTTTTACCGTCGTCTATTATTGAAAAACAAACCAATCTTCATCCATCTACTATTCTTTCTGAACTACCTCCTGAGAAGGCCGCTACGTGCCAGATTTTGAATGCTGATGGATACAAACAACATTGGAAATCTTTGTTATCTTGGGAGTTGGACCAGTTGGCTACCGATAAACAGAAAATCATTTTGTGGCAGGTGAAGGTCAAAATGTTGGATTGGGCCCAAGGTCAATTTTCCGTACTCGTTCCAGGGATACGGGAAAACTATCCCAGGCTAGACATCGGGGACGTCATTCATTTAAGGGAAGTCCTGGTTGACTGGAAAACAGGGAGTGGGTTCGCTTTCGAAGGAAGGGTGATTAGGCTGAAGAAACGAGAAGGCTTCATTCGTATGTTCTGTGTTTATACTACTATAAAATCCTACTCAATTCGTTCCAGATTTTTCCTGTCCTACGCTCAAGACGCACATCGAGACGTTTATTATACAAGAACCATCGTTCCAGGCTGATGAAGAGGTACCTCCTGTCCTCAACCTGTCTTTTATAACAAACGCACGTCCCTCAGTTGTAATGGACGTCGCTGTCTCTACCTTGGCTAGTGCGTTGGATTCCAATGGAAAGCGTGATGTAGCTCATCGGTGGTTATTCCCCGAGATGGACGATTTGCATCTCAATCTTCCTGTCCCTTCCACACCACCTAATATAACAGGAGAGGTTTGGGTCGACAATGGCTTGAATGCGGAGCAACGGGTCAATTTTTGCCATGCAAGTCGATCATCAGTGCTTATCCCCCTTCTGTTTCGCTCTAGTTCGCCGCTTCTTGTATATCAAAATTTCAATCGCCTGTCCCGTTTCTTATCAGTGGTCCTCCGGGTACAGGAAAAACACGGTAACGGTACTTCCAAATATCAGAAGTTGAACACGCTGTCTAACCCTATATTACAGAACCGTCGTGGAAACCGTCCACCAAATTTTACATACTCAGCCAGAAGCACATATCTTACTTTGTGCTCCTTCCAACTCCGCTACTGATACTTTGGCACTACGACTTGGGTCATCTCTCAAACCAGGAGATATGCTCCGCCTTAATGACCAGAACAGAACCTTTGCGGAGGTTCCAGATTCAATTCGTCAATTTTGCTGCAAGTTCACCAGTTCGTTCATGTCCATTTCTTTCTGACAAAAAGCTCAGATGTTGAGAACGATAGCTTTGCCATTCCTACTTGGAAGATGCTCATGAGCTACAAGGTAGTGGTGGCGTCGTGTCTGGACGCAAATATTCTCGTCGACGCTGCCTGTACGAATACCGTTCTTTGTGCGCTAGAAGAACACGTAGTGTCATCGCTGCACCCTCACAGGAAGATCAAGTATCAGATTGTTCCTCATTGGACGCATCTGCTGATTGACGAGGTGGAAATCAATTCTGCTTGATTTCATTATCACTGCTTAAACCCTTTGTCAGGCCGCGCAAGGTTCAGAGCCGGAACTTCTAGTTCCGATCTCAGTCGTTCTACCCAAGCATGAGCTTTCCGCTCCCAATCGTACAACTTCGTTCGATTACCACTGGCTTTCCACTGTCCCACAGTTAATTCTGTGCGGGGATATCAATCAGCGTACGACCTGGCTTTTCATAGCACTGGACTACTAATCTGACTCAATTTGCTCACATAGTGGGACCCATCATCACATCTCAACAAGCGCGTACCTATGAACTCGATGTCTCCTTACTCGAGCGTCTCTTCGATAGACCGCTGTACGCGCAACACGCCGAGACACGTCATCCTCGACGTCTACCCCTCACTGGTTTGCCGCTGCACCACAATTCAGTGCAATCAATGTTCAAGCCATTCGTGAATCTCGTTAAGGTGGGTTCGTTCATAATGACTTGTCCGTTTCGCTTTCTTATGTCGTATCTAAGAACTACCGTTCTCACCCAGCAATACTCATGCCACCTTCGGCTATGTTCTACAATGACTCGTTAGAGCCTTGCGCGAGCAATGGTATGATCTCCTGGGCGGGGCTATCCAACAATAAATACCCTTTGATGTTCCTTGGCTGTGACACTAAGGATGAAAGCGTCGACGAGGTCCGTATCTACGCATTCTTCATCTAATCAGCCTAATTTTGTCTCAGCGTGCTACCTGGTTCAACATTGGTGAAATAGATCAAATCGTAGAAGTGATCAGCTCATTGATGTCGGAGGCCGCCAAAAGCATTCCACCGCTCCAAGCTGACGAAATCGGGGTCATGGCACCTTGGCGAGAACAAGTTTGGAAAATCCGAGAAAGATTAAGGCAGGCGGGGCTATCTCGAGTGGATGTGGGAACTGTGGAGGACTATCAAGGCAGAGAGAAACGAGTTGTGGTCATCTCTTGTGTGAGGTCTAGTGCCAGGTTTCTGGCAGAAGACGGACAGAAGGGGATTGGTCTGGTTTTTGAAAAGAAAAGGTTTGCTCGTTTTCTTCAGGTCTTGTACCGATGCTGAATGGCGATCGTAGAATGAATGTAGCTATTACCCGTGCTAAAGAACTCCTCGTCATAATCGGCAATGGCAATCTACTCAAATATGATCCATATTGGAAAGGTTTCCTACAGTTTGCTCTAAGGAACGCACTGTGAATATCATTAGATATCTCATCTTCTAGTCTTGTACTGACACTCAAAAATAGATATGTAGGTCCTGAATTAGCGCTCGAGGACGATGGTGCTTGGATATCACGCCTAGAGTCAGTTATCCACCGTCTACTTTTTATCCCCTCCATTCTAATGCATTCATATCTAGGTCCAAGACTGCTGAAGCCGAAGAAGAAGTCGGTTTGGCGACTATTGATCCTACAGGGATGAGGGCCACGATGATGCTAGCGGGAGGTGTAGTAAGGGAGATTCTCAAAGATAGTTTTTGAGTTGGGTAGATAGAAGGTCTGTTTTCAACGGGATTATTGGTACTTCCGTAATGTAATCTGGAGGGATGACCACCCGGCCTTTTCAGAATATACCACGAAGATTTGAAGGAGGGTAGAAAGAAATATCTCTCGAGATCAGCTCAAAGTCTACAAGAAGTTTGGGAATTGGATCTGGCGGAGCTTTAATACAAACAAATCTTGGGACAGTTGGTTTGTAAAAGGATCTGAGCTTTAGCTGTGCCGAAACTTGACGAGAAGGAAGGTCCGGAATTCGAAGATAGGATTGAGAGAGCCACCTTACTGGTAACGTGGGTTGCTAGTGCCCTCATCAATATCAAGAGTTTTTAAGCAGACGTAGGTGAATGACAAAATAGAGAGCAATGATCACAAAGCTGAATAAGGATGATTAAGTACTAGTGCTCAGAGTACTGACAAGGTAGCCCGGTGACCGTCAACAAAAATGTGATCTATAACCATGGCTTGGTCAACAAGGCCTCAACCAAATGACAAAGGCTAGCAACTCCGTAGAACACAAGCGACAACAGCTAATGCCTGCTACCTAATCCTGCATTTGCATTGAATTTTCTCTCAAGAGCAAGATGCAGGGTTCTATTTGTCTGAATGTCTGGATTCATCCGCCAGCGGTCAATCAGATTTCCTACAGCAGATAGTGCTTCCTTTTGAGACATCCCTTGATCAAGAAATTGTTGCATCTTCATGAATGCAAATTTCTTCTCAACATCATCCTCATGGAGCACAGCTGTGATGAAGCATTAGAGTGCGACAATGAGTAAGAAGGGTAATGGAAGGAACGAGAGAAAGACCAACCAGCTTCAAATAAGAGCATGCACTCTCTTGCACCATATGCCTCTGGACATCCAAATTTCCACTCACTTGGATATGACATGAATGTTCGGACAGGAAGCATGCGTCGACAATCGTGGCCCGTTACAGCATCAGAGAAGTCAACGAAACGAAACGATGTACCCTCGGGGTCGCAAAGTATATGTCGCTCGTGTCCCTTCCCAATTTGAGTGTGGTATATGCCATGATCGTGTAGTTCATCTAAGGCCTCCACAATCCGAAGCCTACAGGATGAAAGAATATTACACTTGATGATCACATATTCCGATAGAAGCAAACTCACCGTATTGCTAGAGTAGCAGACTTGGGCTTGTGTCTCAAAAACGCGCCTAATTCCATGCCACCCCATTCCATGACCGCAATCATAACCTCTCCGCCCCATTGTGAAGTAGGAGCATGCCACAATCCGTAATGTTTCGGAACAAGCTTGCCCTGAAACTCCCGCAAATGTTGACCATAGAACTCTGCTTCTTTTCGAATACGTTCCGCAGATTCCTGTTGATTCTCATCAGTCTCCAAGAATAAAACACCCTTTATTGCGAGACGGGGAAAGTCGCGGTGTTCAGAATCTATCTCGATGACTGCAGAGCTGCAAAAACTTGATACTACAAGGATTCGAGCAAGGTCCTTCCAACCTGGAAACTGTGATTCCGCCATTTGACCATAAGAGTGGTACGGCGCTGTCCCAGTAAGTTTCGAGTTTGGAGGGAGCTCCGCGAATTGGGTGTCCCCAAGCTTTACTTTGTGAAAATTTGTGGGAGTCGTGGCAGCAAAGTCCAGTGTGAGCAGAAGCGATTGCTTTTCATGTTCAGCCGCGAATGACCGGAAAGGTGGACTACTAGTTTCTGTGGCGCCCATTGTAGACAAGAGTACACATAAGCGCTCATAGTGCTCATTGACCAATCGGAATACATAACCTCTTTATTAAACGCAAATCATGTAAAGCTTGTCTTCTGTAGTATAGCGCGATGCGATGCACGGTGACCAGCTCGGTTCCGCCTCCTCGCTCCCTTCGTGTGTGCAAGTGAGCTTCATGTATCAGATCATTGCAATGGGATGCTATACCGCATGTCGTGTTGAAGACGACATATTGAGGACGATGATGCTCGAATATCACGCCTAGTGTTAGCAATTTATTATTCAATCTTCCCTTCTAATGCTTGGTATCTAATGTTTCAGCCGACGAAAAGGAAGTCGGGCTGGCGACTGCTGATCCCATCTGCGGGAGGTGTAAAAAGAGGGATTCTCAAGTATGATTTCCAAAGTTGGGAGGAAAGGTCTTTTTTTCCCCAAAGGTATTGTAGGTATTTGCCTACACTAAGGTAGAGACCGTAAGTATTGAATAGGAATGTATAATCCAAGAAGATCGTCGATCCAGCCACTGGAACCTCAGCTTACTACAGAACCTCGTCACCCGCCGTTCGGATTGGCGGTCGGGATGTCACATTCGGAGCCCTGAAGAGAATGTAAGAGAGAATACGACAGAGCAACAAACGAAACCTACTCCATTCCGAATTTGTACATTAGCCCGTACACCTTTTTCCTTTGCTGTATTCACGTCAGCTCGTCCGCCAGAATTGGTGTTTGTAGTGTTCAGCGGAGCAATACTAGGAATCCTAGGACGCTTTTGATGAGCGGGAGGTTTGAGCTGCTGAGACATTACTTCGTCCTTATGCTCGACGAAATCTTTATGAGCGACGTCGTAGTCGGTGAAATATTGCCAGCCATTCGGAATTCCTTGAAAAAGCGATACTTCGCGAGACATAGGAAGGCTTTGAGGAAGACCATCGTGAGAACCTCTAGAGCCAGTGGAGAGACGAGAGAATAACGGAGGCGGCACAGGAAGTTCCATTGGGTGGGAATCTTCGAAATCCAGGCCTGAGAAGATGAAAGGGCTGGATGTGGGAAGGGTGGAAAGTTCTTCATCCTGCGAGTTCGAGACAGCGAGAAGGTCGAAAGAGTTACTGAATGAAGTCGCATTGTTGATATCCGGAGCGGCGTACGAGAAAACGTTGTTGAGAGCGCGTTTAGCGGTGCACGTAGGGCAAGCATCAACAAAACCTCGAACCAAAATGGATGGAACGAAGGTATAATACTCCCTCACTATAGCCAAAGTTCCTGAAAAGTCGCCGTGATCACTTTTTCTATGACAATACTGCAAGACGTCGTAGACTTGATCTTGAGGAACAACCACACGGCCTTTCCAGAGTAGAACATGAAGACTTGAATGGGATTCAGAAGATAGAAGAAAGAGATCGCCCTTGCCACCAAGTACGATATCCTTCGAGACCAGCTCAAAGTCTGTAACAACCACGCCTTTGAGTTTGGGAGTTTCTAGGCAGAGCTTGATGTAGTCGTAATTGCGTCTAGGCAGAAAAGACTTTAGATGATTGGTTCGCGAGGATTTGTCCGCAAAGCGAGCTTCGACTTTGCTGAAATCTTGACGAGAAGGAAGGTCCAGAATTTGAACAGAGGATTGAAGTTGAGCGAGGTCCTCGGAAGAAATCCGAGCAAAGTTCGGCGTCATATAACTTGGAATTATGAGTTAGTCTGCTAGTGGACTCGTCAGTATTAAGATGCACTGACAAGAAAATGCAATACTCGGCAAAAATAGAGAGATGGTCGAACAGATGTAAGGAGCGATTAAGTCGAGGATTCGGCGATCGGTAGAAGCCGAACGGCCTCTCCACCTTCCTCACTTCAGTGAGCGCGTCCCTAGTTGCACACAGAAATATGAAATATTTATTTCTTCTTTTGCCCACCATCCCACCCAAATTAAGCTCAATCTCATTTACAGTATACACCATGCTATATTTGCTGTTGGCTAACAATGGTGGGGTCCGGATTCCTACTATTTCGGGTAGTCGGATCTCCGGCCTCCGCATCCCCAGGTTGTGTGGAATAAATATTCCTATGCTCTTCTCAGCTTAGAATAAATATTCCATCCTCACTCCTTGCCCAACTCACGTTGTTAGTTCCTAGCATCTTTAGCCATTTGTATCTGCACAGTGCTCGACGCCCGATACGAAACGTATGTATAAGAAGGGCTGATCAATGCAGATTTACTGATACAAATTTCTAGACACACAAACAAGTCAAAGCTAACTGCTCAAAAAATATTTTATCAAACTCTCAATCAAGTCTCGCTATGGCTTCTTGCCAGATAAAGCGCCCGTAGGAAAAGCACACTAACATGATCAAGAAATCTAATTGTTCATAGCGCTATAACTTCAGTTCCATCTTCGACAACAGGCGTTAATATCTTTGCACGGACCAGTCTACCATACACACACTGTCTCTTGGTTTACTACATAGTCATCACATTCGGCTCCCGAAGATCTCAAAATACCAAACGGTTATCACGGAGGATTTTGACTGCGCGAGTGAGTGATTTGCCTTTGCTTGCAACGAGGTTTTCCTTGCACATTGTACCTTGAACATAATCCATCGATGACCGATAAACCAATAGTTTCACCAGGGTACAATACTAGATGCGGGGGGCCAGGCTTACTTCCACCAGAAGACGAACCCAGTCTCACTGTAACGACACGCAAACTTGAGGACTACATTAGTTGAGATATTGATGTAGCAAGTTATGACAGCTTGGAAGGCACAGATCGAGAGATACGACAGATGGATGGAGCAGATATCTGTAGACGAACGGGGGAGTAAGTCCAGAAATGAATAATGGGCCGTGTCTTATGTCTTATTCATAGCAAAGTTCGAGGGTCCGGAACAGCTTGGTAACCATTCTGATACCCAATTCAAGCCAAAAAAAAGATGCAGGTAAGTCCGGCTGAGGACCAACAAAGATCAAGGACACACATTCAACGAAGAAACGGTCAGCGAAAACAGCCTCATAGACTGCCAGAGACCCATGAGGAGGGCCGGACAGCATAATACTTCACACACACGAGCATCCTTGGGCAAAAGATCAGCAGCAGATCAGAGACACGACTTATAAACACACCGCTGGTCGGATGGGTCACAACCGTCATTCTTCAATTTCAAGTTTTCCAAGCTTGAATACAGTGTTAGGACATCTTGCAGCCGTATTGCGACACCTCCGTACGGTTCTATCCTTTTCCATCTCGATGTGAATGGGTCGCTCGGTTGTCCGCTACAGGTGACAACCTCTTGCAGTGCATTTAGCCGTGAAGCTTCACCAGGGTAATGTCAAAGAGATATATCAATAAATCTTTACGCCTGGCGAAGCTCCTGGCTTGTATAATCAAGCCTAAGGTCTCGGTCGGGTAGCCATTCCTCATGCATGATGTCAGATGGTGAGTGGAGGAGGAGGGAGTTCTGGGGGCGATGATTATAAGCGGCATCTGGGCGTTGCTCAATTTGAGCATATGCAAATTCAGTGCCTTTGTTACCTGTGATCTGCTTTGGGCGGCGTGTACAATGACCTTTTGATCTAAATGACTGTCATCAGCTGAAGCAAAGGGAATAGGAAAACTATACGCCGTATGTGATAGGTAGTGAACAAGTTATTGAGCGAAAATCATAGTATAGACATTCCACCATGAAAAGAACCATGATCACATACATACCGCTACCAGGCAAATGCAATATTGCTCATTCGTCTGCGCGTCTCCAAGATGAGTGAGATGAAGGCCCTGAGAGAGCTGATTCCGGAAGAATAGGTTTGCCAGCAACCTTCGATAAGGCTGTGTTTAGGAAAGGTTCACAGTTGGATTCAATATCTAGTACGCTAGTGATCGATATACGTTTTAGCGATCGCAGTTATATAGCTTAGGATTGTACACACACCTTGTAGAAAACCAAATATGCTGAATTGAACATCACTTTCGAGGAACAAGATAGCCATTGAATGGTCTTCTCAGGTTTGCGTAGTTCATAGTGCAAATTTTTAAAATCTTACCCCAAGAAAAGGAAAGTATTTCGCAACATCGCAAAGGTGTAATTGGCGGATGTAGATACGAACCACAACATTTATTGAATTGCTGCCACTTATTAGTAATTCTTCATGATTTGCATTTCGTCTCCTGATAAAGGAATGCTATTCTCAGTAACAGGCCGTCTTTTTAGTTGAAATTCGGGAAGTGTGCGCCAGTGGTCAATTGTGCATCCTACAAGGTGTAGAGCTTCTCTTCGAGACACTCCTCGGGCAAGTAGTCCCTGCATATGCATTAACGCTACGTTCATCTGATCATCATCCCTGTTACGAACGCCTGTAGCAAATGTAAGCACGAGTGAAACGGATATTAAAGTCGCTTACGATTCCCAAATAAGTCCAGGCATTGCCTTATACTGTAAGCCTCTCGACATCCAAATTGGATACGACTAGGATATGAATCGAATAATCGCACGGGGAGTTGTCGTCCACAAATATGTCCCGCGAATGCGTCAGAGAAGTCCACAAATCGAACGGATTCAGTTTCGATGTTATATAGTACATGCCGTTCCTGGCCTACCCCAATCTGTGCATGATATACGCCATGATCATGTAGCTCATCCAAAGCTTCAGCAATTCGAAAGCTACACAAACAAGCACTTGAGTTAAGCGGTCAATATTTTAATGTATTAGAACCCACCGACGCGCCAAAGTAGCAATCTCACTGTGAAGGAAGGCGCTTAATCGCATACCTCCCCATTCCATGACTGCAATGAGCACCTCTCCGCCCCATTGTGTGACAGGTGCATGCCATAGACCATAGTATCTCGGAACGAATTTTCCCTGAAGCTCCTGCAAGTGGGCGGCATAAAATTTCGCTTCCTTCAGCATACGCTCTGCAGACTCTTGTTGAAGGACATCCGTCTCTAGAAACAGCACACCCTTGACCGCAAGGCGGGGGACCTCGTTTGATGACTGAATAACAGCAGAGCTGCAAAACGTTGAGTCCGAACGAAGCCGAGCAATTTCTTCCCATCCCGGGAACAGAGATTCTTTCATCGGACCATAAGGATGATATGGTGCTGTTCCAATTAGGTCTGGACCTGGAGGAAGTGGTGCGAAATGAGCGCCCTCGAGTTTCACTTTATAGAATGTCGTCGGATGAGGAGCGGTAAAGCCAAGCGTGAGGTGGAGCAGTTGCTCTTCATGGTGATCAAAAAATCGAAGTGAAGGCGCCATTGTCGCATTCACTGTAGGCTGATGGTTCAGACATTGAACGCGTTACATTGAACTGCGGTGATACCACATCACATGACGACAAAATATGGTTCAGCTTCACTGCAGTGACAGAATCACTGTTAGTCATCGATAGTTCACACCTAGTGCTTTCTGTTTCCGACTTTTAACTGTGTGATTTTAGGGACACAGAGCAGTGACAACACAGTTGGACTGCAAAATCAGGTTTCCTCTCACTGACCCTCGACAAAGAGGTCGAAACTTAAGAACAGCAAACAACGCTACACCAGATTCTGGAGCACAGGCACCAAGCATAGTCTGAGATAAATCGCTACGGTCCCGGTACGGCACAGGCGGTGAAGAGACAGTTGTGATCTCAGTACGTCAAAATCCGTCTTTCATCGATCTACATGTTATGAGAATTGCATAAGTACTTGAGTCGTTAAACCTCCTCTGCTAAAGGATCTAGATGACCGTTACCATTGCTCGTCGACAGCGGTGACATAGGGGCACGAGGAACATCCGCATTAGTGTCAACATCTTTGTTCTTCTTCATCAACTCCTCCGGGAGCATGACCGCACGATCTACCGCAACTGGCAGACCTCTATGGCGCCCTCGCACCCTAAGTCATAAGATATAAGAGAACCTAAGACTTGAAGGAACAAGCTGAACTCACATTATCACAATCACTACCAGTTTTGAAAGCGGTCGCATCGCACCGACAAAGGAGTAGTTTTCCTGTACATGGTCAACATACGATACTTTCATGTGCCATGGACAACTAACCGTGGGGATACCCAAGCTAAGGCCGATCCCCCCAAAAGCAGATACCAGTTCAAACAAAACACGGAACAGATCAAACCATTTGAGATCGTCGTTCAATAGGTTATCTCTCTCTATGATAGCGATGAGAAATACACCCCAGACCAACCACCATATATCTGTTACGTGGAACCGATACGAAGAAAGTGGTAAGAACAAGCAAGAATAATGACTAAGTGTTCGTGGGCGCACCAATACTAAGCTGCCGACGCAGATGCCATCCAATATACCGTCCAACTCGCTGACGCGGTCCAAGGTTTCCGAAATCAGTAGGTTCTTCTTCGACCTCCTCAGGTTGCGCTTCGAATACACCGAGGGATCGTTCTTCGTATCTGCAAATTGATTTCAAACTCGGAAATTCAGAAATGGAGGAAAAGCAATACACGTTTGTTGAACGGATACTTAGAGCGACCTAGAATGAGAGCTTATCAGTATAGCTCTTATCTACAAGGAGCCTCACAAAAAAACAAACGGGATAAATCTTCGTACAAAATATGAGCGCTGATAACAAAATGAGGCTAGATGGACACTTACAGCAATGTACATCATCACAACATACAAAAACCTACACATTTCAAAGCACTCGATCAGCATCCGAGTCGAGAGGAAGACGACGTGCGAGGTGAAAGAATCAAGGAATCAAGGTGAATCTTAGAGGTCAAGTATCTATACGAAGAGCGATACAGCCGAAGTCCTCAGTGTTGAACCAACAAAGTAGAAACAGCTGAGATAATACCTATACGAAGAGCGATACAGCCGAAGTCTAACTAACGAGTAAGTATCGATAAGTATAGGTAATAAAATAAAGATACTCACCCTCAGTGTTGAACCAACAAAGTAGAAACAGCTGAGGGATGAACGTGCGAAAAAGAGTATAAGTATGTGAAGTCACGTGAGTCCGGAATGAATCGGCAAGTAATAGGGAAAGTATCTCCCAACACACCCCCACCGATGAAAGAAGGTAAAAAGGATCTCAAAAATCATCAGGAAGTGAAACAAGTCCGAGGGAAAGAGAATGTTTGTAGTGTAAGTCAGTAGGTAAAGACTTGGTGAATATATCTGCAATCATGTCAAGAGAGGAGCACCAGATCGTTGTAATGGAGTCATCTTCAATGTGAGAACGGATGAAATGGTACCGAATGTCAATATGTTTAGAGCGATTTGAAACAGAACGGGAATTCGCAATGTCAATGGAGGATCGGTTGTCAGAAATGAGTGGGAAAGGATGAGGGATAGGAAGGTGAATCAAAGAGGTAAATACTCGAATCCACAGAAGTTCTTTGAGGACATGAGTGAGACCCATATATTCGGCTTCTGTTGATGATAGTGCAATACTCTTCTGTTTTGATGCGGACCATGCAACTAAACCTCCAAACAAGAAGATTCCGAAACCTGAGATCGATTTGCGATCGATAGAATTACTTCCCCAGTCAGCGTCAGATAGAGCCATCATATCGGAACCAATTCCTAGAGTTTTGATAAGATCGTCGCGATATGCACCCCCATACTGCAGTGTCCAAGATCGGGTCTTCGCAAGATACCGAAGTGTGCCTTTTGCAGCAACGAGGTGTCGTGGTAAGGGATTCGAGTTGAATTGGGCAAGAAACATGACCGAGTAAGCAATATCCGGTCGCGTGCATAGGGCTAAAAATAATAGACATCCGATGAGAGCTTGGTAAATTTTCGTTAAGGATTCGGAATCGACATCAGCGTAGAGTGAGGGATTTAAATCAGGTCCATCGAATTTATATCGAAGGGGTAGGTCGTGAGATACACATTCCGTGAGTCCATATTGTTCCAGTAGTTCCACCACGTATGTCTCCTGAGATAACCATAATAATCGTTTTTTGCGATTGCGGTAAATCCGAATGCCTAAGAACATAGATGTCGGACCTAAATCTACAACCTTAAAGCGCAAGTTAATTTGTTGAATAAACCATGAGTATAGTTTCGAGGAATTAGTGGATACTAGACCATCATCGACATGGACAGGAATGATCATAATAAGTGGATCACCACCGTCGGGCATCTGAATTGATGAATCAGGAGGCGTTGTCCATCGTCCAATGAAAACAGCATTGTCGCATTCGCAACGATAGAACCCAAGACCTTCCAACGCATGACACAAAGTTGAATACCATGCCGCCGATGCCTGATGAAGACCATAGAGAGCCCGTTGTAGGCGGTATACTGCAGTCGGTTGGTTCGGTATAGGACGACCTGGAATTTGTTTAACGTAAATTTCTTCTTCGAGGGGTGCATTGAGAAATGCTTGTTTAACATCGAAGGAGTATAGTTCAAGATCCATACTTGCAGTCCATGCCATTACGATCCGGTATGAAACCATTCGAGTTACAGGAGCATGTACATTTCCGTAGTCTTCAGGACGTTGAGTAAAGCCTTGGGCTACCAGTCGGGCTTTCTTGGTACCATCGACTTTAAGATCATAAACCATTTTTAGACCAATTGGGAACTTCCCTTTCGGACATGTTTCCGTTAGTTTGAATACTTCCAGTTCAAATAGGCCAGTGATTTCCTTCTCCTCTGCTGCAAGCCAATCGTTTACGTCGGGTCGTAACAGCATTTCACGTCGTGTCGATGGTGCTTTCTTGAGATCAAAGATCTTAGGTTTCGAAGTTGAGATTGATTTAGTTGAAAGTGGAAGTAAGGGCCGAGGAATGTTTGCTAATGCCGCAAAGAAAAATTCCGTGTCGTCCTCAAGGCAAGATAGATGATTTTCGGTTATCCGGCATGCTAAAGAACATCCTGTAATATCGGTATCGATTTGTGGTGTGAGAGCTGGTGATAGACCATCATTTACTCTTCGTTCCGCAATCAACTCGTCCCGTTTTTTAATTCCATCCCGCCATTCTTTCCCTCGTTCGGTTAGTTTGACGGTACGACGTGGGCGAGGACCTTTTGGAGAATCTGGACGTTCAATAGGAGTAGAAAGAATGGGTATCGTTTTAGTAATCTTCAAGGCATTGACTGTTTTGGGTAAAGTCGAAGATTTTGGTCCATGGAGACGTCCAAATTGTGATTCGTTAAAGACGACTTGGTCAGAAAAGTGGTCTTTGCCTTTTGTGTCACGAACTCGCCAGCCTACACGATTATCCTCATAGCCAATGAATATCCCCTCTAGCATCTTGTCTCCGAATTTCAAACGGATGTCTTCGGATACCTGGATCCAACACTGACACCCCCATACTCGGAGATGTGAAAGGTTTGGAGCTTTGTGGTGGACCATTTCATAAGGTGTCTTGTTGTTGGGGAGTGTCTTCGTTGGTAGACGGAAGCGGATGTATAGTGCAGTGCGGACTGCATCCTCCCAGAATTGTAAAGGTAAACCGGCGTGGACTAACATGGTCATAGCATCGTTCTCTATGATTCGAATCCATCGTTCCGCTTTTCCGTTTTGTTGATGGGAATATGCTGCAGTTTTCTGAACCGAAATTCCTTTCTCCTCGAAATACTCTGTAGCTTCCGACCCATGGAATTCTTTCGCGCCATCGAGTCTAATGCTTTTGACTTTATGAGGTGACATTAGATTTTCCCAAGTAGAAATCGTCGTTTTTATAATTCGTAATGCTTGGTTCTTCTTCGCAAAACAGCCTCCGGTTAAAGCACTCGTGTAGTCGTCAACTATGATATTGAAATGGGAGCTGTGGTGATTTGACATTGTCCCAATTGGTCCACACGTGTCCGTATGGATTAATTCTAGTGGGGCTGAAGCTCGATTTCCCTGATACGGATAAGCAAAACGAGGGTGTTTGCCTTTTAAGCACGAGTCACAGATTCCACGCATTTTAGTACCATTCCATTCATCAAGACCCGTAGCACTTGTTCCAGTGAGTAGTTCATTCGTCAAGTCAACACCTGGATGACCAAAACGTTCATGGAATAATGCACCATTAGGAATCCGAGGTATGAATACTGGCATCGCAAAGTGAATCGGATTCAAAGAATCCTCATTCGGTAGTATGAATTTGCCTCGGAGTACACAAAGGCGGTTCATAACGTCGGCTATGAAGTGATTGCCAGGATTTGAGTGGATTTCGACTACGTGGGGTAATATTGTGAAGGTAAAGCCATGTTCAAGCATCGCGCCTACGGAGATCAAGGATACGGGAGCATCCGGTGCAAACAGACAATCGTTCATCTCCAGAATAAGTTTGTCGTTCGTTCCCTCGATATGGGTTTCAAAATAACATGTGCCAGATGCCTGGGTCGAAAGTATTCCTGAGTTAGCTGTCTGTACGGCCGTAGCTCCATTGACATCATATGTGTGGAAAAAACTGCGGTCATTGACAATGTGGTTCGTGCATGCTGAATCCAACAGGATGTGGTTTTTCCGAACCAGTGAGGAATAGGCAAATGACTGATTCCATTCTGAACCTTCAGTTGATAGAGGAGAATTCGAGAATGTAGATAAGAGTGCAGCAAAAGGTTTAAGTCGACGCGCGGGATAAGTGGAACGAACGGTTGTATTATTCGGTGGGATAACAGTAGTTACATCAAGTACAGTATCCGCATTCTCAATCTTTGAGGTCATGTTCGTATTCTGCGGATTGGTCGTTGTGACATAAGCGGTTGGTTTTGGATTCGGTTTAGATACAGTCTGTGCATCGCGAGGTTTCTGTAAATCTGTTGATTTATCAGGAGTACCAGATCCACTCTTCTGAAAACGTCGGTTGAACGGTCCACCCCCAGAATCCGATAGATCCAAAAGTTCACGGTTTCGAGTGCTTTCCAGACGACTCGCAAACTTGTCAAAGAGATCTCTGTTGGGAATTACTCCAGGTGCGTCAAATTCTTCTTCGAGAGCTTGTTTAAGATAGACGTAGCGAGGGCCGGATGGTAGTTTTGAAATGTATTTGGAGATGAGAGTATCCCAAGGAATTTCGTATCCGTAGTTCCGAAGAGTTGTAAGGGTAGAACTCCATTTGAGGTTAAACTTCTCGATTTCCATGCTATGGATCTGGGAATTTAAGAGTTCATCCTGTATACGGAGACATGCTTTCCTATCCGGTGCCGCTTGATAAGCTGCCTTCAAACGAATGTATATTTGGCGTGCAGTTCGACGTTCGCCGCGATCGTTAATCATAGGTGGTAAATGGTTCCTAGCTTCATCAGACAGTCGAGCAGTAAGGATTGATGATGTCCATCCGTCGTCCTTGTCCCATTTCAACTTCGCCTCGAGTTCCTTACGTGTGGGAGTCGAAGAGAGAATCGGCCGTAGGGAAGGAGTATTCCATTCCGTTCGTGGAGTTCCCGAAGGTGGTTCGTCGCATATGTGACCCAGAACGAAACCATCAGCGACGGCTTGCCATACGCCCTCGTTCCATTTTACCCAAGATTTACGGTCCTTAAGTGAATCCGAATCCTTGATCGTCGCGAGAAACGTCGAGTGGATGGATGAATACTCGATTTTGAAACGAGGAGTATCGGAACGAGGGGGTGGTGGATATGGAAATGGGTATTGTTGATTGGCGTAATATATGGGATAAGGCTGCATAGGCGGATGTGGGATTGAATCCGGAAACCACTGAGGAACAGGTCGAGTTGTATTAGGTCGACTGTGGTGCATCTCGTACATATCTCTAGGGAATTCCGTCATAACGGCTGGAGCGCTGTGAAGGTCGTTGTGAAAATCTATGGAGGCCGACGAAATACGATCCAGATCGACAAGTTGGTGAGGTCGAGGTTGGTGCATAACCCTCGATGGAACGCGGTCAATGATTCGGGGAGAGTCCATACGGGAAGCCATTCTCGAAGGTGCCCGGACAGATGCTGGTGGGACCGAGACAGGTGATCGTAGGTAATTGAACAAACGGATATTAGGAGAAGTGATTGGAGTGTAAGTATCTTGCATAAGGTCATCAAGAGAATTGGTTGGAGCAGGAGGAAGAGGTCGAGGAACGTGATATTGGTTGAGAAGAGGTAAGCTATGTGGAACAGTAGGTATACGATGATGCCAGGTCTCTGAAACAGATTGAGGGATGGTATTAACTGAAGGAAAGGAAGGAAACGATGGGAATGTAGAACTATGATGGAGTTGAGAAGGAACAGGAGGTGAAGGAAAAGTGATCAATTGTCCCGGTCCTATACCAGGCGAAATCCCATCCTGGGCTGGAACGCGCATATATGCAGTCGGATGAGTGATTGGACGAAGAGGCACGGAGACTGGCGTTTGGTATGGTACCGACGGAGCACAATCGCGATGAACAGGATCTGTCAGATCCATCGGAGACCCTGTAGTGTCGGTATACATCCACGGCAGTAAATATTCACGTATCGATCGCGTTAAGCGATAACGAACGCGTCACTCCACAAGTTGAGCTGAAAAAATTTGTGGTTCTATACGTTCGACGTATAGGACAAAGACCTAAAGGGAATAACCCATAACCTCTTAGAGGTCAAGTATCTATACGAAGAGCGATACAGCCGAAGTCCTCAGTGTTGAACCAACAAAGTAGAAACAGCTGAGATAATACCTATACGAAGAGCGATACAGCCGAAGTCTAACTAACGAGTAAGTATCGATAAGTATAGGTAATAAAATAAAGATACTCACCCTCAGTGTTGAACCAACAAAGTAGAAACAGCTGAGGGATGAACGTGCGAAAAAGAGTATAAGTATGTGAAGTCACGTGAGTCCGGAATGAATCGGCAAGTAATAGGGAAAGTATCTCCCAACAGTGAAGAACAACTCACTGTGTAGCGGGTGCTAGTGAAGATACGGAGACTATAGAAAACCCAGAAGCTCGCGCAGCAAGTCCTTGAAAGAGACCCGAAACGATTCGTGGTCCAATGGAAAGCGAAGTCCATACTTCCAAGCCAATATCTGAATATCATGTCATTGAATGAGTTGATTATTCGTTTCCCAACCATATGTCAAACGATATGATATTACGAGGCTGTAGTTTACGGAAGTATCGTCCTTATATACGCCGCTGCATACAATTTTGATTTCCTTTTATGGTAGTAGTTTCACCTTATTTGGCCAAATGTAACACTGAGTTGAATTGTATTGATTTCTTGTGACCGGCACGGGATATCACGGGACTGTCACCCTCTGTCACAATTACTTTTTCTCGTCTCATTCGGTTATTCCCTGTTACTCCATATGTAGATAAGTAAATTTACTTTTATTCTGCTTTTCTCAAAGAATCAATGTCGGCGCCTGAAAGGCGCCCCCGTTTTTTTGATTCCATAATATTTAATTGATATTTAATAACCCACAAGGAAGGAGCCGAGTTTTTGCCATGCACGGTAGTGCAGTGGCCTACAATCGCATGTGTATCTATGGCGGACCCAATGAGACAAGGAAGATGACTTGCCTAGTACCTCAAAAGCTGCCCATTCTATTGCACTACAAGATAATGAATACCAGTTACATTCTGAGTGGGTATCGATTGAGTGAAGAGCGTCGGGCCTCACCTGAACAAAAACAAACATATAACCAAAAACCAAGTTTGATGGCTAGGAAATCTGGGATACAATGTCACAAACATGTTTCTTCAGTATAGTGATATCGTACAGATATACAAAACATCTACGACAGATATAGGTTATAACATCCACTATGTTGGACAAAGAACACGCACCTCCGAGGATGATCTAATAGAAAGCTAAACGCCTTTTCTGATTCGGATCCGGGTTTCGAAATTTTAGAGCCAATCCAGCTAATGAGCTACGATGAGCATTTGCAAGAGGGACACAACTAGCAGCTCACATCACCAAACGTAAACTAGGCAGACATGGCTCAAAGTATGAACACTGTCATCGTGCCAATTCATTTCCGACGACTCACAATATAGGCTGTAGATAAATGTGTCAGACCAAAACTTGTATGTTATTTGAAAACTCACCAGCGCATGATTCCCGGCCAAGATGACGAACATCAAGGAAACTACTCAAATTTCGTAAGTCGGCCGTGATCAATCATGTCTGGGAAGAATCCTGAAGTATGAACCACGTACAAACCATAAGATATGCACTTTGAAACGGGACCATTCCTCTAGAAATTTGATTAATGCCAAAAATATGAAGTACAATCAAAGACTAACTCATCTACCAAAGAAAGACCGCCACCAGTATACGCGCCCATGACTTGAAATAGACTAAACCTGTTGAAGCACGGAGTTGAGAGCATGAATGACATTCAGAAATTGAGATAGCACACCAAGGTTTCTGAACAATTCTCAGCTGATTTGCAAACACGTCATCGTATTGGTGTGTGGCAGAGAGCCAGGGCGCGAACAATATAAAGGATATAAGTTGAGTACCGATAAAATACTAACAACAAACCAGCAAGTTAATCATGAATGGCGGATCATAGTTAATCAACTCACTAAAGGAACCATATAGCTTAACCATCTCAACGCAACATACTCTATTCCCCCGATCTGTTCTACCAGATCATCCGATAACGTCTCTACATGGAAGTCCGAGTTTGGACCAACGACGATCTCTGAGTTGGGGCTGAGCCAGGATACATTGCTGCCCTCCACGGTGCGGGTATACGGCATCGTTAGCTTTCGCTCTAACTTGCGATACGTCTTTGGAGAGAACGTTTTGAGGGCTTTGCGTGCTATATGTACGGGCCCGGGAAATCCCATGTCGTATTTGTGTTTGGAGTCAGAAGCATTAGCGTCTTGTAGGCGATTAGTTAAAATGGTGGTAGTCCGCCGCGTCAATGGAACACCTAGGAAGAAGTCAATTCCCGATCTACTGGGAAAGGGTTCGACCCGTACCATTTGTCGTGCGGAAAGTGTTCACTCTCCTAAGCGACGTAGTGTACGCAAAGTCAACGCCATGAGCGCGGGGAGAAAGTGAGGTTACGGGTTCTGGGGGAAGCTCCGTGTTGATTGCTTCTGGAGAAGACGTAAGGGCGTTGTTGTCCGTAAAGAGCGAAGGGTCGTCTAAATTTGTTTGCTCGTGAACACGATCATCAACGCCAACCTTTTCGACGATGTCGAAAGTGGCTGCAGGTGTAGGATGTATTAATTTGAAAGTAGGTGTAGGCCCCTCTGTCGATTTTGGCGAGCGAGGCCTGTTATTGCTATTATTCATAGGTACTGGTTCTCTGGCTCTTTTCGCATTCATAGGTGGTGAAATAGATGCCAAAAAGGTCTTGCGATCCTGTGGGGGTCTTCTTTTCTTCGCAACATACTCATACTCGCACGTCCGTTTGAAATACTCTCTTGAATATGAATTTCAATTAATAAAGCATCGAGGTTCAAGAGAAGTGGTGACGCACTTTCGAACCAAAACCATTATCCACGAAACCATTGTTATATCGCCCTGCCAACAAACAGACACTGAGTGAATTATCCTGACTGTAAGGAGAAGTGTCCTCACCATCATCATAAGCAAGTAAAGAATGATCTGTTGCCAGGCCGTCATAGATGATAGATTCACCGTAGAAAGGCCTGTGACAGTCATTGCTGAGTAGCATAGAAATAAAGAGTCCAAATAGCTGATTTTGAAGCGGCCATTACACCCCCAGAAAATTGCAGAAGATATTAGTGGTATGAAGACAAAGGCAAATAGGTGTAATCGAAAGAAGGTGGATTGGTAGAGGACGAAATTCTCTATCCGGTCGTAGAGACGAGAGAAGAAATTTCCGGAAGGAGGCTTAGCTGAAGCTTCTCTTGAAAGCATATCGAGGTCGATTCAACGAGACGGCATTGCCGTGAATGTGCTGCCAACATGTGTGTTCGCGGATCAGGGACAAGGCGAGCGCTAAATGTGCGCTTAAGGGAAGCCTGATATTCTCGCGTCAATTTACCTGGCATGGGATGATGTCGATGGACTTGGCTCTCTATGTATGTACCGGCTGATTACTTTGCTGAATTTTGTAGAGCATGGCGCTGTCTTTTTGACCGCGACTGCCTATGTGATCGCAAAGAGCGACAGATTATGCAAACTTGAACGAAATGATTGACTCGATCAACCACTAAAGTATTCATTCAAGCATGAATTCTATTGCTCTTCTTAGCTCTCCTAGCCTTTGTGACAAATCCTGTGCATCCATAAACTCAACATCTGCGCTCAATATCACTCCTATACTAGCTCCCAAACGCCTTCAACATGTTCATCACATTCTCATACACCGTAAACACAATACCACCGCTCATTACTAACCTGGCCAACCTTGGCGTCGTTCCAGTCCAAAATCTCCTAACGCCCTCCTCAGTGAAAATTCGATAAGCGCAGTGGAAGGAGTTGCGATATTGGGAACGGGCGGAGAGCGATTGCATTCGGGTTTTGATTACGCTGTCAGGAAAATTGGAGTCAGTACCAATACGCTGATCTGAAGAAAATACAACTTACTCGAGAGGCATGGTGGTATATACCGTAACCAGCCCTGCAATAGCTCCGATACCAAACGTTATGGTACTTGGTAATGTTTGACCTGGGCGTGCGGTTCCCTGAACAAATTGCTTTAACGTGGAGTATGTGGTGAATCGGACAGCGGAGTTTGCGCCTTGGCGCATCATCTACTGAGTGGGGGGTTTAATGAGTCGAGTTGATATTGAACCAAGCGATTGTACTCACCACTGGGAATAGACCACGATATATCCCTGCTAAACCTTCTTGTCGGACGATGGTTGCAGTTCCGTGAATCAGTCCACGATATTGAGGATTCGGTCGGTTAGCATCGTCGATAAGTTTTGTCCTACAAGGAAGGTCAATAACAAGGGCTAAATGGACACGGGGAAGCGTACTTGATAGTTTCTGACGGTGTCACAGCGAATATAGCTTCCGTCATGCCTGCTCCAAGTCCAGCTAAAACCAAATCGAAGATGAACATTTGCAAATTGTTCGATGATCAACGGCGCGCGCACCAACGAGACTCCGAGGTGCACTGACTTTTCCCTATATGAATCACATCAGATGATAATTTGTTGGAAGAAAAGGATAACGCACCTCGGCATCAGCGAGCAGACTCTTGAAATGATCATAGCTGACGAATCTCACTCCTGCCTTAGCTGCATTGCCCAACACGAGCGCGGTGCATCCGGAATATAAACCGGCGACTCCTTTAGTTTTGAGGGTTTCACGGACGATCTCTAACGGTGCCAGTTTCTATTGATGTTTATCCAAGAAATTCAACGAGATACTTTCACAAAATGAGGAAAGGGACGTGCCTTGCCCTCAAACTGCGAGCGTGTCTTGACAAACTCTGTTGGGTATGTTATGAATCTGATGAACCGGTTGGACTATATTTGCAGAAATAATCAAGAACCACATACGCTTCGACAGCTCCAGCAGTGGTCCCTGCAATTCTGAGAAAGAAGAGTTTAGATTGATGCAATACAAGAGGTAAATATGGATGCACAGGGAATGTAAAGGTTTTTCCTTTGCGAAGACCATATTGAAGAGCTTTGGTAGATAAGACGCTGACGTGCTATAGAGCACCAGAAGCCTGTTTGATTAGTTTAAGAATGTAAAGCCGTACAAAGATAGTCTTCCGACTTTTCAAAACGAAAATGCAGATCTCATGGGCGGCTAATAATCTGCCTCGATTTTTTCACATACTTATCTTATCATTTGAGTTGTGATTATAAGATGATAAGATGTTGCTATACATAGAGGTACAGAGGGTACACTATAGATTACAGGATTACAAATCAGCTGTGTTCTTTCGCAAGGGACCCTGGAGGGAACCCAAGCTCAAGCCAACACTGGTGTTACATATAAGAGAGAAAAAAACTGACACAAAGATCTGAAGAAAGAGAAAGAAAAAAGACGAACAAATGGGAAAGTGGCAAGGGTAGCTGAGAAAAACAGAAAAACTCCAACCTGTATGTGAAATATCGTAGAGAGAAAAGACATCAGGGACCGTGTATGTAGATACCACGAGCCCCCAAACAGAAGTGAAACGCAGTGACTCATATGGAAATAAAGATCAGCGGGAGGCTGGCGTGGGCTGCTCGTAGCATGGACCGCATTCAAAATCCGACAGACCTTGTATGTCCAAAGTAAGCCTCATGACTTCCGAAACTCTTCAATAAATCATAACTGCTCCAAAATTCAGATGCCGCGGCTACCCACTACCTCCAAACCCAGTTAGCATTCCGAGGTCGGAATCGCTTGAAGCTCTTATACAGATCCTCGTACTCGTTCGCATCAGGATCGAATTGGAAATTCAGCCAATCTCCAATGTATTCGCCGCGTTCATACACCCTAGTCGTCCACGAGCCAAAAGGTCGCTCGATGATCTCATAACCTTCATCATCTGTGTTTGATTGTCGACGCTGAAAGATCTCCCCAATCTTGAGTGCCTTGCGAGTTCTTCCTTTCGCCTTTGAGCGCTCTTCACGCTTCTCATTCCTTGAGGAAAAATGATCAGCGTCCCAGGTCGGGGAGAAAATTTAGACGTACTCTTTCTGAAAAAGATTCCATCCTGCTCTGAGGAGCTCAACTTCATTATTTTTGAGATCGAAATCGTCGTTGAGTCCCGCCAAATATGCGGACTTCCGGGAGACGAGGGTACGCAGATTTGAAAGGTTATAGGAACGACCTGGAGCATTTTCGTTGTACTGGTTCTCAAATGTGATGAAAGGGACCGTGTTGATCTCGTAGTCCTTCAAGCAGAAATATGACATTGCTACACATCAGTTCGGTTAGCTTGTGCACTGTGGAAAGATACTTGGGACACTTTACCATCGCTCCTATGCACTTCCTGAGTACCTATCTTCTGTTTATAACCTAGGTCGGTGGCTGGATCCCATCTGTTATCCGCACACCACTTTAACCACTTGTTCTTGATCTGAGTCTTGGTTGGGCTCTTAGGGCTCGATAGCTCAGTAGTCGCCCCAGATCCATGAGTTCGCGCTTTCCTAGGGGTGCTAGGGGTGCTAGGAGACTGCTTTTTGGGAGATCTTTCAGGCGGCATTGGTTCGGATGTGCGATGTTGGGAGGGCACAGGGTGCTCGAAGAGTCCGTGACTTGTTTAAGTAGGTCCTAAGTTACGTCGGATTGACTCAGTTCGTCTTGAGCTTGAACAGCATCCGTTTAAGGTTTTTATCAGACCGTGAGAAACAACCACTACCTACTCCGACTCCTGAATATTTGAATTCCCACCTTCGAGACCCACCAATTTTTTATTTGCTGTCGAAATGGACTTTGAACAGCTGTACCGAGCTCAGTTGGTGCTGCAGCATAGTCCTGCATTGAATGGTGCGCTAGCACAGGTTCAATCAAGACCGAGAACAGTCAGTCTGACATTTACCGTCTACAATCCCGTCATTGTGTTCTCGAGAACTTGTCTGCGCATCTGAAGAAGTCCCTTACCATTGTACTTCAGTTCATATGGTGTGCACCCTTCAGGCACACAAACTCTCGCTCTCCCAGACATCGCAGCGAACTAGTAATTACGCGGAACTGGTACGCACATCCTTGAACTCTCTTATTATCGAGGTTTCAGGTGTAAATGTTTTTGGCCGCGAGAGGACCTTCCGGTGTTCGTGTGGATCATCGTTGTATCTCTTAGTTCTTCCTATTGAATTTATCCCGCTCTCGGATTCCGATCTCATTGATATACTCTGTGTTCTTCCTTCGCTCCCCATCTCACTATAGATAATTCGGTACGCTCTCTTCCGCTGATGGCGAATCGGCTATAGTAGTCAAACCGAGTCCCACAACCTCACGACTCCTCTACAGTACTTGTTCAGAGACTCGAAACACTGGACATGACGTTCAGTGGCTATGAAACACCGATTTCACAATCAACGTCGAACCCCAGTTTTAGTGAGCACAATTTCGTGGAAATGGTGTCCTCGAGATCGATACTGAGAACAGAGGATACTTACGAATTCAGTCCATCCAGATCTGCATTAGAGTATCTCAGAGCAACTGGCTCATGAATTCAATATAAAGTTCGGAACGACGCGTCTGCGTCCAGTAGTGTTACGTTTCAAGCATCGGGACGGTGGATGAAGAAGCGTATGAGCCCTCGAGGTATGAGGATTGTCGTTAGCGGTAAGCAAAGATAATGTAAGACTGTTTGTACGGGAGCTCGTCGTGTTCTGACAATATTGATTCAAGTAGCAAACACTTTACACTGAAAATGTAAGCCTAGTATGATTCATAGCACAATTTAATAGCTCGGCCCATCAAGCCCAGGAGGTGTTGAGTAGCAGTAGATATACAAAAGACCCCGGGTTTATCCTATCAGTAAGTCATTCCAACCGGTCTACTCAGCGCCATCAGTACAGAACACATGTTTCCGAGAAAATCATCCTACATGGAGAAAGAACCCTTCCCTGGCTTAACACTTGTTCATTAGCAGAAGCACAAGCATCTCCTTTCACCAATCCAGGAACTACATCACCCGAAATTCAGAAACAGGCTTGTCCTGAGGGTGTGTGAACTTACACGGTATTAACTCCTCCTCATCTCTCTCCAAAATCCTTATCCGACCTTCTAATAGCGCAACAACCCATCGGGATATAGTGACAACCCTTTGCAAAGGAATTGTGACCAGCAGGTAGAAGTACAGGAAGTACCCCCAACGATTTTGCCTGATGCCTGATAACTCGAGACATAATCCGAAGATGAGGACGGCAAATAGTGATAAGGTGAGTATCGTGGTCATGGAACTACGGCATAATATGAAGAGTATCGGTGCAATTGGATCGCTATCAACATCAATAGATTGTGAATAATTGAGGATGGCTAGTGTGAACCATTAGAACACATACATAAACTCATTCCTGTACTCACCGTATGAAAGACGACTGAACATTGCGAAAGTATGACCAAAGCCGAAGGTGGTGATTAAATCATTCAATCCCTCAGAGGCTCGACAGCTGTCATGACCAGTCCTCCAGAACGGAAGTACAGGAGCTTGGATGTCCTCAATGCATCGACGCAACACCCTGACTGTTACGAACGTTGACAAGGGAATCCAGGCAAGAATAACGACATCAATGCCGATCGTAACCCGTTGCTCCGCGTAAAGAAGCTTGAATGCGTCGAGAGCAGAGACCATAAACATGGAGGTTATCACATGAACGACGTAGACTAATCGATATCGAACTTGCATCTTGAGAGGGGAGGTGAAGGTTTTGTACAAAACGATATAGGTTGACATTGCTTTAAGTAGAGAGAAGGTGGCTGCTATTGACATTATAGAGCTCCCTATTAATTCTTGAGGTTCTTCTAAGTTATGTTCTGCAATGGGATAAGGGCCCTCGAAGCATGCGACACACAGTTATGTGCTACCTATAACCCAGATTCTGGGGAAGCACCTTTAATTCGAACAAAGACCGCGCTGACCATGATTGAGCGGTGAGCCACATGAAGGAACCATATTGTAAATATGTACAGTTAGTATACAATGTACATGATCGACACGCACTGTTGTACAGCACAGACTATTGTCGGCAGTCATCGGCCAACTAGACACTTCAGGCTTCGCGTTGCATTCGAATTTGGCTCCGAGCCTTTCCAGATTGGGGGCATACGCAATGATATGTAGCTCTTTGTTCAAGCTCTACAGCAATTTGAAGACAGTGCGGAAGTCCAGTGGCGTTTGACACTCCATTATTGTCAGAGTATTTTCTGAGTAGTAATCGATGGCAGCTTGATCCTCGCGGTAATAGTTCGACACCTGAGTTCTTTTGAATCCTGTACCAGAAGAGGACAGAGGGCAATGTGAAAAGCGAGAGGAAATTTTGAACAGGGAAACGAGACGGAATGACAGTGGGAGACAAACGGGGCACGATCCGAGTCTTACCGAAACACACTATGTACACCAATCGCAATTACACATGACTTTATACATACATTGTGGACAAAACGTTCAATCGCTACTACTTCCAGAAGATGTATCAGACTCTGGTTTCCATTGCCTCGTACGACCCTGATCTTTCAGCCACTCCTCCCCGTCCACAAACATGTCCCTCGAAGGAAACACCTCCAAAATCTCGCACTCAATTCCCTTGCTCGTGAGCGTATATGTCCGCCTCAGCTCTTCCTCTCCCTCAGGGCTCTGTTCAACATCCACATTCTTCAAAGCAAACGTTGGTACCTGCTTCATTTGCCTGAATGTCTGGCCAATAGCAAACTTTTCATCCAAGATGAGCCGTTCGCATTCAGGAGAAGTGAGGGTCACGGTGGAGGTTGCGGTACACACGACGACGGAACGGCATTTCAGCAAAACTTTACGTGTTTGAATGATTGGTGATGACGGAGATGCTGGCGCTGTTCGTGGGGTGTTCGTTGCATAGATGACTTCTACGTTGATGATATCGGCAAAAAATGCACTGCGGAACGGAATACTTCAATGCTAAGATGGGCTCCTGGACATAGTTACATACCTCAGAAGACGTTGAAGGTCGCCCTGCGCCGCCAGCATAATTCTCTCAAGTCCGCTGTACCTCTCGGGGTGTTCAATCTATAGGTATGTCTGTTATCAAGCGAAGCCATGACATCCAGTATCGTATCACTTACACGAACGATGGTCTGAGTCGTACCCCAGCTTTCTTTCATGGATGTGGACGTTGACATTGTGCAGGAAGCGAAGGGTTGATGGAGATGATGTTCAAGCAGGGTTCGGAAGTTAGTCCAACTGATGTCGAATGTTGTAGGTGCTTTATGTACGTTCGCATATCGCACATCATTCCTACCTCACCTCACCATCCAAGAGGTGAGGGAGATTCAGATCGGGTACACGATTCTCACGACCCCCCCCCCCCCCAATGAATAGAGAGTCCAGGCAGGGTCTATTTGTAGAACTGTCTCAAACGCCCTTCAAGCTCACATATACCTTCCAGACTGTACCTAAGTATTGGATATCATCAATAAGTGACACAAACACAGGTATTCGAAGATTTCGAACAAGTTTTATGGCCTCTCGAACCGTCATAGGATGCCGTGCAGCTCGGCTTGGGCTTGGTCAGGGCCTTTCGCGTGGCAACATAAGTACCCCCGATCTGAATCTCCCTCACCTCTTGTCACCATCCGCCTTTCGAACGTATCGGATATTTACCCGATATCTAGTCCACACACCACAATATTCTACTCAAAGGTCCTTACTTACCCGTTGGGGATTTGTTGGACCCACTTCTACATAGAAATGCCCCCCGACTCGTCCCTGCAGCCTTCTGCACATTGACCTACATATCCACGACTATTTTAGGCCGATCCAGGACCTTTTGGGCTCTTTTGGGACGTTTCTTTGTTTTCTTAGTACCATCAAGTTCATCAAAATCGTATCCATTACTCAAAAACATCTCCATATGTACAGTAGCCGGCCTCAGCTTCAGCAGAGTGCTTACTTATGTAGCTTGGGAGTAGCTTTAATTAATGGGGCATACATTCGGCTGCATGGTGTATACATACATTATGTATGCTACGCGTACCACCGCCGATTGAACTTAAAAGAGAAGAAGCTCTGACTATCAATGTAGCATCAGAAAACTCATAACACACGCTTCTAGTTCAGCGTATTTTTCCTTTTGACTTTTTTGGCAACGGCGTCTTATACACACGCGGTCATCTCTCCTATAACTAAGACTATAACTTGAAGCAAAGCGCCTGCCCCGGCGCGCTAAGACTATCAGATGTTTGAACAAAGGCGCGAGCTCTGTACATCCTGAACGTGAAAAATTGACTTTCAAGCGCTCTGTGACTGAGTCAAGTGGGGTTTCCGTTTGTTGACCGTTAGTCTCGTAGGCGGGAGGGTCGAGCTTCAATTTTGTTTTTGATCATTTGAATACTCGGTCCGGCAATTTCTCATGAATAATTCCGCTTTTACCACCACTGTAAATTTAGTTCAGTGGCTTGCCCTGGCATGCTCAATCCTCTTGTCTACTACTTCCAATCCAGGCAAACATAACATAGATATGTATATTATAGACCTTGTGTTGGAAATAGATCTATTGATGAATATGGGCTAATTGTAACATCTAGAGTTCAATCCTCTTTGATGCAAGATACTTTATCTATCTTTGTTCCTTCCCCCATATTTTGTTAGTGTGAGTTTAAGCTCAGTTGATAGTAAAGCAACTAATCATTGATGTAGGTACCTGTTAGTGTGAGTTCAAGCTATTGTGTGTTCAGTGCATAGACTATCTTCCAGGTATACTAGAGCTCACCTCAGTTGATAGTAAAGCAACTGAGGGACTCGAATATGCCATGAGCATGCATCTGCAAAACCTGTCTGTTTGCCAGAGCAAGGGTACTGGCTGGAGAGCACTCTCCAGCACCCAAAGCACCGAGAGCAAAAATTTCAGCTTGCTCTAGGTGCTTTGGCTGCCTGGAAGCACTCTCAGCTGCTCTCAGAGAAATAGCCAAAAAAACAGGTTTTGCAGATGTGATCTAGGTTGTACTGTACAGTATCATAATTGGGACGGTGTATATGGATAGGGATGGTCAAAGCTGGATCTCTATGTACATACAGAGATATGTCCCAACATATTTACTGTGGTTAGCAGATATCCAGTAAAATGCTGGAAATATTCATATATACTCTGCACATTGGATATGATTTTCTGAGCAAAACACCTCAGTATACACACTAGAGTCTAGAATATACTAGGTTTACCCTTATAGGGTGTATAAAACAATGTAACTAACAATGGAATAAATAAAGTTAGAAGATACATAAGTAATTGTTTAATGATATTGTAGAAAGCTGAGGGCGGGAGGGTTTCAAACCTACTGTATATAAATAAAATTGTCCACCATATGTAGACTGACAATGGAATGCAGATGAAACATAAGATAAGAAAATGAGATGAAATATTTATTTACAAAGTGTACCTGACTGGACTCATATCACCTGCTTTGGCCTAATGTCCATATTCATTCAACAGGGTTGTCTATGAAAAGGTGTCACTGTATGAGTTCCAAAGTTTGCTGTGTTTCAGTAAACAATGCCAGACTCAATTTTTTCAAGTTCAGCTTATTGTTATTTCTTGAGTGTGAAATTCAGAAAATGTCACAATACTGAACTGACTCACAAAGTAGGATTTTTGAGAAACATACCACAATCAAGTTGTCCTACTACCACAACTGAGAATTAACCAACATTAACATGGATAGGATATGATGAGATAGTAGTATCCACAAAAAATAAGTTCAAAAGATATTGTTACAGTAGGCACTTAATGCTTAATCAATGATAAGACAACTGTGATTGTACTGCATCTGCAAAACCTGTATGTTTGGCTAAATAGCCAAAAGCAGCTTAGAGCACTTCAGAGCACTTCCCAGCAGCAAAAGCACCCAGAGCAGGCTTTGATTTTTACTTTGGGTGCTTTTGTCACTGGAGAGTGCTCTCCAGCCAGTATCCTTGCTCTGGTGAGTATACTGTTGAGGTTTGTACTCCGTACGCTCCTCCCGATAACGAGCTTGCCTCGTTTTTGTGTGAAAGAGAATGGAAGGAATCTAATGTGCACTCCAACCAACCAATCTAATACACAATATGCGAGTTCACTGCTATCAAATTTATTTAATAGCAAGGGGTAGCGTTGGCAAAGGTTCCGCAAAGCTTTGAGAGCTAAGTAAGAAGCTTTGATCAATCAATTTGAATCGTTCTAAGGGTTCGATATATTCCTTTGATCAAGGTAGATTCAGCACAATTTGTGCTTTGGTTTGTATTGATCTGGGTATATCAAGAATTGGGGGTTTGAATCAAAGTAAATTAAAACCGAAACACACAGACCCCTACAGAGGGCTAGAACTATGTGCTGGCACAACCACACAGCATGATTTGCCCTTAAGACCAACGACTGATCCTAAGTTCGAAGAATACCCAACAACTGGATAGACTTCTCGCAGTCACAAGGAGCAGAACACGACGTTCCTATACTCACAAGTGCCGGGCCCGAATGGCTGCTAGCGAAGAGGTTTCAGTCTGGCGGGAGTGTGTCTTTCCTTTTTACGGATTAGCACTGCAACGTCGTCCCAAAATCACTTGTATTCCAGATACATCGGATCGCTATTTATACATACAGAATATAGAGTCGCATAGTACAATTAATTTAATACAATCAACGTTCGGAACCGCAAGGAAACTTCTACACTCAGTCAGATACCATTTAATTTGAATCTACATGTCCTTATTTGGTCCATATTGGTTCCAAGATTCTAGTATACCTCCAAACATAGGCAGGTACTTCAATATTCATTTAATTTAATTGTTTTTGGAGGATGACTCGAATGGTGTTCAACTGTCATTGCGGTTCAACACTTACTTCGATCGTTTGCCACCTCGTCCGGAGGCAAATCAGCTCTCCTCGATTCTAATCCTATCAATCTGATTCATCTGGATTAAACTAATTGCTTCTCTCTTTCAACAGACACCCATTGTGCCTATACTCTATCAAGGGAGTTACACATAGTATTCATTTAATTGCATTCTTCAATGTTTTCTACGTCAGGACTCTTTGACATTCATTTGATATGTCTTCGGAGCCTCGCAGTACTTCGATCGTTCTTCTAGTCATTTTCCTCAACCATGCAACTTGATTGGTCTATTAGACTAAATCGCAGTCTTTTAGATTAATGCATGATCTCGTTCTAGAAGGAGTATTTGATAATTCCTGAGTTCTAGAAAGTCATTTCGAGTCAATCCTCGGTTCATGGTCACTTGAGTAAGTTCTTCCAAACTCCTGCCAGTGTAAGGTCCAATAAGAATACCCTTGGTATGTCATACGTGAATGGTCATCCTTCGGATGTAGTCCGAGTCTGGTATAATCCTGCTTGACAAACAGGTAGACTGTTATCCGAAGGTAGTATCGGGGATGGGTAAACTAACCAACTTGTGGTAGTATGGGTATATGGTCCCTTCAACTTATTAGACTGATTCAGTATTGACTTTGACTGTCAATCTGGGTCTCAATTACAGTCCTCTTGATACAAATCTATACGTGAAAATGTCACAATTCACAGCATAGACGTCTAGCCAAAATTTAGGCGTGTCACCGAGCTCACTGTACGTACCCGAACACCTTCTAATATGTAAGTACCGAAGATGGTGTTATTACCTTATACTATACAGTACCTACATAGACACCACAGACGGCCGCTCGAACACCTCAGTTACTGTCAAGTCCATGCCTCGGGCCTCCATTCCGCCGCTCGGTACTCCGAAGATCCACCTCTTATTGTAATCTCTCTTTATTGTTCTTTCTCGCTACACATACCCTTTCGTTCTAGTCCCTCCTTATTGTCTTTTACTTTACCCTGCAGGTACTACTTGTATAGCTCCTAGTAGTTAGTCTGGCGCTCCGCACCGCTGCGCCGTTCCGTAGATATAAATACTGCCTGTACGCTACTGTAGTTCCTCAGTTTAATTATCAACTTAGATCAACTTAGATCTCCCTTCTCAACTTAAGCTCTTCTCTAAGTCTTCAGGCTCTACGCCTTGAAGCACATCCTACTCGACCTTAGGACTTGAACGTCCTCTGGTCCGCTCCTCGTCGTCGGCGATACCGCCGCTCCGACTTGGCTGCTACTTAGCTTCTCTCTCTATACTCTCGATCTCCGGGGACTAATGGCGTAACGGCGGTGTTGTTAATAACTTCACTACTGTCCCACTCATCTTCCGCACTTAGACGCCTTGTGGCCCTGGCACGGTTACACAGTGTACATGATCTTAACAGTTACTTCCCAGATAACTGAGGTGAGCTAGCCGGACATATATGCTACGATACCGAACTGACATACAGTAGCTAAACCTTAACAGGTACATACAAACATGCAGTTACTTCCCAGATAACTGAGCTAAACCTTAACATATACATGTTTTGCAGATGTGTTGAACTCACCTCAGGTGATAATAAGAGTCAAACAACTGAGGTGCTTGAATTTATTATGCAGTATGAAGGTTAAGCTGCACAGTATACAGTAATAATGTCATTTGTGAACCAGAAAATTCAAAACTGTATGTACATATGGAATATTCCCCAAGTATCTCACTGGGGTGCATAAAATCTTAGACTTATTTATGTGATAGGCATGTATCTGTAGGCCTACCAGAATTTCATTCAGACTTTGTACAACGCAATATTGCAAGATTCCCCATTCAAGAGTAGCACATTGGCCTCAAAGGCTTAATTCCTTGTCTACTATGGTGTGCTAACTTGATGCTGAGGCTGAGACACTGTGCTACTGAATGGAATTTACAGTGGACACTGTAAAATGTGATTTTCTCATGGAACTTATCACCCTGAGAATCCGCCGGACCAAGTGTTAGAATGATCAAAAACAAAATTGAAGCTCGACCCTCCCGCCTACTCCACCGTTAGTGAACAAAGAGAAACCTTGGGTAAAGTCTGCATGGCATATACCAAATCTGAGCGCACTGCACAGTAGTATCATCGGTACTGTACATATATGTATGAACAAATTCAACCCAAATAAACATCATTTTGAGCAATTTGCTATAATCTTCGAACTATTTAGTTGAGACGCGGACAAAAAGCCGTAGCCACCACTGGCAGCTTAGAATGTACATAGTACACTGATAGTACATATACATATATTAAGTGATCTAGGAAAGGAAAGGAAATATATACACGGCATGGTCCAAGAACTGAACATCGGCTTCCAGAAATTCTTCCGGTGCTGCTGGCCTAACACCATCGCCTCCGAGACTATCGAGGAGTAAGTCCAGGGGACAAGGCTCACAAGTGATGCTTCAACTTCCTTGCTCTAGATCCTCCTACCTCAGCAATGTCTGTATCACGAGCACATCATGATAATGCACTGGCAACTACTGTAGTACAATAAACAGTACATCGGGCTCAAGAAAAAAAATGACGGCTGAGGGTTGCGCTATGGTTGTGTATGAAGTGCAAGAGAAATGTTGAGAGCGACCTACAGTGCGAATGATAGTCACGGTTTTTCACCGCCGAAGTTGGGCAGTAGGCACAGTGGGCCAACTTATAAGCAGAATCATCAATCAATGTGCGTTGCAAGATGAGGGGTGAACTAGCATTGTACCCCAGCATTTGAGGCGGGGATATATCCCGACCATGCCCGGGCCATGTCCAAAGTCAGAACAAAAGTCATAGATTCGAACCTCCACTGGCTCTTTAAGCATCGCATACTTTTCACCTTATCACAAGCGACCTACAAGTTACGGGGTCTGAATCTTTCGTAAAAAAACCCTCAAGTTGTGAGCGGTCGATGCTCAACCGTACACACAACAACCAACATGAGGTCAAGTATGGGCTGACGGACCATATAATGAGGAGATAGATTGACCAGAGGAGATAGTATATATTCTTCTTCTGTTCATCGATATTAGTGAGATCGTCTGTCTATTGCGTCTGTGAGCCAGGCTAAATAACGACCGAAATTTTAGAGAACGAAGCACCACTCGAGATTAAACCCACTCACTTTGTCAAGGAGTCTTTCAACATGCTTTAATTTCATATGCCAGCAACGACAATCCTCATACCAGCCTTTTCTAAATGCTTCAATGGCTCATACACCTCCTCATCCACGCCCCGATTTTTAAAACGCAAAACAACGGAACGTAGACATGTCGTCCCGCAAGCTGGATTATTAGATTCAAGGGAGTTAGCTGTAGCTGGCCTGGAGGTAGACCTGGATGCAGACCCAGACGAACCGAAGTCACAGTGACCCTCAGCTCTCGGGACCCATCTCGACGTCACCATATCCACGAAATCGCGGTCGCTGAAACAAGGTTTCGACATCGATCGTGAACCGGGGGCTACAGAACCGCTGAATGTCATATCAAGAGTTTCGAGCCTCCGAATAAGTACTGCCGGGATCGCCATATGATTGGTAGGGAAAGCATTCAACTGTTGCAAAAGATGCGGGGTTATGGGACTTGGAAAGACACTTCTCGCAGACGCATCGTCACGATTAGAAGACGAGGGAAGTGAATCATCTATGGTAAGATGGATGATGGAAGGAAGTATTCGAAGTAACTTCAATAGTTTTGTGTCCAATAGCGGGATGTATTTGATAGATAGGACTGTGAGATGGAATGAAGATCTTGATATGAACGCATTCAAGTTTTTCTCTGGCCAAGAGCTGCAGTATTCGTGCGAAGCCTCGATGAGAAGAGAGTTCAGGGAGGGGCACGTCAAAGATGAAAATACGACGTCAACGCAATCTTGTGAGTTGTTCCGATGTGGTGCCCACGTTTGCGAAAGTGATAATGATAGTGTCTGAAGAACAGGAGCTACCATGGGAGCCGAGCTTTGATAGTCGTCGCTTGAAACATGTTTGTCTCGAAAATGCAACTCTTTCAATTTACTGCACCTCTCTATGATTCTCCCCATCTCTTCTGGAAAGCGACTAACTTCGAGAATGGTGAGTTGTTCAAGAGGGAACTTGAATTCCGTCAAATCCCCAATATGAAAAGAATGAATGATTAATTTGCGTAGTTTTGTGGCGCTCTGAAAACGATTCACGCGTGTCTGGCGAGAGGTCAAGGTAAGACTTGGTATCGAGAGCGTTTCCAGAGCATGAAACTGTGAGAGATTATGAGCAAACATGACGTCGAACGTGCGGCGATGATCTATTGAAATCCGATTCCAGCGATGCGTGTGCTCGACAAGAGCAGCGCATGAAGCTAGGGAGTGTGGCTCCACTAATACCCCAGTTTGCGATGAAGATGTATCAATGAGAAGGGGCAATTTCCCTGTATGATTGAGATATAACTCCAGAACGGAGTTCAGTTGGTTGTGAGACACCCCCACATCAATCCGTATGCGGGACCACAAGGCAGGATATGACTTGACTATTCCTCTCCAGCGCGAACATACACTGCTGATTGCTAAAGCGGGCACTAATCTGAGCGTTTTCGATGTAAGCTCGTTGATTTCGCACGCGTAGTCGAAAATCTGACGGAGAGTTTCGTTTGGCAGTTTTCGTATAGGGGATGCAAGAAAAAGGAGGAATTCTTTTGTTTTTTCAAGACGACGATGTTGATTTCGAAGAAAGATGATACGGGAATGTAGGCGGTGAATTTCAGCTTCACAGTTCTCAAGGTCTTGGTCATATTTCGCGAGCGCGATGAACAATTCGACCTTGGAATGAACTGCAGACCCAAATTCAGAGCGCAATCGTAGATAGATCTCTTCGAGATCCATTCCTGTATTTAGATGATAGGGCTTTGAAGCTGACTTTCCTCAATGGAAAAAGTTCCAAAAGCCAACAAGCACATAGGCTCGAACTAGTCTGCTGCTGAGAAGAATAAGAATCAGAATGAGATTCAAATTGATGTCCGGAATCGCTGACACCTTTGGGCGCCTCAGACTGGTTTGTCTAATAAGTACATAGGCGCTTATTTAGTCTTTGTCCTTATTATCATGCTGCACGCAAAAAAATCAGGTATCAAAACGATCCCCGGAGACATATTCGAAGCTGGTCCTGCACCATCAGAAACCGTGACCAATCATCTTGATTTTCCTCAACAACGGATCGTCCTTGTTCACGCGTGCAACACCGTTGGCTCATGGGGTGCAGGAATTGCTCTAGCTTTCAAGGACCGGTATCCTGAGCAGTATGAACTATATCGTCAGTGGTGCTTGGACCACAGGAACCCGAATATTCCAAACAATTCTTATGACCGCAGGAGAGTCCCATCTGGTGGTCGAGGACGAGCGTCAAGAACTTCAAGAGGCGAACATGATGGTAGGAGATTAGGAAAGACACTTAGACAGAAAAATATGTTTCGAAGGCAAACACAGGAAACGTTCAAGATAATCGTTCAATTCAACGCGGATTCTCTCGTTGGGACGTGTTTATTGATCCCTCCACCTTCCACTTCTCCTTCCTCTCCAGAGTCAATCTCGAAACCAGGAATATATATCGCTTGTCTCTTCACATCAAAAGCCTATGGTCGCAAAAAAGATAGTCCCAAAGAGATCCTTTCTGCGACTAGAAGGGCGCTGGTTGACCTCACGAGGCAGTTGCATCAAGGGGTGAATTTCCTTGGAATTAGAAACACCGAGCACGTCTCACAATCGCAGACGGAGTCATACGAGCCTGACGGATGGGAGTTGCACGCGTGGTTAGTACTAATTCGATTTACCTGTAACGTTGTGTTAACTTGCCACTACCCATGTCCTGAGGCACTTGTAGATTTTTTCAGCTCGTTTTTGATAGAATCCGTTGATCGGACACGTCGCTTAACCGTTTGGAGAGAAAATAAAACGCGACTTTTATTAAATTTCCTTACGGGAAGTCATCCACTTACTCTAGTTTACGCTACATATCACACCGACTGCTTCAGATGATTTAGATGGGTTGAAAGCTGTTGAAAGCTGCTGAAAGGTGATGCTTTAAAGTTTTATTGTCGTCTGAATTCAGGGTAAACATCCTGACTTGAAAATACCGCAGATTGTACACATACCCACAGATACCCGACAGTGTACATATAAGGAGCTATAAGGAGAGTTGCAAGGGTCAAATTGTGACGGTAGAAACTAGATGTGCGGTGATGACCACTAGACGCGGACGAATTATAATCACAAAGAGCACAGTTAGATGAAGATGTTGACAAAACAAGAAGTGCAATTGAGGGCGTACATCGAATCGACGGCTTTGGACTTGGTAAAGCGATGATTTTGCTTGAAGGGAAACATGAAATTAATTATTCGAGCGAAGAAAAATCGTATCGACCGGCAGTAAGTCCTTAGGGAGAAATTGAAACATCAGTTCTTTTTAGATATTTTGGTATGTGTGCGTCAGATTTCTTCAAATCCTCTTCCGAGTCCATTCCTTTGTTTGTCCACTTCAAATTCTCTTTCGTCCATTCTTGGTCCATTGACTTGTCCTATATTTGACATTGATACAACTCCAAGCTGAACCCTGCTGAACCTGGCTGAGTGGTACAAAAGGGGTAGTAGTAAGACAATGCAAAACGCATGATGTGTAGGATGTACGTTCCCAGTGCAAAGACACTTTTCACTACATTATGTATACTATTCATTTCCCCAAACAAAGTTCAAGTGAAATGAGGGTCACTCCATTCTTCAGGTTTATAACTTTCCGACTTCCCATTCCACTCTGCACTGACTGTTGCATGTCCATTCATCCATGCATGCGTGTTAGTCCGGATTTCGGCTGTACATTTACCCAGACCATACTGACTCAGATCCACCGTGAATTTTACTTCATCGGGATCACCAAGAAACTCGTTGCTTGGTTCTAGTTTGGGGAGAGCTTGGCCAGGAGGAATATGCCTCTGAATAAGTTCTCTGGTGAGCTGGTTGGCTTGAGAGGCATAAGCACCCCCGTCTCGAGATTTTGTTTCGCCTTCCAGCCCAAGGAATGTGTATTTAAGAGGCTTGGAGGATGTTTTTTCCGTCTCGGAAACACCTCGAGACGATATCGATGGGCGAGGTGGACCAGATGTCGAGGGTTCGGGGGGACCAGAATTCGACTGAAAGAAACCATCTGAGTTTGCACGGGGCAGAACGACCCCGGCACGACCATCAGCTACACTAGCGTTCGTGTTCGAGATCTAGTAGACAAAGGGTTAGAGTCCAAGTCGGATAAGCGTTTGAATGAGCGAAGGATGCAATATCGATGAGATATGAAAGATAGGCAAAAGGGACAAGAGGGTGGACAATACAACAGCGACTTACATCTGTCATTGGAAGTGCATACGCTGCGGCGGCGAAGCTGACAACAAAGAAGGCGATATTCAGACGCATTGGTACAATGGTAGAATGCGAGTGGTCGGCAGCGAAGGATTGAGACGTTGACCGGGGGATCGAAGCTGCGTAGTACGAAGAAGATGGTGGAAAGGGTACGTATCATGAGTATGGAAAAAGATGATTGAAGCAATGGCTCGTCGACTCACAGGCGATGAGATCAGACTGAAGTGAACTGAAGTGAGCTGGAGTGAACTGGATAGAGCTAAAAATGCGGTTTGAAAACGGCGACGACGACAACAATGATGAAGATTTACCAGTGAATCGATTGACTTGACTAACAGAGGAACGTGAAGATTTTCTTGAGGAAAGACTTGGGAGACGTGAACGACCGGCCAGCAGTTGTTGGGGAATAGAGGATTCTGGGTTCCGCTTATATCATTTTTTGAAAACCCCTTGGGGGTGTCGCTTGCCGAGTTCAAGGGCTACCTGAGGATATGATACAAGATGGAAAAGGGTACTTACAAGCTGGTGCCTGTCTGTGCCTACTGTACGAGAGAGACGGCGCCTGATGGCGCCGAATCATGTCGGTATGAAACACAGCGGGTAAAGCGTAAACAGCGCCTTAACGACCGATGACCTCCTGACCTCTTATGACAACCGACGGTAGACTGTATAGCCTACATATAGCAGCATATAGCCTGAATTAGGACAAGGAAACACTGCAATAGGACGAATACTGGCAACTCACAAAAGCACCACTGCGAATCACATGGCTTTAGCCTTTGAAAACATGTTTCCTTCTCCTGATAACACTAACAGATGGCGAACGATCCAACGCGAGCGATTTTTGGGTTGAACAGACGGGTGCATCGCCAAGAGATTCCTCTATGTATTGAGGTTTTTTATACGGGTAATTATCCCTAATCACAGCTAATTGACCTCATCAACACAACCACTGTAACGGTTGAACCATTACAACCACCCTTACTTTTATCACCACCATCAGACCTGTGCGATGAGACCTCTTGATTTTATCTTCCTTTCCCTGCATCGCGCACAGCAACAATTTTCTGACGCTTCCTTATGCTTCCCAGTCATCCTACCCAAATTCCTCAACTCAAACAGTCTTCAACAGCGGGTATTTTGAATACATGTTGAGATTTAATTAGTTATGCCGACGTATCGTAACTTACCTGCTTATGGCTGTTCAAATCGGAGGCGTTTGCAAGGAGGTAGGGTGCAGTTGAGAAGATTGAGGAGACATAGTAGTAGTACTGAATAAAACTGGTGAGGACAAGGCACGGCCCGTCTGTACCAGATATTCGGTCAAAATTCGGACTCCCGCGAATTTCGGTCATAAATGAGGGATCGGAGGTGAACACTTGTTTTGGTCAAATGCTTCAAAATCTAACCTCCTACCGGTACCAGTGTCAATAATTTAAGCACACTTGTACTCTACGCGATCGGAAGAGTATACTGCAAGAATATACGAAAAAAAATCGATCCTTTTTCCCTCAAACGACTGCTGGCCGGTCACTCACTCTCACGTTTCGGAATATTACAAAAAAAGGCTTCGCTTTGCTGGTTCAAAGCCTGTTCGATCTTTATTCCAAGTTCCGGATTCTTCGATTTCAACCTTCCCCCCTCCACCATACTCATTTCTAACCAGGTCTCGAACACGGCAAACACGATTGACAGTAGTGCCATCCTAACTAATCATGCTGGTGTCGCCGGCGTTCTGCCCCATATAGACATCTCACAACCTGGCTTTGGTGGATCTCAGTGTCCCGGACTCCTTATCCGCAAACAGAAACCCATGCCGCCGATAGTGCCATAGGCGGACTCTTTGAACGAAGGGTCAGGAGCGGGCCTATATTGGAGTATACATTTTCGCAAGTCGGAAGAGAGTCTTGGAACGCAAACTACGACACTGAAGCTAAGCTTCTTGCGGAGGAACTTATCCGGTGCCACATTCCCACTGGGCATCCCAACCCCGGGCTCAAAGACAAGACATACGATCCACCAAAAAGTACATTGGTTCACCAAGATTAATTGTGTTCTTCTGGAATATATAAGCCTTACGGATTGGGTGATTTTGAGGCTGGCAATCGAAATCGTCAATCAGGAGCGGGGGTCGATTGCAGCAATTTGAAATGAGAGAGTACATATTGATTCTCTTCTACTTCTTTCCAAGTTCTGTATGTATCCCGGACGAATCTGCTTTGTTTTGGGAAACTACCGTACTGCTGATCTTGAGAGAAATAAATGAAAGGATAATCCCTTGTCTTACTTCCTAGTACTAGATGCACTTCCTTTGCTGTCTCGAATTCACGCATGTCGTCTCGTACATGCCCAAGCCGCCTCCTTTTTCTCAACAAGGGAAATATCTCATTCACAATATCACTTATGTGTCCAAGACTCGGAGGAGAGGGTGTATAGGGGTGTATATTATTGGCACCGAGTTGGAAGATAACAGTCATTTGAAGAGACATTGTGTGAGGGGCATAGAGGGAGGGTGGAGGTACGAGATGATTACAGAAGTCGTTGATGGCGGATTAGAAGATTCTGGTTGGGAACGTTGAGGATGTTCGATATCTAGAAGGCGACGCAGGATCTAGCGGCGGGTGACGCCATATATGCCGAATAGTTAGAAAGCCAAGCCCAAAATAATCAGAGAGCACTCAGGAAGCTGAGAGAGAGAAAGGAAGATAAATAGATTGAAAAAAAGGTGAGAGAACTACCTAGTACCGCAACGTTACTATGTGGATTCATGCGTGGGAGGTGAAGACAAGAAAAGAGGGAGGGGGAAGGACAAGGAAAGAGGGGGGAAACGAAGAACGGAGAAAAAGAAGTAGATATGCTAAGGGAGAGCAAAGTTTGAGAAAGTAAAACGGTTTTGAAAAAAACACACATCGTAACTCCTCCAATATTAAGTTTATATTACTCCACCACCAATCGGAAAGCGGATTGATTCGCGATCACAATAACGAATCCAACCTCCCGAGGACCTCCAAAACGCCTGCGACGAGCTCGAGACAGAGGTCTTGGCCGTCGTCTGAGAGACCAGGAGGACGATCTGTGTTGGACGATTAGGGAGGTAAAAACTACTGCTAAAATCAATGCAAGGAGTCCAGCTCACCTTGTCCCTGTGCGATCCTCCCCATCTCTTTCCTCGCTTCCGCCACGAGTCCCAGAACGCTCTCGCGGCTCGGGTCGGAAGATGAGCCGGTTGCGATGCGGGATGAAGAAATGCGTTTCCTAGATGCGGGGGTGGAGCCTAAAGAGGGGTTGCAGACGTTAGACCGTAGATAAATATTTGGAACGAGGGAATCATAGGTACCACTGTCAGATCCTGTACCCCACGGCCAGACACTAAACTCTCCCAAAATCTCATCCGCACGTGCAAATGCACCTTCGCGTTCTTCGTATCCGAGGGGAAGAATTGATGGGTGTGATGAGGAACCTGGAGGAAACGGTTAGCGAAAGACTAGACTATTTTGTGAATACTCCCACCTATAGTCGCCCCACCCATTGCGCCATCCAATACACTAGCGGTGTAGGCCGCACAAACCAAACACACTGTTCTCAGTACTCTACACTGTACACCCTCTGGTAATAACGCGCCTTCCGGAACCGCTGTTGTACGTGCGGTCAAAACCTCGACCAGCCTCCTGATCAAAGACGCTTTAACACCTGCATCAGCAACGGGGTGCGTAGCCATATCAAATAATAGGAAATTGCGTTTCTCGGTACGTAAGACGCCTTTGTCGACAAGTCCTTTGGCGAGTCGTTCCCGGACTTGTTTGAGCTGGAAGCCAATTTTAAGGACGTTCCATGTTTCGCCGGAAAGGAGATCAACCCAGGTTGAGATACTGAGTTTTTCTCCAGTGCTTGAGCCTGAAGGTGATGTTGTGGTACTGGATGCTGTTGGACCGCTAGTCCATGAACTAGTTCCCCATAGACTCCCTCCACCAGAATGAGCTGTCCCACCGTTCGGTATGGCACCACCAATGGGAGGATCCTGTGTCGCTTTCATCATCCTCAACGTCTCATCCAGGATCGTCTCACCCGTCATCCGCTCATCAACAACCTCAACAATCATCTCGCTTAACTCTACCCTCCTCCTGCCTCCACCCACAACATCTTTAACGACCGCTATCCTCCTCCTCAATGCCAACTCGATCAATATACACCCTCTCAACGCATACGATATATTGTCGTTCCAAAAGGACAAGTATCCTTGTTTGTCTTTGAGTCCTAGAAGGAGGATTTCTTCCATAAGCGTTAACTTGGGAAGTGTCCCGCCAATTCTGAGAGCTTCAGGTGAAGCCGCTGCTGACGATGAATCTGGTGGTAAGTCTCGCACGTCCCAAGCGATTTTGGAACCGCCAGCAAAAGCAGAGCCTGCGTGCGTTCGTGAATTGTTTGTTACACCATTCGAAGAGGAAGAGCGAGAAAGAGGAGGTGAGTCAGGAGATGTAGAAGACGACGACGAGGTCGTTGTAGATATTAGGCCTGCCCCGCTACCACTTCCACCACCACTGTGTCCGGCTCCTCGTCGTCGTGATAATCCAGATGCCATATTTTGTGCTTTAGTTGTTCTTCGGTCTCGCCTCGTGAGTATCAATACTCGTACCGCAGCAATAAGCAGTGTTCCGCTTCCACAAGGCAAAAGGTGTTCCCTAGTTTTGGGCCTTTAAAGTCCTTTGCAGAAGCTTCGTAACGCGAGATAGTCACAACGCGTTAATTGAAGAGGCAAAGAACGTAGTCGATAGTCGATGCACAGTTGCACAGCTCAACTCTCCGGCACCTTTCTTCCCGGCCTTGCGTGTGCCGCAGCTATTATTCAGCGCTTATTTGACACAGCGAAATCTTTCTTGAGATCAAGTCTTCACCGGCACCTTGGACGTGTCTTTTGAACTTGTTTGAACGTATTACTTACCGTCTAGACCCTCAAGCTCAAGGCATAGCCGGTAAAAGTTTTTCGGAGAAAGCTGGCAGAGGCTGGGAGTATCAAGGTATCGCTCTACATAGATATAACTGTCATCACAACGCCAGTTCCAGGCAAGCACTTGGGCCCGTGTATTTCTGATCGGTGTAACCTCCTTGGCGAAAACGGCACGACCTTAAACGTTCTGTAGTACGCACTCTCGCCGCTCACTTCATTGCATTCACAGATACATATCAATCAAGACATGTGTATCCAGAACTATGTTCAAAGATTCAAGTGCCTTCGAATTCCACTAGGTTCCCCTCCCTAGTCTATTATACCAAGGTTACATTTTAATTTTATAAACAAGTTCAGCAAATATTATAACTAAAATTCTACACCAATAGTACCTCCAGAACCGGAGGAGACTATCTCATTCATTCAATCCGTCTATGTTCAGCAAAGCAAACAAGGACTCACTCAGACGCCCAGCGACTGAGAAACATTTCCGACGTGCATAGATTGCAATTCATCATTATGACTCCTGTCCAGCACCGTTCCTTGTCTGCGATTCTTGTTGAGCTGCCTTCAACCAGCTTCCAACACCCACTGCTATAGCCCCAACTGCTTGTACTGCCCCGCTCGCCAATAGCGCTCCTCCGGCACCCGCGCTTATCGCTGGTATTGACGGGATAGTGCCAGCAGTGATGAGGATCGCAGAAACGGTGCTCATAACCTTTGGGTGCTCGGTCGACAGAAAATCCAAGGCGTTGCATGCGTTTAAAAGCCATACCGGGGCGTGGGTAACTGTGGTCATTGCTGCATGAGGACATGTCACACTGAGGTCTACATTGTTTAGTCCAAAATACACTCACTTTCTTCGTTACCATGTCCAGGTATAATGACCGGAGAGGTCATAGACCGTGTCGTCGTCAATGTGCTGTCAGATGTGGCTTTCTGTGGGGTAGGACGTGGCATGGATACTACAGACGTAGTATCGTGTTTGGGTCCTTCGAATTCATCTTTGGAACCTCTCCTCACAGGCCATTGCAATGTCAATGTCGACCCAGCAGTGGCAGAGCGCTGCGGGCGTTTTCTTTGTGGTGGATTAGACTCCGAGGTGTCCTTGTCCGACTTTGCCTTCTTATCTAGGCTGTCGAACGTTGGTCTCCGAGTAATCCATAATGGTCCTCCTCCGCCTTTCTCCGGTGCTGCGTCGGCAGCTGTAGGAGGAAAATGCGCAGATGATTCCTCTGTAGGAGAGTCGCACTGCGATTCTGATGAATCGGACCTTTTGCTGCTATGATGTGGCATCCACCACAGACCAGACGGTTTTCCTTGTACCTTGATCGACTCGGTCTCGCTGGCGTCAACGTTCCCTATCGACATCGATGTTTAGAATGAAACGTGAAAAGCAAATATAGGAAAAGAAAACGCTCACAACCCATGTTCCGCATCGCAATTTTGAATTTTTCCCAATTCCAACGATAATTCCCGCCATGAACTTTCGCCATGACGGCTTTGAGCTCTTCTAACCTTCCTTTAGCCTTCTCTCCCATATAATGCTGCGCTACCTTGTGCCAATACTCCTTGGGTACGTTCCGTTCTATGCACCCCTCCTTGATCTTTTTCAACCACTCGTCAACAGGTATATCCTTTAATGCGTTCTTGGAAGTCTTGCCGTTGTCATTCGGTAAGTTTCCATAGAACATCGGGGCATCCTTCCAAGAAGCATAGATGGGTTCGAGGTCATAAGGCTTCAGTTTAAAGGCATCCAACATCGTGAAATGATTTTGCGCAACAAGATGGTGATAAGAGGCCTGGAATCAATGTGAGGGCTATCAGTCGTAATGAACAATGAAGCTTAATGAAGGGGAGGAGTCCCGAGGTGCTTGCAGGCCCTTATATACGAGTTCTGGTGTGTCGATCGCACGTATTTTGCAACTGAGATAGCACTAGTCAGCTGCAGAAACAAACTTGTGGCTGACTTCAATAAGCCTAGGCGACGAAGCCCGGACCCTGGATTTTTTCAAGGGAATGCCGGATGCACAAAGTTTCCTGCTGTTGATCGCGTTGAAACCTGTCGTTCAAATGGATGTTGCGGTGTGCGTGTTAGTAGTCTCTCACTCGTGGAGTGCGCATGCCACCCCTTTCGTCACTCCTGTGGGTATGTAGCTCCGACTGGCGATCTGTCGACTCTATCTGAAATTGGAAGCAACTCAATTACCACAAGAACAAATGCCCATGCTGCTTGCATGAGGCAAGGTTTATGGTACGAGTATTCTAGAAATCGACTAGTTCTTTTATCTCTCTGCCTGTATTGAATTCCGCGTCGTTAAGTCACATACTTCTATTTATCTGTCTTCTCATGATTATTAGACAAAACAATTTCAGTGTAAATACGTTCTGCTGAGATTTTCGAAGTCAAGAAACAATATTGAGCGCGATATGTAGTGTCAATATGCAGTTCAGATAGTATACAATTTTTCCACGATCGTCATATGTAACGTCTGCGTACCGGACACTACTGCAAGGCTATTTGAAGAATGCAAGACCGGAAACGGCACGAACCCCGCCTAATCACTGGTTTATTCTTATACTTATATTCGGTATATCTATCGTTATCTTTCTATGACACTATTTACGATACGCTTCACGCTATGTATAACCAGCATCGCACTCGCCAGTCGACACGATCTCTCACTTACTCCTGTTGAGGACGCGTCGTGGAAGTGAAGGACTCAGTGGCTTATTAGTCAGCAATAGCCCCTATATTATATATATTCGACCATCACCAACAACCACCATGCCCACGTTTGCATCTATTGCCGACTTGCTCGCCTCGCCATTTGAACTTGATTTTCCATGTCAATATGCATCGCTCGGGCGTATCCGAACCTCAGAAATATCTTTTCAGAGTGACGAGCACGAAACGGAATCTCGGACCATCTACTCAGTCTATCCATCCCTAATAGAGTGTGTTTTGCGTAACTTAGCATCACCCTACTCCAAATACAGGGATCTTCAAGCTCTCTATGTTCCAACGATCGGCGATTTCATAGACATTGACAAAGACACACTGACAAGATTGGAAGGGAAAGTCATCGAGGCCGCGCAGAGGCTACGGGCCAAACCGTTATCAATGTCCCTCACGATGAACGCATTACAGTTTGTATGGGCATTCGTGCCTGTCAAGCAGGATCCTTCACGCGTCCCTTCTTCCTCCTCTACATCATCACGTACCTCCTCAGAGTTCTGGGACCACTGCGAAGAGCCCACTATTTTTTTTTCACCCATCCTTGACATCTTATTGAGGAAATGCTCTTCTTGGGAAGAACGTTGCCATGTCCTTGCGCAGGGTATAATTGTCTGCTGCATAGAGCTCGGACGTTTGTTTCCCCGTTTTGTGTGTGGTTTTCATCTCTCAATTACAGGTTTCACAACTCCATTTCATCTAGATTTATGGGAACGACTCTCGGCGGATACCTGAAAGTCACAAGTTACAATGGAGCTCACGAGTGGATGGATGCATTGGAGAAGGTGGTGAATGGGTAGAGGAACAAATTACGGGTGGTACTCACTTCTCTATCCTCAATGGTATCGGTGTGTTTTATCAGAAGCAACATACTATTATCCCCTAATGCTAATTGTTTTCATAAATATACAGAATACACTGAACATTCGGCTTCGGTCCAACCCAATCAACCGCACGGCTTTCGCATATCTGGACAGACCTTGCGAAGTGGTCACAACAAAGAAGTCGTGATCGATGATGAGAGGGTATCAGAATTTCTGAGATATTTCCTCAAGGAAGACGAAAATGCCATGATTGCAATCCCTCTTCTTCCCAATTCTCGGTGGTCTGACTATTTGGATTATTCTGTGCCCCTGCATAGCAAAAGGTATAGGGAATTATACCCCCAAGCAGGTACAATTCTTGATCGAACACCACGTACTCCTCCATTTTCTCCTCAAAATCAGAGTCCTCCTCTATCTTTGTCGCAGACACTCCAAGAACTCTTACCAAATTCACCTTTTCCCAGAGATGATTTAGGATCTCCATTCTCGCTATCGTCGTCTAGACTTTCTCTTTCTACCCCAACAATGCCAGCAAGGTCTCAGAATGGAAGTGACAAAGGAATCACTGTGCCATTTCCTTCTAGTTATTATATGGTATGCGGGAGCAAAATTTCGTTTTTCGTCGTCTTCATGTAAACGTTAACTTTTTTTAAATAGGAAGGTATTCGAGTTGCACAAGCTGCACGAGCCGCACGGCTTAAACGCGAAGCTGAAGCTGAAGCATTGGTTCAATCCGCAAGTGATAAACAGGTAATCGGTGATGAGTAAAGGGCAAAGATGGGAGTAGCGTGAAGTTGGAAGTGGCTTTGAAAGATATCCCTCGGTTGAGGACAAACAACTAGGAAGGATGCAAAGGAGACGGAGGGAGTATGGACAGGAGTTGATCGGGAGGTAATAGTCCACAGATGACTTGGAATCCTCACATTTCCTCGCATAACTTACAAGGTTATCCTTATACTGTAATCCTTTTGCACTACAAGCTTGATTGATACTACTACCGGTCTTAGCTTTCTTCTTCTATTTCTAAAACTGGCCAAACCAATTTTAGGGGAGGCACCTAGCAATCCAATAGATCTAGTATTCGCAAAACACATCCACATCCATGTCATCCTCCGAGGAGGTATATAAGTATCTAAAATACTTTTTGTGTCCGGGTATTCTTGTAATAAATATTAAGTATGGAATCGAGTAGCAATGCCTAGCAAATGGGAACGGAATTTTGTCAGACCACTGTGGGACTGGGACCGCCTGAGCTTTGCCATAGAAGTTGGAAAGATAGAAATAAGCGGAACAATGAGCTTCTTCGTTTGGGATTGGAGTCCGGACGCGTGCATTTTGGACTGGTGCGAGAACCCCAGCTCTTTTCGGGACGTTATTGAAGTCGAAAACTGCGTTATTGTAATAAGCATCGATTGGCTGGAGGTACGGTTTGATTGCTAGGCAGACGTCGCTCGATCTCTTGGACGCAGAGCTGAAATACACGGCCTATGTAGACAAAAGGGAAGAAAACAATGGTTCTGATGAGGGATCGCGGAAAAAGAGAAGAGCTACGTAAGTATCTCACCGACATTGATATCGTCTTTTGCACTAGTTTCAACGCATGCAGCATTATTTACTTCAGCGACCTTCTCGAGCTCCGATGTTTGCACTTGGCGACTGATTTTGCCCAGGTAAGATTGAGTAGCGGAACAACAAAAGAGGGACCACACCTTGAGTGAAGGTCCGATTTTGCACCGACAATTACACACGGAATATCCATTACCCCACAGTAGTCGATGATTTTATCACGCAAGATTTGTACCATTTCAAAGCTATCCCTTGAGGCAATGGAATATACGAGCACGTAGCCGTGGATGCCAATAGCATACTGCGCTTTGAGTGGTGAAAATTCATCCTGGAAAAATACAGTAAGGTCTCGTCCGCGGACGATTCATCCGAGTGCAAGAAGAGTAAGTAATAGATTCATACCTGACCAGCGGTATCAAAGATTTCAAGAACATATTCATAACCTTTGTGTGCAATGCTTTTGACATATGCGCGCTCAATGGTTGGGTAATAAGAGTCGATGAATTGTTTTTCCACGAATTGCTTGACCTAGGCTTTTCTCCATAAATGAACAGTCTTTTGGGGAAACAGTGTGTATGCACCAGTGACGATTTGCCTAAAGACGATTTGCTCTATGACCGAGAAAGACCAAAATTCTAGCTCACCCACAGACCGAGCTCCTAGAACTGCAATTTTACGTCGTTTGATTTCGACAGGCATGTTGGGATCAAGAAAAAGTTATCGATCATCAACCGGCCCGGAGGAAGCATAGCTTTGTGAACACTGAAACTAGGGTTTCGCATCTCCAAACAGAATCTCCAACAGCGCAGGCCTGCGCAGAATTTACCCACCGCATTCATCGTTATATGCCCAATAGACCCCATAAATATCAATTCATCAACTCGTCTGTACCCAAAAGCACCTCGTCTTCCCTCAAATCCTCAACACAACATGGACTGCTCTGCTCTATTCCTGCTGAAACCCTCGCTCATATCACTGCTTACCTTGACCCACCTTCCTTGTTTGCCCTTTCGCAAGTCAACAGAGCCTTATATGGGCACATAGGAGAAGATCACACTTGGCACAGAGCTTTTCTCCTCAATTTTTTAGGCATGCTGCCCGAGAGTGATATCCACAGCAAAAAAGCTCTTGTCCTCCGAAGGATCGAGTCTTCATGGAGAAAAGAATACGTCTCTCGCTTCAATCTTATTAGGTATCTGTTTTTTTCGCGCTCAATTGCAATCTTCTCATTACCAACCTTAACCTCCAGACGCTGGGAACGTTCTCGAAATACGACCATCGCCCACGTTCCAGTGTACTCTTCAATATCGAGGATGCATCTCATGCCATTATACTCTCTTATCAGCTCATCTGTTCAGTATGGGATCGTTTCTCGTTCGATTCCTTTGACCGGGAAAGTTATCAAAGGATTCCTCTCTCCGTCTCTTTCCGGAAACGGCCTCGGTATTGGGAATCCCAACACTGAATTCGCCCCAAACGTCACAGCGTGTGCGCTAAGTTCGGACGGTGGTACCGCCAAAATCGTTTGGGGATTCAGGAATGGCGCGATTGCAGTGATGACAGCTGCGAAGACGATGGAAACGGGAACTAGATCCGCTGGTCGTCTAACTCGATGCAAAGTTGAGGAAGAGCATGAGGCGGAAGTGAATCAGGTTGAGTGGGATGAAACTGGTTGCTACATCGTGTCAGCAGCTAGAGATGGACGAATCAAGGTCTGGGACGCGAAGGAGATCCGATGCTTATGGACATCGCAATACTTTTTACCGAATATCTGTGTCTCTGTTGTTCTTCTTGCTAACCCTGAAGGCTACATGGTCGTTTCAACCATGGACAGCGGCGAAATATGGGTTTGGTTACGAATAACCCTGACAGCGGAGAATGTTCTTCCTTCTCCCGTTACGTCCGGGTCACCCAACATCAGAATCCCTTACCCTATCCAGGATAATGATACAACTCGTGCTCCTTCGTCGCTTTACGTCGACAACATTGGCTCTCCCTCTGGTGTCTATGTATTCGTGACGTATCAGTCTAGGCAGGATTTCTGGGGCATATACCTCGAATACACGAGCTCTTCATACAAAGTTTCAAAATATTTCTCTGACGAAGCTTCCGGCGCAGTCACTGCGCTTTTCCCTTGCTTTTGTGGTGAAAATTCCCCGGACGAACGCGGTTTCGTCATTGCAGGCCATCAAATGGGCTGGATAACCGTCTACCCTCAAATTGAAGTGTCCGTGTCACGCAACGTTAATATTGTTCCATTGATTACCCCCACACAGAAATTTGAAGCACACCCCGACGGTTCTGCAGTAACTGCATTAGCTTGGAACGGTCGTATCCTTGTAACAGGTTCGGACTTTGGAGACACGTCCATATTCGACGCTTGCTCTTTTAGACGCCTCCGTGTGCTCAATTCTCCTCTGTCTCCCACAAGAATTCGAAATATTGGGCTTGGTTCTCAGGGTGAAGCTTTCTCCGGAGGTGTCAACCAGATCCTACTTGGCGAAGAGAGTGATTTTCTGGTCGCTAGCGTTGGTGACCACGCTTTGGCGTTCAAGGCCGATGCCTTGCCCAAGTATGGGAAGAGGCAATCTGGTAAGGCTGCTGGCAAGAAGCCAATTAGAACGGTCAAAGGATACGGTAAATGTCATTTCTAGCTACTTCTAGTTGATCAAGACGCTTAACTATTCGCCAACAGAGAGGATCCTCTTCGATCAGTTAATAACCGAATCGTTACAAGAACACGGACAGAAGAGCCAACATCTTCGCAAGGTCTATGCGAGAGAACGCGAACATCAAGCGAACCTCGATCGTCTGGGGTTGGATGAAGTTGAAGCCTTGGAGTATGCGCTCATGCTTAGTCGAGATGAAGCTGTGGAACGAGCTCGAGTGGACAAGGGTCCTAGCCAGCATCATATACGTGATAGTCCTTATCACGTCATGAATGATGGTGTGTTCGAAGGGGAGTTTGACGACTTCACAACAGAATTGCCCACCTCCAGTCAAATCTCAACCTCGGCTACGCAATCTGTGCCCGTACTCTCTGGAAAGTTATTGTCGACCTCTGTGCGCTCGACTGGAACGATGCAGACTCCTAAATCAAAGTCAATGCCCATCGAGAAATCTCCGCACCCGACATCACCATCGTCTTCCAATCGAAAAATTCAAGTTCACCCTCCTGCACGCAGAAAGCCTCGAAAAGCAGACTTTAGAGATGAAACAATTCCGTCTTCTGTTGCATCATCGATTTCCAGTTCGGCTAACAGCACTGATAGTGTCAGTGAATCTGCCATTGACGGGGGTGCGTTCCCAAGTATCAGTCCCGCCCGCTCAACAAATAGCGCTCTATCACCACCCAGGATGTCTCTTTTGTCCTCTACGTCGGCCGGGGGGTCAATGGCACATGGTGCATGGGCGAAACCTCTTGTGTCTAATAGCAGTGCAAGCCCTTGGAGCGGTAGTTTACCCGCCGCCTCTTCGCCCATGGTTCAAACTGCAGCACCTTCCTCTGTTCCCTCTGTTCATGGCCAAGGAGTAGATGAAGACATAGATGATGATATAAAGTTGGCAATTCGGTTGAGTCTAGAGAGTGCAGAAGATGAAGCACGGCGTCGAGGGGCGTAGATAAACTATGATACATGCAATATATATGCTCAACACGGTAGAAACATACCACCTTAGAATAAGTAGATACCCGTATGTATGTCAGCCTTTTCAATTTCTTTATCAGAGTAACATTCGTAACAACTCCAACTTGAACTACGTACATATCCTGTGTGAACCGACTTTGACCCAGCGTTTACAACGACCTTCACTACTAGTGACCAAAATTTACCATCTTAACCTTCACTGCCAGCGTTGAACGTCGAACATCGAACAGCTTTCGCATAGGAGATTTGAAACGCCCAGAATCAATGTCGGCTCAACCAGGCTCAACCACTTGCGGCGGAGTTCCGAGGGGTTCCGGAGGAATCGCAGCCTTCTGGCAACGTACTGGCAGCTGTCTACAAACCGGTAATTCTTGGTCCTACCAAGTGCACTCGAACTAAGCACAAACATGAGTTCGAACTTGACCTGCCGGTGGATTCCTGCTTTCGTTTTCAAGAAATTGGAAGGATACGAATCGGTGGCTCTTATTCTTAGTCTCCGTCGGAAGCGTCAAGCGGTGCAAGAGGATGAATGGTACAGGTCAAGGAGGGTCAAGGTGCTAGTAGGTCAAGATCTGCCAAGATGTCCACATCTATACATAGAGGAAATGCTATAAAACGAGGGCTGGTAAGTACATAAACCTTTACTGCTGGTCCGTCGCCCCTCCGAAAAACTTCTTTGCTGGCCAAAGAGATCCTTCTGCCTGGCATCCCGACTATCATCCACCCGTTCGTGACATAATTCATTTCGTGTGCTTTATCCACGTCCTTTCCACATATTCACATTCGTCTTGACGTCTTTGAAGATGCACTTCACTTGCTATATTATGCTTGGCCTAGTCTCCGCGGCATATGCGGTGCCTCTGTCTGTGAGTTGTCACTCCCTACTTTGGCAGCGATGCTGCTTTCTCTTTGTAGCAAACAATGCTGATGATCCGGCTAATTTTTACTAGACTGTCTATAACAACATGGAAGGGGCTTCCGACAAGAGCACACTGTCATTCCAGGCGCGAGGGTCGCTGCCATATGGAAAACTCATTTCAAGGACAGAAGAGACCGAACCAATATTAGCCAAACAGGCGTCACATACTACATCCTTGAATTCCGATAAGAACGACGATCATGAGCCCATAGACGCAAATAACCCCAGGCCCGAAGTTTCGGAAGCCAAACACCTTACTTTGGGCTTTGTAGGGGAGAGCAGCCCCGAAACACAGAAAAATGGAATGTCACCCGAGGCCGCAGGTCCATCGCAAACCAAGGGCTCGCGCTTCGGATTGAGAACGAAACTCAAGACTTGGAGATCGAAATTGACAGATAGAATAGCCACGTCTAGCTTAACGCGACCGGAGGACAGGTCGGAGTTCATCCTACAGGATGTCGGGAAAGATCCTATCTCAGAAGGAAAAGGAGGGACTAGTCACTGAACGAATTGATGATTGTAAGTAGTTGTAAGTAGGAGATGATGCTTTCTCATGGTGGATAGGATAGGATATAAATTATACTGGCGAGGTCCGTTGCTCGAACAACCAGTTTACCATACTACTGTACATTTACATATGCGTCTATGTCTCCTGTACAGCTATGGAACACACACTCTTATTATGGGGGTTGTAATGTATGCTTGAAGTCATCCTGCCCTCCCTTGGCATTGACGATACACCCTTTCCCAATTCAGTAGTGCATGCTGAATTATGTTGCATAGACAATTTCTGTGGCATAAAATATTTCCAATACCTTGCAGTCGAGCACGTAGACCATCATTATCTGCCAAAGCTGCTTCAAGCTTGGTGGAGACGTCATCGAGCTTGGCCCACAGCTTCCTATTCTCCTCCCGAAGAGTGTCGTTGTGTGAGTTGATGGTGGTGGTGACCTTTTTGAAGGCGTCAGCTATCGACGTTTTTCGGTCCACCCTCACCTCTTCGCGTAGATCCGAAAGCCCTTTGGATATGAGAGATCCTATTCTCGTAAACTCCTTTGTGGCGTATGTGCATACCTCCATGACATCCTTTGGCTGGGGGAGAGTTTTCGAAAACCTTCATAAACCTCTACTTTGTCCTTAAGCGTACGAAATTCCTTGTCCAAGGTCCGCTTCCAATCTACACCGTCCTTTAGCAAATGGTTGTTGCCTTCAAGTGCCTTGATACGCGTCCTAATATCACGTAGGAGAGACGCTGCAGGCACTTTCGGGGAACCTGATCCGTCAGAGATGACAGATTCGTCTACGTGGGCACCCAGTCCAGACACTTCCAGTGCATCTACACGCACTCTCAGCTCCCCGATTTCACCCCGAACCCTTTCTTCGTTCTTGCGTTGTATTTCTACCAGCTCTAATTGATGACCTCCCAGAGCAAGCGTGTTGCGGTTCAGAGCAGACGCCACGACAGCCGTCGACCTCTTCTTCCCCAGTATTTGAACCTTCAATGCGTCAGCAATGGCAGCCTGATCATCCGGAAGACATTCTGACGAGGGTGGTGAGGGGTCGTCGTCGTCGGAAAGGATGGACAAGGATGAGTTGTCGTTGGTCTGCAAGCGAGTGGAGGATCGGCGGTTTGGCATGGGCTTCTTCTGAGGAGAGGTCACTTTCTCCTTTTCGATTGCCTTCTCTTTCCCTTTGAACTTCTCGGCCGTCGCATTTGCTTTAACCTTGTCTTTTGGTTTACTTTTCTCGGTGCTACCCTGTAAACTGTCCTTATCGCTTTGGTCATGTCCCTCGGGCTCCTCCGATGCGGTTTGGTGAGGAGATTTTGCCCGCGAATGGTCATTCGATGTACGATCTCCCAACGTCCAAGAGTTTGGGGATGATTGGTGTTCTGGTGAGGTTGCAGAGTTTTCAGAGTGACTGTTTTGCCTGAGCTCGGCTTCGCCCGTGGATGCAGACATATTAACAAAATCAAGAGAGAGTTCGGATTATAAACGGGGTGTTAAGTTTCGAGGATGCGTTTGCAAAAGCGAGCACGTAGTTCGGTAGCAAGTAGAGTTTGTTTTGGTTTCGAATCCCACGCCGTAACAAGATTCAGTCTGGCACCCGAATTGCCTTGCAATTTTACGTTCGAGCTCCAGCACGTACACTCCGTGTACAGTTTCTTGAGCACTACTTTGTTTTGTTAAAAATCCAGATCCAAGTCCTTCGAGGACACTGTTGAGGGGGCAAGAATCCAAGCCCTCCCGGGCACCCAGATGATTTTTCGCGAGTAACCAAGCTCTTATGAGCACAAAAGTCCAAGCTCTTCCTGAGCACACAGTCCAAGCTCTTTGTGAGCACTATGATCCCTTCCTGTATGTCCAGTCACCAAGCTCTCCAAGCACTCAGTCACGCAAGTCGAGTCCTACTATTCAAGTCCAGGCTATGAGGCGCAGAATCCACCAAATCCGGGGGTGATCGCTAATCACTCGTTGTCGAAGCGTACTATTTTGCCGGTTGTTGTTGTTATTGACAAGGATGGTTTTACTCTAACACCAGTATCGAAACCCGATATCTCTGTGCACCAGTAGATGTTCTACCGTGAGAGAATCAAAGGATGATGATGGTTACAGAAAGAGTGGGGGGGAATCATTGATACGTGTACAGCTATTCATGTCTGGCGACATGGCCGAGTGGTCTAAGGCGCTAGAATCAGGTTGCTTGCCTTGTATCTAGTCATTCGTGGCGTGGGTTCGAATCCCACTGTCGTCACTGATTGATTTTTCTGCGCGATTCTGCATATTTTTGACCCCATCCGTGTATATACGATATATGTAGGTAGTAACTAAAGACTAATCTAACCACACAGCATGACTGCCTCCACGCATTAGCCTCTCCTCGTCACTTCCTTGCTCCACAACCTGTTCAGTAACCCCTGCTTCCTCATCCACAATTTCAGCTTTGCCATCCCGTTTTCCCGCCGATGGCCAACTCACAACCTCCCGAATACCACCGCTTGACCAACTATCCCATTCAAGCACGCGGACGCCACCGACCGGGTTACTCCTTTTGACTGGTTGGCTCAATATAGAAGGTCCATCGCGTACTTCGCCGGCAGCATAGTCCGAGTCGTCAGTGAGCAGGATCCACACAGGGGATCCTACACGAGATTCTAAGTAGGGGACATTGAGTGACGAAGAAGATTTCGGATACAAATCTATGGCATGAGCCTTGCCTCCAGAAGTTGGCGTTTCGTATCGTTCGACTCCTTCCTCTTCGCTAAAAGACTTGCCAGATGAGTTGAAGGGAGCGAACATCCCATCCTGATCCAACTTGAACACACTGACCCATCCTCGGTCATCTTCCGTCGAACCGCGTGTCGTAGCCCATATCTCTGTCGGCCACTGCCCTGCTCCAACGCTTGGTCCAAGCATCAGTGTGTCTCCTCTGAATCGATGGATAGTCTGAATCGATGCGGATGGATATGAGAGGTTGGGGGGAAGAAGCGAACGGGTACCGAGATACTTGAGAGGGTTGTTTGACCATTCGGTGCTCGAATCAGATCTGCCCGTTGCACGGAAAGAATAAACGTCGAGGAGGTTATTATGCTCCGTGACGCAATACAATATCTTACCATTAGGATGAACCTTGACATGTCTCGGACCATCCTCGACTCCAGAACGCGGAGACGGTGAGGAATAGACGTGGGTCAAAAATCCCGAATCAGGATCATGCGTGTAGACTTCGATCGAGTTGGTCCCAAGTACTGGCACGAAGGCCAATCGAGTATTTGTGCCAGGAAGATGAGCAAACTCGATCGCGTGTGAGCCGTACCTCAACGCCTTTCGAGACTTATCCGTATCTGCTAATTTGTCGGGAGGAACAAAGAGGACTTCTTGAACTTTTTCCATGAATGAACCACTTTGAGGCGAGAGGAGGTGAACTTCGCCTGTAGGTCCACCCATAGAGTATAGATGCGTATATGGATGGGGGAGAGAAATATAAGAAGACACAGCAGTGATTGGGACATTATCGAGGTGATTGAGGTGCCAATCTGATGTAATTTCCCAGCTAGACAGTATTGGAGGAGCAGCCCAGCTTGTTGTATACGCAGCTAAACCGACTACTGTTGCATTCAAGTTCGTCTCTGAACTTTGTGAACTTTTAATCTTGTCCCGATTAGTACCAATATATTGGTGAGGTCCGAAGCCGGGAACCTGATGTAACAGTGACAATGTCCTTGCAGCGGGTGAGAACGCGAGTAGGAAGAGTGAAAGGGAGCGGAAGGAACCGGAAAGTACATGGAGAGTTTCGGGAGGTGAGCTGATGTTCAGGGAAGGGCTTAAGACCTGTTGAACAGGCTGCATCATGTCAATATTCATACCGGAAGCTTGAAAAGGGTAGTCTTGGCGACTTGTAGCAGCGCCTTGCTGAAAACTAATTGCTTGAGAAAGAAATATGTAGAAGGCATCGAATGGAGGAGGCGTCGGATTGGATCTCCGTGTTTTCCCCGCGTTGCTTCGTCAGCATACCGCCGGCGCCTAACTGACTTGTCTAAGGCGCTTACATTCCGACATCTCCTGTAAGACCTTCCATGCACAAATTTCACCAAAAGCATTGATTCAAGTGCCCACCTCATTCGAGGAAAATCTGTCAGTATAACATATCTAATTGCTCATGGGTAGTTGCATAGTAGAGGGGCATATTATGGTATCTTAATTAGGGTGAGCTATTGGCTCTCAATATCTCAATTCTGATCGCAAACCAAGTCTAAAATCCGTCAACTCGACTCTCTTTGGTTTCTCTCCACTCCAAGGTTTCTTCTCCCTTTCAGTATTCCGCCACTTTCTTTCTCCTGCTCAAGCTTCGTCGAGTAACATTCTCGTTTGTGAACATTGAGGCAATCAATCCTTGCTTTTGAGAAAGCCTTGTTGCAATAAGGACACCGCTCCTGGGGAGGTAAATGTCTGTCGTAATGCCTACAAAGGCTTCGGTCCCCGGTGAAGTATGGCTTGCATCTCGAAGGTTGGTTTCCATGCCATCGACATTGTAGATGGATCCTCGCCTTGATCAGCTTTTCGTCAGCAGAAAACTGTAGCACGCGCGCGTCGATCTGCGCTTCGACGTGGTCTTGAAGGTGCTTTGAGCGATCCGAGCCATCGGCGCTGAACAAATATCCGCAATATCTTCCGTCTTCGTGGATGATGTGACAAATCTCGGATCCAGCAGTGTCAGAGTCCGTAGATACCTCGTTCTGGGATCGATTCCGTCCACTGCGTCTGGATCGCTTGCCACTTGGTCTCACACTGTCCTCATCTTCGTCTTCGTCGTCGTCTGAACGGACACGTTTCTGGCTTCGGCGACGGTCAGCGGTGACTTGAGCAGCAGGGGCCTTTTGGTAGGACTGAGTGTCAGCATGTAATCCCTGGTGGTCGGAAGTGCGGGACAAGAAACGGAAGTCGCTCTGAAATTGTTGAGCTTGGCCTTCACTCACGATATCAGACCAAGGAACTTGCGGCTGGTACCCAGGATAAGTCTTAGGCAGCTGCTGCCCAGAGTGACCTACGCCTGAGGTTGCAGAAGGGCCGAATGATGGCACCGCGGCACCTCGCTCTTGTTGCAGTGATTCGGGAGAGGGACTATGAAACGGGGGCTGGTGTGGAATAGCACCGAATGAACCACCCTGATCAAAGTTGCCATAGCCCTCGCTCCAGAGCGGTGGTAGCATCGAGGTGCTTCCGGACGGCGGAGTGTCAAATGGTGCAGTAGAGGTCGAAAAAGATGAAGGTGATGTATAAACGGAACTTGGAGGATTGGTAGGAGAACTTGAGGTCAAATAAGCCTGAAAGTCGGGGGGTGTGGAGGTGGCATATGGGCTCCACCCTTTTACCGAGGGCTGAGATGTGTGCGATAAATTTTGAATCATCCCCTGGCCTTGGTTGGCAAGTGGTTCATCGAACCACCTTTCCAACAACCCCCATCCGTCGTTATCTGTACTGTCGACAGTTCTCGTCGTGGACCTGTAATCCGCGTTAACGAATCTGAAGAGCAGGTGAGAGGGTAGGGGGAGAGTATCGATGAGAGAGGAAACAACGAGGAAACGATCAGGGAAGGTAAAGGGCAAGGTCAGCAAGGAGCTCTCATCCGTGAAAATAATATAGGACTCACGATTCACTAGCCCCAGGCCAATCCACATCGGCTTGCTGGATGTTATCGGAAGAGCTCCCAACGCAGGGCGCATGAGCCTGGAAGTGATCCATTGCGAAGAAGCCCGTAAGATAGCGCGTAGGAAGAAGAGGAACGTCTAGTGAAAGCACAAATGCACTGGAGCGACTAGAGGTAAGTGCACCGTTTGCTCGTCGTCTCAGTCACGTTCGTGGTTTCAAAGAGGGAAAAAGTACGCCCAAGTACCATTTATAGAAGGCCCGCTTTGCTTGACCGTCATTGTCACGGACGCGTACACCGATACAAACAACGCGGTACACGGGAGCCTCTATCAGAATGAACAATGAGCGAAACGAATAGGTCGATGGAATAGGTCGACGGAATAGGTGATTATCCTGGTCAATCACAATTTGGTTTGGCCCAACAAGGATCTGATCAGTGCACAATATACGTTCATGTTCAAAAAGGGAATCCAAACATCGGTGCTGGTAATATTGTTCAGTTGATGAGCTCTCGGCCTTTGCTTTTTGTGCCTGGACTTTGCCTTAGCCTATTTTTTATTGGCCATTCTTTGTACACTCTCCGCGTCAAAGCTGGTCATGAATGTTCGGGGAACTCCTTCGATCTTTTGGATCTTTTAGGGGTACTGAACAATGAATACTGTTTGATGTGGGATCCTGGAATGAGACAATTCGTTCCAGAGCTGGAGGTTAACCTAGGTCAAAACTTCAAGTAATCTTCAGAGTTATTATTTGGATAGGTGTCAGGGGAACATGCAGTAGCGTGTTTCCAAAAAGCTTCCGCTGCATTGGACCTCCTCTTTGATCCTTCCGTGGTCAACAAAGCAATTTCCAAGTGTTTCAAGAGTTGCTATAACTCGCTTTGACCTGCCGTAATATTAACCAACATCCCGGCCCGAGAGTCCGAGATGCATTTTTCCCTCTTCTCAACTACCACCACCAGCTATAAATCCGGATCTTTACCTATTTTAACGGTGTAGCTAATGGGTCTTGATGCGCCATAACATGTATGAATCTATTTTGGAATACCTATGTCTCATAATCTCGTAATCTGTTGAAGATGTAGCACACTACCTCAGACTGCCTTTCAGATTCTCCAAAGCTGAAGTCTTCGCATGCATACAGGTCCGTTAGGAGCTTATTTTCCAGGAGCCTAGCTATGGTACATGGTATAATTCTTTGAACCGTCTTCAATCGATATTCAAGTCATACGCTCATTCATCCGCACTATAAACAAACAAACCAGCTCGGATATCAATTTAGACTTGTCATTCACCTCGATCCCGATTGTAGCCGATTGTGAAATCCACACAGCTTGAAAGCGCGATCATGTATCTGCAGGTATCGATGTGATACAGATGCGCCTTGTCCCATCTTTTGTCCGACGAGAGATCGGCTTCGGTGTGTCCGACATGCCCTATCGAGTGGCGGGTCCAATAGGATAGCGCAATCCTGGTGCGATTTCAGTGCCTCCACGCTCGGTGAACAGGCGTGACCGATATCTGAAGCAGTATTTAACCTGCATCTGCAGATCTCTGGCTGTCTTATGTCTTCTATCTCCCAGAAAAACATTGCCATCGTTGGCGTAGGCGGTATCGGAACATACATTCTACGTGCCCTCGTAAATACTAATCAAGCCAATGTCATTGCCCTCACTCGCAGCACCCTAGTCCATCCTCGCCACCACCATTTTCTTCATCTTCCCTCTCATGAAAACCAGCAACCAGTCCCTCATAAGACTCTTCCCCCCGATCTGTCCTCAGTACCTTTGATCGAAGCTGATTACACCAGTGTACCAGCTCTGACCGCGATCTTCAAAAAGCACAACACTGAAATTGTGATCAGCACTGTCCCTACGACAGGCTTACATGCACAGTATACTTTGGCAGACGCAGCTAAAGCGAGTGGGACAGTTCAGCTATTTGTGCCCTCAGAATGGGGTCTTCCAACTGCAGGGGCAAATCATCGCGGGGAGGACAATCACTTTGGAACCAAGGACGCATTTGTTGGTGGGCTCCTTAGACTGTCTCGTGTATAACAAGAGATAACGTCGTGTATTTAGCTCACCTGAGGACGCTTGGACTTCCATATACTCGATTTTTCGTGAGTTTACCTGGCACATTTAGTTCGTTATAGGACTGATTGGTTGTAGACGGGATTTTTTTTTGAATATCTTCCATGGCTTGTGGGAATTGATACCAATCATACCGTGAATGCCATAGGCAAAGGAGAAACACCGTTCAGCGTTACGAGCGAAGAGGATATAGGTGGTATGTTGTTTTCTTTGACTCAAGACTTTTTGTTCAATTGTATCCAGGATTTGTTGCACATGTTCTCACAACTCTACCGTCCTCCTCTCCTCATCTGAAGAATCGATGTCTTCGGTTGCAAGGGGACCGTATAACTATGCGTGATCTGGCCCGCATCTACCACAAACCATTCGAACTTGTTCCTGAAGGCGACGAAGTCCCAGCGAAGACCCCAGAAGAAGCAGCGGTCAAAACATTTATGCAGATCGAGGCCGATGCCGGGATGGCTAGTACGGGATGGGACCGCTTAAACGAGAAAGAACGGGGAGACGCAGGCAGTGCAAATCAGTTATGGGAAGGACATGTCTGGAAAAGAGTAGAAGACAGTCTGTGAAATCTAAAACTTGTGCATAACACAGACTCGACGTTGGTTTGAGCAGAGATCGGAATACAGTGGGGCTTTCAAGCTAGCTGGTTTATACCAATCCATATAGCGCTGCAAAATCATCGTCTCCCTCATCTTTATAGTTCATCTCCAGCAAATTGCCTAATGAATTTGCAATATCGGGTCCCGCGAGATATTCAAGGAAAGCATGTGCCAGATCCATACCTGAGATAGCAACAACCGTGTGGTTCGTTCTAGCCATGAATGATGCACTACTCACCAGCAGTAACGCCAGAGCTAGTCCAAATCTTCATGTCATCGTTTGCTACATATCTGGCTTTTGGAATCCAGGTAATGTTCAAGTCTTTGGTGCTTTCCTATATTTCCTCAATGACACTTAGGAAAACACGTTGATAATCAACAGAAACAAACCTTGACAACGTTGTACATCGATTTATTGGTAGTAGCCTTTTTTCCGTTCAACAACCCGGCTCCAGCAAGAATCCACGATCCAGTACAGATAGTGAGGATGTGTTTTACTCCGGGAGCTTGCTGTTTCAGAAATTGCAGCAACGAGGGATGTACTTGGGTAGGATTAGAAAGTAGACCTGGTAAATAACACGATTTCTGATCAATGCAGCATCACCCAGTCGAGTAGGAAGCCCACCGCCCGGAATCAATATTATATCGAACTGTCTCCCAGAATTCATTACACCTTCGTAGGTTCCTGTTGGAAGGACGTTCGGGCCCGCAGCGGGCGTAATAGCATCCTCCGAATGAGAGATATATTCCACGTCGATAGCGAAAGGGGGAAGATAGTCTTTGAAAAACTGAAGATGGGAGTTAGGTTCCGCGCGGAGATCTGAAGGAAAACATCCTAGAAGTTCAACGGGTCCCTGGTAATCGAGGGTTGTCACTCGGGGGAAGAGACAGACTGCGAGATGGTAGGTCTTGTCCACGACGAGGGAGGATTCAACGCTTGAAGACATAGATGCACAAACAAGAAAGTTGGAGACCGTTGTGCACCGCAGAGCCTTTATATGGAGTATTCGTCTATGGGATTGCGTAGCAGACGTACACGTGAAACTTGTATTCACGATGCACGACTGTGGAACTTGAACTCCGTTCCCTACGTTCGAAGCGGGGAATTTCAAGCAGCGTTGGTCCTTCCCGTTGAAGACATGTTCCTAGCACACTTGAGATTGCGCAGCCCTAAATTCAATCCAGGGAATGTCATACCTAACCGGGTGACGTGGAAGAGCGACGATGTTGAGGTAACCAGTCTCGTATTCGTCGCCGGGACCGAATTCAAGTGTATGTTCAGATCCGAAAGAAGATATGTCAAAGGAAAAAGGAATGAACCTTAGGGAAGCAAAACTTCACCTGAAACATAGACCAAGGTATGTATTCATGAACGAATGAAACCGGCAGAGATATTGATTTGAGCAGAGAATCCGAATACAGCTGTTCTTCTACTAAGGATCAACAAGTTAAGCCAATCCATGCACTGCCGCAAAAGCGTCATCTCCTTCCTGCTTATAGCTCATCTCCATCACGATGCCCAACGAGTTTGCGGTGTCCCGTCCAGCAAGATGTTCAAGGAAAGCGTGAGCTAAATCCATGCCTGGAATGAGAACAGCTGTGTGAGTCGTACTAGTAGGAACGAAGCAAGGACTACATACCAGCCGTGACGCCGGAGCTAGTCCAAATCTTCTTGTCGTCGTTCACTACATACCGAGCCTTCGGAATCCAGGTAATGTTCAAGTCCTTCGTACTTTCCTGCATTTGACAATGTGATCTCAGCAACTTCAGGTGTGGAGATGAAAAACCAACCGTGACGATCTTGTACATCATTTTATTGGTGGTAGCTTTCTTTCCATCCAGTAACCCAGTTCCAGCGAGTATCCATGATCCAGTGCATATAGTAAGGATGTGTTTTGCTCCAGGGGCTTGTTGTTTCAGAAATTGTAACAACGAAGGATGAACATGAACAGGGCTAGCAGTCGGACCTAGATTTACATGTAATATAATGTCAGAATACTACAGAATGATTCCAGGTCGCTGAAAACTCACCTCCCGGAATAAGCAATATATCAAACTGTTTCCCCGCCTTCATTATACCTTCGTAAGTTCCTGTCGGCAGCACTTTAGGTCCAGCGGAGGGCGTAATGGGTTCCTCAGAATGAGAGAGGTATTCCACATCAATGGCAAAAGAGGGAAGGTGCTGCTTGAAATACTGAAGATGCGAGTCAGGTTTTGCCCGGAGATCAGTGGAAAAGCCCCCAAGAAGTTCGATGGGTCCCTGATAGTCGAGAGTTGTCACTTCGGGGAAGAGACAGACTGCGAGATGATATATTTTGTTGACAGCGAGTGATGTTTTGACGGATACTGGGGAAGACATAGAAAGATAGAGGACCAAGTTGTACCGAGGCTTTTATATCCGAGAGATCAGGACCATGCCAGCATCGTTTTCTTCAGCTCTTGTTAGCAAAACCCGTTACTATATGCACGGGTTTCTGGAAGTGAAAGCATAATAAGCATCCCACTGCGCATCCCAGAAAATGGCAAGACCGAACGAGGCCATCTAAACCGGCCCGGTACTATCGTTCCAGCGTTGCGCTTATCTTTCTTGCAAGAACTCCGAGTCAGCGGCAGCTGCTCATTCCATACTCGCGAATATGCACCGAGTGTTCGATAATAACGAGATCCTGTCTCGAATCTTACAATGGCACAACCTCTCGGATGATAAGCCCAATCTTGTAGCCCCAGTTCTGGTCTGCATACAATGGTCAGAAGAATATCTCAACATCCTCTGGTTGAGGTTGACTGATTTGAAGCCACTGTTGAGGCTTTTTGGTCAACTGGTTGTGTCAAAAGGAAAATATGTGAGCTTATGGCAAGTAAGACTCTGACCACTAATCTATATGCAGAAACTGTTGCAGAAATATAAAAATTGGCCAACGCATGCTGCATGGCTTCGTTTTGAAAAAAAATACCAGAATCGCATTCACCGCCTGGGCCCTATCTCCAACGATTCTGCACTTGACTTCGGCCCTGCCCTTGATGTCATTTTCAGGATAAAATCAGCAGGGCCTTTATTGCCTAAACTTCATTCACTGAAATGGAATGGTTATTCGGATTTCGGCTTGGGAGAGCCCTCTGTACTCTTTATGAATACATCTATCCAATCATTCACCTTCACCTCTGACTCTCTCAATCCAAGAAATCTTGAGTCATTTATCTCATGCCTCTCAACCAGAATGCCAAATTTGGTATCACTTGATTTTGTTGTTCATCCTAGGTTGATATATAAAGCTCATATCGTCAATCTACTACACCCATTGTCCATGCTTCAAAAGCTCACTATTCCAGCATTCCATAACTTATCTTCAATCTTGACTTCCATATCCAACATCAATACAACCTCATTGACACATATCTCCTTCTTCAACACCTCAGACGCTCCTCATTTGATTACACATGTCATCAATCTGGCTGGTGTACAGGGCCATGGGCTAGCAAATCTCACGGTCCTACAAATTCATTCCACATATAGCGCTGCTTCAGAAATCTTTGTAGGAGAAAGAAATTTGAAGGACATAACAATCACATCTCATGATCCAGCATCAGCAGCAGACATTCGAAAGCTCCTTTCTCGGATAGGGCAGACTTGCACCTGTGTTGAGGAGGTCAAGTTGACCTTTGAAAGTAACAGCCGGGAGCTGATAGATAAATCAGATGTTGTCACATTTGAAGACATCACACCTATCCTTTGTTGCACAGGAATGAAATGGTTCATGCTGTCGACAGCATGTCCAATTTCCATGGATGACAATGATATTCAAAAGCTAGCAGAAAGCTGGCCCTCTCTTGTTTCATTATGGTTATCCTCGCGGTCTGGCCGACTTGTCTTGCCTAATCGAAGGCGACTGTCTTTCAAATCACTCATACATCTTGCTTACCATTGCCCATGCTTGTTCTATGCCTCGCTCTACATTGACGATCCATGTATACCTGGTCCGGAAAATTTGCCTGTTTTCTCTAGTCCTTTTAATTTCGATGTCGGGTTTTCCCCAATTGAAAATCCTGCGGAAATTGCCTCCTTCCTCTCCAAACTTTTCCCAGTCAACTTCACATTATGGTACGGCGTTGATCATTTCCTCAGCGAAGGGGAACACTGGGAGGACCCTGATCTGATCTCTCCGAATATCAAAGGGCAGTGGTCCGAACGGTGGGCCACAGTCGAATCTTTTCTTCCACAATTGATTCAAATGAGGCTCGATGCTGAGAAGCTGAAGCAGGAGGTGGCCAGGTTGAAAATCAAGTGTGAACCTCGATGGTATTGAATGGATAATTTGTATGGGTTTCATGCAGTCTTAAGGGATGAATTCAACTAATCATCATTCTAGCTGCAATGGAGTATCCTACATGTATTTCATTCAAACTTCGAAGTCGTGTATGGCACGGCGGTAAGGGGTCAATGACGACTTCGAAACTTGTTGCAGCGATTGTACAGTATGTATGTACTGAAAGAACCTCCTCATCTTGAATTCACTCCGTTCCCATTTTCCCGACGAACACGTCTCACTACCTTTCGCTCTATTGCTATTCTTAAACCTATCACTGTAGTTCGAAGTATTTCAATCCTACGAGTGCGTACTTACAGCCTTCTTTGTAAATACCTCATTTGTCGCCACCTATTTCCAATTTTCCAATCCCGTGTCTTCATCTTTGATGTCAGCATATCCTAACGTGTCCCTCCACAATCGCTTTTGCTTCTCCTCATCTCGAGATTCCTTCGACGACGATACAATTTGTGTCCCATCCACATACAATGCACGAGGCATTTCACCTAACTTCCCTTCGTCAAAGGTAGCGAAAAGTAGGTCTGAGCCACTTCGGGACGGCGTCCTAAAGTAGCCATTTGGATTGAGCCATAGGAGAATCGGGTTAAGGAAGCGCATTAGGATGATGAGAACTCTTATGGACAATGGGGAGTCCCTGGTCAAGTTGGATGGCAAGGCGCCGGGGTCGAAGTTTATACAGGAGATATTTGAGAAGGTCCGGGAGGATTGGAGCCGGCGCTGAAGCTCATATCTACATAACGTTTATAATTTTTCATGTTAGAATAGAAGCGACTATAATCAAGCTGACTTACATCCACATTACACCTAGCAACTTGCTTGTTCCGTAGCGTCTCATGCCGACTGTGTAATTGTCCTTCGGTTCGTTTGTAAGATGCCCCTTAGCCAGCGCCTCGGTATCGGTGTATAACGAGTCACGAACGTCGTCAGGGAAATGATCTCGTGTTCCCCAATGATGAGGATCGTGAGCCGACGAGGCAACGTTGATGATACGTCCATGTTCCTTATCCATACTATGCAGAATAAGCAAGACGAGTAGGAAGTTGGCCAAGTAGTTCATTCCAAAATGCACCTCGAAGCCATCGTTCGTAAAAGAACGCCCGCTAACCTGTTGCGTGGCGGCATTGAGAACCAACGCGTGGATGGGTGGAATTTCGCCACCGGAAACTCTAGCGTTTAGACTGGTAGCGAATGCTCGTACACTAGCGAGTGTGCTGAGATCCAACGAGAGGATTTCATAGGAATGGTCTTTAGGTGCTTTCTCGAGTAGCTCCTTGAGTTCTGCAGCGCGTTCAGGACTACGCACAACGTAAAGACCTTTATAATCTTTCGCATATGGCGACCTGATGAAACAGGATACGAAGCCTCTGCCCAAAGCACCGTTGGCGCCAGTAATGAGCATACCGCCTTTGAAAGAAGTCATGAGTAAACGAATCAAAAAAGGGGGAAGGGATTGAATTTTAATGCAGCATGCCTTCGGCAGACTGACGCAAGACGATTGCCGAACTTTCAATCGCGTTTCCTTACATAGATTCATCGACGCACCGTTCCATTTCCACGCAAAGCCACAACTATAACATCGTCTCCGACCATCGCTCAAAAGATTGTTTGATGCATATAAGATGAGAGTTGTTCGTTAAGAAATCTGACTTCGTAGTTCCCTTGGTTAGTCTTGGATGTTTTTCGTAGGTCGGCGTTGTAATGTTATTAGAGAAACTGTATACGCTGTTTCAAAAACAGCTGTGAGGAAAGATGGCAAAGCCGCCAGATTTGGAAAGGAAAACACGTTTCGAAATATTAGTGCTAGATTCGGTACCAGGTGAACAGATCGGATGGTCCTGTTTCGGCCTTGTTCATTGAGAACTTCTGGTGTTACTTTGGGCACGGGCAGCGCAAAGTGAGCCTGTACAGAGTACGCCTATCCCTTAGTAGTAGCGACAATGTCCGTGCTCAAGCTCAAGTCCTATATAAAGTCAGAGTCAGCTTTACCGAACGGACGGGAAGGAGGAGGGAAGAGAATGCGCAATAGTTACTTACAGGCTGAGCAAATGAAAGTCGCGAATCTTACCAAGATTACAAGCCGTCATGAAGCCGATGAAAACCATGAACGTTGGAAAAAGAGATCAATGAAGAAGCATCTGCGAAACCTGGAACCAATCATGCCCAGATACTGGGAACTAAGTTGAGAGTGGAAACTGGTGAAAGGCAGGATAGCAAGTGGATTTTCAGGTATTCTCAAAAGTCGCGTTCTGCTATTATAAGCGAAAACTCCGCACATCTAGCAGAGTAGAAGGATACTCGCAGGGAAAAATGCCCATAGAGTCTGGACGACGCTATGAGTGTGGTGAGTAATCTATTGAGCGCTTATTTTGACTATCTTTCTTGCGCTGTCTTTTTCCTTTCTTCTGGCATCAGCGTTTCTTTCGACACTCCTGTAGGGCGCAATAACACATTGTATCGTGCAAGAAAACAAATTTTGGAAAAGAAGACCAGTTGGGGGATTCACAAAGGTATGTTCAGCTCTACTTTATAAGCATGTGTAAATTCCGAACAGTTTTTTCAGATATTTCTGGAATCGCGCTGTGGGATTGTAGAAACACATATCAGAAACACATAGAATGTATGTCCCATAATATGTGCTCTTGTTCTCCCGCTCTCGAACACAAACCACAGCTCTACCCATGTCAACTGCTTCAGTCGTACAGCCTGAGGCACCGCCTACTCCTGGTCGTCAAAACGACTCGTTATGCACGGAGGAATCCATGACCGTCTTGAATCGCAGCACGACGCCTAGTGTGATTAGGTTTGCCGAAAAAGAGACAGTCGAAGCAAAAAGCGCAAGATTGGTGGTCGAGATTCAACGACCTATATCGAAAACAAACATCAATGCTATAGCTTCTTCATCGGAGCAACTTTCCTTTGTATCTTCTTCCAACTCAATTCAGAAACCAGAACTGGTATCCTCAGCCATGACAACTCCCATTCAACCAACCTCTACAACCTCCGAAGGCGCCTTTACTTCTCTCAAGGACGCTCTCATGTCCTCCATCTCACATAACAACCTCCCTGAAAATATATATCTCGAAATAGATCTCCCGAAACATACTGGTATAAAACGTTCGAGAACTAATGAAGGAGGACCTGGTCGAGTGAAACGGTTGCGTCGTGACGATGAAGGAGAAGAATTGCCAGGGTCATGGTCATTGTCCAAGGTGCGGAATGACATACCGGTCCCCGTGACCGTATCCGCACAAGATACTCCTGTTCAGGCGACTATTGAAGCGGACGACGAGGACGACGAGGCAGATCTCATCCGCCTATTCGTCGTCAGTCGGGCAGGCCATGTACTGCCTCCACCTTCCTCCTCAACTCCCACTGAATCGCAACTGTCAACGCGGTTTGATGATGCATCTCTCAGTGTACGAAATCTCAACACTCGCTTTGTTCGGAGTAAGGGAGAGCCTGGAATCAAGTCCAATTCGGATGGAGAAGACGTGAGGATTAATGGTGGCGAGACCGAACTCTCCAGTGCCGTTCATGACACACCTGATCAGGAAATTAACCATGAAGAAAACGCAACCAGTATGGATGTCGATCATAACATAACCTCTCTAAATTCCAAAGCCGAGATCCCTCTTCGTAAAGGATGGATATTCGCCGCTCTAGACCAAAATATCTACAGGAGCAAAAAAAAACCATCTTCTGATCATCCTTTGTCCCAAACCCTCCCCCGTATTCGCTTAGGTTGCTTCATTCCTAGTGAGGCGAAGCATTCAACCGATGGACAAGATCCAGATCGCCCCGCCTCGCTCACCCAGGGTGGCGTCAATCTGAATGCCGATGAACCTCCGCCTACTGAAGGAAACATTGACCTTTCAGGAGACGCGGACTTGGATCTTGATATGTATCCTGATGCAGATGATAACTCACAAGTCGGAATCGCAGTTTTAGACGACGGAGGCGACGATGGAGAGAGCGAGGAAGACGCTGTCACCGAGGTTGATTTGCCAATCGACGAACTCGCTGACGATGACGCTCATGAAAAACAGGACATAGCTTCATTACCATCGGTCCAAATTGCACAGACTGGCACACCCACGAAATTTGTAACATCTGAAACACTTAGCTCCCTCGAACCTAGACGTTCTCTGCGCAAGCCCGTACATAAGCCTGTCACCCTGACGAACACGCCACGCCGGAATGTGGGTAAAAAAGCAGCAGGAACAGACGCGTCCGTCTCAGCCGCGAATTCGACTACTGCTACCTCTATCACTTCAACACCCATCAATACTGGAAGAAAGAAAGGTTCGCTGGCGGGACGTAGGTCTTCACTGAGAAAAGTCGAAAATCAGGGGACGAAGAAAACTAGAGTCTCCACCACTGCTCCTTCTACTTCGAAAGGAAAAGGAAAAGCAAAGGAGGATGTGGAGATGACTTCGTCTTCTTCATCACTAGTGGGCCATGACTTGAATTCGAATGTAGCGGGAACAGAGTCCATATCAGCAGCTCTGAACAACAGCTTCAAAAGCACCAGGCGTAAATCCCAAACGGAAAAAGTGAAGTCAGCCTCTGTGTCTGGTGTACCTCCGGCCCGCTCGAAAGTATATGTCGACATCGAGAAAACCACCGTCGCCGGAGGTCCACCCGAATCCACTTCGCTCAAATCTGTCAAAGCACCGTCGACTGGACATAACATTTCGACTAACAAATCTAGCGGAAACGGTACTCCAGCAACAACTTCCATTAATGGTTCTTACAACCCGTACTCACACCTCACAACAATGGGTCCACCTCAACAGCTCGCGTCTCAATCCTACTTTCGCACTCCTACTCAAACCTCCAACATCCAGACAATTCGAGATTCCCTTCCATCTATCCAAGCGCTTCCTGCTCAATTGCAAACTTATTTACTCACAGCCCTCGCTACGGGTGTACCAGGAATTTTGCCTCCCGCGCTTGGTGGCAGCTACTCTATGCAGGCAGGTACAGGTGCCGGAACTATAGGAAATGCCGGAGCTGTGGGTAATGCGAGCGTGATACCAAATGTTGATTCTGGAAGTGGTTTCGGGATTCCGGGTCCATTGCTTGCACAGCCCTCAACGTCCGTCTCCTCGTCTGCACTACCAGCGCAGGCTCCTTCATACAATAACTACGCGCCGTTACAATCTGCCTCCGTTCCGCCCATGTCTGCTGCTCCTATCAATCACCCAGCCTCCTTTGCAATTCCTTACTCGCCCACAGCGTCGCTGCCCACCCATGGGCCAGGATCTACTGCTGAATTTTCTGGATCCTCGACACAGAAAAAAGGGAAATCGCAAAAGGCAGCAAAAGCGAGCGCGAAGAAGAACAAGGAGCCATCTACAATGCCAGAGACCGTGAACGGAAACTCGAATCCAGACGCTGAAACTATGCGTGTCGGACCTCCCCGGAAGGCGACCAGGACAAAAACGAACAAGGTACCAGGAATGGGAGAGAAAAAGAGTGAGGTTATGGATGGGAAAGCCCCTGCCTTTGCTTCCTCATCCTCCTCTGCCGTTACGAACATTGAAGCAGCGTCGATGGCTAGTGGATCTGGACTGAACCGCAAGGAGGGTACTGCAAATGAAATACCAGTACCAATCAGTGGAGGTGTGGATGGGGACGGGGACATCGACGCAGAGGGCGAAATTGATTTGGACATCTACGCACCATATTGCGTTGATATCAATAATGCTAATTTTCAAATATGATGTGACGGTTGATATCTAATGGGAATACGTGATCCACGATTGGTGCAATTTTGTCGAGTGTAGGTTACATACTAGATCGAGCGATATATATGACACAGGAGTTACTTCGTAACAAAATAAATTGGTCGACGATTATGTAAATCGAAAAATCTTCATTGACGACAGTGGGATTCGAACCCACGCCACGAATGACTAGATTACAGGGATAACCTGATTCTAGCGCCTTAGACCACTCGGCCATGTCGCCATACAGCTTGTTGCGTATCTCATTTGAATTATTCCACTCGTTGTGTGGGCATGCAACCAAGTAATTCTTTGTCTGCAAATTCTCGAACTTTCTTTCGCATTGCATACATACATTGAAACCCGCTGGACAGTACAAGTGAGAGTAGCGCACGACGTTCCGTTGCAATAGTCTGATCTACTCAAAGCCTACGTCCTCTTCAATCTTCACGTTGCTTTCCCTCCATTCTCTCCTCCGTCTTTCCCCCCGCTTTCCCCCTTCATCCAGCTTGACCAGCTCGATTTTTTTTCACTCCCCCGCAGTCTAGCTTCATCTTTCGCTTGTTGTCTTCTTAGTGCCTCTTCCATAGTTATGTCCTTTTGCCCATCGTCGGAGTCGTTATAGAAATTGCCTCGATTGGGCTTAGACTCCCCAGAATTCGACCTTGCCTCTAAGCTCCTATCTGCGTCTTTCTCAGCTTATGAGCAACTTCATAAGTATCTAGAGATATCGATATAACCAAAACACCCACAGATAGAGGCACCGCAAAACCAACGGAGACAAGGGCTTAAAACAGATAGACACTGATGAAACGCATTTTGGATAAACGGTTGGAAGGGCCTAGAAACAAAAACACCAGTCAACGATGTGCAGAAGGAGAGACGAGTCGAGGCGGACGCACGATACAAAACACAGATAGAGGAACAAGCAGCTTCTGAAATAGAGCAAGCAAATGGCCAGGCTGAAGAGATATCCTTTGGCCAGCAAAGGGGGGAAACCAAGTGAAGAATAATCATGTCCATTCGAGCCACATCTTTTATATGCAAGGATAGTGACGTCCGATATCAAAAGCTCAATGCAACCATTGCTGATACTCGTCACTAATCAAACCGCTTGAGTGAAACACAGTGTAATCAGTGTAGATCACCAATCACCATACGAAAGCACAGTCGGTGGTGCTTAGAGTGCGCGTGGTAATGGAGCAAGAACTTTCGGCTCCCTTCCACAATTCCAGAATCCTTGTAGAGAATGAGCTCTTCTGTGAGATATTGTAAGAACACTCGAACAACAAATGTCAAGACAAATCGCCTCGTGTATACTTCATACGGATTCTGAATGGGCAGAGAATCACGTCATATCAGAATTCCGGGCACAATGCATATTCACAAAAGTTTTCATGAAGACTTCAGACTAAAACTATTCGAATTTGTTGAACTTCGAATAACATCCATCCAGCATCCATCTATCGCATGGCCTGATTACTTGGTATATAGTATTACGTTTCTATGAATACTATCAATGCTCGCGTCGAGGTATGATTCTGATGGAGTTGGTTCCTACCTTTGGGAAAAGTTCTAGCAGATTGAGGGAAAAAACCATCTAGAGTTCCTTCTTGGTCTCAACCCCACTTCCGGCCCTCAACTTTTCGCGTGTAGAGTAAATCATGTCCGTGAACGGTCTGTCAGAAAAGGCAGTGAGATATCAGCAGTTGAACAATAGCATAATCGCGCAAGATAAAAAGTTTGGGGGGTAACAGTGCTCTTGTTCGCGAAGCATGAAAGCGTGGAAAGAGGAAATGATTAGAGTGATGTGTACGCACCCTTCGAATCGCAAGGCAATAACATAGACAATGTAGACATAGAGGGTAATCAAAAGCCCAGCAGGACGTTCATACCTCCAGCTAAAGTTAGAAACGGAACGTCCACATACTAGAGAGCATCAGCACTCACCATAAGGCACCAGCAGCAAAGCACATCGTGCTTCCAACATACATTGGATCTCGCAAAACATTGAAAGGGAAGCTTGAACATTGAGGGTTTTAGTTTGAATTGAGCTTACAAAAAACAAACAACCTACCCCTCAACTTTGGAGTCCATGAGGATTCCAAAGTAATCACCCAGGAAGGTTCCTGTTATACTCAATTGCCAAGTCGAGGTCAGCACGAAGATTTGACCAATAATAGCCAAAGCTGCTGGAACGATAGTGTCCCAAGGTTGGGGGAGGATGGCTTTTTTAGGTTGTTCAATTAGCGCTCGTGTGTACCTTGGACACTGAGGTGAGTAGAGTATAGAAGTGGCTGTATACTACTCACAGAGAGTCCCTCAACATTCCAAACGAAAATATCAGGACCGTGAGGAAGTAACATCCCATACGTGCATTTCCTCTAAATACTTTGCGAGTCAAAGTACGGTTTCGATGTTCTTGAAAAGCAATACGACGTCAGCAGCGTCCAATAAATAGGCAAGCAATGTAGAAAGAACGCGACGGTTCATATCAGAGATGAAAAGTTGGTTATTACTATACTCACCATTTCTGGCAACGATGTTCCACGCAGTCGGATTGAACGCAATTGAGGCTATCGAAATCCACAAAGACCGTTGGGACGCGTCAAACGGAATGTATTTTTGTAGCTGCGATATAGCAGAGTCCATAGACGTGAGATGCTCGTGAAGGAGTTCGTTGAATTTCGTAAGGATAAGTTGTGCCCTTGAACCGACAGGTGAACTGAGTTTCACAGGAAAAATTCGCCAACGTGACGTGTCTTGGAACCGGCCCGATAGTTCCGAGGTTTCCGAGGAACAATTGCCTGCCAAGTGATCTGATTTTGGAAGAGGCAAAGCTGGGTGTATCGATCCCTTTACGGATTTTAATTTTCAAATGCAAAAAAAATTGGTAGAGAATTTGATCTTGATTCTGCGGAATATGTACTCAATCTATCTATCAGGAGTGCGAGATGAGGGGCATCTATTCAATACATCTTTCACCATTATACACAAAGTACACATGAACCTCTCTGTGCATCATGAGAGTCTGTAGAAAAAGACATGTCATGGTCCTTGAAGGAATGTCCAATGTTGAGGGAGTGCTTTGATCATGTATCATTGAAATTTATATTTTACAGGAGAATCTACTCTGGAGCTTTCGAGCCTATTAAAACAGCTGCTCACGGAAATTCCCTATAAGACGTTTCAAGGGCTGCTGTTCTAGGAGATGAACAAAAGAGTATCCAAGCATGACACATGATGTGTGCGAAGTGGCAAAAGCAGCATGACAGAATAGTAGAACAATGGATAAGTCACGGACACCTTCTGGTTTTCTTCAGAACCGAACCGCATCTGTTTCCAGCTAACCACATCCTCGTTGAACGATAATCCAGTACACCCTTCTCTATAAGTTCTTGACGACCCACACTCTCATTCATCCTGAAATTTCTTGATCAACTTTCTACCCTCCTTGACCAGGCGTCGAGCAAAACATTCCTACACTCCCTTGCTTGCACCACATACTCACTCACATTCTCGTTTCTCAATCAACTTCGATCCGGCATCGACACGACAAACTCACTATCCACTCGTTTCGTTTACGCTACAAACAAAATTATGAACAACCCACAATACCCGGAGAACCGGCCGTTTGGAAACATCTGGCCAGGAAACCCAGATGGTGTTGCTGGTTACCCCGCGGTACTATCCAACCCGCAAATTTACAATGGAGGCAAGGCGAACACCTCCGGCGCGACTATTAATCCGATCCCTGTCGCTCCATCACCCGTTGCTGAATCAATTCCACCACCTGTGAGCAGTCAGGGTGCAATGTATGACACGGATCCCAACGAGAGGAAAAGGAAAAAACCTAAAAGGGAAGCCCCCAAAAAGAAGGGTAAAAAACATTCAAAACCTCGCTACCCTCCCAATCCTGATTTTGGCTTCCTGCGGATGGATACATCAGCGCCTTCGACTTCCCCGGAAATTTACCTATTTAACTGGCAAGCTCAAGTAACCGACGGTAATCAAGACTCTCCAGACCTGTAAGATTCTTGTTCCCAGTTGTCTTCCTGACAAGGCTAATATTCCCCTTGTTTTCTTCGTCACGGTGTAGCAATGCCACAGGTCAACAGAGCGGAGATCAAAGCCAGTTGGCGATCGGCCCTGAGGTCCAGCGAAATGACGGTATATAGCCAACAGTTCCAGTCGCTCCAGCCTTTGGTAAACACCAACTACCAGCAAAGCCAAAGCTCGCAGTTCCACCAGGGACAGTACCTTGCCGGTGCTCAGCAAGCTTATGGTCAACCGTTCCACCTGACAGCTCAAGATCGAGTGCGATATGTTGCCCGGTCCGAGAAGGTTGCTAGACTGAAGCAGGCAATGAGGCTACAGCGGTTGAGGCACGAAAAACTGATGATCGCATACCGACGGTATCTAGCTTTCCATCGACAGCAGCAGCACCAACTCGCTCCCACTGTGCCGCAAATATGGTATCAGCCATACCAAAATCTGAACGGGACGTATCAACAGTCCGGGGTTCCTTCGTATCAAGGCGAAATGCCTTCCGCGCAGATTGAGACTCCGGGGTCGTCTTATTTTCAACCATCGCATCAGAGTTTCGCAGCATCCTCTTCCACCTCGACTACCTTGTATTCTGCTCCTACTCTCGACTCTACGACTCCGAACTCAAATTCACGAGATTTCTGGTCTCAGAACGGTATGATGCTAGACTCGGACAGGGGAGTCCAGGCAGTTCCTGCCCAGCAGCAAGAGCAAGAACATGGTGTACAACAGCCTCAGCCCCAGTTCATTCCTCAATCCGCCACCTTCGACTTTACGTTCCAATCTCAGGACATCCAGGGTATTAGAGACGTCCATTCACGGGTTGAGCAAGCGATGGCAATGCAGAGTGAGAATGGTCAAGAGGTCGACATTGGGGATGAGAGCGATGATGAATCCCTGTTTGGGGGCGAAGGCGGATACGGAGAAGAAGAAGAAGGGTTCGCATTGCCTGGTTCTAAGGATGCAACCGTTCTGATACCGACAGTAAATGGGATTGAAGTGGGAGATGATGATGACTTTCTCTGCGCCGCTTTCTCAACGGATGAACCGGCGCCGGGACTGCCGCCTGCTGCTATCATTCGGGCGAAACCCAAGTTAACCAAGGCAGCCTCGATATTCGACTTGGAGGCCGAACTCCAGAAGAATTACGACTTGTTGAAGTCCCCTTCGCCTTCTCCTGCCAGCATGCCTGCGAGTAAACTTTCGAAAAGCCCTGCCGGCTCCACCAAGCGGAAGACTAAAAAACGAGGAACAAGCGAAAAGAAACCAGCCCATGAAACGATTCCCCAATCGAGTGGCTCGTCCATACTTGGTAAACATCCTCGAGAAATGACAAACTCTGAGCTCGATGACCCGAATTTAGTATGGATCCATCCAGACGAACTTTCCGTAGAACTAATAAGGAGACACTATGGCGTTCAATTGATTAAGGTCCCGGATTGTCCCTCTGGCGTTGTTTGTTGTTTACCCCCACTCCAATATACGCACGATGATCAAGGACAGGTGGTCAACGTCGTCGAGGAGGATACCACGGAGACTATGTCGATCACCTCCAAACGAAAAATCTGCTCGTTCGCAATAGACACTGCAACGCCTGTGGAGGTCGAGCTACACTTCCACTGCCATCGAATTGCGACCGAGAACAAGATGAGGGCTTTTCATGCTGCTGGATTACATAGCACGTATCAGTGCATGTGGCACTACGACGAACGGGATAAAACTGAAATCCAAGGACGAGCGCGGGGATTCCGCCGGGGAATCTTCTGCCACGAGGTATCCTTCACCAAAAGCAGCTCGTTCAACACGTATGGCGCGCTGGCTCGACACTGGAACACACATGCAGCACACAAGTTGTTGCAGCGATTCTGTCCGCTACTAGGATGCAATGAGGTTATTTCGACAGAAGGGAGGAGTGGATTGGGGGAACATATGAGAGAGTGTCATACTCAGTATATGTCGGGGTATTATTTCTAGAAATGCAAAGGAAAGACGGCGGACATTCGTCCGGGCATTGGCCTATGTGTAGAGTAATAGATTAGTCCAAAGTAGAGTAGCAATGAGATTGAATCAAATCATGAATTTTCCTCGTTAGGTGCTCTTCCAAATTAGGCAAGGGCGCTCCCACAGTCACAGCCTGAGCCCTCCTTCGACTTGAAAAGTTTCGAATTCCTTGCAAATTTTTTTCCTCGATGGTGAGATTTCAATATTCAATCCCTCTACCCGTATCCCTTTGATGAACAAAGCCAACAGCATTCAGCTTCCTCGACTATGCCGCCACCTACCGGATTTCAACTTCGAACAAATGTTGACTTTGCAAGCGTACGCCAAAAATTACGTTCAGAATATGGCGCTACAATCCAGTCTGACGGAGAACTATCTCAATCAATCGCTGAAATTGACAAGGACCTCGAGGCCTGCAGCATCGAAATTCATCATCTGCAATCTAGCGTTATCTTTTTACAAAATCAACATCGACGTTTAGAGAACTATAGAACTTGTCTGCGCTCTCTCAAATCGCCTATCCGGAAACTTCCCAACGAAGTCATGCTCCGTATCTTCGACTACGCATGCGATATGAACGATGTCTTCGCAAATAACATCGAGGCCATGCCCGCTTCATCCATCAGCAGCGTGTGTGCTCGCTGGCGAAATCTCGCTAGATCTCAACCTATTTTATGGTCTCGCATACGCATAGAAATGGAGAAAGTTACTTCCAATTTTCCCATTTTCAATCTATATCTCGGCCTCTCTCAAAATTCGCCTCTTGACATTGTGATCACCGGTAAATGGCCGAAGAATTCCTTAGAGCTTTATCATATCGAGCTATGTCAAGCACTTGCTGATCGCACTAATTTATGGCGAGTCTTCCGTGTACAACGAGTAGAGATGTCTATTGTCTTGTACCAGATATTCGTAGATGGTGAGCAGCCTCGATTCGAATTGTTGGAGGACCTCGCGCTTCCAAAAATCATCGTTTGCCATCAATCGATCCTTAAACATTATGAGAATGCGCCAGCTCTGCGCAGTCTAAACATCAGGACACTTGCTCCGATCGATAGCATTACTTCTTCCCACTTTCCATGGAGGAAAATTGTCGCGTTCAGCTCTGCCCATTTCCCAGACAGTGTAGGAACCCTGTTCAACCTGTGTAGAGACCTGAAAGAGTTACATCTTGGTGAAGTACATGAGATACCTAGTCACCCGTGTCCCTCTCCCGTTACAGTGTCTTCCCTCGAAAAGTTGTCGTTATCACTTAACCGAACTCAGCCTGATCCGGAGAGTCTGGCAAACATTGTTTTCTCCTCATTAACGTGCCCTTCCTTAACTTCTCTTTCACTCGAAGATACGAGTGGTTATGGACGCCCATTTCTGATGGAGAATCTACACACTTTTATATCTCGTTCGTCATTTCACCTCGCGACACTATCTATCAAATTCATTTCATTCAGTGATCTCAACCTGATTGACCTTCTATGCTGTCTTCCCTCTCTCCTTCATATCATCCTATCCGACCCGGTATCCATTCAAGATTGTGATAATCCCATCACCCCAAGGCTTTTACAACGTATGCACGCCTACCCTTGCATGAACCCTGCTACCGTCTCTCCTGTGTTAGTCCCCAACATGCAAAGCCTTTCGCTGACATGTAACGGGTCTGTAGGCTTCAGTGATAAAGACTTTACTGATATGGTATCTTCACGGTGGTCCCCTGACTCCTATTTTGCCGCGTACGGGATGGAGACCTCAGATGATCCATTCAGCAAATCTGAAGGGGAGACAGCCTGTTTACGTTCAGTGGTGTTATGCTTTACCAATCGAGTGGTAGACATGGAGCTCTATAGGCCGTTGAAACATCTAGAAGAAGCTGGTATGAAGGTTGTTGTTACTGGGAAAAGTTAGCCTACATACGAATGCTTACTGGAATCTCATGTCTCATTTGGTAGTGGTCAAAGCGAATTCAAACGAAATTCTATCGTTGATTAAAGCAGCTTGAGAGCTATGCGCATTATAAACGGATTGAGCTTTCCCCAGCATCCATAGTTCTGAAGTAGCTCGCCATGGGAAACCCCACATACATACGTGAAATGTAGATCAAGCTCTCAAATCTCCTCCGTTTTGACCTTCACCGTGCCGTTGCCGGATTAGGTGATCTTAGAAAAGCAAATCGCATGGTTCATCATCTAGTTCACGAATGACAGTCCTTTTAGCCAACTCCTGGTTCCCCCAAAGAGAAGAGCGTTGTCCGAGACACGTCAATCATTGTCAGTCGGCTCTTCTTCCCTCTGTGTTTCCCTCTTCGATATCCGAACCTCCCAGTCAACAGTACTCTGCATCAGCACAGCCGCGATTATATTCATAGATAGGACTAGTACTCCTTGAGTCTATCCAGAGGTACTTGCGTATTCACGACAAAATCAGAAGCGTGCTCTGTTCCAGGCTGCGAATCGCGTTCCGTGAGAGGAAGGTCGTGAAGTGACACTTCGTACAAGACCACTCCATCCCTTTGCTAGATACATATGCGACCAACTCAGAGCATCTAATAAGAGGGATCAGGAAATTACTTGGAAGAGATAACCAATCTGGTAAGAGAGACGGAGTTGTGAGCTGGGATTTTGAGATATTTGTATTGAGGCGAGAAACGCTGCAGATAGAAGTTTTGATTCAATATGTAATCAGAACCTCGAAAATAACATGCAGATTATATTCTGTTCGCTCTTTTTCTAGCCTACCCATTTAGATGTATAAGTTATCTAACAGAAATCGGAGATTCACAGAACATACTAACTCCCTACCTGATCCTTTTTGCTGAAGTGCTGATCTTTATGTCCTAGTGAGATGAAAGAGTAAGCGCCGTGCGGTCCAGTCTGCGATACCTCTCGACAACTCCATTTACCCCCCTGCTCCTCAACTCGATCGTTGACATGATAGGTAATCCAAAGCATCTCCGATGATCCCGTCTTTACTGTACTGAAGTGACAGAACTCGTTCCAACATACTACGTAGGAAATGATCCCAAAGTGAACAGCATCTGTTTCTGCTTTCCTTTACCCTTCCCTTTGTTGTGAACTTGACTCTTCTTCCCGGTCGCACTCAACCCCTCTCCAACTTCTACTTCTGTGGGCTCAACCAACTCTTCCACTTCATTGGGACCAGGTGTCGTAACGGGTGTAGCCGATCCCGATCCAGGCGCAGGCAACGCACCAGTACCATTCAAGCCGTTTCCACCAGAAGCGCCCCACTTCGACGTTGGGACTTCCTTCGTGGAACCCAATATATTCCTCAACGACACGTTCCCTTTCACCTGCACCTTCTCACGCTTATTCTCAGAAGTGGGGAGACCTGGGAATGCAGCTGTGCTCAATTTTGGAGGGGGCGTGCCATTGGTCCTTGTCTTTGATGTTATGGATGAGGCAGGGACCGAAAACGGGCGTAATGGCGCGGGGGAAGAGGATGAAGCTGAGGATGATAGACCAGGGAATGCAGATGTTGCACTAGGATTAACAGCACCAGAGGTGGTGGACCCAGAACCGGCCCAAGGAGTTTTTCGTGATCCTGTGGGTGCTTTGGATGAGCCAACTCCACCACCTCCAAGCGGTGGAAACTTGTCGGCAGTCTTTGCGTTTACAGCCGCCAAAGAACCGGGAACGAGAGAACCCGAAGGACCTGCAGCATTTGGTAATCGAGCTCCAGAGCTCGAATTGGCTGCTTGTGCAACACGATCCCATACTCTTCTGGTGGAAGAACCACCTCGGTTAGAAGAAGTATGAGTAGAATGTTTCGCGTTGAGGACACGTCCAGAGGTGATAGCTGCATAACCTCCGGTCGACGAAGATGCTGTTGCTGAGGCAATGAGGTCCGGGAATTGACGACGTTGCTGTGTTAAAGCAGGCAAGTATCAGTGAAAGAATAAATGCAAGGAATCAAAGTCTTGCTTCACCTCGATTTCAAATCCTTTCCACTCTCTCAGTAGTTCTAAACTCTTCTTGTCTTTCTCCTCTATACCATCCCTATCTTCATCCTCTTCAAGCAGATCCACAAACGAATTGATCACCCTTGCGGTAGGTTCCAATCCTTCCGTACCGCTTTTTCCCGAACCTTTATTTTGTGAAGCATCCAACACATTCCATACGATTCCGATGAGATCCCGCGCAGTGCTTTCGCCGGCTCTGTAGCCCCGCGCGGCAGCTTTAACAGCTGTCAACGCGCTGGATGGATTTGGAGCGAGATTGGAGAGGAGCGTGAGGAACGCACTGTGGCGACTGGAAACAGGATTGTGAATACAAAATTAAACATCCAAAAAGCAGGACGAATAACATACTCTGCTACAGCGGGATCCACAAATGTGTCTTCCCTATCTGCATTCGCGGTGGGTGATGAACGCCGACTAATTCCTAGTCCGGGTCCAATGTTTACGGGTGCAGGACTGCTTGTTGTTGGGGTCGCATCTGTTCATAAAACATCGAAGACGACTTAATGATGATGTTGATCAAATGTTTAAATTCAACCCACCTCCACTAGTTAAAGCCCCGCCAAACGCCTGTCTTCTTCTACTTTGATTTTGAGAGGGAGCTGGAGGCGGTAACGGAGGTGGCTGCTGTCTTGGTGGTGGATCCCTATTATTCCTGCTCCCAATATCTCTTCCTCCACCAGCCCCACTTGCAAACTCAATTCCGACGACCTTTCTACTGGCACCATGTTCATCTACCATGTGTGCTTGTAGATCTAAGGCGCTGCCAAACACGACAAATTTGCGTTGTAAGCATTCGGGATGCGTGCATGCATAATGTGCAGTGGAAAAGTGAGATTCAAGATCAGGATAAGCTGCGAAACTAAAAAAAAGGAATTAACGTGTGTGGTTAGCAGTAATAATGATAACAGTGGATAAGTCGGATATTCGGATACTTACTAATTGTCTCTTACCCCTTCCCTCTTACAGACGAAACACTCTTCGTGCCGTTCCCGCATGTGAGCGTAGAGCTCGTCCTCACTGAAGAAGCATTCTCGGCAAAATTCGCACAAGGGGTGAATCCCACCTTCTGGTGGGTTCAAAGTAGCATTAGATTTCTTGCCTATCGATCGAACATTATCAATTGAGATATCACTTGAGGTAAGGTGAAAAACTGACCGGGACGCTGCCTACCGCTGTAATCCATGGAAGGTAGATGGACTCGGAGCTGCTGATAGGTGTATAACACATGCTCATGTGCAAATACCTTTTTGCTCCGGATGCACAGCTCGCACATCAACCTGCCATGGCTTGCTCGAACATGCATCTTCAGATCGCCCCATCCTTTGGCGATGTAGTCACATTCATTGTCTGGACAGTTAAAGCGCAAAAGAATAAGCGACTCTGTCATCATCTCCTGCGTTTCGAATGCGACTCTAAGTTTCGGATCGTAAAATTTTGGTGAAGAACCATCAATCGACGAAGAAAGTTCGTCGGAATATTCAGCAAAAGGCTTATCAGCTGAAGTTGTGAAGATTACATCTTGTTGAGGTTCCTATGCGCATGAAAGATATCGATTAGCTTCATCAAAAAGATGCTAATGGCAATTTGACCGACGTACCTTACAGAATGTGCAGACATCCTTCTTGTAAAGTGCCCTGAGCCTCAACGCACAAACGTGACACGTGCGGTGATTGCACGCAGAAAGTGAGTAGTATATTACGGGCTCAGCGCAGATCCAGCAGACATCACTTTCAGAATCTACGTCGTCGGCAGCAGCAGCGACAACACGGGTCGTATCTTCCACCAAGTTTGTTTTCTCTCTGCTCTCCTTAGCCCCGGAGTCCTGATTCTTGATGACCTTGGTTTCCCTTCCATTATTAATCTCTCGTCCTCCTCGTCCACCACGTCCTCTTCCTTTATTTCCTTGAGCTTTTCCGCCTCTGCTTCCTCGGTGCTGATGTTCACGACTCTGTGGCTGAGATGAAGCCGTCTGTTGAGCATTGGTGGAGGTAACTACGGAAGACATTGTTGTTGTATTGAGAGCTGAGGAAAGAAAAATCGATGGTAATCAGCCGCCCGCGCAAAGTTCGGTCCCGTTTCGGTACAAACGGATCGCGCTCTCCGATCCGAAAATTCCAACTAGGCCCAAAAGGCAGTGTCAAAGCGCATTATAGCAGGCCAGAAGAATAATCACACTCGACTGTGTACAAAATCATTAATGGGCGCAGACAAGCCTTCTATAAATGATCCAAAGTAAAGCGCATAGGACTCTGCTTTTTTATGGACCTTGTTTTCAAAGGGCGATCTAGAGAATACCAATGAAGCTCAATTATCGGTAGACCTATCCCCTCAGATTTGCGATTTTCATAGGCACTTCAATTGATTTGACAGAATCACCATAGCTTAACGGCCGGAAAGGGCACATTTTCATTGTTCGGACATTATGTTCTTCATTAGCATAGGCCCAAGCAGTCCTAAACAAATTCAGCCATGAGCATTAGTGTCACCAGGCGGTCAAATAAAAAAATCCCGGTACAAGAAGGGCCATAATCTCGACGGGCCACAGTATTACCTAAAAGAGTGATTGTGATTGTGAAGGTTTCGGTAACTATCTTCATTGTACTGCAACTGTTTGCGCGTTATGTACGCGTTCAAGTGGTAATTTCCAGGGAATCGGAGTATAAAGAGGTCGGCATCATCTGGATGTTCAACTTGGGATTTAAACCAAGACAGACTGCGTCTGCATACCAGCGATTTTCTTCTACGACTAGATCGGACTTGCATCTTGTATCACCATCTGTGTACATTCCTCATCACAATTATTCCAATGGACTCGGACTGGAATACTGATCATTTTGTTGTACCCTCAAACATCGCGGCTGGAACCGATACACAAGTGATGTCAATGGAGAGTGATCACTGGTTCATGTCAGTCATGGAGCCTCAAATGTTATAATTTATTGACTCGCTCGAATTATAGCCCCCAGGACTTGAAACAGCGCGGGCCCGCTGTCCATGAACAACAACAAGATGTCTCACTTCCCAAGCTTGGAATCTTCGAAGAGTTAGGCGCCCCTGTACTTTCCGCGGAAGATAGGCAGGCCTACGATCTACAATATTTCCCCCTCTTCGATTCGAGTGCGCACTCCATCCTTGCTGTAGATTCAGCTTCCTCAACCCCAGTTGTATCCCCGACCACGACATACAACTCCTACACGCCTTTGGGTAGTCAAAGCCCTGCATCTACCAAAGCAGTAGGATTTAATCAATATTATACACCTCCAAACGCGGTGAACGGAATACAATACGGGCCCGGGGTGAACCATCATGCGTATCATGGGTACGGTGGATTGAACTACCCTGCCCTCAATTTAGGAGCTCTACCAGAACTCTCCGGGTTCAATGATGTTGACAGAATGGAGGCTCAAGGTGAAGCTACCTTCGACGCGTCCGATAGCTCCGCCGTTGATCTGCCCAACGCCATGACGCTCCCAGATATTCTTTCCGTGCAAGCTCATCCTATGGAACGCATCGAAGGATCTCCGAACCACAACATTCTCGTTCCTTACCCTTTTGATGATCTGCCTAGCGGAAGATCCCTCGATTTGGGCTTCAGCTACAACCCTACCCAATATCAAGATCATACATCTTACCCTTGTGCACCGGAAAATCGAATCAGTGTCGCTATAGCCTCCACGTCCACTGCGGCCCAGCTGCCCCAGATGATTCAGCTTCCAGGAGCTCCTCAATTCCCTTCCCTGACCCGTCTTTTAGATCAGCAGAACGAGGGATTTATTCACCGGTCTGATGCGCAGAACGTAGGATCTTACTCATCCCCCACTCTCGCAACATTTGGTAGATTCGGAGTTCCTCAGCAACCACCGAAACGCGTTCATTCCACCCTCGACGACGACTACGAGGATATCGCCGTTCAGCCTGCGGGACCTTCAAAGGGTACCAAATCCAATAACAGTGTTAGAAACCCTTCTTCTGAGGGACCCGATCTCGGAACAAAACGTCGCAGACTGCAACCGCCTAAAGCAGCACTCCAAGCTGTCCAACCTATCCTCGCCTCCGCGATCTGCCGAATCTTGGACGAACATGGACGCGAATGCGGAACCAACCTGACCCCAGAAAATGTGAACGGGCATATTCAGGGACATGTTGATCGTTTGAAGCCTGTTCCAGCGAAAGGAAAGCAAGCTAATTCGGCTCACCGGGAAAAGCTACGATTGGCTTGTGCATGGAACATGGGGGAGGAAGGGCAGCAGGTGATATCTTGCACGACGATGGTTGCGGATATCAGAGGGTTGAAACGACATTTCCACACGCATCACAAGATCAAGGTCCTCTGTCCGATTTCAGGCTGCACGAGAGGGCCGATGGCTAGAGGAAGGCCGGAGCAAGTGAAGAAACACATGGAACTCGCGCATCACATTAATTTTCTTGAAGGAAAGCACCGCCCGAAACCAGATGCTGAGGAATACACCTGGGAAGAAGTGTCTTATCTGGCCGGTGAGGCTCAGCTGGGGGTGTTGGGATTGTTGTAGTAGGTTGTGAATTTTCGATGAACGACTCTGGCAGGACTTCAGTACCACCTTCATTCTTTTTTGATGACTTGCATTGCGTCTTATAATAATAAAATTAGCATATCTTCCCCTTCATTAACATTATCATCTTGTAATCTTCTTCAACATTGTGTATATTAACCACGCATTCTGGTTACCGTTGTTTCATACGTACACGTTCTTTACGCATTATCACTCGTTGCCTGGACAGGCGCAGCTGCACTTCTTACCTAGTTTCCTATACCCTAACCTTACCCTCCCTAGGTCAGTCTTGGGTCAGTCAGTATTCGAAGAAGAAATGTGACAAATGGCGGTGATCGTGTGAATACTCAACGAAATTTGAGGACGTATCAGCGATAGACAACAGAATCAAATGTAATGAGAGTAGTACGTAGATATTTAGGTTAAAGATACAGAGCATGACTTGGAACGATACATAGCTACCCTCCAAATAAAACCAAGGAAGATAGTTCAGTTCAGATGAGAAAGAGGATAGACAGAAGAAATTCGATAACTATAATAACTAGTCTTCAGCCAGTCTCATCATCCTCTAACAGAATCCAGGTATAACGAGGTATATCCAGGTATAGCTAGACGTGAATTAGGGTATGTTGATAAGCCAACGTACGTTTTACAGCCGTTTCAACGCCTTCTTCCTCTTCTCCGCATTCGTGGCACCACCGCCAGTGGCAGCTCGTTTGACAGCCTTTGGACCATGTGAAGCAGTAGTAGAGACCAAGCTCATCTTGTTCTTATCTACCACCGTTGCACTAGCTTTAAATTTATCGTTCTCGATATTCGCGTCTGCCGTGGAAAGTGGAGACGGAGAAGGATGTCGTTCCTTATTGGAAACCAGGCTTTCCTTGTTGGAGGATGGAGATGGTGTGAGAGGAATTGATAAGGCAGTGGCGGATGGTGGTGACGGATGTGATTGAGATTGGGGCTTCGAGGTGACGATGATAGGAAGAGAGGACTGTGATGATGGAGAAGGTGTCTGTGTAAAGGGCGTGGGCACGCAAGAGGACGAGGTGGGAACTGAGGGCCCTGCCTCAGACGGATCCTCGCCGGATATAGACGAGCTAAGAAACTCGACAGGCTTTGTGCGAGGCGTGGCATGCACATTTGTGATTAACTTTGCCCTCGACGCATAAGCCTGATAATCCTCCAAAAGCAGCTTGCCTGCCTCCTCGTCCAGCGCAGACTCCGGATTAGGATAAATCAGCAGACACTTCACTGTGACCAAGATATGGCCAATCCCATACGTCGATTTCCAATCCTTCTTGAGCGTGTTCACGCAAATTTCTCCTGAATTGGAGACGTTGGGATGGAATATTTTGGTCGCAAACGTGCACTTTGGTGGGGCAGCGGGGAATTCTTCGGTAAATCTGAACTTGACTTTGAAGTATCCGCCTGCATACGGAGTTCCCTCTGGAAGATGAGCAAAGTCAGTGGAACGTACGCGAAGCCTGCCCTGCGGGAGTCAAAGTAGAGTCCAACTTACCGGGACCTTCGATAATGCCTATCACATCCAGAATATTATCTTCGCTAGTTTGTACGCGAATCCCTTCCGGTGGTGACTTTTTGAGCTCAGACAGTTCCCTCATAAGGCGGCGGAGAGCAGCGGGTGAAACAGACTGCTCATCATTAATTATTTTGGTTGAGTGGATTGTGAAATATTACGCACCATTCTCGTATTAGAGGTATGATGAGGCAGGAGGTACCCGAGGTTATCGACTCTAGTCGACGCAGACAGGTAAAAGACAAAGTTCAAGTTGAACTTGGACAACGTCTTTCAACTTAATTTCTAAACACTGCCACAACAGTGCCACGTGCGGTGGCACTGTCTACGCACGGACCACTGATCAATTAACTTTGGCGGATATACCATTTTATTTCCATGCTTTAAAGTTTATTGTAAGCACTTTCAATTTTTACTGATACATAGCACATTCGCCTTTCAGACCTTCAAGCTTCAACACCCTTGATTGGACACCTCCAATAAGCTGTGGGGTGTCTATTTTTGAACTTTTGGATTATCATCCCACGCACACATTATGATTGTCATCGATATCGATTTTCATTATGACTCAAAAATAACACTTACTCCTGACTGAAATCTCAAAACATGGGATTAGATTTAGAGCTACAGGATATCCACGTTCTGGTCACAGGTATTCTCTCTGCAATCAGTGCAATGTGTATACTCACAAGCAACAAACAAAGGTGCGAGCGGCGGTATCGGGTTGGAAACTGTAAAGCTCTTTCTCGGTATGAACAAAATTCCAAGACCTTGCGCACATCTAATATCTCTCCCATAGAACAAGGCGCGAAAGTAACAGCACACTATAACTCCAACTCAACTTCCCTTCATTCACTCGAGTCTCAATTTTCTTCGAAGCAATTATTCGCTGCTCAAGCCGAACTCACCTCCGAATCTTCCGTTGAATTAGTCTTCGCATCCGCTCAAGCCCATTTTGGCCTTCCTGTACAAATTCTTGTTGTCAATCATGGAATTTGGCCTCCGCAAGACACGCCTATATGGGAAATGGAGCTAGAACAATGGAAACGCACTATCGACGTCAATCTCACTGCGAGTTTTTTAGTGACGAAGCATTTCCTGAGATGCTTGACAAAGGCGGATGTAAAAGATGAAGAGAAGCAGAAGGCGAATATTGTGTTTGTCGGGAGTACGGCGGGAAGATTCGGGGAAAAGGGACATTCGGATTACGCTGCGTCTAAGAGTGGTATGTATATCAACTTCTTCGGGTAATACCACTGATGTATCATTGTTTATAGCCCTAATGTATGGATTGACCCTCACCCTTAAGAACGAAATCGTCAAAATTGCACCCCAAGGCCGCGTAAATTGTGTTGCGCCAGGTTGGGTACGAACACCTTTGGCTGAAGACGCGTTGCGTGACCCAGATGTAGTTTATCGTGCACTAGCAACGTGCGTTTATTTTTCCTTTTACCCTCTCTCCGTTTCTATGGAATAATCTATTTGCCCAGCACCCCGCTCAAGAAGATCGCAACTACCTACGATACCGCAATGCAAGTTGTGTTGTTGAGTTCAACGAAAGTGTCGGGGCATGTGACTGGACAGATCGTCAATGTTGCTGGCGGTATGGAGGGTGGGTCATTTCATTTCATTTCGTCTTTCTCTTCAATGTTGAAATGCTTTCGACAGGACGCTTGCTGAACAAAGCAGACGATATTTAGTGGAAACGATCGCCATTTTCTATCTTAGTGACGGTAGAGGTAGAGGGCGGTCCGCCGCTTGCCAGATTGGAAGGGGGGAGTGATCCTGGGTGATCCTGGACATTCCTCTGATGCCCGAGGAATATATTTATCTGAACGATGGGTACTGATTGGGGCAGGGACAATTCGTAGGTGGTTATCGCGATGATCAACATAACGATGCCCCTTCTTCTACCGAGTGTCATTCTACTATATGATGTTCTCAGATTATGAATATCATAGCTGCGGGGCTGTTTCAAAATGAAGATTGGATGGAGAGCTAAGAACACCCACAAATCGTACAGTACAGTAAGTGTTACAAACAAGTTCTCATCAAAATAGAGCCTTTGAAATCTTTTAACATTTTCAACAGTGTTCCTTGAACCAAGGATGATTAACGACCTCTCGTATACCAATTCTATCCCCTGGGCGATACCTCAGCATTTTCTCTAAGAGATCCATCCAAAGCTTGACTTCTTTTTCGTCCATGTTCTCCTCTATCTTGTCACTTTTTTCGCACATCGGTCCTGGATCAGCCGGTCCATTTCGTCTTTTCTCTATGAAATCCATCAAGCGCTCAAGTTCTTTTACATCCAGCTCCAGTCATGACTAAGTTCCGAGTTATCAGCCCTTGAGCTGGGATCTAATCCCGTGTATCCACTGATAGGTCTATCGAATCTATCTTTGTCTTGATTTCCTCGAACATTGTAGACGCCGGGGTCTCATCGATCTCATTCTTTGTAACCGCGTAACCGCTCTCGAATAGGTGTCGCCTTTTTGCCTTGTTTCGGCCGTCCGTTTCCTCAAAGGATATTTCTCTACCTTTGAAAGCATTCTACCATGGATCAGGCGGTCTTCCCAGCGTTGCGACTGCTTGTGAGAGAATATATGAATCGGCGGAAAAGAAATAATCAAAGAGCGGTCGCCCCGTCCTGATGATTTCGAAAGTAGCACATCCTAATTGCCACACATCTGCCTCAGGCCCTACTCGCTTTTCGAAACGAGTTTCTGGTGACATATAGTCCACCAGAGTCGCGGGTTCGTAGCTCTTGGGAGGGTCAGGAGCACGGTATGACTGCCCGAAGTCAATGACAATGATGTTTTCCTTAAGTATGTTGGCAAAGGCGTCATGGCCAATAGCTTCTACAAGTTCTGAAGGTGCATGAGGTCCCACAAGCTGTCCACTGCACGTTCTGACCTCATCCATTATCGGAGACCCAAAATACGTGTAAACTTTGTTATCTGACCATTTCATGACCTTGTCTTTCAAACGAAAGAGATTTGAGGTAGTGAAGTCTGAGAACTAATCGTGAGCTTCTACGTAAGGATAAGCCTTGTGGATATTGCACTAACCCCCATGGACAAAGCCTGCACGATGTATATGCTCCATTGCGCAAGCGGCTTGTGCTGCGATCTTCCTAGCCAAAGCTGCACGTAGCCGTGGTCTATCGGGTCTATACAACATGGCTTGAATACTAGGTCCAGAGAATGCGGAGACGAGGAAGTCATGACTACCGTTGGGCCCGTCCACGACAAAATGGTCCTCAATAGTTCTCAGATATGCATCGGGAAGTCCGGTCCGTTGAAGCAACTTTGGAATAACCAAGTCGGGAGAATCAGCATTTGAAGCGTCTGCTCGTAAGACCTTGAGTGTCACTAGTTTACCAGATCCTTGCACTGTCGATGTCGAGCTAGCCAAATAGTAGATGATCGACCAATCCAAGTTTGTGTATAATCCCATAGCGCCCGTTGGCAAGTTCGTCGCCAATATACATAGGATGGAAACCCCCAGGTCGGTAATCCTCGGCATCCTCGACCTCGTCAAGTTCAAGTTGAGAGGGAATGAAACGACGTTCGGATATTGTGTGATTACACCGTAGCGCGAAAGGAATTAGATGGTTGAAACAGATTGCACGTGAAGAGCTACGTGAAGGAACCCGAATCATCATGCAAAAGCTCGTAAGATCGAGATATTTCCGGAGACGCGCTCTGTACGGTTTCTTGTTCTGTGCACGTTGATTCCCCGAAGCAAACCCAGTGGGATTGAAGCCAGGAATGGAATTTGGAAAACGGCGAGAAGAGAAACTCGACTTACCACGTGAGCTTCGACTTTGTCTTTATTCATCACAGGGCAGTCTACGTACCAGGCTACCTCGAACGACAACAACCAGGAGTAGACTCAATGTGGACTCCAATTTGGAAGCTGGCAATTTAAGTGATGGGTATTTCGATGTTGTCTCGAAAGTCTGAAGGGACCTCGAAGAATTTGGATCCACTAGCCTCGATAACGGCTAGAAACACACTCTAATCGAATCTTGGCTCTTAGAGCGACTCTTACTCCGGAGCAGGATTGAGGACGTCATGGATTGGCTATAAATAATAAATACAATTCTGACGCAAACGGACATGGTGGCTTAATGCGTGAAGCTGAGACGGAGCTGAGAATACGTGGACGAACGAGCACCGATTCAAATGGCTTTGTCGTATGACTTGGGTGTTGCGTGGAGCAAGGGAAGTACCGACAGTGGCGGGTGCTCTTATTTTAACACACATAGCAAAATCAAGTTACTTCAGTAATACTGACAACAACTATGGTGCAGCATGGTGCTCAGGATGACTTTAGCTACAGGGTTCGGTACAAAAATTTCCGTTGCACCATGTACTATGGTTCACAGGGTACTTCCGATTTCTTGAATATTGCGAATAACGTCTTAAATTTTTGAGTAAATAAAAATCTGAGTAGACAGTCTTATTTAGAATCATGTTAAGCTTGTCTTTTGTCTTACATGTTAAAGCAGATAAGGCATAAACAGAGCGTCGGACCATGACCGAGGAAAAACAGGGTACTTCCGCATCTTGGGTCACACTGAGTCACATCAATGCCGCTGCTCGGCACTCTGGCACACTTGGCCATTTGATGCTGGGTTGAGGCAGAACTTGTGTTGATCACGCTTTTGGAGAGTGTCAGAGGTTTGCCGAGGCTACGGCATGAAGCCGGAATCAAATATTGTCACATCGCATACCCTCTTCACTTTATCTGCTTGTCGAATCTCTACAACATGTTGGATTGCTTTTAAATTTGCTATGCTAGCTGATGAGAGCCTCTATTTAATGCCCATGTCATTTTTACAGTTATCTACCAGCTCTTCGTACGGTTCCTGAGGCTTCAATCTAAAGTCACGCTTGTATATTACAGTATTTTGGTCTTGTACATATGCATCCCCTGAATACAATCTATTTCATATAGTACAGTATGTTTATAGAGAACCTAGAAAGTACTACATAAAAAGTCTGAGAGCATTTATCGACCTAAAACGTTCAAAATATGAGATTTTCGAAAATGCGGAAGTACCCTGTTTACGGAAGTACCCTGTGAACCATAGTAGTACCGTAAGTGTGCTTCTTCATATTCGACTGTTCATTTCCCTTTATAGTCCTTCAGTAACACAGGCTTCACCGGCAGGCTTTCCACTACCTTTGTGAAGGTGGATCTTATTGAAGTTATCAATAAAACTTTCAAAGCCGGAAATGACATCCTAATATCACGCTAGATCTATAGATGCAGTACCTCCTCAACAGGCGAACTGCTATCGATTCTGCAAGGTTTACCTACGTATTCCTTCATTTTGTCTAGACGCACTTGGATCCATCCGTATGAGACGTTGTTACCCGGGGGTCGGGACGACCGCAAGGTACAACGACAGTGATTGTCATACTTAGTGATGTTCTTTAGCCTATCCTTGAACTTGCAATAAAAGTCGAGGAACGACACCGGGCGCGCTCGCGCGTCGTCATGTCGATTGGGTATGTACTTCTAGACAACGAATAAATGTGAAGGAAGGCTACTACGAAAACTACTACGCATACAAAAGGACACAATTCTAAGCATAATCGATGGGTGAAGATATATGTGCAAAGAAACTGATGTGTGACTGGCTACATTACGAGTCTTGCGCAGGGTTTGAAATGTGATCTGCGATGGATAGTGCATGAATGGAAAACTAGGTAGTTGTGCGTGCATGGTGCATGCGAACTGGGTTGTTAGATAATAGTACAAATGCATCTACGGGGGCTGGATTCTATACACAAGATAGGATGCTCATCGATGTGATGGATTGGCAGTGGCAAAAAAAAAATTACTGCGTGACAATGAAGTCTAGAGGTCATCAAAGAGGCTTTTGGGGTCCATGCCTTCGAAGCTGATCTTGTAGACCTTGGTGAAAAGAGGATAGCCTTCCGTACGTCCTCGGGCATGCAAAAATTGGTATGTCTCTTCGGCAGTGGCTACTCCTTGCAGCTTCTGTCCCTTCAAGAGTTCGTGTTCAAGTTGGGCAAATGTCTTTCCGGTTTTGATAAACGCCTCGGCGCACTTGCGGTTACGACCTCCAAATGATGCTAGTAACAAGACAGTCAGTAAAATGGAGAAGAAAAAAATACAAGGTTCGAAGACGTACTCGTAATAAGATCAGCTACACCGGCAGAGTGGTGTGAGAAAGTGAGTGATGAGGAGGACGGGAAAAATTCCTTGGTGAATGCAGCCATCTCTAGAAGACCGATTCTTAAAATGGCAGCTGAAAAGAAAGACGTACTTGAGTTTGTTGTCACTGTCATTGAATTGAGATATTTACCTTTAGTATTACCACCGTAACCCATACCATCGACGAAACCTGCGGCAAGGGCGACCACATTCTTCAATGCACCACTAAGACTGACGCCGGCAACATCTTCAATGGGGTGTACACGGAACATGGGTGAGTCGAAGACTGCGTGCCAGAGCGCTGCATCGTCCTTAGACGGAACACCAATCGTGGTCTCGCAGAATTCGGATTGTGCCACTTCCATTGCGATATTAGCGCCACCTATGTATAACCTATGTAAGTCGATCGAAAGCAATTTTAAAAGTGAACACAAACCTAAAGCAGAGCATGGTATACCAAGCTTCTTCTCAATGAGCCAGGGAAAGGTGTAAATTTCGGAACCGGCGACTTCAACGCCCTTGATAGCAGAGATAGCTCGTGCACCGGTTGTCAAAACACCAGGTTTCGAGAGTTCCTCAAGCACGGGTGTAAGGAACTGATGAGGTACGACTAACACGATTAGAGTGGCATCTTTGACTACGTCTGCAAGCTCTGATACAGCTACGAGGTTGTGAGGTAAGGGAACATCCGGAAGATAGCGGTGGTTGACATGAGTGGAATTGATAACATCGGTCAATAGTCCTTGTCCGGGTATCTGCATTGTCTCAGTGAGGAGTTGAAACGAATCGAAAACTATTACAAACCTCTCGCTCGCGAACCCACATGCGAACTTCGTGATCGAAACCCTTAGTGCAACATGTCAGAACGCGTAAGTCATTAAATTCACAAGGTATATTACTTTTTTCTCTGCAGCATTCAGAGCAGCAATACGACCTAAGGCAGTTCCCCAGCTTCCGCTACCCACGACAGCGATTTTCTGAATGGGAAGTTCTCGGTCGTCTGCGGATTGAGGTTCGTACAAATCAAATTCCGTCACATAAGGAGCCATCGCTGCGGCGATAACCCCAGAACTAGAGCGACGAGTTTTTGGAGGCCGAGGAGGGTGCCGGTCATCGACGTCAGATTCATCATCAGAAGAAGGGTTTGAGTTGTTCTCGTGAAAGACCTCCCGCTTCTTTAATTGCTGCACGGGTTTGGGAGTCATGCTGGTGATAGCAATACTACCTCCAGAGAGAGCATTCAAGCCTCCTTTGCGAATTCCGCCACGAAATGGTTTAATCATTGGTGAGGGAGGTCGAGAAGATTCCGGTGTTGAAGTAGGAGATGCTGCACGAGACATGGATAGAGGAGAAGGAGATCCAGACTTGGGAGAAGAAGAGCCTGAGGTTGAGGAGGACATTTTCATTGAAGATGTATGTTGACGATAAAGAAAGGCAAGGGTTTATATGCGCTCGTTTCAAGCCTGAAAGTTCGGCCAGGATAAATACAAACCGGCTGTAGACCTTAACGCCATAGCCACGAGGAGAAAATTTCAAGCAACCGAAAAAAAATTCAAGTTGAGATGACATCATGAGCATTTAATTTTTAGATTCCAGATTCCAGATTCTCGGAGCGGAGACCTCGAACCGGGTTACTGTATCCAGGGCCAATCATATTTTACACAGCTCGCCGCTCGGCACGCAACAGCTTACAACCTCAACAGCCCCGATAAAGATAGTGCAAGCTGTTAACTTTTTGACCCTCATTTCATAGATAAGGCTTCACATATCAATTTTGTGTGTGTTGAAGACACGTTTTGTGGTGAATCATGTCTTCTCAACCTCCATTTGGGAAACACTGTTCGCCAACAAAAGGGGTGAAGACCGACGTGAAAGAAAAAAAAACTTCCAGCATTTGGGGCTATTTGGGGCCGTTGGAGCCCTTGTTCCTTTGTTGTATCCAACACTGCCCCCCAGCTCCATCTTCTAGAAATTCCATAAGATTGTCTCCATTCGTATCGGATTTTGTATCAGGAAGAATTTTTCCAGGGGCACTTAGGCAGTGAAGGACGGACTTAAATATCTCGGCCAAGCCTTCAGCGAATTCGTACTCAACTCCCATATCTCGTATCAGCGAATTCGCACTGTTATCCTCGACTTTCACGATGACCACCCCAACTACCGAAGTCCCTACCACAATCGTGCACCACACGGTCAAAGCTGTCCTGTAAGAACTAATGTTCGTTCAATTTCCGTCAATAGACTAATATCTTACATCCAGTTTTGATATGGACGGCACTCTGATTGATTCTTCGCCTGCTGTGGCTGCCGCTTGGAAACTCCTCAAAGAGACAGGCTACGAGTTCCTCGATCTCGACCACATACTTAAATCAGCCCATGGCTACAGAACTATCGATGCCCTCCGCAAATGGTGTAAGATCACAGAAGAGGAACTCTTGAAGAAAGAGGTTGTCCGTTTCGAAAACGCGATTCTCAGTAATGCCCAAGCCAAAGCTGGTTCAGGAGGAGGTATTATTGCCCTTCCGGGTGTTGCTCAGCTTCTCGACGACATAGAGGCATCAACAAACAACGGGCATAGTCAAGGCTGGTCCGTTTGCACGTCCTGTAAGCTCCCCCATTTCAAGTGTCCTCACAAAATGTAAACGGGCATTGTAGCGACCCACTTCTACGCGTCACAAGCCCTCCCTGCCGCTGGCCTCCGCATACCCGACGTTTTCGTCACCGCTGAGTCCGTTACGAACGGCAAGCCCGCTCCTGACCCCTACCTCTTGGGTGCGAAGTTGAACAATGTCTCGCCCTTTGACTGTGAGTATTTGCGCCTTGAACGGTATACAGTTTATTGATTGTCATGACAGGTATCGTTGTGGAAGATGCCCCAACCGGTATACGGAGCGGGAAGGCAAGTGGCGCTCTAGTCCTTGCTACTTGCACCTCTCACACTCGGGAGTCTCTTGAACGCGAGAGCCCCGATTTCCTCGTTCCCAATCTGTCATAGTAAGTCTACTTCTGTTAGTTAATTACACGGGGATGTTACTAATGCACATGCTTTAGCGTAAAAGCATCCCGCAATCCTGATGGCTCGGTCTGTCTGGCTATTGCGCAGCCTGCGGATCGCAAAGAAACTGCGCCTACTCCCGACGACACACCCCTTCACACACCTGCCCTTTCTCGCGTCCCCAGTGCCACGGACATTTTCACCAAGATTCACAGTGGTACCGCAACTCCACGAGAACCTGGGACTGAAATTGACGATTATGGTGCTCGTGGTATCAAGGCCATGGGTGGTTTTTAATTTTAAGCATCAATGCTGAACTACTTGTATATACCCTAGAGAATCACAGTCCTTAGACTCCAACCATCCATTCCATGTACATACTAATACTGGCGATTAGGTATATAGCACTTGTAATCTCAAATTAAATGTAGAATTATCTTGAAACCATCTTATTATTGTTAGCTCAAAGTATCCGAGATGCTACATTAAATATCCAACGTAAATTATCAATGAGTTTTATAACCTTGTCATACTTAGGCGACTCATAGCTTAAGGTGAATTTTATCTTTATCCTATCGATCATAAATTAAAGTTTTAAAGGATACGACTCGGACGTGGAGCCATGCGATATATACTTGCTTAGACGCGCTCGTATGAGTGGATGTCGCCAACCCTGTTTGACAACGCCGCGTTACATATTGCAAAGTCTAGGATGTGCTCCACTGTCCACTGCTTCTACAAGTGAGTCGCAAGCACTCCACCTCAGTCACACCCGCTTGCTGTTCCTTTGGCTCCACAAGGCTGCTTGATTCGCAGACGGCTATATGTATGTAAATGGAGAACAGTGAAGGGATTTCTTCATGGAAATAGAACTCCTTGGGCTGGTCGTTATCGTCCTCCCGTGCGCTCCTGCGAATACATGGATATGACTGTAAGGTACCGGTATTCTACATGTGATGATTCCCTAGTTTCCATCAACTTCATACCTTTGATTCACGTTGCTCCCGCATAACGATAGAATTTCGCTTTGGATACGTATGTATAGCATTTTTCGGGGCTGGGCGGCGGAGACAGGCGATGTTGGCGCAAAAGTGACATTTGAGAATGGCCCACGAGCCAGCCCCGAGCCCAAACCCTTGAGCGTTTCTTTACCGTCGAACAATCCCAAATTTGAGAGCCTACGTGCAGGAAGATATCGTTTTGGACGACGTGTACATACTGTTCAGGGAAAAAATACCCATTTAGGTCTGGTGTACTATCGACCAATGATGAGGAACCATTTTGGAAGCGCTTCTTGTGGGTCTTCTCTGTACTACGAAATGACTTTTGCCTGCAGAATATTATGAGTACAGATGAGTGTTTCATATTATTACCATGATTAGTCCGCAGAATCATCATTGACAGGACGATTTGTTTTGCATACCTTCTGACTTTCTATGATCAACATGAGTTTGAGTGGATTCACATTGCTGTGCAATTCTGGTTGAGGAACTTTATACACGCACCGTATACGAGGAGGACAAAGAAAATAGCGCGACTGACCCTGATCATCCTGTTCAAGAGCAAGATCTTCAGGAACAAAATCCAAAAAGCCAAACTGATCAAAGATCGCTGTAATTTGTACCGAGATTTCGAGAAGATTTGACCGAAAGCGGGAGCAGGGAGGACGAGTCTCGAGGTCCCATGACCTAGCATGACCTTCACGACGAGGGTTTGATGGGATTTTGCTACAACCATCTTGACTACAAAAGGGAGGATTTGTTTGAGAGATGTTACTTGAATACTAGAATATCTGAAGAGTCGGTGAAAACGTCCGCCTTACTATGCATAGTAAGCGCGCACTCGTCATCATAACTTCTACGTTCAAAATGTTATCCTGGGAGAGGAAAGACCAGCTACATCAATATGCCTTCGTAGCTCTCAGTAGTGGTTGGAAAGAAAGGGTAGTGGCGCAGCCTCACGTATGAATAGACGAGCCGTTTGCAGTCCCCTTCTTGCATAGTCCTAGTCCCTTCTGCTCTTATATACGCCTCAGCTGTTTATGCTAATGAATTTTGAGTAATTGAGGGATCACAGACGAGATACAAACGAGTACCTAGAACCAAAGAACAAGAACCTTCATTGCTGAACAAGCGTTTAGGTGCTTTTGCTGGGTTTGGCCCTGCTTGAGTACTACCCAGCGGGAGGGATAGGAGATTCCTGTTCACTGGAGGCAATTCGAAGGCCGAATATCGAAATGAACATATTCTCGAATACGGTATCGGTGTTGCAAGAATGTGATACATAGTGGGGGTGAGCCATGGGAAAATGGTCCGTGCACGTCACACACGCGCTCTCGTCACACCTGACTCCATCGTGACATCCTGTAAACTTTGGCAGAGAACCGCGAGGTACGCGAAACGCTCCTTTCATTCTCTCTGTGTTGGGGCGCTAAACTTATTCTGAAGATAATATATTCATTTTTTTTGCTTGGATCGCACGCTTTCTACGCGTCGGCCGTCTTTTTCTACTACACGCGCCGTTTGCGGATTTCAGCAGAATGAGCACAGGATCGCGTCTCTTGGACGCTCTGGACAGCTCGATGTTCTTGCCATCGACATCGCAGAGCACTCCCAGAGACCCATTGCATTCTTTGAACGCAGGTTCAAGCCCTGTAGCGTCGGAAACCGGCCCCGATAGAACAATGGTCATGGAAGCTCGTTCGACTCAGATGCAGGGGAATATGATGCGTCTCATGCAAGCAGGTGGGTGCTGACCTTTTTCAAGGGAATAAAAGTGGACATAGATTGTCAATTTAGACGGTGACGCGCAGCTTGTGTTAGGCTCTCCATCAAGTCAAGCCTCTAGAACATCCAGGGTAGCAGGAGCAGGTGGATTTGGATTAAATTATGACGATCAGACACCTGTGAGAATGATTGACATAGGTGAGCATTCATACCTCGCCTTCGTAACAGCGGCCCAATAGCCACAATACTATAGGGGGTGCAGACCAGGGATTACGGTCAGCTTCAGATTCCGCAACCGCTAGATTTCCGTTTTTCTCACTTCTTCACTTGAAAGAATGGTCGAATTTGTGACTCAGACCATTAACAACGCAAGCCATGGTATAACAGTCAAGTCTGCCGTAGAAAAGCTAGGACTCGAGGAGTATGTTCATTTACTGTCCCTTTGAACTTCAATCTCTTAACACATCTTAGCTTGAACGATATTCTACCTGGCATGAATGTACGATTGCTTCCGCATCAAGTCATTGGCGTTTCCTGGTGAGTGAGTTGTATACAGAGAAATATCTTACCAACAAACTTTCACTATATGTAGGATGCTAGATCGAGAAAGGAGTAAATACAAGGGAGGAATCCTAGCGTATGTGATGTGTTCAAGTTCATTTACCTTCACGAGTTGCATTGGTTGTAATCTGTATTCCAGAGACGATATGGGTCTAGGAAAGACGGTGCAAATGATAGCTACCATGGCTATGAATCAACCATCCTTAGAGGACGAAGATGCCCCCACAACTACTCTCATCGTGGTTCCAGCCGCCCTTTTACAGCAGGCATGTTCTTTAAATTCTCGTTGAGCACCTGCCCTCTGATCACCGTATACAGTGGAAGGAAGAGATAGAAACAAGGACCAACGACATCATGAGCGTACATGTTCACCATGGAAAAGATAAATTGAAGGTGCGTGTATTCTACATGTTGTTACAATTCACTGTACTGGACTCTGTTGTTGTCCACAGAAACGTTCGGAAATCAAAAACTATGATGTCAGTTTGCTTTGTTTCACCGTGACGATTCTTTCGCTCATATTATGTGCAGGTAATCATTACTACTTATCAGACTCTGAACGGGGACTTCAACTTTCCTAAAGACCTTCCGATCGAGGAAGAATCTGAATGGCTACTGAGGGCTGGGTAACATTTCTAACCCTTTCGCTGTTCAAGTTATCTGCTGATTTTGATGGCAGTGGTATCCTTGCTCGTACAAGGTTCCATCGTGCTATCGCTGATGAAGCTCAGTTCATCCGCAATCGGTGAGAATACTGCGCGGTTTGTCTACTCTCTCGAGTTAAGCTTATGATTATGAATTTAGGGCGACTAGATCTAGTATTAGCCTCGCCCACGTTCAAGCAACGTATAGATGGATGCTCACTGGCACGCCCGTGACAAATACCCTGTACTATTCTCGCCTTAATCGAGTTATACTTCGCGACTAACTTGCTTTCTTCAGTGCAGATATCTACGGTTTATTGCGGTTTGGACACTTCAGGCCATGGAACGACTGGAATGATTTCAACCACCACGTCGTGAGCACACCCCTGTTTTGAGACGACATCCTCTTGTGCTTAATAAATGAGTGAATGCAGGCTAAGATACAGATTATAGATCCACCTCTCGCTGGTACGTGAACGACCTCGACTGATAACAATGCTTGTGTATCATGATCCTTACCCAGGTCAACGAGCCCAAGCTATTCTGGCTCCTCTCCTTCTCCGGCGCACAAAGAATTCTACATTGGAAGGTGAACCTATTTTGAAGTTACCTCCAAAGGAGATCAAGCTCGTCAAGTTGGATTTTTCCGTCGACGAAAGAGAAGTAAGTACCTCGTGATTTTTCTCGGGTTAAGATTCTCATTGGTGACTAGTGCTACGACTCGTTCGAAAAACAATCTAAAATTCGTCTGAATAAATTCATTAAAGAAAGGACCCTTGTGAAGAAGTAAGATCATCTTGCATCTCGAATACTACACCCTCACCACGACTGATGATCCTATAATCTTCATAGCCACACATACGTACTTGTGAGTCCTCGATTTTCTCTCTATAAACTGCCTTAATAGTATTTGAAGGTAATGATATTACGTCTCCGGCAACTTTGTTGCCATCCTTATCTTATTTTATCTCAAACCGAGAACTTTGATGATCCTACTGCTTTGATGGGTGGTGAGGCAGAAAAAGAGAGAGCCAGAGCGATCAAAGCGAAGGGGAGACCTTGGGTTGAGGGTGTAGGTTGATTCTCATTGTTTACTATCATTTGAACTCATCCGCGATACCTTCGATAATGATTAGATTATACGCCAGTAGGTTGTTCGGCGAACTTTCTTCTCGATATTTCTCATCTGTGCACACGAAGGTTCCTTCTCCGTGCACGTGCGAACGAACTTTTGGATTATGATGACGAGGCTCCAGACACTGCTTCGTGTCCCGTATGTGAAGAAAGTATGCATAAATACATGCTCTTCTAAATTTCGACATACTCATTGATGTGCAGTTTTCGTTCCTGCAAAAGGAAGGATTCTTTCTTGCGGACACGAAATCTGTTTGGGTCAGTTCTCAACTGTTTGTTTAAAACAGATAACCTGAACGATATCCGTAGACTGTGTCTTGGACATTCGAAACTCTCCAATGGAGCATAATGGAATCTTGTAGGTGTTGAAATGGTTTCGAAATATGTCTACGACCTCACAGCATTTGTCCTTCCACTTCAGCGGTGAAGGCACAGAAAGAGAAAATCTGGAGGCCGAGAGGCAGTTTGAGGAAGCCAACGCTAAAGGCCATCGAAAATGTGAGATGTGATTCTGATTTCTTCATTCTTGAACAAGACTGATTACCTGTGCTCAGGTCCGACTTGCAAAACTATTCTCGATATGGGGCCGGAGAAAATCTTCAAAGCTATCGCATTCGAGCCGACGGACGAGGAGCTCAGCAAGTATGCCGACTCGGAACGTCGTCGTCGTCGAAACACTTCTTCGTCTCACCGTTATCCTTCTTTTCCAAAGAAGAAGGCGGTCGCCTACGGGTCATCTGAGGACGAGGGCTCCGACGATGAACTTTCTGTAAAGTTACACAAAACATTCGAGCTAAAAGGTCTGGATGACTCGGACGACGATTTACCCGATCTCGAAGACATCATGCGTCCAACGAAAAGGCATAAGACTGGGGAGAGAAACACCGATCATGTAGGCTGGTTCTCCTCTAGCATGAATCATGCCTGACTTCATTTTTGACAACAGGATGACGATATCCTAGACCTCACAATGGACGATATCACCCAGCCGATTTTTTCTAGTCCCAGTAAACCTGGCCAGTCCTCAAATAATAAGCGTAAGGCACATCAGTCCACAAATGGTGGAGAAAAAAGGAAGGATACAGACTCAGAGGGAGGTCTCTCAAAAGCCCTTGTCGCTACCTGGTCAAAAGGGGACGATGACATGGAACCCAGTATCAAGATGGTTCAATTAATTGAATACGTTAAGAAATGGGAGGCAATCGGTGACAAAACTATTTGCTACTCTCAGTGTATGTGATTTCGTTCCTCATCCTGCTCGTTGGATTTTCATGTTCTACGTAGGGACGTCTATGCTCGATCTTATTGAAATTCTCTTCTCCCGACATGGTATCCGCAGTTTGCGTTTTGATGGCAAAATGGACCGAACATCAAGAGATCGTACATTGGTGCAGTTCAGGAAGCCTGACGGACCAAAGGTCATACTGATCAGCACCAAATCGGGTGGCGTAGGGCAAGTCTTACTTATAGGACAGACCTTTCAATTTTCAAACTCCTTCTCAGATTGAACCTGGTAGCCGCCAACCGGATCGTCAAGTGAGTGTATCTATTTTTTCGATCCCAGGCGGTTGATATCTTTTGACTTATGTAGCATGGACCTTTCGTGGAATTATGCCGCTGAATCCCAGGCTTATGATCGTGCCCACCGCATCGGGCAGGAAAAGCCTGTGTTCGTGAAGCGTTTGGTTGTACGAAATACCATTGAAGAGCGCATGCTACAACTCCAGGACGTAAAAGTTGGTCCGTACTTCTGCAGTGTCTCTGCAACGAATTTTTAAGAGCTGATGGTTATGTTGATATGAATATAGGTCTTGCCGAAGCTGCTCTCGGAGAGGGGACAGGTCATAAGCTAAATAAGCTTAGCATGAAGGATATCAAGTTTGTAGGTCCGTTACTTTCTGGGAGTGCAATGGATTCTCACCATGGGTTGCAGTTGTTCGGCATGACGAAGAACAATACGAGTACTGGCAATAATCGAGACAGCCAAGGGCTATCACACTCCGGAGGTGGCGGTGACGATGATAGCGACGATGAGTAATGGTTTTTGTCTCTGACTCGAGAGTTGCATTGTATGTATAATGACTAGCATCGAGTTCTTGTGTCATTTGAGTTTTTTCTTAACGTCTAGTGTATTTCTGTTTATCTACTTATTCAATCATAAACATAATACTACATAGTACTGTATTTTGAGATTTTGAGAACCACGTACATGAGGAATATAGTGGAACGGACGGTGGACCTCAAAGATTAAACCTCATAGATTAATTTAGAATGCACAGCGATAAAATTGGAAGTAGACTCGGTATCAGCGGTTTCCTATCGACATTTGTTAACTCAGGATTTAGTGAACGAGCTTGTCTGGTCAACGGCTTCTGAGCAGAGCTTGAGCAGAATCGTCTGTGTATGAAGTGGGTTCAAGCGAGCAGCATATTGACTGACTCGAGAATTTTTTCACTTACACAGATTATTGGACCATTCTTTAGCTGAGCCTTAAATCAGGCCGCACTCATTGAGAGACATAGTTCAGGGAAATCGTGAAGCAAGAAAAAGGCAAAGATGGAATGTACAAATGACGAGAGTGGGATTCGAACCCACGCCACGAATGACTAGATTCAAGTGCCTGATTCTAGCGCCTTAGACCGCTCGGCCATCTCGCCACCCTCGCGGCCCGTGCCAGTGAGTTGATCGATTGCGACTGCTGCGAATACTGCGGACACTATTCTCTAAATGATGTAACGAAAGAGTCCATTGTGATCCCGTCCCAGAAAAAACGGGGGACGCATCACAGAAAGAGAATAACCTCATCCTGCCCATGCCCCCCATCTTAAAGGATCCACATGCCCGCAAGCAATCCTGCTCCGACAGATCCAATCAAGCCAATAACTCCACCCTCCAGACTCATCGCCCCATTGGAAGCACTTGTAGAACTCGCACTAGCTACACTAGAGCCACTGCCAGTGGTTGTGGCACTAGTCCCGGTAGAGGTACTTGACGCGCTGCCCCCAGTGATTTCGTTGAGGATGGAAGAAGCCTCAGAAGCCAACGACCCCGTCAATGTCGCGGTGATGGAAGACGCGATAGACGCGATGAGAGATGTATCGGAAAGGACGGCGCTGGGAATCGAAGGGATAGAGATACCAGAAGGAATGGTAATTGTAAACCTGGAAAAGTTGTAAGGCGAGATGTCACAATTGTTAATTGAACAGTTGCACTCACCCATCAATGACCGTGACTGAGCCGGCATCAGCAGAGACAACGCTCGATGCTGCGGATAGGGCTGATGACTCCGCTGCTGCAGTATCGGTAGAAGATGAACTGTCTTGGGCGAGAATGGCCACGGGACCTAATAAAAGGAAAGAACCCGCGAGGACGGTGCTGGTGAATTTCATGGTGCAAGTTCAAAAGTTGAACGAAGGCGAGGGTGTGAAGTGTGAAAATAAAAAGGTAAAGGGAACGAAACAGAAACCCGACTATTTGTATTGAAAATGAGTGGAGCTGGAGTAGCGCCCAGCAACAGCCGCCGGCCGCTTTGATCACCGCAGCTCGCGCAGTTGTGGATGTCGGTGAACGCCGATGCGGTTACCATTGGGGTTCCGGTCTGGGTCCGGTCTCCGCGAGTTCGAAAAAGTCACTAGGGTAGCAGAATTCATGCGACATCGATCCCAATTTTGGAGGTATCAAGTAGAGATCCCCGGCATCTATCCTGTGTTTGTTCATGGTATTGTGTCTTGACGGCACGCCCAGAAACCATCAAGATCTTCAACTTCTTGCATGGGTTGGCCGTCAATGAATAAGCCCCCTTCTCCTAAATTCGAAGGTATTTCAATCTTGTTACGAATACACAGTTCCATGTAGTCCAGCGGAAGCGGCGCTTTAACGGTAAGGTCCACTCGTTTTGGCTTGCCCGTCCGCCTATATCGCTATTCGGGGAAAAGAAATATCAGAATTTGGGCAAATTCGGGTACGTACACATGAACATACGTGAAAGGATATTTCAGATGCGTGGAGGAAAAGACGACCATTCGGTACGGGAACTGTACATGGTCGTGTACCGGTATGTTGAATGTCGCCGAGAATGGGAGCTACAGAGGCGAAATTCAGTCAAGATATTTTCATGAGAAGGACTGGCCAGACCTTGCAGTACATCAGACATATGAACACGGAGCTGATGCTTCATGCCTGTGCGCAGACGAAGTTTTACAAGCGCTATATCATCCTGTAGGTCGACGCGTTGTCAAGAGTGTGATTATTCAAAGATGAAAGACACAAAACTTACTGACCACCCGATAACCTGCCAATCCGTCGATGTCTCTCGTGCCGACTCAGATTGAGATAGATGTGGTCTGCCATCCTTCAGCGTCATGCCAACACGTATACTCCCTGAACCTATCTTCGCAGTTAGAGTTGGACTATAAGATGTATTGACCAGAGCATGATAAGTCTTGTGCACCGTGTGCTGTCGAAGTTGACGAGAGAATGCGTGAGCATGGTCAGGAGAGCGTGCAAAGACTAGGCATCCTGTTGTTCCCTTCAAAACCAAAGCACTTGAGAAATCAGGAAATTTAGAGGAACATGGGAGCAGAACTGCGCACTCACTTTGTCTAAACGATGTACTGGATAGAGCTTGGTTGAGCTTGGACATGAAGGGACTATGAATTTGATCAAATCATGGAGTCAGTAGTGCTTGTGAGGATGTATGGGCTTAGAAAACATAGTTCTACTTTTGCCAACCAATTTAGCAACCGCGTCTGTCTGACCATCACCAGGGTACTGCGTGACAAAGTTTGGAGGTTTGTTAACAACCACAAAGGCTCGGTCGATATAGAGAATTCGATTGAGCTCTAAACTAAGAGAGTTCCGAAAGACTATGCGAAAATTCATAGAAGCATAACGTTAAGACGCTTAACAGGCGCTAGAAGATATTCCATTTTGTAGTGAACACCCACGAAACACTGAATGACGGCAAATCGTATATCACAATCCTACAAGTCCTGGGTTTATACTGTAATATGCATATGTAAATCTAGAATAAGAGATCTTCTTCAATTTGTCCATTCTCCTTAGACTGACTCGAGCCAACGTCCAAGAGGTGTTCAGAAGACATAGAGCTTTCAGAATTCCAGCTGTTTACCACGTCTAAGACAGTGTCTACGTGCTCCACGGTCAACGGAGCATTTCTGTCCAATGCAATGGCCTGTGCGCTACCGACCATGTTCTTGATCTGTGTTTCCCATTTGGTGGTATTAGCAAAGATTCCCTACTTTCACAGGCACATACCTGGCGTCCATTAAGTTGATACCCTGCAAGACGATCCAAATCCTCCGGGCTGATGAAATTCGATTGGTCCATGACTTTGGTGAAAAATGTTTTCCAGATAAGTTTTCGTGCGTCGAAGTCGAGATCGGGATATTGTATGGAGAAATGGATTCGACCTAAGTAGATCCACACACATATTCAGAATGTGTGGATAATTTGACTAGAAGAACCACATACTTTCAAACGCGGGGTCTATGTGATTGATCATATTCGTAGTCAGTATAAGGACACCGTGATAATACTCCAATTGCCGCAGAAAGATCGAAACCAGGGCATTTCTTGCAAGGTCGGTGAAGTCTCTCCGCTGTAGGAACACCTCTGCTTCATCAAGCAACAACACTGCATGCCAGGTCTGAGCGAGTTGAAGTATCAAAGTAAGTCGCTCATCGACTTCTTTGGGGTGAGTTCCAAGCTCGCCAGCGCTTACAACATACAGTGCTCGATGTGTTTTTTCCGCTATGGCTTCAGCGGTCAAGGTCTTTCCGCATCCCGGTCGTCCGGATAACAACCCTACCAGACCTTTGCCTTTGCCTTGAACGAAGTCGTCGAATTGGTTATCGTCGGTAACGTGTTGTCGAACGAGAGCAGAGATGAGCATCTTTTGTTTTTGTCCGAGAACGAGGAAATTGTAGAGATCGTCAGACCATTCGATGTCTTGTAAACGGTCCATAGCGAAACCACCTACAAGTTTGGGTGTGGATGTGTTAAATAGATGTGTTGGTAGTCGAAGAACAGTGTACATACCCCACTTCTTGATTCCGAAACAAAAACCGTAAACTACGGGATTGCAGATCATGAACTGCTCATCAGTGATAACAGAACGATCAAGCCGCCGATAGACAGAGGAGTTAAACTTGCGATTAGGTTCGAAGCGGCGAAATGCAACAGGATCTATCATCACTCGGCCGTAAGACTAGATGTTTTGTCATTCAGTTAAAATGAGTTGACCGGAGAATAGGTGACGTACGTTAATCTTATACCATTTGACTTCTTCCTGTTGGGTAATCCGCTCCTGGATGACGGGACCACTGATTTCATGATATGTATAATCGTTCATAGATACGAATTTCCTTCCTCGTTTCAATGCATGCTGTCGGAGTTCTGACCCGTCTTTGTGAAAAGAAAGTGGGAACACAGGCAGATCCTGTATTACTCGAGCCCCGGTAAAAGTTTCGACTTCGAGAGTGACTTGCGCAAGCCCAAAGAAGTTTCCGTCATTGCTAATAATGTCGCAGACGACATCAGCATAATAAGGTCGGTTCGTGGGGTAGTAATAGTTGACCTCTTTGGCAAGAAGAATCTGAGGCTGCTCGGTGTATTGATGATAATGATACACAAGCGTGTTTGGAGGTATAAGGGCCCATAGAAGTTCATATGTAATTTCCTGCTGGGAGGTCATCAAATTGTACTCAGTAAGGTTCTGTGAGTGATCCTCTGCGATGTATTGCATGGCCGCTTCGAGGTCTGCGATAAAACCTTCATCCGGGACATCTTTAGCGTTCTCTGCGTCTAGTTTATCTTGAATACCAACTCGCGAATAGAAGAACAATTTTGGGTCAGCCTGTGTGAATTCTCAGTAGCACAAATGAAAACACAGTTATAAGTGCTACGCACAACAGGGGGATTTCTGTTCAACGTCAGTCCACCAACTCCTCTGTTGATTTCCCTCAGCACTTCTGCCAGTGCTGGGCTCTTTATATCAACTTCAGTAGCTGCATGTCGACCTCTGGAATCAATAATCCGTCGGACAAGCAGAACATGTTTCTTTTGGGTTTTAGGTGCTAATTTTGTTGTTTTTTTGAGAGTAGTTGAAAAAGTGCGCCTACAACATTTGTAAGGCGAACGGACGTTGAAAGTAAAGAAAGGATCTACAAATCAAAGCTTGTTCACGCGCTCAGTGACGTCCCTTGAATCCTTGATCTTAACCAGCACTCACTATTGATCATAACGAGCTATTCGCTTGTCTGGAGCCGTTGTTCGATCTTCTCCTTCTTGCGAGGCCATGTTGAAGTTCGCTTTGGTACAGAAATTCAGTACTTATGTTGGTATCCTCTTCGGTATTGAACTTGAAGGCACGCGGTACAAACCAGTATGCAGCGCCGACATGTTCGTATCTGTCAATGATCTTTGTATTTTATTGCTCTGACTCAGTGGAAACCAGAACCTGTGGAGACAAGGCTATGTATTCCGTACAAATGGTATCGATAGGAAATGGGCCTCGGCTTTGACAACTTCGCAATGTCCATGACTCCTCCTTCTGCCTTTCAGCGAGCGCTGGACCAGTATCTTCAAACACTTCCTTCGCACAAGAGGAAAAGCAAGTTTCTGCTCAGCTGTTATAATGCTGAATCTCCTATCACCCCAGAGTCTCTGAACGAAACAATCGCTGAAGCTGAAGAGAGAGCATCTCAACGCTCGTCGAGAAAGATATTGAGAAAAGTTGTGGCACCGGTTATCACTGCTTTGAAGGACTATTTCGTGGTGGTTGATACGCTTGGTGCGCTCAATTTCCTTTGACAGCAAACCGCTGTATTGATGGTTGCTACAGTCTCTTCCTCCATGCCAGCCGCTATCGTCTGGGGTGCAATAAAAGTGATCATCGAGGCACGTTTCCACTATACCAGCCTGCTTATGCTCTTGACCTTGAAAGACAGGGTATTGACCGATGTGCCACCCTCTTCGACACAATCAAGAGCCAATTACGTGCACTCACAGTGATGTTACAGCGCATTTCCGAATACGAAGATCTCTACGGCGATTCAACCATCCTGCAAGATCTTCTGTGCAAGACTTATGTTGAAATCTTTCGCTTCTGGTCCCGAATCGACCGGGAATGTGATCAATACGGCAAGTGGTATACCAAACCTTGCCGCTATGTCTATTGATCAGCAGAGCGCACACTCAGGTATCAAGTCATTTTTACGCGTAGCCGTCTCATTTTCAACGAAGAAACTCGACGAGAGCATCCAAGAGATTGAAACAAACGTCGACACCATTGACAAACTTGTTCCGATTATAGAAGCTAGACGTGCTAGAGGCGAGCAGGAAGATGCCGGACGCGAACGTGTTGAGGCTGGCATAGAACGATTAGAAGCACGTGTAGAACGGCAAGCTCAGCGGGAATTCCGAGAAATGTATCAAGATGACCGATACAGTACGTATCAGCCAGCATTCTTTAACTTCAAAAGTCCTGAATAGTCATTCACAGATGAACGATATTACTCCATTTCTTCCTGGCTCGACTCCCGGGAGGCCATCGAATCAAATCAAAGTCGGCATGATATGAATCTCCGTCGTCATTCTATCGGGACGTGCGCCTGGCTTACAGACAATACTGACTATCGCAACTGGGAGCAGGGCGCCAGTTCTCCTTCAATCATTTGGTGTCATGCTCCTCCTGGTACGGGAAAATCTGTCCTGTGCTCACAGGTCATCCGGAGACTCATGGATATCCCTTCTGTTACTTGCGCTTACCTTTTCTACCAATTCGACGCGCCCTACACGGCTGTTGAGACACTTCGGTTACTCACAGCTCAGCTCATCACCAGCTCCTACCTGACTTACCGTCACAAGATATCCGACGAACTTTATTTGTTGTCTCAGGGGGCCCGCACGTTCGATAGTCTGTCTGCTTGTATTAATATGCTGCTGCCACAATTCCAGACGGTCTATTTGTTATTAGACGGGTTAGACGAGGAATGCGTGAAAGATAGGTGGTCAGAAGCATGCAGAGTGATTGATCTCCTCGTTGGTATGTCCAAGGCACATCCGAGCATTGTTCGGCTGTGGTTCAGCAGCCAAGACCGGTCGTCAATCAGAACGAAGATGGAGAAATTCACTATATGCAATTTCCACGAACCTATGAAGGAAGACGTCGGCATATTCCTGGCAAGTCTTTCGTCCGAACTCGAGGATCTTATTGCATCGGAACAGGCAAAATCATTCCTTCTGGAGAAACTACAGAGACGAGGCGAGAGTAACTTCCTTTGGGTCAATTTAATGATCAACACTCTCCGTGAGGAGGCGAGCAGTCCTGTAGAAGTGACAAGGCTTTTGGAGGATGGCTTACCCTCGACATTAGACGAGTATTATCGCCGGATCTTTGAACGAATTGAAGTAAATCAGCGCGCTTTGGTTTGGTACGTAGCCTTCATTCTTTCATACAGTTATTGCTCACTTATCATTTTCTAGCAAAGTGTTCTCATTGATCGCATTTGCGAGACGTCCTTTGCGGATGTCGGAACTACGAGAAGCTATTGGAATATTGTCCATAGATACCCCAACATCCCTCAGTTCAAGACATATTCCGTTCGAACCCCATCTACGCAAACTGTTTGCCCCTCTAATCCAGATAATCCCCATTGCAGAATCAGAGGACTACACCTGTCGACTTTTCCACTCCACCGTCCGGGACTTTCTTCGCAAGTACGGCGGAAAGGTTTTTCCAGAATTTTCATCTGGCCTCGTCGTTAGCCCTGGGATATCCGCTCAAGCCTGTCTCGCATACCTCCGTCAACAACGATATTCATTGACTCTTCGTCATGAAGATGAGCTTTGGTTAGACTCGAACGGGAACGCCGTTAAAGAACATTCATTCCTCCTTTATGCTGCAAAATACTGGGACAAGCATTTCGACGAAGTCCTGGGGGACGAAGAGACTCGGAACGCCATCGTCAGCTTTATCACATCTTCCAATTTTCAAACCTTTGTTCAGATTCAAAGCTTATGGTTGGAAAATCGTTTCACGATATTTCGTCAGTCAAACGGGTGTGAGTGCGATGATTGCGCAAGAATTCGATTCCTTGTCAGAGTCTTCCCTCTATGGCTCATTAACGGAAGTGAAGCTACGAATGAGCGTCGTCTGTGGGCATCATACCGCCGATTCATTCATGATTGGAGACATTTTCTTTCGTGCGCCAATTGTGAAAAGCGCGGATGTCTCTTCGCTCACTGCGCAGGCGAAATTGACCGATGTTGGTGGGGCGCTCTGGGACCTCGCAATTTTTTGTCCAGGTTGCAAGGTCGATATCGCAGCTTCAGTTTTCAAAGGGAAGGGATTGTCACCACAGAACCTGGGCCATCATTTGAAGGAATAAGTCAAGAAGGAGACAAGATGAAAATACTTAGATTAAAGTGCGTTTTCTTTCAGATCGTTCGCCCGTCGATCAAGGATACTAAGGCTTCCTACAGTGCGAGTGATGCTTCATCTGGTACACTCACCTTTACATGCGAACATTGGTCAATATGCTCGACTCGTACCGACAACATAGTTTTAGAGAACACTCAGATGATCTCAGTTTCAGAATCCGAGTCATCTTGGGCGGTTTACACTACTGCTCTGACGGTGACCTCCAACCGAAAACAAGTCGGGCGTGCTCCACTCGTAGCATTCACCCTCGACTGTCAATACATGCGCATCGGCACCCAGCTCTTCGAACTGAAGAACGATGAGTATTACGTTTCTCTTTACGATACTTTGTCCGGAGATCGTTATCCTACGTATGTGGAAGAGTTTGCCGTACGTGGTCCTTACGCTGTGTTCGCCAGTAGACGTCGAGTCAAACAGGAGGATATCAGGAAGACGGGGGTGTCCGACGACGCAGTGGCCAACCTCGGCGTTGATTTTAATGCAATGGAAGAAATGGTTCTATTAGATGATGACGACTCTTCCAGTTCAATATCTTCTCCAGAAAACCGGAGTTCGAGCTCTATCTGTTCATCGTCTGATGACTCAGAACTTAATGATGCCTATGAATCCTGGAGTGAAGGTGATACGGACGTACCGGAGGGAGTCGAATTCGAAGAGGATAGGATCACGCCTTGGTCTGGCCCTCTGAGGGATCCCGATGAAGTTGGTAGTTCATCCGAACAGGAAAATGAGTCTCCTCAGCCCATTGGTGCTCTTGACGAGTCCTCGGATGAGGAAATAGAGTTCGATCCGCAAGTAGCCGGTTACGGCAGATGGTATGACACTGCGCCTGGAGCAATAAATACCGGTCGAGAAATTGGCTGAGAAAGTATATGGAAAAAATTTCCTTTCTCAGTTGATTTCTTGTTTAGGAAAGTTTACATATCATAGGATAGAAATTTTATGCGAATTATTTTCTCTCCCAGTTAATATCCTGCGAAAGATATTTAGTGAGACTAATTTCCCTTTTCGACGACAAAAGAAACTATTTCTCAGTTATAATCCCAAAGGGAAAAGAAATTGGTATTGTTTTTCCTTTCTGAAACAATTTCCCTGGATTATATTTTCCCTTTATAGACCGAGAAATGTATAGGAATTGTTCTCCTTTTACTTTTGGAACATATTTACTTTTCCGGTCAAGAAACAAATTGACCGAGAGGCGGGAGACTGTTACCCGACTCAAACCCGGTACAAGTCCCATCGATGCCAGCTCACTGGGCGACACCGACAAACGGGGTGATCTGAGGGAAATCAGCTTCCCATTAGTCTCAACTAACATCAGGCTCAATCCCTGAACTAACCGTATTTAGGGGTAAGGCCTTAAGGATCCATCCAATAGTACTACCTCTGTCTGGACGAAAGCCCTTGAAGCTGGTGAAAATCATTCACGGTAAGTACTCCACGTCCAGATTGGCGCTCTTGACTTAGTGGAAGCAAAAGCGGCATGTGCTGCTGAGATAGGGCAGTAACGAGCATCGGCATTTTCACTGCCTGAGGTAGAACATAATCTAGACCTCCATAATGTCCACACTCTATACTCATTGCACCTGGAGCAGCTAAGTATTTGCCATCTTTCGACTTAGTCTCATTCATGGAAGATTTGTACGATCGCGATTAATATTTATACATACAGTACACAAATCCGAAAGCTACATCAAAAGAATACATACAACATACAATACACGAATGCGAAGGATATAAGACTCAGAATGCTCTATGTGAAGGATATCGTAGAAGGGAACCGACGCCGGGTCTCGATTGGATTCAAAGCTTCCGTAAGCCTAAATTGGTTAAGTCAGTTAACATTCAATCGTCATCACAAAACGCGCGCGCGCGCACCTCTTAATGGCTCTGTCTGCTGCTCGATCTTCTAATCCACTGCGCAAGTTTCTAATCGGGACCCGTTTGCCACAAGCAACGACAAGGACATCGCCGCGCATGTGTCCTCCTTGCAAGTTCTGGATGGATTGGTTCGGCGGAAGCAACTTGTGCCTCTTGAAGAATACCAAGAATGTGAACGACTTTCCACAGTAACGAACGGTCAACGCAATGTCGTGTATGTAGGGCTGAATTCGGGGCTCTGAAAGGAGATCCCCGGCGAAGACAAAGCGGTCGATGGATGGCTGTCGAGCGTCTTCTCTGAACTGCGCTTTAATGGCTTTGGGAGACACACTGTTGGCAGGATACAATCGGGCGCGAATGCCCTTGATCCTAGTCTGTGTGACGATGTAAGCATTGAAATTCTTTCGTGTATGGTGGATTTACTTACGTGTCTGTTAGGAATGCAAGTTGCGATATGATTCATGCCCATTTTGCCGTTGACGGTGAGTGATTACTGTGTCGGATTTGGGAGAGACTAACGAGAATTCTGGAGGTCTAATTTGAGAGGAACCTTGTTATATGTGCTCAGGCATCATACATCCCTTTGTCCGTTTGTTGAATCTCGATTAATAGGCCCTTTGTTACTTACGTCGTTGGCTACATTGATCGCTTTCTACCCTTTCCCCCCTCTTTCAATTACCTCCATCATCCCATGCTCAAACGACGCGCCTCCATATCTAGCGATGAACGCTACCCGGTGAGTGACCTATATTGGTTTTCACCAGTGTTCACTAATTTATTTATATTAGAAAGTACGATTGATTACTCAACCCTCCAGAGATGCCCGGGAACTACAGAAGCAACTCCTCGACAAGGATTGTTTGTTGAAAGAGGCTGAGGACGAGTTGGATGAACTAATGGTGAGTTTCCTTACGCTTTTGCCCAACCACTTCTGATGAAACTTTCTACCCAGAACTGCGATTCAGAGCAGCTACAACTCCTAGAGGACGAACGAAAGCAGCTTTTTCAACAGAAGACTGCCGCGGAAATCAAGGCAGAAAGATTACAACACCGCGTCAACGAATTAGAAGCTAGATTACACAGGCTTGAATTGCTTAATGGCAAGCTCGACGACGCTAGGGTTCAATCTGTGGTTGGGTTGTCTGCGAGCGCAGATACCGCCGATAATAAGGGAGCTCCCGAAACAGGCAAACAGGTCTCTTTAAACCTCATATCATTCTCGACGTCATCATCTCATTCAATTTCAGCGTCTCTCCTACCCTGAAGATGCTTTGCAATCGAAGAATGCGCAAAAATGGTTCCCAAGTGCATTTGAATATGTGAACCAAGATCTCGGCGAAGGTTATTACATCCTGTTCCAACAGTGGATCAAATTCGAATGTCTCAGAGACTGGATGACCTCAACCAAGGGATTGGCACGCTCTAACAGGCCTAAGGAACTCAGCAAGTGGATACTTAACTGCAGATATGACAGGAGCGGCAATGAACCTCTTTTGGAGAAGGATAATCTTGCTCAGTTTGGCGAGAGTTTTTCGTGTTGGTGGAGTGGTCTTAGACCTCCGAGTCTTCATCAGATGTCCGCAGATCAGAGCGCCGCTCAGAATTTCGAGAAGGAGTGGGAGTCTCTTGATAGGAGTGGGAAGAACGGTTGGCTTAGCGTGCTTGTTTGCCTCAAATGGTGGGGTATGGCATTAGGAGAAGAAGATAGGAAAGGTCAACCAGGAGAAAAATGGCGTAACATGGTCGACGATGTGACGGTGGTGTTGAGCAGTCTAGTCACAAGTATCCGTTAGCTTCTGGTGTATACCTCAATCTAGACTCATTAACGTCGAATTTCTTTCTACTAGCGATGTACCCCGATGTAAACAAGAGACGTACATCATATAGATAGGTACCTAATGCGACTTAGATCAAATATTGGACTCTCTTTTGTTATCACGACCAAATCGGCATGGATATATTGTGAAAGCAATGGCGTACTGTATAGCAATAGTGTATTCTACTTCCACCTGAATACAAAGCCCAGTACAAGACTGAATGGCGTAAGGTTTCCAATAGCGATTCCGATGTGATAAAGGTTGTATATAATTCTTTGTCGACTTGTTATTTTACGTGCAGGGAGAGTCGGGAGCGAGAATGTGATCGTAGCACTAGTGACTAGTCGTGCCATCAGGGCTGAACTATGGATATCTGGTCAGTAATTTCGGTTCACAAGGACTCACCGGTTCAGCAGAACATTGGAGTGATTGGTCTTGGTCTTGTTCCCAAAGAGGTACTAAGATCGCCTTCAAGTACATGTCCCATTGATATCTTTGAGTTGCCCATAAATGTTTGGCTGGAGAAATAAAGCAACGACGTACAAGGCACGTGTCTACAAAGAGCGCCTCATTCTGATCCCATTCAGCCATTCTCTTAGCCAGCTGTTGTACCCCGTAGCCGATATTCCTTGATGGCACAAACGATAGACCAGGTATATGAAGCGGTCGTCAATTCTTCGTTTCCATAATCCTCCTTAGCTATCATACCAGGTCTGCGCCGTTTTATCATCCATCTCACTCGCGTCCATCTGATCACTTGAACTTAGAATGCGCACGAAAACTCCAGCACTTACCAGAAAATCTCGCTCGCCGACTCCCGACCGTTCTTCTAGGTCTCAATTCTTCGGAACTTCTCCTCCTCGTCCTAGCAGAACCTACGGACGAAAGAACCAAAATCGATCTCGTCAGAATACTCCTTCACACCGCCACGCTATGCTTCCCCGTTCTGCCAGCCCCCCAATCGCGTCCTCTTCCAGGTTTCCGATATACGACTTAACACTTGACTATGAGGAGCCGATCGTTCTTCCGGCCACGCCCCCTTCGACTCCTCCATCCGGCTCTACTTCTAATGCAGGCACAATTACTGGACCTAACTCTTTGTTCGCATCCAAGGTATTAATGTCTTCCTTTCCTTAAGCTCTCACTACTAACTGTCTAAATCTTCATTGTAGGTCGCAGATACTGCGCTAGTGAAATCCAGCGACGATGACGACGAACCGGTGTTCATTTCAATGGTGAGCAAACGACTCACTTTCTTACCTGGGGTCTACTAGAACATGTGCATTTAGATGCCATCAGGTATACCGAAGCCCTCCACGGAAGTAAAATTGAACGATCATGAGGCAGTTCGTCGAGCAAATACTGACCTTGAGAACAGTCTCCGGGTATGTCAGTCTTGCCTTCAAAAGTTATGCTCTGCTGACGAAATTGCAGAATGCTCATGACCGCATCAAAGCTCTTGAGGCAGCCGCAAACGCTCATAATGAATGCCCATGCTGTCTGGAAGTGATGTTTCAACCGTTCATGTGCGTCCTTCAGTGAATCCCTAGTTTTTGATGTCTTAATTTCCAGTGCAGTCTGTTGTGCGGTCATACTTTTTGCAAAGACTGTCTTCTCAGGCTCTCCGACGTGTATCTCAAAGGGAAGATGAATTTCGCATGTCCTGATTGCCGCACTCTTCAAGGACGCTTTACTCCTATCCCCAACTATGTCTCTCAGCACAGTGTCGACCAAATGTTAGGATCTAAAGGCATCAAACCTCCCTCCCGCCTACCACTGCAGTGGCCGCTCCGATTCCGATCGGGGCCTGTTTCTCTCCCCTTCCCTCGCCGCAATGGAACCTATCCTGTTTCAACTCCCACTTTCGCACCTGCCCCGTTCCCCGTTTCCATTGATGTTGATGACGATTAGGCATGGAGGTTATTGATTTCGGATACATATGCATCCTCTGTTTACACTCAATCCCGAATATTTACAGCGATCGTTCTCATTTTCTACTCGTAGCTTATAGAGTGAAAGTGTACATGATACCCATATAATCTATATATATATGTGCTCTCCTTCATCTACTCATGCTCATGAATTACACACATGTACTGCTGTGCTTTCAACAAAGACATAAGCTTCGTTCAATTCATCGGATAAGTCGGGTCGGAAGAGGGGAACAGCGTGGGACAGTTTACTTCCACTGTATTATGCTATTTGCTGTTTCGATTCCGAATTTCTCATAATGGCTGGACCGAGTTCCAATACTAGAAAAAGGAGAAGCTCTAGCGCTATGGAGATTGACACGTCACAGAGCAGCTTTAAAGTGTGTATCTTGATTTCTATTCACTCTATTCATGCTGAAAGTATCGTTCAGTCCGACGTAACAATGGAAGGATCTGTTGCAACGATTAGGGGTGGCTCATTGATGCAAATTGAAGTACGTGTTTGCCGTTTTTACTTTCGCTTTACCTCAATGTCTTTGGCAGGAAGCACCAGATATTGATGTATGCACCCTTTGTTCAATCTTCGATCCCGGTTGACGAGTTTCGTAGGCAGAAACCACTTCAAGAGGAGCAAAGATACGTGTCTTGTCCGCCATTGAGATGGATCCTCGTCATCGGCGGCGGATCCACGACTTAGAAGATGTACTAGCCCGCAAAGATAGAGAATTACAGTCACTTGCCTCAGACATCGAATCGAAGAATTCATTTGTTACCGTTCTTGAAGCAAACATTGTGGATTTAAAAATGGATATAGAGGATGCTCACCAGCATTTCAAGGTACAAAACTCAGGTGCATGGGCCAAGGTAGACGAGTTGGACATGTCACATAAGAAGGTGAGATTTTGTCTCTCATCTGTTGCCTGGTTCTACTGACCTGGATCAAAGCTTTTGCAAAAGAATGTAGAATTAATTAGTCGTGTCTATAATCAAGACCATGAACTGGACAAATTGCGAGAGCATCTATCCACTCAAACAGCCGAGCTGGACAGAATACGAGACACCTCAGAGGTAATTTTATGATTATATCTAATCGTATGTGGTTCATATATTCGAATACAGGAAAACTCGATTGCCCAAAACTTAGAGGTACGTGTGTTAAATGGAATGTAATCGGCTAGACATTAAATACCTTTACTGTAGCTTGAGTGTCACAATCTCAAGCTACAGTTGGATGCTCTATCACAGTCCAATTCGTCACTTTCTTCGACAAACACGGGTTTGCGGGTATGTCTTGACAATGCATGACATGTGAGGTAGTTCTGAATCTTTCTTGTAAGAAAACAAAGATAGATCTCGAAAGTTTGGTTAAAAAGTTGAAGGATGAAGGCGTTACTCGGCTCAACGTGAGCTCAATTTACTTTTTCGAATCCCATGACTCATGAGAGACTCCAACAGGCTGAAAAGGAAACCATAGATGTAAGTCGTTCGAAGAAAGACCAGCTTTGTAACTAACTATGCAGTCATGATTTCAGGAGCTCACGAAGAAACTATCTGACGTTCAGTCAGATTGCTCACGGTTCCATGGCGAACTTAAGCTCGTAGCACAGGAGAAGACAGAAATGGGGAATAAACTTTCAAGGGTATCGGAAGAAATCAAGCAGCTAGAGGACAACAATAGCGAACTTACATCCGAGGCCTCCAACATGCAGACAAAGCTTCGTGAGGCTGAAACAGAAAAGAATGCTCTTGAAGAAGATAATCAGCAGCTGTTGAATGATTTTGGTGTGCTGAAGGAAGACCATGACACACTGAAGGTACGGTTCAATATTTTGTCACCGCTCAAGTAAGTCAAACTATGCGCAGATAAGTCATCAGGAAGTAACCAACGCACAAGACTCACTTCGAATCAACTTTGACAATTTGCTCACAACGCACACATCCCTGAAGGTTAGAGTTGTCATATTTCATTTCCCATTCCTTATCCAATCGTATGCTCAGGAACAAGCAGAAGCAAAGATTGAACAAATGCAGCGCGCACTGTCGAAATTGGAGAAATTGAATGAAGAGAGTCTTGTGAGTTCATTTTTGTTCAGTTCATAATAGTCGCTTATTTAGCGATAGGCCGCGAAAGAGGCTGAGCTCCAAAGTCATCGTTATGAACTACAAGACGTGTTGGGCAGACTTGCCAGTCTGAACGAGGAGAAAGAAAAGGAGGCAGAAAAAGCCCACCGAGGAGCACAAACCCTTGTCGATGAAAAGGCGAAATTGGTCGACGAGGCAGAAGCAGCCAGCCAAAGAATCCAAGAGCTTGAGCTAGGCGATGCAACGAAGATTCAGGAGCTCCGGGACAACATGGCGGCAGCGAATCAGACAATTCGGGAACTTGTTGACGAAAAGGCGACACTGGAGCGAGTCTCGGCAGATGCAGCAAAAGCAGCCAGCGGAAGAATCCGGGAGCTTGAGCTAGGTGATGCACGAACGATTCAGGAGCTCCGAGATGACATATCAGCAGCAAATCAGCGAATCCAGGAACTTGTCGACAAGAAGGCAACACTGGAGTGAGACTCGGTGGTTGCAGCAACTGCAGCCAGTTGCAAGATTCAGGACCTTGACAAGGAGAAGGCAAGATTAGTCGACGAAAAGGCGAAATTGGTCGATGAGGCAGTAGCAGCCCGCCAAAGAAACCAAGAGTTGGAGCAAAGTAATGCGACAACGATTCTCGAGCTGCAAGGCGACATGGCGATAGCAAACCAGAGAATTCAGGAGCTTGACAATGAGAAGGCAATGCTGGAGCGAGAGTCGGCGGTCGCATTGTCTGCAGCCAGTCAGAAGATACAAGACCTTGACAAGGAGAAGGCAACATTGCTTGACGATACAACAGCAGCGAATCGAAAAATCCAAGAGCTTGTGGGTCAGAAGGCAGCACTTGAGCGCAAATCAGCGGATACAGCAGCAGCAGTCACCAAGAAGATCAAAGACCTCGACAAAGAGAAGGCGAAGCTAGTTGACGAAACTGTGACAGCAAATCGAAGAATCCAAGGTCTTGTCGACGAGAAGACAACGCGTGATCGCGAATCGGCAGCTGCAGCTGCAGCAGCTAGTCAGAAGATCCGGGATCTTGAAACCGAGAAGAAACAGTTGGTTGATGAGGCCGCAGTTGCAGTTCGGAAAGCGCAGAATGTCGACGACGAAAAGACAAAGCTTATCCAACATTTGGAACATCAACTTCGAAGTTCAAAGGTGAGCGTAATCACAATTTTGATGTTATCGAAGTACTGATAATGCTATGTAGAATAAGGAAACTGAAATACGCAACGAAGACAATTGGATAGCAAGGGTAAGTGCTGCCAGTTGTGGAACTTAACCTGTATCTATTTTAATTTCTTTCAGCCCCGATATGATATCTTATCTGGCAAATTTGATACACTAAATGTACGTGAATGCATTATTGGCATGTTCAGCAGTCAACCTTTTACAGGCTACCTGTGAAAGAGTACAAGCACAGCTGGAAGCAAAGGAAGCTGATTTCAAGACAGCAGTCCAGCAGCGGAGCGAGGTCATCTCTGAATTGCGAAGTATACGTCATAAGGTCGCCTCAGAAGATCGGGATTTTGAGAATCTCAAGAAGGAGAACCATCGACTAGAGGCGATCATTGCAGATTTCAAAGTGACTGGTCTTTTACTCCTGTGATGTGTTGTTGAATTTTCAATAGGCAAACGGTACAACTACGGATATTGCACTCCCGGACGAAATTGCTGTTCTACAGCACGAAAATTTAACGAAGAGTCTTGAAATTCAAAAACTACAACGAGAACTCCAGGCATGTCAAATATCCCACACTCAATTTCACATTCCCTCGCAGCTGAAGAAGTCATATAGGCATTGGGCTCAGGTATTCATCGCACGCAGCCTTTGACATCAACTTCGATACCTTCGACCAGAGTATCGACTAGTCATCGCCTAATTTCAGTGCCTTCTCCAAGAACCCCTGCCCATATGCCGACCCCCTCCTCCTCTAACTTGGGATCAACGACTTTAAGCGGGCAACCAATGAACAGAGATATTGCACATGACATTCGGGCTCTAGGGGGGCTAGGAAGAACACTTGCCAATGCTCCGGTCCAGGCAGAACTCGATCGACTGGCTAGAAATCATCCACGTTGGACACTACCTAAACCTCTGGTGAGTATCATTTCATCGTCTTGGATTTCTGGTTACAGGCTCAATACGTACTATTCAGACCTCTCGCAAGACTATTCCACAGCAGACTAACACTGCCACGTCGCCGGTCAAACCTTGGCACAAACCAAACCCCTCACCTTATCTCAAGTCGGTAAGCTTATGGTTTGCGCTCTCGTCGCAGTTATAGTTGGATTCAACTGAGTTGTAATCACTACAGATACGTACCAAAGGAAATACCACCAACTTTCTCGGGGACGAATCCGATGAAGATGCGGATGACGAGCTGTTGCTGCCTACGAACAGCTCCGGTCAGAAATCGAGTTCAGTATGTGGAATTTTACAGTCAATCAAACCTTGCCTTTAACTTCGATTCATACATATCCAGTCTACTGAAAAAGGCAAAGGAAGGGAAATACCGATGCCCTCTGGAAGCAGAAATACTATGCAATCAAACGAAGCGAACATCATTAACGAGGATGATGAAGATGAGGCAGACCAAGGAGGGATATACCCTCTGGATCGTGAAGACGCAGCAGAAACTAACGATAGCCGGGTACAGGAAGTATGGGAAAAGAAAGGTTTCGAGGAATATGACCCACGTAAAGTTAAGCTCCACGTCAATGTGAGATATGTCCTCTATGATACATTCATCGTTGGACTGACAATGATACCAGGCACTTGCACGAGATTTATTATGTGAAGGCTTCAATGTTCGGCGGATTTGGGCCATATTCGCAAGGGACGGAATCTCTCAAGAAAGGCAGGAGCTGCATATCAAGGATCCTGTCAAGTATGGTCCCAAGCTTCGCAACACGCGCATCGATAAATTTGCACCAGATACGAAAACGATGAAAAAGTCACCCTGGAACCGGGCACTTATTCACCACTTCGCAGCTAAAGCAGGGGAAATTGCTGCGCAATGTAAAGATGACCGGTTTGGACCAGAGGCTATCGATTGGGTAGAACTATTCTCTGATCGTTTCTACGAGATCTTCAAGCTAGTTGTCAAAGCGCGGCGTCAGCCTGGAGAAACCCACGAAGCTCGCGTTTTGCGCCTGGTCGTTGCCGATAATGAACGCAAGACACGAAATGCAAAAGTCAGCCTTCGGCATGCAGTAGGTGTATCTTTCCTATTTTGGCCAACGAATGCTAAATTCTGTGTCTGTTAGAAACGGACATCCCGCTCAGACATCACAACACTTGTGATCAAGGAGTGCCGGAAACGGGGTGATCAAGAGGGGGTTGCGTTCTGGTCACATGCACTCCTAATCACTGAAACCATCGAGGATGCGGGCCAGTCTGAAGAGGAGGACGGGGTGATTGATGTGGAGATCGAGGGTATAACGATGAAACAGAATGTCAAGAAAGTCTCTAGACTCTACTGGCGAGAGCCCGTCATCGAGGAACTTTACAAGATGGTGGACAGTGCTCCTGGAATGGAAACAGCCATCTTTCACCGAGCAGGAGCCCCTCGTATTCCAAGGATCCGCACTGACAAGATTGATCACAGGCCTCCACCCCTCGGACTGCCCCAGAGTGTCTTTCGCAAAGAATATCTGGCTGCGCTCATGCCACATGAGCTGGCCGAGCTCAAGCTTGCGGACCATGATATCGAGATGTATGATTTCGGAGGATTTGATCCCAATGAGCACAATAACGAAGCAATGGATACTAGTTAGATCCAATCACGTTGAGCCTCAACCTAGCAGGGGTGGTGAGCCGGAAGGCGGGAGATGAATACCCGAGCAGCCCGACTACACAACTACAGGACGTTGGGGTTTCTTGTGAATGCAATGCCGTACCTGTGGTAGATATAATATGTAGCTTGTCTTCGCTCTTACATGCTTGCATATTAATATAACCTTTCATATCTTTCGCACACGCTCCGAGTCAAATTTGCACAGAGAACTTATATTGAGGTATAGTACAGTGTCTATGTAGTCTTAACTGCCACTGAGATAGTAATTTTGATGATACGGGCAATGAGCAACAACAAAGACCATGAAATCAATCCTGCAAATGTGTTAACGACATTGAACGAACAATAAACAACATGACTCCTCACAGAGCACAGGTTGACGGCCACCACAAGATCATCAGATATAGCCCATCTCGCGCAGTGTGCAGCAACTTGATCCAGGTCTACAATTTCAAGGTCGCAGGAAAATTTCGAAGAGACTATTTGGGCCTCGAAACCATCCTCCCAGTAATCGGAAAACGGATCTGTGACGCACGCAGGTTGACTTCTATAGACTGCAAACTGAATAGAACCATTGCACTCTCGTCTGAAAATGTGTTGAATCTGGCCTGCAAGCCACTCTTGTCCCGGTTGGTATTTGGCTTCCGGTCGGAAGCAGATGAAGCTGTTGCCTAACGCATCCTCAATTGGAATTGTGTAATCACCTTTAGGTGCAGGAATACGAGTGAGAGACTCATACGGGTTTGTTCCAAGTAAATCCAATAGCCTCGATGTTGCAACGGCAGGTTTTGAGATTGGTTGCCTGAAATTACTGATGACGAGACCCGATGTTACAACAGGTGTTACAGTACCACTGGGAGTGGCCTCAGGCCTGCGGTCATAGTTATACGCCTGATCTAGAAGTTTCTGGCAGTATTGAAGAAAAGGCGGAGCGTTGGGTCGCATCAGCCACTGGCGAAAGGAAGCCCCTTTGCAAAAAGAGTGAAGGATAGTGTGTTCAAATTCGCCTTCACAATGAAAATGAGCAATGAAACAGACAGCTTAAACCTTTGTACTGACCTGGTTTGTGGTTTGTGGTGATACGTTGAAGTTTTCCGATTAGATTTTCGAACGGAAAGAGCCACCAGTGACGAACCCCACTGAATAAATCCATGAAATCAAAGATATGGAATGCGAGGTGGTGGGTAGGAAAGATCCATCCAGGAAAGTTCTTTTTGAGCCCCAAAACATGCAACCGTAGCAGATGACGAAATTGATCGCGGCGGCTCGAACTCAGTTTGCGTTTGACCATGATTGCAGATGCACAGACTAAGTGCATTGTGGTGTCGACAACAGATGTCATACTGGAGGCATTTGTAGCTGCTAATGGCGAAGTATTTTTCCACAAACTCAAAGTAGCCAATGGAACGTGGATCGAGAATAGGGTCCTCCAGTGGTCCGCTTTCAAGGTTCCGGCTTCATACAGCCCAACATTTCGAGGTGGGTTTGACACCCAAGTTGGGGTCTGAACTTCGCGGACAACTTGCTGAATTCTCTGCAAAAGACTTGAAGAATCCACATCCGTCGCATTCAATTGCTCAAGTGGCTTCGTCATCCTCTTAAAAACAAGAACAATGAGGACTACTAACATGAAGCAAGTACACTGATACATACCCAAATCATCAGTTGCCTGACCATATCATCCTTAGAAAATTTGCCGGCAGGGAGACGCTCAATGTCTATGCAAACAAATGCCAAAGAATCCCCAGGGAATTTCTTCAAGACTTTCCGAAGTTCGTCTTCTGGTTCACCTCGAGCTAATGGTTGTTGAAGAACCCGATGGATATTGCCAATGGCCAATGCAGAAGTGAAATTCATGGATTTGCTGAGTTCCGTTAGGAGTTCCGAGCATTCCTGCAGAGAAAGTTTGCGGGTCGTGACTATAGGATCATTGGGAGCACGGGCCCATGGCGTGACAGGGGGTGGAACATTTTTTGGCGTGAAGAAGGGCCATACAAAATCATCTGTCTCTTGGATCCCATTGATACGCTGGATATTACTCAAGACAAGCAGATGAGACAGAGAGAGAGAAACACGCACCCACTCTATCAGTATATTAGTCAATTGTTCCTTCGTCACATTAGCTTTTGTGATTTTTGAAGAAGCCCGATGTTGTGGGCATCTATCATCAGGAAATATAGCCAAATTGTCGCATATATAGAGAATGACGTTCCACTTCTGCTTATGGATTTTCCTATATAATACTTTCTTCTTTGACAAGGTTTCGGGAGCCTTCTCTGACAAATCATTCAGTATTTCCATGACTGCTTGAAACGCACGACTATCAGCAGTAATTTCGAGTTTCAGAGACTCTAGCCTAGTTTGGCGAAAGGCGCGATGTTCGGGAGAGAGGTGAGTCCAGTCTAATAAAGATAGTCGATTCTCGTCTGTTGGCTGTGGAACATATCCGACTACGCTGCTCCATCGTCGCGGCGGCACCTCCATCTCCCGGACTAATGATGACAAAGAGGGAGGCGGGGTGAATTGGTGATAAAATGCGAGTTTAAACCTAGGCTTTTTGCGAGTTTGTTTGGAATTATCGGGATTGTCAAGGCCAAGGATGTCTCGAAAATACCTCTGAAGGAGGATGAGAAACATTGCATGCATAGGATCAATACCCATTTGACAGAGACGCCAATACGGAAGACGCCAAAGTTCCGAAAACCGGGTGCCGAACAGTTCTTCAATGGCCTTACGATCCTTAAGCAAGGCATTACGCCACTGTTCAGCCGCTCTTCTCAGTAGTCCATCATCGAGGGGTTTCCAATTCTCATAATCAGTGCGCCCAAGATGGGATATATGCCAACAATCGCACATGAAGCAAAAGTGGTGGGACGTGACATCTAGAAAGCCACAGAACGGTCGTGCCGCTTTGAAATCCATCAACGCTAAGGCGAGAGCAACACGAGATACACGGCCATAGGGAATATCATTGTTGCGAGTGCGAAATGTAGCGTAGGGTCGAACACCTCGCGTAAACCCCTTCACCAAGTCATCTATCAACGGCCTCAGATAATGACAGTGTTCTGCGTCACCTGCATTGGGCTCGTGTGGACCTCGTATTATCCCTGGCATGTAGAGGTAGGCATGGTCGTTTCGAATCTCTAATGGGAGATTCAGACAACTCATGGCCATCATCCCAGTGGAAGATGTCTTTCCACGAATGCGATTCCCTTCGACGTTGAAGAAATCCGCATTGAAAACGAAGAACCAACGTCCCTCTTCCCCACGATTTGCAATGAATAGCTGGCCATCATGTGCACGGAACTCGTGAAAAAACCTTCCATCTGTCTGATCTGTTTTGTCATTGGGTATGGTTTGGTGGCTGCAAACGGTGTCACAGAATTTATCGCCGTACTCTTCAATGCCAGGAAGTGCGAGAAATTTTCCGAACCAATCGAAAAAGGGATAGTACTCGAAAATCTTCAGAGGTTTCCCGTGTAACAGCAATGATGCACCACAGGGTTCCTCTGATGGAGCCTTCCTTTCTGAGCAAACAGATGGATATACGGGATGGGAAGGGTCGTTCGGATAGGAGGGAGCATGTGTATAGCTGCATTTTGGACAGACAGCATAAGGAACACAATCAACGTCTAGATTGAATTTGCCTTCCAGTGTCTCAATGGTTTCAGGAATACCAGCGAGCGTCGCCTCCTGGTCAGAATTGAGCCCCTGGCCACCTAAGATTGCTATCGAAAACCCAAACATCTTCACTAACTTCAGAATCAAGCTTGCGCCACGCTGTGCGGTCCGTTCGAAAACCCGGGAGACAAGAGCGAGACAATAGGCGATGATGGTTGGAGTGTTCTTCCCCTCACCTGGATCAAAGAAGTACTTTCCTGAATATAGATTACTTGAGAATAGACTAACATAAAATTCAGAATAAGATGCATACGGTTGTTGATTTTTATTGGCGAAGAGTCAGGATATTTCAGCCTCCACATACTAGTAGTCTGATCCAATGCATCCAGCATCCCTCTCGCCTTTGTGACCTCTTCGGAAATGGCAGAACGGGTGACGAAGGAAATTTGGTGACGAAGAACTTCTGATCCGTCCTCTACTACGCATAGAGTTTCATGTATCTCTGTCATGTTGTGAGATGGCGACATATGCTGAATCTTCTCCTCGAGTTTGCGAATCGCCTGGGTCAAGCCTGAAACGGTGACTAAAGCTCGAGTGGTGCGCTTGTTGCGTTTCTTCGGATCACCGAACTGTAAACGACCTTGGGCATCAGGCACCAGTAGCGGTTCCAACGAATCGTTTGAAACCACTGAGCTACCCGATGATACCTTGTTACTGAGCATAGAATTGACCTTTTGTAATGTGTCCTATCAGGTTCTGATATCCATATTTCGATAGTGATAGGTACTTACAGCTTCTTTGGTTACTTCTGCTTGAAATTCCTCGAACATAGCGTCTATGGACTTCGACCGCGAAGGATCAACTCGGGAAAGGTTTGAAGAAATCCCAGCAGCCATGACTTTCTGACTGTACTCCGATTCATCGGTACGCAAAAGATTTTGATATTTTTGTATAGACACATGGGTTCGTGCATCCAAGGAGGTTGTTTTATGTACATTAGAGCGATGTAAAGATTCCAAAGGCTCATCTTTCAAACCTGCAAGTAGATCTTTGTATGAGGCCATGCAAGTGGGGAGCAGGAGTCGCGACAACACCCGGCGCTAAACTGACTTGATTTGTTTAGATAATCGATAATCTACTGATCACTTAAGGGCGGCATGCATGTTCTTTCTAATATCCTGAGACTCTACTTCCTCTCGTAGCTTACAGGAACCTTGCCCAGCTCAACTGTCAAGAGATGTAAGGAATCGGTTCTGCTTTTCCCCCCTGGTGTTAACTTTTCCTAATCTTGAAGGCCCTATACGGAAACGGAAATAAGACGACATGTCAATGTCTGTGCTTTGTTTTATAGCTATGTGCGCGATTGTCTAATGAATCTTTGCAGAAACTTGCGCGACAGGTCCTCCGCGATCTAATTAATATTGATGACCCTACTGAATGGCAGGAGTTCATTGTCCCCGCCGATGAGCTAGGTCTATACCTTGCAGACCCGAACGTGTATGCTTTGCCTACCCCTCCAATAAAGCTTGACCTCTCTGCGGATACTGCCCCGAAAATGCGACATTCACCCTGGAATCAGATGGTCATCTCTGTTCTTGCTAATGAGGCATCGGAACGGGCATCCTTGAACCCCGTGTATTATGGAATCAATGAGCAAACGATGGACTGGTGTGCACTTTTCAAAGAGCGGACATCCCGTATCTTCCTTGATGTTTCCAAGGCCAAGGCTGGCGTCAAAGATTATGTTTATGAAAGGAAGAAAGCTGAGAATCGGAGAAGAAGGTCGCGCCAGTATGTACGTACATTTATTTGCACCCTGGTCTTATTTTGACTGACAAGTGCTCAGAAACTCGATCGCCGCGTTCAGATTGCTTCAGTTATGGCGAATCTTGCACATACTCTCGGCAATGTGGAACAGTACACTTGTTGGGCTCATATACTCGATTCCTTGAACCGACTCGGGGTTGTTGGAATGTCTGACGATGAGGAAACACTAGACACTCAAGGACAGCAGGGGATCATTGTGTATGAGCCTGCATTCCGCAATCCCGGGTTCAATATAGTCTATGACCGAGTCGACTCAACCAGAGAGATCGAAAAATCCATATTCACTGCCGTTGGGCGAAAACAGCTTCCTAGGATCCGTGGATATGACCGTGTCGAGCGCTCTCCTCCAGCAAATCTCCCTCGGTCGTACTACCACCCCGATTATCTGAATGCAATGGAAAAAGGAGTTGTTGCTAATGTTGCAATCGCGATTGATGAAGAAACTGCTATTCCTAGGTACGAATCACTATGCAAATGACAATGTTTTGTTCAAATCCTTTGCCCTTAGCTTGCCTACCCAAAGGTTTCTGGTTCCCGAGAACATGTCCATGTAGGTGGGGTTCACTTCCGCGAAGCCAAAGAGCTACCCAGCATGCCTTAACATGTACATTTGTCAAAATATCTGTTTCGTAACCATGTGTACATAAATTTGAATGAGACTAGTTTTATTCAAAGCGGACAATCAGAGGGACTTTCGGGAAGACGGCAGTCATAAAACAAGCATAATGTATGGGTGAGAATAGACGAGAATAGATAAGTATGGTCCAGCCAATTGAGTGGGGATGATCACTTTGCTGTGCGCTTCGCTCCCTTCGTCTCGACCACCGCAGGACGGACATCCGCTACCATCTTCTCTAATTTCTGTCTCCGAAGCACGGACTTCTGGTATTTTAGATGGTTTCGAATGAAATCGTCGAGGGCCCAGAACCCCCTATATTCCTTCAAGAACACGTATTTCGCGACAGCCTAGCACAAAAGTCAGAGCATGAATCTTACAATGACTCTCACTTACTTCATGTCGGACCTTCTTCACGTTTACCGCACGTTGCTCGCTCATCGGAAGTTCACAATCCAGGTTATCTTCGACAAGCTTATTGATGTATTTCTGTAATGCCTTGATGATTTATGGTGCAGTCCAAGGATTCTAGATGCGTACCTTTACTTTGTCGTATTTTTTCCTTGGCCACGATAAGACCTCAAACAGGGAGTAACCACCGCGACCTGGCCTTCCAACTTCACCGGGTGGTTTTGGTATCAAAAAGTCATCATCGGAATCATCTTCGAAGACAAGGGGAGGTGGATCGTGCTTCTTCTCTGCCGAAGACGTACGAGCCTTTCTTCCATCATTTTTAGGGGCTGAATCGTTTAGAGTGGAATTGGAGGTAGATGTATGTTCTGTGGCCGAAGCAGAGTGATCTCTGGATCTGGAGAATGTACTGGATCCATTGTCGGAGACGAAGGAGACCCGTCTAGTGCTTCGCGAACGTGCAAGCCGCTCTCGGTCAGAATCATGCTCGAGCTCACTAGACAGAGACTCGATGGACGAAAATAACGACAAAGTTGATGGGGGTGAAGGCGAATTGTGTCGAACAGGTAGTGGCTCAGGATCCGGAGAAGGACTGCTGTAGGGTGATGCTCTGCGTGAGGTTTTCTGCGTGCGTGTTGGTCCGGAAGATGGAGAAATAACGACGTGGTCAGTCGGGTTTGATGCTTTGGAAGGAGTATGGATCTCCTTGTGGTCCGCACATAGAGGGCGATGGTCAAAATTGCTGTAGGGATTCATGGCTGAGTAAAGGATACCTTAATGAAAATAGTACGCACCTTTTATATACTGGCTCCCTTTGAAGGATCTGAAGAATTAAGGATAAAGGCGAGCGAAAAGGGAAATAGAAAGCGACAACTTCAAAGGGCGGATGAACAGAAAGATAATGGTCCTTGTTCATTAGCAACGACTGTAAAGCCTCATGGACCTGAACGGGAGAGGACCGGTCGGCAGTCGCCGTCATAAATTCCTTACTAATATTTTGAACACTTCTGCTATTACTACTTGATTCGATGAGCTCTCAATATCAAGCACTTTCCACCTTGTCAGGTCCACGAGATGCCGTTGTATCTTTGGCTTTTTCAGGCAAGGCAAAATTTCTTTCTGCTGTTGGTAAGTACCTTGGTTTCCCTGTTCAGCTGTCTCCAAAATTCCATTGTTAAGGCTACAGTGGCGTGTGTGTATGGGACCTTTCGACTTCTGCTGCAACCCCCCTTCCTCATATGCTCTTCGCGCCTCAAAATCCGAAATATGTTATAACCACCTCGGTTTGGGTCTACTTTCAGAAAAATAAGCACCATATTTTGGTCTTAGGTTCCATGCGAGGAGACGTTATACTCTGGGACTGGAAAGATGACACCAAGGTATAGACACACAATGTTTTTCAAAGCGTATCTCATATGTATATAGTCTTTCCAATTACTCTTCCGAGTTCCTCCGATAGAAAATGCAGAAGATGAAATACTCTCGATGGATGTTTATGAACAAGACATTGCCTCCGGCCGAATTGGAAGGGTTGTTGCAGCGACGGTCAACCGACGCGTCACCGTTTGGACTTTATCCTCATCTGGGGAGTTCGCTCAAGTGTTTACCACTGTCCTCGATCCAAACGTCAATCCCAAGACAGTCCGTATGTGCAAAATTACTCGAGATATTTTTGTGTTTCCATTCTATGGAGGTGAAATGTGCGTAACCGCTGTTTTTTTTCTGCCCTTACGGTTACTTAATCCACATCAGTCATTGCTTGGACTACAAAACTGGTGCTATAAAGTATTGTAAATCTCATGGGCCTGGAATTATGTACGGAGGAACTTTTTATGTTTGGTCTGCTATTCACTCTTGCGTCAGGGGTTCTGTTGCCTTGAGTAACACAAGCAAACACTTCGTTGCCTTTACGGGAAAGAATTTTCAACTCTATCGCCTCGGCAGCCTCGAACTTTTGAAGACTTTTACCGCTGAGACACCAGTTGTTCTATTTCCCAAGCACGTCACATTTGGAGAACTGGAGAACATCATTGTTGGAGGAACGGATCGCGGCTGTGCTCTAGTATACGATGTCAACAGTGAAGAGGTTCTTCAGACCCTCAGTTATCCTCGAGGAGGCCTTGTTCAGCCCGTCGCAGTAAGTGTTCTTGAGTTACAGTTTTCACCTGTTATATCCAAGTGATTTACACCTTAGACAATTACCCTGCCTGAGCGACACTTGATTGCTATCGCGGGCTCCACCGCTCAACAGGTGGCAGATGTTATTGTTTTCGAGAAGCGAAATACAGCGGAAGAAATCCTCTCCGATCTTGCAACTGATGTCTCAATGGCTTCTTCAGCTGATCCTTCCCCTGATTCTATCCTCATTGGCTTCTACCTGCCAAAGAAGGTTTGGAAGTGGATGCGTATCCTAGGCATTGTGATGTTTTCCTTGGCCTGTTTAGGTTACTTCGATGTTCTACACGTTCAGCCATCTCAGGTTCGTACTTATTTGCATCAGATTGTTGGATTTATGACTGATGAGAGGGCCTAGATTTCTCTTTTTCATCGCGATTCTTTGAGACGAAAGTTGGAAAAAAACATCAAGAAGAATTCACGCAGAGAGACTAGCTCAGATGAATATGCCGATGGTACCTACAGGACGAAGAAGCACGTAATCCTCAATGGGGAACACAAGTGCCAGTTAAACTCGGATGTTTCTGAGAAAGCGCTTGTCGTCGTGGACTAAATATGTGTCGATGTAAATCTTGTATCTTAATTCTAATCATCTCTGGAGCGTATAGTATTGGAGTGAGCCCCAGTCACGTACGGTTAGGTTAAGCCCGATGTTAGTTGAGACTAATGGGAAGCTGATTTCCCTCAGATCACCCCGTTTGTCGGTGTCGCCCAGTGAGCTGGCATCGATGGGACTTGTACCGGGTTTGAGTCGGGTAACAGTCTCCCGCCTCTCGGTCAATTTGTTTCTTGACCGGAAAAGTAAATATGTTCCAAAAGTAAAAGGAGAACAATTCCTATACATTTCTCGGTCTATAAAGGGAAAATATAATCCAGGGAAATTGTTTCAGAAAGGAAAAACAATACCAATTTCTTTTCCCTTTGGGATTATAACTGAGAAATAGTTTCTTTTGTCGTCGAAAAGGGAAATTAGTCTCACTAAATATCTTTCGCAGGATATTAACTGGGAGAGAAAATAATTCGCATAAAATTTCTATCCTATGATATGTAAACTTTCCTAAACAAGAAATCAACTGAGAAAGGAAATTTTTTCCATATACTTTCTCAGCCAATTTCTCGACCGGTATTTATTGCTCCAGGCGCAGTGTGATGAAGATGAAGACGATGGAGACGATGAAGACGCTTACATGTACTATGCCTATGGACCGACTGCTCTTTTCAAGACACGACCTGAACTTCAAGCTTCAATATCAGTATTTTTGATTAGGTCCTCCGATGAATCCCCTTTGCTGCCTGCAAAACTTTTCCACTTCACTCAGGAACTCCCTATTTCCCTTTATGATTCTCCGCCTGCTATTCATCCCTTCAAGTCACTGATTGTGTGGCCAATTGGTAGAGGTGATGTTTTGTTCGCAGACTTCTCATGCCAGTCGTACTTCACGAGAAAACTGCGGCTGACAACTTCTAATAGTAAGTTTCAATATCCGTGTTGTTACTGTTGTTTCATTTATTTACTCCTTGATAGGTGCTCATATATCAGTGAAATGTCACTTCTCAAACTGTGGACAGTACCTTTTTATTGCTGCCTTCGAAGGCCAACGCAAGCCTGCTAAAAAAATGGAGGATGCAATAGGAATCAAAGTCGCTTTGCTGGTTCTAACCTACCGACTTTCCGAAAGCAAGACAACGAGGAGCCCGCCTCGTTTAATACATCGAACACGGCTTGATCTGGGTCAAAAGAGTTCAATCGCAGTATCAAGCTTTCCTTTCACACTCACTTGGACATCGACAAACGTTTATCTCACATGCAGTGATAATACGCTCAAGGTATTTCGGATTGATTTATTCTCGTCGACGGCAGAAGTACAAAAAACATGTCATACGGTTGCAGTCCCCCAGAAAGCGATAATTCTCCCGAGTACTGCCACCAAAAGAAAAGTTCATTATATGCCTCCTACACCAACGGACTTGAAGGCGAAAATTTTAATCGAGAGCGAGGCGCGAGTCAAAGGAGATTTCGAAGTCAAAACAGAGCTGCATTTAGGTTATGAGCATCATCGCGGAGGTGGCGTGTTTGGTATGGAAGGCGCACCAGTCCCGATATCCCCTCCAATCGGCTGCTTTGTTGATGAAGATCAAGACCTTGGGTGCTGGGGCCCGTGGAAAGACCTTGCAGATGTGCCAGACGATTTCGGAATTGGACATCTCGATCGACGGTTGGAAAAATTCGATTTCGATGACGATTGTGATTGTACGTTTATCATTTCTTCATTATCTGAACGTTGATTGACGAGAAACGCAGTGGAACCGTATATTTTTTGAAGCGCGTTGTCTGCCCATCTTCTTGATCGTGAAAAGCATGAATAAAGCCATATAATAACAGGTTCATGTGGCTTTCGTGAGTGTAATCTATACATAAATCTGTCCCTGAAAATAAAACAGGTATGGCGGTTAGACCAGGATTCAACCCAATTGGATGCGAGTGAAACCTCCCTTTTTGTTTTTCTCAAGCGAAAGGAACGTCGAGTGAAGATATTGAGTAAATATGGCTGCTTCAGATGAGCCGACAGGCTAGAATGTAAACTTTATTCACAACTAGCGGCTTCTCGCTTTCTTCAAGGATATAAATCCATGACCTTGTGCGTGTGGGGCGATTATTATGGCTAAGCTATCTCACTCGTTCATTGTGGCCTTCGTTGTTTTCTCCTTTGTGTATGCTCGTGTATGGAACGATACAGGGAACGGGACAATAGTTTTCGAGGAGGCATGGACAATCCCTGAACTTACAACGTAAGTTTTTTTTTTTGCTTGGTACCGCTAGATACACTGACAATATTGGGTGTAGTGACACGGGGACACTCAGAGCTAACCTTCTTGATATCCACAATCAGCGGCTTACGCAGATGGATCAAAATGGTATTGACTTTGTACGCTTTTACTTTTCTTTGATTTCGAACTGTTACCTCCCTATTGTTTATTGACAATCTTTCAACATAATACAACTAACTTCACCTATGTTACTTTGTCAGATGGTCCTATCCTGTGCCTCTCCTTGCATTCAGGGCATTTCCGACCCCACTGTTGCTAATGCAATGGCCATCAATGTGAACAATCAGCTCGCTGCTCAAATCTCTAACAACACGCTTCGTTTCGGAGCTTTTGCCGCCCTATCAATGCACAATGCATCGGAAGCGGCTGCGGAGCTCAAAAGGACAGTCGAAGAGCTGGGTTTCCTGGGGGGGCTTGTTAACGATTATCAACAAAGTGGAGAAAATAATGGCGAGTATCCCATGTTTTGACGCTCAGTCCCCTCTTTCCTGGCAAGCACAACTACTGAAAAAGTCTTCCAGATACTTTGATTTACTACGACCAGCCCGACTTTGATATCTTCTGGCAAATGGTGACTGAGCTTGATGTGCCGGTGTATTTTCACCCGCGTACAAACGTTGAACCTATTTCGACCTTGCTCTACGGACATGCACCGTGGCTTCTAGGCCCAGGACAAGAGTTCGCCGTCACTTTATCAAACCATATCCTTGGGCTATGTACCAATGGGGTATTCGAGTAAGCTTCTCATTTGGCAATTGAAGGTCTAGTTTCACTCATCGGGTCTTCTAATTTATGACCTTGACAGTCGATTTCCTGATCTCAAAATCATTGTAGGCCATCTTGGAGAGCGAATTCCGTCAGACCTTGTTCGTATTGACACGCGTAAGTTGATTTGTTGTTACAATCTCTTGTCTCTACATTTGGGCTAGACATTTTGTCCTATATTCAAACTAATATACTCATATCGTCTTTAGAGCTCCTCCGCCAGGTACCTCTCGGGATGCCAATGCTCCGCAACGTCTCGACGTATTTCCACACCAATCTTTACGAAACCACTTCCGGCAACTTCGCTACTACTCTCCTCCAATTTCACATTCAGGAAATCGGATTGGATAGGATATTATTTTCTATCGACTATCCATTCGTGGATATACCTTCCGGGGCGACTTGGGTGAATGGTCTGGATGAGGTGCTGACGCCAGAAGAGCTGTTGAGCTTGAAAAGAGGAGCGGCAATTAAACTACTCAAGCTTAACGATTGACCTGCTAGTGACCCATTCTTGTGCCTCCTTCCCGCGGCCGATTCAAATTGACACCTATCTTAAGTACAGGTGGGGATAGGTGTCGAGTATGGTAGCGAGGTACATCGGCCGAGTGTCAAGATTCCATCTGTTGAATGAAACTACTAGTTCTTTAGCCTCCGTAGTAGTCGTAGTGTTTCGCCTTGCCTGCATTGCGGTGATATAAAATGTATTTTCAACCAGTTCCTAGTTCTCCAGTTCCTTGCCTGTAGTGCTATTTGTCTTATGCCACCACTTCAGGTTGCGTTTATAGCGGTTGTGTTTAGCACACTGCTCTTCATCAACCAACATGTTGAGGCCCGCACAATACACTGGCATGATACAGGAAATGGTTCGATTGCGTTGGAGGAGGCATGGTTGGTCCCCGAGTTGGGCGTGAGGTAAGTCCTGATTCGTATCGTTGTGAAAGAAGACGAATCATCGTTGCTAGTCTTGCGGCTCCGCCACTAGGTGAGTACTTCGAGTATCTTCTGAATTGGTATTGGCCTATTGTGATCATAAACCAACTCTCTCAAGGTCAAACAAGTGCTGAACTCAATGCCAATCTCCTCGATATACATAATCAACGCCTTGCCCATATGGTCGCAACGCAAGTGGATTTTGTAAGTTTTCCCCTGTTTTCCGGTAATGGACGCAATAACAATCTTGTAACAATCAGATGGTTCTCTCCTGTGCTTCACCTTGCATTCAAGGCATATCGGATCCTTCCACAGCTGAATCAACGGCAGTTCGCATTAATAATGAGTTGGCGGCCCAGATATCTGATCCCTCAGCAGGGAATAGCACCGGTAGATTCGGAGCATTCGCTGCCCTGTCAATGCACAATGCAACCGCAGCGGCAGCAGAATTGAGAAGGACGGTAGAGGAGCTAGGATTCCTTGGTGCACTAGTGAATGATTATCAGCAGAGTGGAGCGAACAATGGTGAGTTTGCCTAAGTCGGTTGGCCAGATACAAATTTGCTAAAGGCGAGCATCCCTCCGTCCATTCCCTCTTCACAGACACCCTCCTCTTTTACGACCAACCGGAATACGATATATTCTGGTCTACGGTCATTGAGCTTGACGTTCCAGTCTACTTCCATCCCAGAACAAACGTCGCGCCCATTTCCACGTTGTTATATACCCAAGCTCCGTGGTTGAGGGGCGCTGGACAAGAGTTTGCCGTAACATTATCGAACCATATTTTGGGATTGTGCACGAATGGAGTGTTCGAGTAAGTACACGCGACGCATTTTTGCTTTGGTTCGAGCTCACCATATCTCAGTCGTTTCCCTTCCTTGAAAATCATTGTAGGCCATATGGGAGAACGAATTCCCTCTGACTTGGACCGTATAGATAAAGGTGGGCTTTCAAGCTTATAAGCTTATCCCATTCGAACTCAACTTTTCGGACCGGTTATGCATAGAAATCGCACGCCAAAAAGTCCTTGGAATGCCCATGCTCCGCAATGTTTCGTCGTATTTCGAGACCAACATCTGGACCACCTCATCGGGTTCGTTTTCCCCTGCATTGCTTGAGTATCACAAAGAGGAGATTGGATTAGAGAGGATAATGTATTCGATTGATTATCCGTTTGAAACTATGGAGGACGGAAAAGTATTCCTGGATGAGCTCGAGGATGAGTTGACGGAAGAAGAGCTGAGAAAATTCACCAGGGAGACGGCAATTGCATTGCTCAAGTTGGATGGATGACAGTGGTAGATCAGTAGTGTACTAAATGCTGTATCTAATAGTTCAAAGACCGGAAAGGATGAAGAGATCTGAGTGGCACGAGACAGAAAAAATTCGCACATGTGAATAATCATAAATGCGTTCTGAAAGCATCAATAAGTATTGTGCAAGCCGTTCTACTGGATAGTATGTCCTGGTCCAATAAGTATGTCCGGGTATGTACATTACAAAGTAAAGTAGGTAGTATGTAACAGTTAGACTCTATAGCACGGTTCATCTAATTCTATTTGTTGGTCTAGTCCAACATTGTGCTGAGTAGGTGGTTATTAAATGCAGTAATAGTGGCTTCGGGCCAGGTAACAGTTTTAGAGCCATAGTATATCTCCCGCTGACCTGGAACAACACCATCTGGTAAAGCTCCTGGGTCATTGGATGTAGTTGTGTCCTTTGCAGTGGCATTGACTAGTCCGGTGTACATATCGCCAACGAAGAAGTCACGAATGAACGCAAAAACACGCTCAGGATGGACGGTATTGATTTGATGGCCTGCCCCATATACCAATGCATACATAAGCCCTCGTTCTTCGTGGACGATTCCGCTAGGTATCCCATTGTCGTCGTACCAGGTCGTGTTTGGACGTTGTGTAAACCCTTGGATGCCATCCCAGGTCGTGTTCTGAGTTCAGGAAACGTAGCACGCAGGTAAGTTTCATAAAAGTGGGAGGATGGCATGCATCGCGTACCTGTATCGCGACTTCCAAGCTGAAATGTGCACTTAGTGCATCATCGTTTCCGGAAAACCACAAAATCCCGATATTCTCCGCTGTTGCATTGGCCATAAGCTCATCCATGAAATCAATGGATCTAGGGTTCATTCTCGATTTTGTTGTGCATGTGAGTAGTGGAGAGAAGTACTCACGGAGAGCTCGAGTCAATGCCCTCAGGATTTTCCCACTCGTAACGTATGTACGAGTCCCAGACTTTGTTATGAGGAGCGTGGATAGCACTGCGTGTAGTATTATCTGCCGAATAAAAAACGAAAATTTGAGAGGTGGTTCGCAGCCCGTATGAACACACATACCATTCATCCAGTGCTGGGGTCGCACAAACCCTGCCCGGGGACTGTTTACGTATGGAATGTCGGTGATATCAAAGTAGCTTGCATCCTTGAGTTCTGCTACAACGTAAGACGCATTATCAGTCGCTCATTTATGAAACATGTAAAATGAACTCACACCACGGGTAAGTGTAATTTAATGTGTATTCAAACACCATATCTCTGATATCGCACCCATAATAATCGTTGATCTTCTCCGTTAGCGTTGTGTTGAAGCCAGGAGAGTCACTTTGGCGACGGGATTGCGACCTAGCCCGCTTACTCCACGGCGAGTTGAAATTCTTGGGTGGCACATTCCGGTTGCTACCTCCGATCAAGTCTGAGTCCCTTCGACTCAGTCCGGGCACCCGATCTCCGATGCTCCCGTACTTCACTTCGATTGAAGGAAACTTGCCTCCCAGTTGCGGATAGGTGAGATTCAAGTCATGCCCGCACAGATGATTCTGCTCGCGGATGTAGTCATAGAAGCTTGTATCATACCCAATCAACTGAGGGTACGTCTCCACTACTTGCAAAATCGGGATGTTCTCGAAAACAGAGGCGTCCAACAAGGCAGGGGAGGAGCAGCCAGCTTTGCGGAATTGCACACTACGGCGAGAGGCATCGAGTCCGAAGTAGGCCTTGAGAATATAAGGTATGAAGCGTCCTGCGTAAGATTCGCCCAAGAGGTAGAGTGGTCGCGTTTGAAGCCCAGGAAACACTTTCGTCAGGTTTTCAAGGAAAGCTAGCTGATCTAATGTCAATTGGTTCAAAAGATAAAACGATTAGAAACGTACGAAATCTGAAGCAACTCTCTCCTCGTCTCCCGCAGCCCCTCCCAGTCCTGACGTAGAATATCCGGTACCAACAGGCGAGTCGACGAAGAACTTGAATCGAGTTATTTAGAGATCATGAATTCGAGGTCACAACTTCAACATACCACATCAGTGAAGTTATGCCAACTGTATTCATTGCGGGCTAGTCCACTTGGAGTCATGATGTTTGGACCAATGTTCTCCACAAGGGCCGAAGCCATGGATGAATAACCTGGCCCTCCTGCAAGGTATACCACCCAAGGATCACTTGAGTTCGTTGAAGTTATAGAACCATTGAATGTTTCGAATCCCCAGAAAAAGAGGGTGTTGTTGGGCATATCTGGCGTCTCTGTAGATATGCTACCAGCAAAAGAGCGAGGGGAAGTCCAAGTCACGTTAGGTAGGGAATCTACGACCTCGAAATCTGTAGCAAAGTGTCAAGTTTAGCGAAAGAAAACACATCACGAAAGAGTAACATACACTGAGGCCATCCTTCTTCACTATATGCATATAAAGGCATCCCTTGATATGTGTGCGGTGAACTCCATGAGCGGGATTTAACGAGGCTGCAAATGGATAAAACGAGCGTGAGGACAGTCCAGACAGCGGACATGCCAATTGAAGCAATGAAAGAGTGTGTTGAGAGAAATAAGGAAAGGGTACGCGAGGTTGAATCTATAAGTACCCGAATCGCGTAGAGGTGGAGCACGATCCATGGAGTCTCCACGAAGTACAACGGTGAACTTGCAAATTTGCCTGCCGACTAATTTCGTCCAAAACGGGAACAAATATTCCATATTTGGACGAAATGGCGCCAACTCACACTCCGCTTGATCTCACACTGAGAATGCCCACTTTGTTCGATGTACAAAGCTTCATAGAGAATTAAAACCATTTGAAATAGCAGTTCCAAATCATATCCGTACAAACACTACTTGTGTACTTTCACCGATCTTCACACTTCTTCACAACGGCGCAACGGACGCTGACCGCGGAATCTGATATCAGAATGAGAGAGGCTCACTATGCCTACGGGCTAAATTCAAGATATCACTAGGTTCGCCCCACAGAGACATTTCCCCCGACTCTGTGTCCCATACATCACCAGCACCTGTGTGTCGACGGAACTCCAAACTAACACGCAATAATCTCCGCATCGTGTTTACTACTTCCTCTGCATCGGGTCGAAGGTCGGGTACATCATGCCAGCACCTCGTTGAGATGAATTTCCATTGAGAATCGGTTATGAATGATGCATTAGGCCGGCGAGGCTTTCTACCTTGAGCCAGTTCAAAGATGACTTGGGCATCGCTGCGGATGTAGTGATATGGTATGCGACCAGAAAGGATCTGAAAATCCTTAAATTATTACATGGTGCCCTAGATGCGGACACTTACTTACCTCTAAAGTGACACTGCCGAACGAGTATATATCACTCTTTGCTGTTAGCATTGGCATTATCCCTTGCTGCTCATCCGAGGGCTCTTCCATTTCCGACTGAGCAGCTTGAGCCATGAACAGGGTGGCGTCGGCCCAGCGTATTGCCCCGCTGATTGTCGAGTGAGTCGAAGACGCGCCCTGATATTCATTAACTATGCTTGAGAGCCCAAAGTCACATAGGCATGCATGTTTGTTGTCGTCAATCAATATGTTAGACTATCATGACGATTATAAGTAGAGTTTCGGAGATTTGGAAATATATGGTGGAAAACGGACGCACGCCAGTGAGATCTCCATGTACGATACCACGAGAGTGTACTAATCCAAACATTTGAGTCAGGTCTGGATGATAGAACATACGAACGACTCACAGTAACATAGACCCTCCGCTACTTCACAGAGCAGCTGCAGTCGATCCGTCATAGACAAAATATCACCCCACTTCTCCATGTATCGGCTGACACTTCCGTTTTCCATCCAGGGACATACCAGAGAATCGTATGGTCCAAATCCGGATGTGATTCCGTAAAGAGGAAGGATGTTTGGATGATTTAGTTGTTTCCATACGTCAAGTTCCCGAGCAAGTCTCTAAGATGATCAAAGCAGATCAACATTTGAAAAATGCTAAGGCATGGAAGACTTACCCTCTTTAGGATTATCTCGTTCTCAGGATTACCATAGTTCGATCGTATAACCTTCACTGCAACCTGTCACAAATTCAGAGCACGGATGAAGTTCAAAATCAATGACACGTACCTTCAACTCCTGTCCGTGTCCGTCCTTCCTACTGTTCAGGATCGCCCTCCAGACATCTGAATATCCGCCTCCTGCGACTGCGCATCCTCCCACTAGTGAGATTTGACCGGTAAAGTCCATGACTCGCTCTGATACTGCGATTTCATACACTATATTATGTTTGAGTGATTATCGTGCAGTTTTGAGCAGATGACCAGCTCACCAAGATCACCTTCGGGCGGAGGCGTAGGAGGCATCACCATGTGTTGGAATTCTGTTGGATCCCGCATTACACCACCCACAGCAATCGGGCTCAAAGGAGTGATAGAACCTTTACTCCCAATACTGATGGAGGTAAACAGCGTTGGAAGCATGTTTGGGCTGAGAACGTCTTCAAGCTCCTGTCCCTCCTCTTCAAGCAGCTGTTGATGAAGCGAAGACGACTCCGAGTGAGGCCCTTTCCTAGCGATGAGACTCCACGGCCGAGGATGAGAATGACGTCGACCGTTGCTGGATTCAGGGCTAAGATTAAATTTGGCGAGTTCTGTTGATAAGTCGTCGGGAAAGTCTTCTGACAGGGCGAGGCTCTGAACATCTCCGTCATCCCCATCATATCCCTCAATTTTGGTATTTGAATGAGGTGGTTTTCCGCCTGGGTTGAATGATGTGTAGCGTGCATCAATAACCGTATGAACGAACTCTTCCAAAGCGGAGGTCCATTGATTGTATTGGCCTTGTCCTGAAGGACATTGAAATAATAAGCTCAATGTAGACAGAGCGAAACGCGATGCTTGATCCTGATTTAAATTTGGACTCCAATCCAACTCGAAACAATCTGGATGCAATATATATGTTGGCACGATAATCAAGAAACTAAACGCGGTTTTTGCTTACCAGAATCGAGCAGCCGTAACTCCACCATTTCCTTGGTCGGAATAGCATAAATAAGGTTTAAAGGTACAGTTCTTCTTAGAGCCGGGCCCAGCTCCCATGGTCTAACGGGATATCTAGCTGAGCCTAAATGTTCGTCATTGTATCCGTGACGGCGACTATTTCCTTGTGGTCCAGGTAAACAACATAAAAGCATGGCATCGAAAAGAAAAATCTGATATAGAGCAGAACCCGAAGTTGTTTCAGTATCTTCGGCGACCAACTCATCATCTAAAATCAGTGTTCCAAGTTCAGCCGGGTCAATGATTGGTCCGCTACGTGAGGTCCCGAGCGAGTGCCAATGAAAAGCACGCCCTTTGAGTATTTTCACAGCGCGCAAGGTACGAAGTTCCCAGCTCATTTCGTTGATCCCAGCGGAAATGTGTGTCATTTTAAGAATGGTGCTGCAAAGTGTATCATGCTGTGAACGATGAATTTCAGTAGAAAGAGTGTCGGGGAGGGTAAGTGATAAAATGTGCTGTATGAGAAACGGTGTTGAGATGTGGTTGGCAATGGAGGAAATGGCGATAGATATACCTGTAAATGTTCACAATAATCTGATATTCGAGTAGGAAGATAGGAAAGAATGTCGAGGAGCATCTGAGCGTGCGCTGCGAGAACCGGCTGTCGTATTTTTAGATGAAATGAAACCAATGTTCAAAAAAAACCGACACACCTCGAGCGTGCCTATAATTTGTTCAAAATATTCATACAAAGATACATAAGAAGTACAAAGAGAGCGATAAGTCGATGCCATGTTGTTCTGGACGGATTGTTGGTCAAAAGAAAACAGTATTTCCCAGTCTGGAGAACCAAGAAAGGAAGAGTCCAGTTCAGCCTGCTGAAAAGAACTGAGCACACGATCATGGTATTGCCGCAATCTTTTCTCAATGACTACCACAGATTCCAGGGCGGTTTCTAGAGCCTTTGACTCGCAAGATAGAAAAGCGGCGTGGTCCTGCGTGGGGTACACAAATCAACAGTTGGAAGACGTAATGGACTCTAATAGTAAGATTAACCCACAATGACCATACGTAGGAATTCAACATGAATATGTTCACTTTCCACGAGTTCTTCCATAGCAGTAGATTTACGGCTTTCAGTATCTTTTGCGATTACAAATATACCAGGATAGCAGTCTTGTAAGGCGGAAAGGATCCGGTTGACGGTTTTGAGAACCTTCAAAATGAACCTGGTTGAATGAAGCGCCATAACACACTAGTGACTGTATACACACCTTCATGAAACCAGAACTGGTGCCATTGAAGAGATCATCCACGCGTAAAACTTCTCCATACGACAGTCTTCCTTGGATCTCAAGAATATTAACACGCTGGATGAAACTTTGAACGAATCTTTCCCTCTCTGCAAGAGAAAGACCGAAATTAAAACTGTCCACGTCCACATTGAGGTAACTGGGTGCAGGAGACCCGAGCAGGTCAAGTAATACACCCAGCGGAGCACCGAGAGAAAAGCAATCGAAAAGGACCCTGTAGGCAGGTTCTCTTCGATGCGATTTGGCAGTAATCCAGGGCCTGAATTCAATGATAAGCTCAAGCCTGGCAAGGATCTTGATGCTTTCCAGGCGAAGCAAATCTGTTGGTGCCCTTGGTACTTGAAGGTGACAATTCATCGTTCGGTCAGGATAGCATGGGTGATAGAAGAAGAGGAGTGTTCTGTGTTCAATTGGGTTCCCATTGAAGAAATCATATCACGATGACTGTTTTCGTTGACGGCGGAACAGCCTACCCGGCCCTCAACAGCCACGGGCGCTTATGTATCCGAATTGTGCATATCCACAATGCGTCTACAAGCATACACAAACGTCTGCTTACTTTTGAGCCCTTCTCTACAATGATAAAGCTATCCTCATCCTTCCTTAGAATCTTTTTGTAGCTGTCTAACAATCGCCATTACGCCAGTGCAGACGGAATTCTGATTGCAGTATTGGCATACTAGGATCTACTAGGATTCACACATGACAATCAGGTAATGATTGCCCGAGGCTTGAACCCAATGTGTTGAAATGAAAAATTTTGATTCGGATTTGTTATGTCCAAAGGATTGTGAATCTTCTCCACCCCTTCGTTGGCTTATCATCCTCCTCCGGATTCTCCTTCGCAATCTCGATGTAATATTTGACCGGCATTTCTTCTAACCCTACCAGCTTCGTTCCTTTCACCCATTTATATCCAAAGAACAACCCAAAGATTAACGGGAGGTTAAAATAAGCACCAATGAATTCCTCTGAGTTCCAATCGCCCTTGATGAAGACCGGATACCCCGCCGTTAACAAAATAGTTGCAAAGCTTAGCAACGACACCCACGCAGCATAAGGCTGGAAAGGACCTGCCCAAGGAAGTTCGGTATATCTGTCGATTTTCTGCCGTTGACAAGCATAGTAGAATCGTAAATAGACAATGCATATGATACACCATTGCACGAGGGCCGCAGTGGAAACGAGATCTTGGAACCAAGCAAACACGATGGAGGCATTGTTGGACAAAGTCATATATCCCAGAGCGATAAAAACACCAACACATATAACACACATGTAGGGAATCCCAAAGCGATTGGTCCAAAGAAGAAATTTGGGAGCATGGCCCTCACGGGCAAGACCATATAATGTTCGTGTACTGGTCTATAAATTGATAATATTGGAGATATCGGCATCCAGCTTGAACGTTTCACTTACCAGCATACCAGAATTCGCTGCGGACCAGGCACTAGTCAAGACTACCGCATTCATTATATGTGGTACGACCTTGATGCCCGCCAAACTTGCCGCAATCACGAACGGAGACTGTGCTGCATTTCCCTTCCCCTGTGCGCTCAACAGATCTTCCGAGTTTGACGGAACAAGCAACGTTACGACGAAAACGGAGAGCACATAAAAAATCAACACGCGCACAAATATTCTTTTTGCCGCTTTAGGAATGTTTCGACGAGGATTGCGGGTTTCGGCAGCAGCGTTGGCAATGCCTTCGACCCCAGAGTAGGCGTAAGCAGCATTAGAGAAAGTAGTCCAGAAGCCGCAGAAACGACCAAGAGGACCAGGGATAGAAAGGTATTGAATAAACGGACCCTTTGATCCATGAGTTGAAGTCAATGATCAAAAGGAGTTTTAAGCCCACCGGGTCCCTCCAGTAGTGAAATCCGAGACGAGGTTGACCTGACACTCCTCCAAGATCGATACAAAGACCCTGCGAGATGCTCAGCGTGAGCTCCGGTTATGAATGACACTAGCAAGAGCAGTGCGAACCATGATAATCAGTCCAACGATGAGCAAAATCTTAAGTATTGCAAACACAAATTCCATCTCCCCATAAACTCTTATGAACAACAGATTTGTTGATATTACTAACAGTCCTAACACTGTTATCCAAACTGCACTGCTGACCTGAACGAAAGCATACCGGTAAGAATGTTAGTCGTGATAAGACCAATAGAGTTATGTTGAGAACTGACCTGGCTTGATGAGATCCAAAACTCGATCAATACTCCTGCAGCAACTATCTCCGCAGGTATACCAACAGAGTAGTTGTACATTGTATTCCAACCCTGGGCAAAGCTTAAAGCGGGATCGAAGAAGTATTCGGCTTGACGGATGATGCTCCCGGACAGAGGAACGAGAGCAGACATTTCTGCAATAGATATAACAACACCGGAGACGAGAAGGCCTGTGAGAAGATACCCGAGAAAGATGCCGACAGGTCCGCCAGTTACAAGTGCGCGACCCGAACCAAGGAAAAGTCCCTGAGGAGGAAGTGACTTAGCGAAGGATGGACTCCAGGACTTTCTTATACTCACCGTCCCAATGGTACCCGCAAGAGCAATCATTTGTATATGCCGCTGCTCGAGACCTCGTCTGTAAGGCAACAAATGAGACTTGAGAATCAGGCTGGTTAGAAACGTACTTCAGATCCTTCTTCTCCTTGAATACCTCTTCTTCTGTTAGCGCAGGTAACGACTCGGGGATGTCGAGGCGCCCATTATCTTTAGCTTCAACTTTTTCGACATCGATATCCGTGTTTTCTTTACCTTCGAAAAACGGCAGCATTGTGATTGATTAAGTAGAAGACTGGTGACTGAACATATCTATACTTGCACTTGCTATATTCTTTAAATACCGTTCATCGAGTATAGAAAACTAACCTTTCGATGTAGAATACGTTAAGCTTGACACCTTATCTCCAGCAGATACAATTCATCGATACTATCTGAACGGAGAAAACACGGTCTGATTCGGCATAGTACACTTATAGCAGTTTGTGTCCCGTGCTGATCCAGTTCACTGGCAGTAGGCACGCTAAAGGAGTGGGTATATCTATACAGGTTCTTAGGGATTGAGATATGACTCAAGATATAAACGGACGGATCTGAACGCAGAGGAACGTCGAGATATATTGACCTGGTGTATGAAATCAAAATGAGGCAAACACTATTTGAGTGAAACTTACCACAGAACAATTGATAAACTGAGTGCCAGCCGATTACAGGACAAGGACTACCAAAGTGGTCTAGTATGACGCGTGGACCCACAAGAATGACAGAACAAGGCTGACGATGCAGAAAATTCATGTTTATTGTCAAAGCGACCCGTGAAAACACATTGGTTCACGATGATGTTAGTCCCAATGTAGTCATCTACGTTAGAATTTGTTCTTGAAATCTAACCGCATCATGTATGCGTTCTCTCCATCCGCGTCTGATACAATAAAACCTTTTGTAAACTTAATGTCAGGCATGGGTTAAGGCAGGCTCACAATATCCCTTCTCAGTATTCGCGACTTCGAACCCTAACGTATCTCTGTATAGCCCAATTGCGGCCTGGTTGGTTTCCCGTACGTGGAGAGAGACATATTTGGCCTTGTAGACGGATGCCATGGCTTCCTCTGTGAAAGTTCCGTCTGAGCTGTTTATGCCGTGAAGAAAGGAACACGCACGAGAGAGTAACATTAGCTTCTTGGCTAAGCCTAGTCGCCTGTAGCTCCGCATAACAGATATAGAGTTGATGTGACCGTGAACGTCCGCTGACTTGTCCTCAGATTCTTCGTCTCTGTCAATGCATATTCGTTGACATTGAGAATGATAGTAGAGAAAAGTAGATACATTTTCGCCAAAACATAGCCAACTATCCTTCCTTTACGATCCTCGGCGACGTACGATAGTTGCGGCCAGGTAACTATATGATAAATCCCTGTACAGATTTTAGTGCACCCCAATGTAAATGAATAACATGCACGAACAGAGGCGTATATGATAGTTTTCCGGTAAGTTCACCAGATTTGCTTGTTGCATGTCCACAACATCTTCAGCCTATATGATTAGGATTTGAGTGACACTTTGAGTGATTTAATTGAGATGGAAAACTGACCTGTTGTGGTAGTTTTCTTTTGGTACCCTTTCCTTCGGTGTGCAAATTGTTCAGAAAGAGATGAACGTACCCGGGCCAATCGAATGTTCATCGTAGACGATCAGAGTGAGGATGATGACCGTAAGAGACAACCAGAATCGTGAGTTTAGCGCTGGTTTGACGCTCGCGCAGTTGTGTTTCTAAAATACTGGAGACTCAAAATTCAATTGAAGATATGCTATGCAAACATTTGAGTACGGGCTGTTTCTACAGTCAACGATTCATAAAATCTAATGTACATAGTTACATTGAAGGTAGAAGGTCGAAAAAAGGTCGGAATTTCATTCCAAAATCGTGATGGTATCAGCTTGTTTATCCGGACAGAATGAGTTCCCACATATGGCTTCCTTGATTCGATCGCAAGCCAGCGAAAATCGTATTCCCATTCAAGAGATCCGCGCGCACAAATTCTCCTCTTCCTCCCAAAATTCCCGGCACCTTCTGCTCACTCCTAAGCCTTCTCGTCCTTGCCTTTTCCAAAACGCCTCTCCAAGCGAATGGTATAGATGCAAGATCGTCTTGCGTTAAAACAATATGAAAATATTCGTATATGGTTTGAAGAACGTCTCCGACTGTGATATATGGTTCGGAGACATTTCTATTTAACTGAATCATTCCCCACTGTCGCATCCAAAACTTCACTTCCGGAGAGTCGACCGTGATTTTGATTCTATGTAATGGCGGGTTTGCAGCACTAGAATAAACGTCTAGAGGGATGACATTAGGGCTCGCCTGGAGGTAGTATTGAACTGCAGTGGTATATGGGGGGCGTAGGATATCCCAATGAACACGAGGCTGTGGTTCGTGTGGGTACTTTATTCGAAGTTCGGGATGTATTTCGTATTGGATTGATTGATGATTTCGAGTCGGTGACATGAATACATTCATGTCCGTTGTACTTGATGATGTACCGGGAAGAGGTATCGGACGAAGCGAAGGGGCGGAGGGTATTCTTGTCGGGTCTCGAGGATTCGACGGACGTCGCTGCAAGCTATGACGGTTGAAGATGTTTTCTTCCTCTTCCTCCTCCTCCTCGCCTTCATCTCTGAGACTTGAACGTTGAGCCATATTATGTCTTCTTCCTCTCACTATGTCAAGATTGCTGGCATTTCTTCCATTTGTTCTGGGTTCATTCTGGGTGGTATCAGCGAATATACGCTCTCGGCTGCCTCCCCACCGAACTCTTCTCTCGTTTGATCTCCAAATAACATCGGCATTAGAGTAGACAAATTTCTTTTTCGTCCCAGAATTGATCCACTGCTCCTGTAGCGGCGGCCCAGTCGTGACGATTGGAGGACCAAAGGAGCCTGGCGGATACCTTTGTATATGAGCTTCGGATGTTCGGCGGCGAACTGAGGATATAGCAATGCGATGGAGGAAGGTATGTTGAGAAGATTCTAAGAGCAGGAGACAAGTTGGTCATACCAGTACGTCTATTCCGAGATGTTGCCGGAGAAGGAATAATGTCCCCACGAACTTGTAAGGGTACAGGCCTTGCTGGTGAAAGCTGTGATAGGTTCTGATCTTGTGTTGGATGAGACGTAAGAGGTTGATAGCCAGCTGGGACAGAGGCGCGCCGAACTCGGTGTGCACCACTGTGACGCCGAGATCGTTGAGGACGACACGACGCAGCAGCAGAAGAAGCGGCAGTAAACTGGGGTTTATGTTCCGAGTCTCGAAAAGAGGATCGAGGAGGTGGAGGAGGAGAGCTTGATTTCCAATTGAAGCAAGGGCATAACTTGCGAAGAAATCCCATGGTCACACAAAAATAGGATAGTGTTATCGATATGGCATCGTAAAATGCAGCATGTTATATCCCCCGAACCTATAGAATAAAAGAACAAGAATAAGACCTGCAAGTATAAAGCAACGGCGGGTTGTCAAGCGTCAAAAGTGGCGAGGATTGCATGATAAAATGTCAGATACATGGTATCACTGAAGAGAACAAGACCTTGTCCAGTCAAAGCAACATGTAGGTAACGGTTTATGGGTGAGGTTTTTTGTTTGAAGAATGAGCGCTTGAGCTCTTGGGCCTTTCTTGCGGACATGTCGGCACCAGGAAAATGGACGACTTTGACAACACGGAAACTGCTGCTGCTAGACTGTGAGACATGATGTGCGGAATAACTTTCTCGGCAGTGAGCGCTAGTGAGCGCTTGAGCACCGAGAGAGAAATGAGCAAGAAAGTGGAAGATCTGGAAAAGGAATTGGAAAGGGAGAAGAATCTACACAAGATAGAAATAGCGGAACACGAAGCGACGTGTGTGGAACTAGCGGAAACGTATAACACTGAGTCTTCGGCTTCAATTTGACCCGATTTTCGAGAGGTTAAGGCCTTTCTGTTACCATCATGTTACCGCGTTTCGTCAATCCTTACCTTACCCGTATACCCACCGAGAAAACTTCCCGCACTGAAGTTACCTTCGACGATGACCCTGTTACCTCTGAGCACGAGCTCGATAGCGAATACCGATCCCTGCTTCAAAACATCCTTTACAAAAGACTGCACGAGTCATTGGAATTCGCGGTGGTCGACATTCCTCGAAAAAAACGAAGAAAAGGAAAACATTCAACGGATGTCGATTCTGAACCTAGTGCTCTTTCGAAATTAGAGCCCATTTGTACGCGTTTTCCATATTGATTATCGTACAGATACTTAAACAAAAACCACAGTATTCAAATTACTTTCCACCGCTGGTACCGAAGGACCAAGACTCATCAATATCGATCCACCACCTCCAAAACCCCCGCCTCAGTACGTCCGACATGTCTTTTTAGATGACGAATACAAACCGTTCATTGACCCTGAATCTGTAAGATATCGGGAACCCACATATGAGGATACGGAAGAAAACAGTGTCAAGAGACGGGAACGCGCGAAAGCCGTTGCGGTTGATTATGATTGGGTTATAACAGAATCTAGGAAAACACAATTGGTCGGTGTAGTAACATTCATATATTTTTGGCTTTTCCCAGTACTAAGTGTCTCAAAATTCCACTCTGCTCATTCACGTCTTGTATCAGCCTTTTCCTTCTTGGAAATCTCGAATCACCCATGCTTCACTTGAGCTTGAACCTTCACATTCATCCTCGATACCCGAATCTCCTACCCCAACTTCCACAGCACCAATAGGATCATTATCAGAATCTTCTAGATCCCCTCCAATCATCATCCTCAATCGTTCTCAACCTCTTCGACACTCTCGTCCTCCAGTTCCTGACGAACTCTTAATATATCATCCTTATGTTGCTGGTGCGCCTCCGCATCCCGAAGCTCAAATTCAGAGCCGGAGAAAGTCACAGAGCGCGATTCCAATAATCAAAGTCAAGGGTCAAGCCTTCCGTTCTTAGGGATACAACACCCCGAGCTTAACAGTGTGAACATACTTAGCGAGTAAGGAGCAAATCGACCGCATGATGACATTGAGAGTAAAGATACCATTAGAGGACCTGTAGATGGGGAACAGTGGGAATGACCGGATGTTAACGACGCGATGGTTGTTATAATGCCAATTCCTCTAACAACTCCTCCTGTGAGACGATCCGAGTTTGAGGCCCTCCCAACGTCGTATACTCAAGAATATATATATCACCACTAAGAGTAGCGTGTCCGTACTCGACGACTTCATATTCCGTATCGTGTCCTGTGTTCAAGTCCTTCATATGAAGCTTCGTGCCAACAAGGTTGCTTCCAGTTTATGGACTGGGCTGAGGAACCGGGGTCGGTGGTAGTCCTCCTGCGAATGGACAAAAGCTCCCATAATTTCTAGATCTTGTTCTGAGTCATTTAAGTCACCATGAGGGTGTGCATGAGTCATATGGGCAGCATATGGCGCTCGAAAGACTATGTAGAAACATCAGACAACAGCGCTCCTCATTTTTGATCGGGATTTTTATAGGTGATATTCTCGCCTGCCCCAGGGAGCAAGGAATGAACTCAGAAATGCTACCTTTATAGTGCAGTGATCCAAGCTATTCTGAAGTTCATCCATTCAAAGTGCCAGATTGTCGAAATGAGTGTGAGGAGTATCACAGATAAGAGGTTGATTACTGTTCTCCTGTTTCTTGGCTAAGTACCGGGTTCGAGCAGCATCTTGAAAACAACTACTTACAATGACTCCTCCCCTCAATCAGGCCTGAGGAATGTACTATAACCAGTCTTTGAGGGATTTTTGGGCCCAAATTACCTTCTCCTGAAAAATACATTATACCCGAGAATCAGGGTGACCCTCAATCCCTAGTAGGATCCTATCAACATGACTCTTCGATATGTTCTTGTTAGCAGCCTAGTGTCCTAAACTTATCTCTAACAAATCGCTCATCATGTATCATGTTCAAACATGACGCTGTGGGCAACTGTAGGCGCAATTTTGACTTGACACTACAAAATCACAAGCTTGAAGCACCACGACGTTCCGCACTGGAGGCTTGCCGAAATATTAAAGTGCCTTCCTAAAATTCCGGTAAATCATAGATTGTTAGAAAGCTTCAACGTGCCTTCCATGAAGCGTTAGAATCCCGGAATGTCTCCTAGACCTATAACATATATCCGCAACTGCCAAAAATTGACACTTTGAACATATTTGCATCGTGTTGGAGAGCAAAACCCCGACGAAAAATAGACATGTGCTGACTGAATCTGAGTAAAGCATAGCCAGGAACAGACGAATATATGAGTCTGAGTTTGTTATGTAGACATAGACATATGGTCGAACATGCTGATCCCACATTTGCGAAAAACTTCAGTGCAATGCTATGAAAATAAATAATATTATAGACACCTGTACTGCACATTGATTAGCGAATTTGCGAGGCATAAATGTATAAAAGAGACATACGTGCGAGGAAAGCTACAGCAAATTCCTCGTCGCTTCACTGAAACAGCCATCGCACAAGAGCCTCTCGACTTTGACTCGTCGTCTACCTTGCGATGACTAGCCACAACTTTCGTCACTGTCAGACTAAAGTAGGTCATAGTCTGTTTTCGTCTTCGTGTACAGTAACTGACCTTCGTCAATACAGGACATGGAACCGAATTTGTACCAATGGTGCCCTTGCACCATACATGAATCCCCTAGGCAGCCTTTACCGCCACCGACGCGATCACGAGAGTCATCGTTGACTATTCGCTCTTCAGTTGGACCACCGTCACTGGCTTATTCTCATTCATCTGGCAGCTCGGACTCGATGAGGTCGGCACCTCCAACACCTCCGCCTATTGAACCATATCGATTTAAGGCGCAGGCCAATGTTCACCTATTTCAGGGAAGGCATAGGCCTAACGACAATGTTGGTCCTGTGTATGGTTCAGCCCGTCACGGAACCACTGCCAAGCCCAAAGTACTTAGCGTATATGAGCCACAAGCGCGCAAACCCGGCCATCGAGTCTTTGTTTTAGCACGCGATCGCGATAAACAGTCGACTATTCCCAACAAACCACTAGTCCGTTGCACCCCAACGGTAAGTCCCACTGAATGTTTCCGACAACAACACCTAATATACATGCTTGTAAAATTTAGGATAAATTTTCCAAACACGTATATTACGCGCAGAGGACGGGATCCCATCCCACCCAAGAGTCCCTGCCATCCAGGCCCAATGTCGTCCTGTCCAGCTGGAACACCAATCCCAAGTTTCCTTTCGAGCTTCACAGACTGCCAAAAGTCTCGAAGAAAACTAGCAGAGATAGGATGAGGAGCTGGTTCTCACCTAATCCCAGTAATGATCCACGCGATCCGATAGTTGAGCAGACAAACCAACGAACTCTCCAACGACTCCGGCCTAACATAAGACCCGGTCTTGGTCTTTCAAGTCCACCAAGTTGGACTCCGAAACCGATCATCAGCCCTCTTGCAATGGTCCTTGATCACTTTGAGCAATTATGAGAGAAAGAAGGGCTCCAGTGAGGAACGGCCTTCGTCGATACCAAGAAAATGTTGTTTATAGAATTCCTGTTACATCCTTAACTTCATGTCCACTATGCATTATGTATTTATGAACAATGAATTTCATGAAATAAGAACTGTTTACCTTGGTTAAGTAGGCTTTGCGGCGTGAGCTTGAGTAGTGCCTCATTATCGATGGTGAATGAGAGGAACGAAGAACAACCGTGAGAATGTCAAACTTTTCTTTGCACATTGTTCTCGCCATCGATGGCCACATAGGGGCCATTAGCTACCAGCGTCTACAGGCGTCCACAGACTCGGTTATTTGACTGCTCACGGGAATGCAGTACTTCAAGGGGTAGGCTGTTTACTCATGTGCATTTAGATCATATCACTACGGCCAGTTAAAAATACAGTAGTAGGGTGCGATACGAAGTCGTCTTTCTCAAAGGTGCAAAATTATTGCAGAGGATACCACAACCCACCTCTCTTCTCGAAGCGCCACAACAGCGATTGTCTGAACATCAATCCGGTTGAATAACGATGCAGGTCAATTCGACGTAGGTTCAGTACTTGCAAGTTGAGCAGCAAACCAGAAGCACCATCTTTTCGCAATAACGCAGTAACACCCGTCTAAGCGACGTTGTGGATAAGATATAGAACCTGACCTAGGTATATACATCAAATGAAAAAGATGGATTAGACATGCTGATTCGTCTGATTTTTGGGGGCTGCTTTACCTGTCAATCCGGCTGTGATTCCGGTAGACCGTGAATCCATATCAAGATCCTGTTCTTGAAGAATCATAAACAAGCGATATACTATGGTTCACAGGGTACTTCCGTAAACAGGGTACTTCCGCATTTTCGAAAATCTCATATTTTGAACGTTTTAGGTCGATAAATGCTCTCAGACTTTTTATGTAGTACTTTCTAGGTTCTCTATAAACATACTGTACTATATGAAATAGATTGTATTTAGGGGATGCATATGTACAAGACCAAAATACTGTAATATACAAGCGTGACTTTAGATTGAAGCCTCAGGAACCGTACGAAGAGCTGGTAGATAACTGTAAAAATGACATGGGCATTAAGTAGAGGTTCTCATTAGCTAGCATAGCAAATTTAAAAGCAATCCAATATGTTGTAGAGATTCGACAAGCAGATAAAGTGAAGAGGGTATGCGACGTGACAATATTTGATTCCAGCTTCATGCCGTAGCCTCGGCAAACCTCTGACACTCTCCAAAAGCGTGATCAACACAAGTTCTGCCTCAACCCAGCATCAAATGGCCAAGTGTGCCAGAGTGCCGAGCAGCGGCATTGATGTGACTCAGTGTGACCCAAGATGCGGAAGTACCCTGTTTTTCCTCGGTCATGGTCCGACGCTCTGTTTATGCCTTATCTGCTTTAACATGTAAGACAAAAGACAAGCTTAACATGATTCTAAATAAGACTGTCTACTCAGATTTTTATTTACTCAAAAATTTAAGACGTTATTCGCAATATTCAAGAAATCGGAAGTACCCTGTGAACCATAGTACCGCGGCGGTTTCTAGCGGTTTCTCTTGTTCAGTGCTCCGGAATTGGTGGTCCGGAATGCAGCGGGCGCGATGTCGAACTCCTGGAGTCAATCTCGAGCAGACATGCATCGCATTGGAATACTAATGCACAAGTCTAAATCACCAATGGAGCAAAGTACCGTTCTTCCACGCTCCATGTGCAAACAATGAGTAAAGGACTTTCAAACGCAGCATGAGTTTTTGTCCATTTGTCGAATATTTGTGGGTCCAGTCATTTCGGCAAGCCACCATCATGAGCCTGTATTCCAGCAACATGTCGAGCCGCTGTTTGCTACCTTCCAAGAATCACCTACTATCATCCTTTTTGCCGGGTGGACGCGTCATCGTTTCGTGGTCGCCGTGGCTCTGGATTTTACACGAATAAGGATGGGATAGCCGTGGTATGTTCTGATACATCTGGTTATATGAAATGAAGCTGACAGTGGTATGAGCAGAAAGGAGGATGGTGGTATGGAGTGAAAGACAAAAAATCACTTTGCTGCTCACTTCACCGTGCGGGGGTCTCCGAGAAAAATGTGGCGTGAACGCAAGGCGGTAGACGAAGGATAACGACGGCGATCACTTGCGAAGATTGCCAGGAAAGAGCAAAAAGATTATACGCAGCAGGTACGGGGATCATTATTGAAGTGATAATCTATCGTTCTGAATATATTTGCAGTATGTAAAGTGCAAGTTGGACAGGATTAGGCATTCGGCAGATCCATGGCAAATAACGAGAGATCTGAGCTAGCCAGTTTTAGTCAGGTCAAAACAGGTCAAGACTTCCAGAAAGTTTCCAAAAGGCTGGTGGTAAAAGATGGGTGGTAAACGGGACTGTACTAACACAGTACTAACAAGAGGTCAAAGCGGTTTTACCGATTTTTGGGAAGACAAATACCAAGTGCAATCTTCAAGCTGTTGAGCTCCTTTTGGGAAGAAACCGATATGATCTGAAGCAGCACGATGGGTACGCGTTGTAAGTATATTATTTATTGACAGATAATACTATGGAAGAAGGTACTACTTACGTGTATTGCATTTAGACGAGTCATCGAGAAAGCGAGTGATGTTTAATTTTCAACTCATCAACTTGCTAGATAACCAGTGTAAGGCCTTGGAGCGATAGAGGGTCCCTGGTCATGCTTTCAATACAACGAGTTCATACCATGAACGGTATAAAAGAGAAACCTTGGTGGCGTACTTTTGGCAAAACCTATTCCCAGACTACGTCCTCTTCTTAATCGACGCAGGTCTTTCAAATGAGTTCATCTCAGCTTACGAATGCTCCGCCTTTCACAACGAATTTTATATCTGACCCACCCATCACAGTAAGCGTGGCAACTCGTCGTTCAATGATGTTGAAAAATGAGACTGACCAATAATATAGGGCAAGGGTCCTTCATTCAGACGCTTGCTGTTCACGAACGAGGCACCGCAACTTTTCATGCTAATTAATAGCAATACCATCTCTTCATTCTCCTCGGACCTTCTTGTGCCACTTTCAAGTTCCGAGTGCATGCACCTGACGAGCTTCGATCCAATACCGTCTACCCCTCCGCCCACTGTCTCACTCGGTGTTGAAGCATCCTACTACCTGCAGGCTCTGCAGGATAATTTTGAAAACGTTCGGCATGATGCAGTTGCACAATGCCTCGTCGGATTTGTGGACACCGATAAGGGTCAAGAATGGGAGCATGATCCTACTCCGCGCGGGCTAGTCGCTAGGACAAAGGAACCCCCTAGCACCCCGGAGGCAGCACCGGACGCGCGAACAATTGCTTTCGACGTAGTTCGGAAGTTTCCACTTAACGACTGCGACGAGTTTTCCGAAGATATTTTCATCCATAGCAAAACAATGGTGAGCATTATCTCCTAGCCACCACATCTAATTCTCGATGCTTATGCTTTCAGGATAAAACCACAAACAACGAGGATTACATGCAGGCTCCGGAAGGTCACCATCCATCTCCCAGCTCTGGTGATGCGGTCCTGTCCTGCTGGAGAACTGGTCGTCAGTTTTCCTATCATGGGTGTGACCTGAGAGCGTTCAGCCCCATCCCTTGCCAAAGGGGTTCCTTGACAATCCCTAATCACAAGCATGATCCGATTGCGCACCAGCATGTTTCGCAATGTTATGCTCCACGGATCAACAGCAAAGTCTTGATGCCAGACCCATTGAATATACCCCAGGTTCAGATGAAAGAAGTCGAGGACCTAGAGAAGGTAAAAGATAGGTTAGCGACGGGGGTACCGGCAGGATCGCTACTGTTTTCCATATAGGTGTTTAATTTACAAATGATATATCGAGGGTCTGTATGAGGACAGAGAACGTTCAAGTGGTCCCGGTGGAGGCTCGAGGAAAGTAACATCGTAGAGGAGATGAGATGAGATAACAACTTGAAGGCGTGGGAGTGCCGCCTGCAAAGTTTCAACATTGCTCATCATGGAAGATAACTATTTTAGAATTAGGACACGCTTCATTTTTCAACGATACATTTATCCTGCCTATTTTTCCATGCACCCAGATGGGTCAGGTTGCTTTTACCTCCGATGACTGCTGCTCATAAGTATTGAAAATGCCGCTGTTCTGTGTTACGGATCCCACTTTCGAGAGTGAGGTCAGCTTTCTATTCTTTCTATTCTGGCCGGTTCACACCAAGATTAGGTTCGTTCATGGAAGTATGCAGAATACAACCAGACGCCGCTAATGTTGATGAGTGCTTGAGCGCTGAGCGAAGGGATCGGGAAAAAGCATCAATGATCTGATTGATATTCGTATGGCCAACGAAACCACTCTATTGTAAGTTATATCTCTGACTGGTCACTTCGGATACGATCCCCCCGATAATTCCCCTCGGGTCGATCCTCAGAGGTCTCATACATTACGCGTCAAAGTTGAGCAACTTCCATCCGATAATTTCTGTGGGCGCCGGTAAGACTTTAATAGGACCACCAGATATCGCGGAACCCCATTCTCCCTTCTACTCGCACCTCCTTCTCTTCTATACTCCGTTGGAAAAACTCTAAATATGTAGTTAGTTTGCTACTTCGAGCTATGATTCTTGATATAGCTCAAACACTGAGCTCCCGATTCGGGGCTTTGTGATTGGATTCACCGGGATCTTGGAACAATGGACAGTTACTCATTGCCCTAGGAGGAAAACCCTGTACATGCTCTCTATAACTTCTCTAGCTTGTGGTTGGATAACGAAACCTGTTTTAGAGACCTAGAATGGAAGAATGCGAAGGGTAGAATCAGCAATCAACATAAACGGTAATCAGAATGAGAATTAGCAGAGTTGGAGAAATTTCCTGGGAGAGGGGAGACAGGGTACGTGGGGGCGCCGAAACTTGAAGGCGCAGATCGTGGTGGTATTATCTTATCGTACGAATCCCTAGTGGGATCACTCAACGGTTCTCCTTCGCCCGTATCCCGGATGAATATCGCAACCTGATCTGCTCGTTCCCGAGCCAATCTATACAGACGCTCAACAGAACAATGACAGGAAGTAAACATAGAGGGTCGGCTCGTAACGCACTCTGTACATAATAAGTAAAGAAGGTTGCATGTATCCTGTGTACATTACCTATATCCTATCCATTGTTACATCTTGAATCTGTCGAGAACGTTACAACAGGGTTACAACTGACGTCCAGAACAAGCCAGCACCCTGCACCCCGTACAATTAGCGTACACGAATGATTTGTGTGTGCAGCTTCCGACGGTTTCTAAGTATGAAGAGAAGATACGAGTTGGTTAGTTGACCACAGCGCATATTAGAAAAGCACTTGGTTCGAGTCAGAGGTCTCCTCGCGTGATATGACCAACAGGGTTTCTGCTATTCGAGCTGCTAGTGTGCCCATAACATAGAGGTTGACATTCGGGTGGACTAGATACTATGAAGTAGTAAACCACGTTGAGGGAATGATAGCGAAAATGGTTCAAGCTCTCGGGTCCGATATCAGGTAGAGAACCATGTTTCTGGGGCGCAAATTGGCGCAACAGTTCACCAACAATGTTATACGCATCCTGCGCAGCAATACTAGGGGGGTCGCTGGTTCTGAGCCCACAGCATCACCATATTGCATCGTCCCTAAGCTTTTTGACTTGCCTTATCTATCCCACATCCTGCTGCCCAATGTCTACTGAAACTTGAACACTCATCTCAAGGTTGATTGAGAGAAGGCTGGGCACAGGAGAAGTGAGAAGAATAAGGAATAATGCAGAGTGTATTGATTCTTTGATCCCTATGCTCCAAATTAGATTGATCATATGTGCCTCGACGTTCATTCTTCACTTGAATCATCGGAAACTATGGCTATAGCGTGCTCTCCTGCCAAAAAACTGCCCACTCTTTTCCAGCGGTGATCCCAACTAGACTTTATGTCAGGGGAGATGTGGTCAGTGTCAATCCACTCATCTGGACCACATCCCCAGAGGAGTGGCACGCTGGGGGGTAGAATCTTCGATAAGAATGTAGCGACACCTAGCCAATCATGTATTGGAGAAAACCCAACTCCGAAATTTAATAATCTCTTGAATTGGAGAATACCTTTGATTCGAAGCTCCTGCAGCAAGTCGTCTAGTTGGACATCCTGATTATCAAAAAGCAGATGAAGATCGCAAAGTTTTGGACAGGACTTCGCAAGATGAAGTAACGATCGGAGAGAGACTTTATCTACTCTTTCTGGGACTAGGAATCCGGGGACTGGTGTTAAAGATAGGTACCGCAATGAAGGCCAGCTCCTCGCCAATCGTTGCATGTCCGTGTCGGAGAGTGAAAGAGGCCATATTGTATCCAGATGAAACAGAGATATCTTGGCGCATCGCAGGAGTGGTTCCAAATCGCTGATAGTTACAAGCTGTGGAGGTGCGTCTTCTAGTGTAATCAACGTCTCAATGCTCATGTCAAAAAACGACAATGTGAGCTCTTCGAGATTAGGGCAGCTGGAAGCGATTCGCGAGACCAATTCCGCTGTCGCAATATTTGATGCAGGTGTATGACAATGGATTGACACCTCAGTGAGAGGCCAAGTTTGAAGAAAGATCTGTGAAGCTGCATCGTAGGTTGCATGAATATGAAGCATCCGTAACTGACTAAAGCCATGGCTTTCGACTCCAGAAAGATCAATTACTGTGACTTCGCCCGGTTCGTCTGAGTCTGCGGCCTTGGATGAAGCAATCCCAAGGTGTGACAAACGCGAAGACCGACCAAGGCTAGAGAGACCTTGCAGGATCACCGTTAAATCTGGGAAAGGTGGTATGATGAGTTCGGTGAGGTCCGGAAGACTGCGGACAAGATCCAGTAAAGGGAGTTGATATTCGTCGAGAGGGGGAAAATCAACCTCGAGGGAGGTAAGCTTGGGCATTCGTGCCGAAGTACACGAGAAAAGGGTTTCGAGGCCATCGATTATCGTGTCATCGGCTGGATCACCTGCAATTTTGAAGGTTCTAACGCTTTCATTCATGAACATGAGACATCGTTCATCGTTCCTAGTTTCTTCAAAAGCACAATTTTCCCAAATCAAAGTGTGTAGTCTGGGAAGCAGAGGACCAGACGACCTAAGCATAGCCAAAGCAGCTAAGGGTTCTAGATAGGAGTCTTGGTCCGTGATGGGTCCGAGGATTCGTATTCTGTGCTGATATATGGTTTGAAAACGAAGCCAGCCTTTATGTGTTGGCCTACCATCCCGGTAGAGGTAATAGTGACCTTCTTGATACTGGTATCAAGAAATTAATGAGCATCCTGGAAGAGATGGTTCGGACGCACAGGTCGCGAATAAGCACGGAGTTCACCGAAGAGGCTCAGCAGTTGCTCCAGATCGTCCACTTGGTACCAAAGTCTATTCAGGCTCTCATCTGACCATCCTTTACAGACTACAGCAGTGATTGCGTTTGTCGGGGGGTCGCAGAAATAGGATATGCGATGGAGGATTTCCAGCGGAAAAATAGGCATGTTCGTAAAAGAAAGATTCTGCGTTCCGTAATCCGAACCCTAAACACTGCCACTGAGTACTGAGCGCTGAGCTTCCACCTTGACTTTTATGATCATCGTCCGCCTAGTAGCTTATTCCTGGAAATCATGGACAACCTGCTCACTCCTGATGCAAATTCATCCGAACACGCAGAAGAATACCAAATACTAGTCGCAAGGATGCTTTTCTCATTCCATTCGACGATCCCAGGGTGGAAGAAGTGGATTTTCGACCGATGGCGCTGATTGATTACCCTTCCGGAGTCATACTCATAATTCTACGCCTACCCCTCCTGTGCCAGATACACAAATACTTCAAAGACCTTCTCAATGAAAAAAAAGAGATGAAAAAAGAACGAGAGGGCGCATTGGCAAAATTAATGGGAGGATCTGCGGAAAAGCAACATTCAAGATCTTTCGAACGTTGTGAGTGTCGTGTCTTTCTGTGCCTTACACTTGCTTGATATCATTTCTCATGTAGAAAGACGGAAATATTCAACCATATTACGTTCAACCCCCGTACTAAGACTTTTCCCGCCGTTTGCTCTGATCTTTCGCCATTCGTTGCATTGCTGAATGTCTTCCGAACCTTCACGCATCTGGAAAGAAGATAACGAGTGCCTTGCATTCGTCCCTCACTTCAGCCTGAGGTTCTTCAATGCTCTTCAAGAAGCCCAAGTTTCTGAACCAGAAGCGATAGCACTGACAGCTACTTGACACGTTCGCACAACATTGTTGATGCTGGCTTCAACATTTGGCGTCCAAGATGGAGGCGAGAAAGGAGGTGGTAGAGCTAGTGTTCTGGTATGTTGAAAGGATATTGACGGACTAGATTTGAGTGGCGACGATGGGTGCGGGAAAGCAATGTGAGCTTGATGATAATCGAATATTGATTCAGAAGCATCCTTCTTACCATTACTCCTTTCAAGTTCGATTATCAGGAGGACGATAAACATATCGGATTGTTGAGGTATAGTTTCGAATCTGTAATAACAAATGACATGCAAATTCTCTTTCTCATGTATATCTGCTATAATATACATCGTATATATACTCGTTACTGCACTTGCGCGTGGTCAGGACTACCGCTCAACCACTGAAATCAATATATATGCGTCGGGCGCCCGCACGAGGCAAGGAATCGAACCTTGTTCAAGTCTGTGTAGTAGACCATGTACAACCAGTATCAAGCCAGGGAATACACCCTGTGAACGCCGTTGTTGTTCTCCGATCATTGATCTAATCGTAGAGACGCTGTGCCCTCATTATAGGCCTAAGCTCCACTGAAATCAATATATCATTTGTAGACTTAGTTGGTCAAAGCTGTTTATTTCAGACTCGATTCGGCCAAAAAAAGCAAAGTGGATTTGACCGGGTTAGGGTTTAGCTGAAATTTGTCACGCGTTCGTTCTTACGGTTGCACACGACCCCACACGACCACGACCTGTTCATTCTTTTTTGAATTAGTGTCTTTCGTCATGTCTGGCGCCTTTCTCAAAGCTGTCTCGGCCGCAATGGAAAGAATTGCTCCACTCAGGCTTGCTGAATCCTTCGATAACGTTAGTAATTGTCGATCCGCCCAGTGGAACGATCATATCACCATATAGCTTCTAGGTCGGACTACTTCTCGGTGAATTGGTCTGCAAATCTCCGGGTCGAGATGCTGATTGAAAGCGCAGAAACCCCTCTAAAACAATCAAAACGACATCGGGTGATGCTCACAATCGAGTGATTATTGGCATATTTTCTTTCGTCTTACCATTTTGTTGATTACGTTTTTACAGCCTCACTACTGCTGTGGTCGAGGAATCTATAACGAAAGAGGCTTCAGTGATCGTAGCTTATCATCCGACTATCTTTGGCGCTCTCAAGTCTTTCACAATGGCGAATCCTTTACAAGCTTCTTTGCTTCGATGTGCTGCCCACGGGATATCAGTTTATTGCCCTCACACTGCTCTGGATTGTACATGGGGAGGTATAAATGACTGGCTTGCCGAGGGAATCATGGGCGGAAACGGAAATCACGCACCGGGAACTGTGCGCCCTCTCCAAGTGGAGAAATTCTCGCCCGGCGGCGAGAGTGAAGGCGCGGTAGGAAGGCTCGTAGCTTTGCAGACTCCAGTCACCATGAGTGTTCTCGAGAAAAGGGTAAAAGAACATTTGAAGCTATCGCAAAGTGAGTTTTCGGCTTCCCTTTGATAATGCGTTGCGCAATGATGTGTGTGTTTCGAAGTTCAAGTGGGATATGCATCCACCAGAGACGGATTACGGTCCTCAGCCACTGTTGAAACAATTGCTATCTGTGCGGGAAGTGGTGGGTCAGTTTTCGCTGGTAAAAAAGCCGACGTGTACTTTACCGGCGAAATGCAACACGTAGGTTTTCTTTTTTTCGTTGTACGCATAGCACTCAATATTTTTTCATGAAATGCCTTCCAGCATGAAGTCCTGGCGGCAGTCGCTGCAGGAACCAACGTCATTTTATGTGAGTAACACTTGATATCTGAACCGTGCATTTCATCTTGGAGCTGCTAATTTGAGTAAAAGGCGGTCATACAAACACTGAACGTGGTTATCTTCCTGTACTTGCCTCTAAGCTTCAAGCCCAGCTACACGCTGCAGCGTTCGACGAACCTTTTGACATTGTTGTCAGCAACACTGATAAGCATCCACTCGAGTTTGTGTAGTACTCAGGAGCTTGTACTTGGAAGCAATGGTTTTTTTGTTCAGTAGGCCAGGTGCAATTGGAGTTAGGAAGAAGATTCAAGACTTGAATGAACTGAATTGTTTTACATGAATATGTATAATTGTGGGAGCTCATGATATTGCATCAACTACCCTTTCACGCGGGTGAAATCATACTCAGCTGTTGAACCAGCGGGAAAATGAGTGACCGGATGATACCGCCGATGAAAGAAGTAAAAAGGGGGGAAGAGAAAAGGGACAATCAGAGAAGGGGGAAACAATACCCCTGAGTGGTCTAAACTTCGTCTGCGACGTCCACTGAGCCAGGAGATCAATGTACGACAAGAAAGGGGAGCTATTGTCTCATGCTTGCATCGAGAGTATAAGAACCCGCCTGCTCCTCAGATCATTATTTCTCAACTTCACCGCAATCCATCCAAACTTATCTGATCTGCTCATTAACTACGCCACCACTGAATATGTCTACCACATTCGCTGAGAATGGCGACCACAACTCCGCGTCTTTCAAGGCGGAATATCGTGCTTATATGAGACAGGCATGGTCCGACGACCTTATTGAAAGACGCCAGGCGAAGTTTTTAGACTATTTCTTCGACGAGTGCAACAACAGAGGGTGAGTCTTTGGTGGTACCTTGTAAAATTGGTCCCTAATCGTGTTTTTGCTTTCATCCAATTAGTTTGCGTGGATACGAAAAAATGCGGCTTCATTCCATCTTTATGCTGTTCATAAAAGAACACATGCAAAAAACGCAACCCGAGTTCGAAAAGCTAGTTAGAGACAAACGTATCAACGAAGGCTTCGCAGCCGATGAGACAGTTTGGGTGCAGTTCAAAGACACGGTGGGTAGGCCCCCTTTTGTGTCATTGATCTGAAAACCCATTTAACATTGACTTTTTTACTAGTCATTTCCCAAAGTGCAAGTGCAACCCACCATTCCTTTTGAGTACATCATGAGACCGCCCCCGCGAGTCAATTGGGTCCCCGCTCGTCTACGCTCGATTACAGCACACACCGCCGAAATCATCAGTCACACGGTCCCTGTGTCACCCACAAATGCGAAGCTACAAGCTCGCCCACAGATTCTTTTGAATTCACCCAAAGCGAATTCTCAACCATCTCGAGGGAAAAAACAAAGCGAATCGTTGTTGAAAGATGTGCTGGTATCTAATGCCATAAAAATAAAGAGGAGATTGAGCGTTTCGACTCGCGTGTTGCAAAAAGAAATGGCGAATGTCATTATTTATACCACGTCGTCAGCGTAAAAGTTATTTATCATACCTTTGTGTACACCGTCCTAGCTCAAAAACTACCAATTGCGTCTTGAACAATATTTCCTGCGTGAATAGTATGATAATGGCACCAATTCGTCGTCGGTGGCAGCTTGATGCGGAAGACATTGAGTCTCGAGACACAATCCATAGAGCTCCATAGAGTATAGTGACTCGGAAGCTTTACTAGCCGAACCTTTAGAAAACATGGTGGGCAGGCCGGTGTCTACGATTGAAGTGTGGCGCACACCTGCTTACAACATATAATACGTCACCGATCGTTATCGTCACGTATATTTTGATCCTCACTCTCAACTTCTTTCAACGCTCTCCATACGCTACTCATGTCTCTAGGTGAAGGTGCGGAAGATCATTAGTCACTAGTCACTAGTCATGATAATAAATTCCTTGCCTTGGATAGCTGACGCAAAATTCCCTGCCTTGTCCCATTCCGGGACTCCCGACATTCCTCCTTCGCCAACCATCGAAAATCCTGGGCAGGTAAGAAAGCATACACAACAGTTCTTTAAGCCTAATTGTCACACATTACTCACAGGTATACCCCAAATCTGACCCAAATGCAGGTCTGTTACGTCGTACTTAATCTTTGCTGAGTTCTTTTCACACAAGCACTTGTAGCCCATTTAGGTACAATACCTGGCACAGGCCGTTCGAACAGTTCCCAAACCTTCATCGGTAATCCCTTTCTTATGCGTGAGGCGTTTGCTGAAATAGACCACGCCCTCGGAAATGTCATCGACATCCTTGAAAGGGAAGAATTGTCTGTTGGTGGGTCCGAAAATGAAAATGAATTGTTGAGGAAGTTTTGTCAATGGCGAGAAGAATTGGATGAAATTCGTGCCGGACAACGGTCTCCTGGTTCTAGCAAATCCAGGTCTACTTCAAGAATAGCCCCTGAGAAAGAAGGAGGGATGTTTACGGACTAAAAGTGTTTGAATAAAGGAGAAGACGATGTAGTTTGTTCGGATTCGCCATGTTGTAATCAAGATACATTATTTCTTTTTCAAGCTGCGAATTAGTATGCATTGGCCTGTAATAGAAAATGGTCATTGCTAGTGTTACACACACGTTAACGTTGTTCCAAGTAAGTCGACAGAATATACAAAAACCCAACAGTAGTAAAAAACGTAAAATATGATCCCGTTCGACGAGCAGAGCTCAAATCGAAATTGGAGCTCTGAGCCTACCCTTACGACTATTAGTCTTTGAGCTAGATTTTCCCGTGCAGAATATCCCGAACCGCTGCTTTTTCATACCAGGACGATGGCGCACGATGTACGGACTTGGATGCGAAAGGGGTTCCATTTCCAGAGATTCCCAAATATCGTTGGAAAATTCTAAACGCATCCTGCGTCGCCGTCGCTGAGGACCAAAAAAGGAGTGAGAGGATACGGGAGTGAAATCAGAAGGTGGGAATGCATCGGGCGCTGGGTAGATTGAACGGTGAGTTTTTGGCAAAAAAAAATGATGAAAGAAGATGAGGTGAAAATATGCGATAAGTAAACGACTTACGAGGCATACTTCTGAACAATAATGCCTTTTGGTGAAGAGGCTGTATTTGACCGATGTTTTGCCTGAGATTACGTGGCATGGGGGGCAAATATAGATCATACACGGGATTGACACGTATAGAGAAATTCGTAGAAAGGCGGCAGGTGAGCCTACGACTACGTGCTGTTGAATGAAGATGGATGTTAGTAAGTTACTGACATTTGACCGATAGGATCAGACGTTGATTTTGAAAGCCGAAAATATGAGCGTAAATGGAATCAACCCCGGTAAAATCGAAATGATATCAAATGCAGCAGCCGGTAATAATGAAAGGCTTCAAATCACTATGACGGATGACAGCTCTAGAGCCCATTTTGGGGTTGGGGGCAATAATCTGCGCTTTGAGATAACGGGAGGGTCTGAACACTGACCTTGCATCTGGGAGTTTAAGCAGCTCTCTCTACTCCTCAATAATTTCAACAAAGCAAAGTAGGCTTTCTTATGCCGCCGAAGACCCACGACACATAATGAATGGGGCCATAAATTTACGCCGACCTTCTCCAAAGTACCTTTCGCAATCTGTTCAAAGAAAAAGTAATTGCTCTGAGTTTGGAATATTGAAACCGGCGGAACGCCACTAAACCGATGCCTACATCTAAGAGGTCCATTACCTATATAAAATAACATCCGTTAGAGCTTGAAATAGTAAAAAATACAGTATGAGAGCGGATGGACTTACCCTGGATGCAGAGAGACGGTATTCGTTGTCAGGTAAGATATGCTGATTCTCGGTGAAGAATTCAGAACGAAGTTCGTTCAGGGCATCCAGCACATGGTCGAAATGCCCGAGCCGCCACGACAGAGACTCGAATCGCGAATCACTCAAATTCAAGCTTGATAATACAACAACGTTGCCCTCAAGGCCTGAATTACTCTGTGATGGATCATCCGGACTTGGTACCATCTTAAAAGCGATGGAGTCCGAGAGGGAGTCATCGAGATTGATCGTGTAATTTGTACTAGGATCTCGCAGAGGAGAACAACAGCCTCTTGACGAAGAGCTGAGCTTGAACATTGAGGTGGAAGGGAAAAGATGAGAAGAGCGCAACAGCATTTGGAATGGTGGCGGTTAAGTAGTACGAGCAGATCAGAAGCAGGCTTGCCCCCAATTCTATCTCGATGAGTCGTTTTGCGTGCGTTTTCTCTTTATAGTACAACACCGTTGTTCGGCAGTCGCCGAGAAATTGATTTGTTGAAGTGAATATACAGGGCTTTATGCGATTTTGGAAATTTAAATCATGACTACAAGGCTACTCAATACCGGGGCGAGCTGATACATACCAGAACACGCTCAAAAGCCTGAAAGAGCTAGCCTGGAGCTAGCGCTCATGGTAGTACTAGAATTCCATTGGTGACCCAAAATGGAAGGACATCACATGATGGGAATTTCGCGTCCATCCGACGTGTTTTGTTGTGACTAATTTAAATTAGGTCTCTCTACAACCGTGTCAGTTCTTCAAATGGAGTCAGTTGCCAACCAAGCTTTGAAGGAAAAGCAAAAGAAGGAAGCTCTTCGAAAACAAATCGCCTTGCTCCAATCCCAGCTATCTGACGAAGAAGAACTAGCCCCGGTTTCCCCAAAGCAGAAGTCAACTACACAAGGTGTCTTGGTACCTCGTACACCTTCTCCAAGTGTGTTGTTGAGATATTGTTCTATCATTTGCCGCTCATCCTGTTGTCTCCTAGGGAAAAAGCGGAAAGTCGAAGAACTACCTGCTCCACCGCCACGGAATGTCTTGTCGGCTGCGGTGTCGATCATAAACCACACCAGGACACCGGCAGAGCAGGGTGACTGTATCATTCCAGCGAAACCATTACCCTCAAAACTGGTACAAAGGCTTTCAAAATTACATTCGGACGAAGATGATGCATCGTCCAAATCTGTTCGGCGGACATCATCGTTCGCAGACAAACCACCTGAACCTGGCTCGTCTAAACGTGATGAAAACCTTGCAATCATCGAGTCGCTTGAACTTGGACCAACAGAGCATAAGCCTCCATTTGATGATCCCCATTTTGAGCGTGTCGAGCCAAATTCTGGTATTCGACTGAAGTAGGTTTTTTTATTTACTTCTACAACGTATTTGTCCTGACGATACTGCTTAGATCTCGTATTCTACCTCACGAAGATTTACAAGATCATCTACGTGGTCGATACTACCTGTCTCCTTCACGACTCTATTCATCTATTAGCCTTACTCCCGACAAGTCCGGTTACGATGTACCTGTGGATGGTGACTGGATAACTATCGCAGTGGTAGCTGAGCGCGGACCTATCAAGTATACGAATCCGCCGGTAGGGATCGCGAAAGAAGAAGAGGCGGACGAGGATGGCGCGCCGAGTGCTGGTCAAGGCAAAGGCAAGGACAATATCGTTAGGAAAAACAAATCTAAACCCTCAGACGCTCCGAATCCCAGACGCCGTTACGTTAACGTCAAACTAATCGACTTCGGCTCTCGGAAGTCTTCATCAAGCGAAAGTAAAGGTCATATCCTTGGGGACGCCTTCCTGACGCTATTGCTTTTCGAAGCCGAGGCAGTTGATCTAATTACAGAGGAATATGGCAAGAAATTAGCGCATCCGAGGAAAGTGTATAGAGGTGGGAGCGGAGGCGCTTTTGAGGCGATGGCAAAGTTAAAGGAGGGGGATGTTATTGCGTTGCTGAATCCCAGGATTATGAAACCTTTCACGGTGCATATCCTACTATATGATGTGCTTAGTACTAAGTCTCATTCCTGCCTTGTTTTTCTAGAGTTCGTCTACATCAAACCCTCATCCCGTCCACAATATCCTCGCCGTTACTCCGATAAACGCTAGTTCAATAACTCATATCGGACGTAGTCTTGATCTCGGCATGTGTATGGTACAAAAACGAGATGGCTCGGTATGCGGCTCCTGGTGTGACAAGCGGATCTCCAACGTCTGTGAATGGCATGTCACGAATGCAGTTCAGCGACGGAGGGCTGCACGTTCGGAATTTGCCGTAGGGTGAGCTTCACGCTTTGTAAAAAAAATTGTATCGTGTTGCTTATTATCTCGTTCAACGCTGCAGTACATCCGGTATGACCAACTCAGCCGTTGTGAAATCAAGATTCAACTCCAGTTCGTCTGACTACGACCCCGTTCGGAAAACGGGATTACTGCCCCGAGGTGGAGCAGCAACTCAAAGCAAACACAAGTTTGGTGGTTCGACGTCCTACGCGCCCGAAGCAACATATGTTCTCTCCGGACACGTTATTAACAACTCCAACACCGTCGACACGGCACATGTTTCTGAACAGATGGGCAGAGAAGGTCAAGCCAGGGCGCAGCGCGCCGAAATGAGAAAACAAGAAGATGAGTTATTGAAGAAGCTGTTGAAGAAAGAAAGGGCGCAAGGACTGGATGGGGGAGCAAGTCATATGAGAAGTGTATTAAAGGCGAGAGAGGTAATTTCGAGAGCAAAGAAGGAGAAAGACTCGAAAACCAAAAGGAAAACCATTGAGAAGGGGAAAGAGTTGAACGAAAAGAGGAAGAGACATTGTCATGATGACAGTGATGACAGTGAAGATCAGACGGAAGAGGATCAGACGACAAGAAAACTCAATGCATCTCGCTACCGTCCAGAGATGATCAAGACACTTGGGTTTGATCCTGTCGCGATGAAGCTTGGACCGCATCGTCAAAGTAATGTGGATGTCCAAAGAAAGGTTAACCCCTTTTCATTTCTAATTTGTCTCGGATTTCTTATGTGAATTTTTATGTCCTTCTTATATGTAGCTGGCTGATCTCGCAACCCTGCAAAACTCACGAAAGGAAGTCAATCTCGGTCCACGACCAGGTCCGAAGATTCGGTCGGGGGTATTTAAGCCTGCGATTGAGCCGGCAAGATTCAAAGCTGCGTTACACACAAGTATGAGGAGCACAGATGTAGAAATGGCCGAACAAAGCAATGACGCGGGCGCCGGTGGGGAAGGGATGGTTGATCTGGACTCTTCTGACGAAGAGTAGATGGTTCGGAATGTCATTCTGGTTCGTTTTTCAACTTGTATCATAATCTACATCTATCTGTATCACTAGTACATAAGCTGGGGGAATGGTAATATTGAATTGTCATAGGTTGAATCGCAGGTCTAAAAACTTCGCATCGCAGAAGTTTCTGACTGTCAGATCCTAGTCCTTTTCCGGTTTATCCCTTCTCCCTCAACCTTTCTCGAATTATGCCCTTCATCATTCTCGTCTTCGACTTCTACAATGGATCCAGAAGTTTCTGTATCCCTTGTGACATTAGTATAGGTTGCGACAAGGATCGTTCTTGTCCTTTTCCGGGGACGATGATCCACGTTTCGTAATTCCAGCGCTTTCCTAGGTTTACTTTGCTTGCTCAATGCAATTTCTTCTTCTGCTCCTGGCTCAAGCTCGAACGACACCTCGCCAAGCCAAGGGGTATACTTAAACTTGTCAGTCTTGATATGTTGTCGGATCCATCCACGGATAAGCGATTCCACATAGTCGGGGAAGGGGAAATCTGGTGATTGAGGATGTGATATGACTGGAAATGTGAGAGGACTGAGCAAGGTTGTTGGTGTAAACAAAGAATCAGGGATTTTCAACATTTCCAGAATGTGAAGTATCTCAGGCTCGTTGTAAACTGTTTTTCCGTCGGGATTATCATTGAGGTCTTGAATGGACTGTCCTTCCTCAAGATCAACGTGCTCAAAAAAGCATAAATCGTGAGTATTGAGCCGAAGCACTCCATCACAGACCAGAAACATCTCTGGAAATGGTTCCAAGCGTGGAGGGATATACATGTACAGGCCATTCTCCTGCATCTTGGTGAAGGTTTCATACATCTGTATGAGCATTGTTAGATCTCAGCAAATATCCTGTGATTCATATTCACCAAAGCTCGATCTCTATACTGCAGAGGTCTTCCTCTTGTCCGTTCAACGATAATGCCAACAATCATACTCTTGCGGGTAATATGAGCAAGAGGCTTAAAGGTAATATTTAAACCCTGAGAATGGTAGAAGATGTTCGTGGATTTCACGATTAATGCTTGTACTTCATCCTCATAAGCTATGAAGACATCTTATTGTAGGATGCCAGGGTATGAATATCTACTGCTAGAAAAGCAAGTTGGAGGTGCTCACCAACTGTCTGTCCGTTCCAAACACCTTCTGCTATCTCGTGATTCAGGAACTTGACAAGTTCTATGTCCTCTTCGGGTACGAGGGGAAGAAATACCGGGAATTCATCGTACCAGTCGTTCAAAACAGGCCGTTTACCTGCAGTTAAACTATATTTCTCGGTCTTCTCATCATAGCGGAGATGAGCCCAGTACGTGGAGTCCAATGATATCGTATCAAGCAGAGATCGCTAAAAACCAAAAACGATAGTATCAGCGTGCCTCCACCATAAAGATAGTATGCGCACTACGATCTCCAACTCTTTGTAGTCCCCACTTTCGGATTCAAGGCATCTTGCCTCTGGATCCTCAAATCTACTTGTATAGGCGCGCACTGGACCTTGGACTACAGTTACGTGTCCGCCCTTGAGCAAACAGTAAGTAGAAATTGCACGATAATGGTCCTCTGAGGGTCCAAAATCCCTGTTTCTGAATTCATCGACAGTCAAGTCGCACCATATCGTACTAATACCTGTATGCATCGTGGTTGGTATACGAAGTTATATTGTCGTTTCAGAACTCACCCAAGAGAGTGATAACGTCATCAGGTACACCGGTTCTCCTTGAGTTCATGTTTTCAAAAGATGTTCGCAGTGTAGGATATGGGAAGGTGAAGATATTGTTGGATGCAAACAGAAAAAGACGAAGTAATGTGGCGCACTGTGGCGCACTATTAGACTGTGCTAAAGTGGTCCGTGCGAGGGAAAATGTGCGTGATCGTGTTCGATGCCTGCCTGTCCCAGCAGTGAGAGGGGCTCATGGGGAAGTTTTTAGCCTCGAAGTTCAAACTTTCAAACTCTTGCAACCAGGCTACAACCGGATGTCTAACTCAAAATGTACATGGTAGAAGCTAGTAGAAGCTAGGATCAACACGACGCTTGCCTGAGGACACATTATTCGACTCCTTTCTATGCTTCATGGAATCTCCAACTATCGTTCTGACCATGGGGAGTCGAGTCCTCCTGCTCCAGTAAATAGTTGTGATTTTAGAACAACGCTACTGCCATTCTCTATTATATTCATGCATTGCCATCCTACTCATCAGTTTTCACGTGCGGGTGAGTGTTCGGTCAAAGCTGTGCTTTCGGATACTGTTTTTGGAATGTAGACTTCGCCTCTCTTCGCCTACAAAACTTTTACTGAGTTTCGAAAACGCTAGTCAAGGTTGTTCCAAACCCAGTAAGCTTGTGCTGCTTCCCTAAGGTATAAAACACTCGCGCATACTCTCAAATTATACTCATTGTATCTGAATGCAATACAGACGCGATGTGCAAGTCTCTTTAGGATATCGGAACAGTTCAATCTCAAAGGACACCAACCCCAGAATTGAATCCTCCAGAAGCTACCACCACCGTTCTCCAGCTTCCACAACCTCACGAAGGACGCACAGTCACAGACGTAGGTTCTTCGCTTTCGATCTCTTTTCCTTTGTTTTGCCATCTTCAATCCTGCATTAGCTTTTTATGATGATAATGCTCATGCTTACTCCGATTCGCTCGCCTACCAACGTAGTGCGCAGTATTGCAGATCTTGGTCGCCGAACAGGCTACACTACTGATCCGCACTTTATCAACGCTGACGGCGTTACAAGAGGATTTCGTTTTTGTCCATTAACCACCAGGGACGAGCCTCGTCCAGTCAGATATCGCTAGTGCCACGTCGTTTGTGCTCCTGAATTGAGAACGAGATTGTTGGCTATACGCTCAAGGCGCATTCCTGGAGTCCACTCAAATGTCTTATAACTGTGGATGGACTGTCTTGGCTGGAAGATTCGATTCCATTGTTAGCGTGGATGGATTGTCCTGGTTGGAAGACTCGAGTCCATTGACAGCGTGTATGGATTGTCCTGGTTGTAAGACTCGAATCCATTGATGGCGGGATATAATAAATGCATCCCATGGAATAGCTTCTGCAACCGTTCCTCATCATCTGTTCTGTGCATATCTTCGGACTTGAACTTGATCTCCTTATCCTACCTATGGTCTTGCTCATAATGTGGTAGCTCAAAAGCTGCCAGAGGCTATTATTTCTACCTAACACTTAAACCTTTTAACTGTTCTCACTGTATCGATATAAATCTATAACCACATTGGCACCACGCAGCTCTCTCTCATACTACCCGTCTTCTATGTATATTAGTATTGATAGGCTTCGATCATCATTATTTGAGCTTTCCACGTTTGTAAAGAAATTCTACGCTTTGACTAACCAAATAAAGTATCTAATGTCGGCCTCCGGATCGGCATCGCCGCCGAATGAAATTCCGACTGTGCTAACTTTTTTGCTCCATTTTCTTGACGTTCTTGATCACTGCAAACCCTCATTCCACTTCCACCTTCTTTCCATTGTTCTCCTTCGGAACTGTCGAGTGCCTCAGACGTTGATCATCGTTCTATCAAACTCAAGCAGAAAAGGAATCGTCAAAGGATGCGAATTTTGTTCGTGAGCGGTTTTTCTTCAAGTACTCGCGCTCGCGAGCTTGCCCTCGAGTTTGAAAGGTGTGTTTATTTCGTACAATTGCTTCAGTGTTGATTTCTTCGAATGTATAGACCCATTACGTTTTCCTTTGCAATCAAGTTTCCTGCAATTTAATTATTGACGACCTTTTTTCTCTAGGTTTGGGCCTCTAATTCGCTGTGATGTTCCTGCTCCTCGCCATTCGCACTCAAGGACCGTTCCGTGAGTGCAACGCGTTTGATCTCTTTGGATATCTTTTGCATGTTACGTGGTTTGTTTCGAAAGACTAAGGATGGCTGTGAAGTCTTTCTTTGATGTCGAAAAGAACCACATTGTCCTACGACATGGGACAAATGGTTACGAGGTTTTTGAATACGCTGTAATAATTGAATTCCTCCGTTGTTCGCCACGCGTCGATCGCCTCTTCCATTTGCGCTCTCAACTCACGAATGCTCAACGAAAGCCTTAAACAGCTATGCGTTTGTGGAATTCAGAGAAGGACGCGACGCTGAAAATGCATATCATGAAATGTGTGTGGATATGCTTACACATATTTGCCGTTGAATCCTTACCCAGTCGAATTTTCCCTAGGCATGACAGGAATTTTGAAGGTCACCGATTGAGTGTCCAGGTGAGTTTATCATGTCAGCCGAGAGTCATTTCATATTAAGACATTCTACCCAGTGGGCAAGAAAGCCTCCATCTGCCGCTTGGCGTGTGTCGGATGGGTCCGCACCACCCTCTCGTTCAGACCGTGACTCTCGCGCTCGTTCTCGCAGCCCTCGTAGACGAAGCCCTGAACGTAGACGAGATAGAGATGCAGAGCCTCGGTGCGTTCTCTTGCTTAGCCATGTCTTCTTGCCCTTAATCGTTCGACAGCGATAGGCGCAGACATAGTTCAAGAGGGAGAAACAGAGACGAAGCAAGGACTCCGCCACCGCCACTATATGCGACTCCGATGGCTGCTGTGGATGATTACCAAAGTGATCGCAGGGATTCTGGGAATGATAGAGAGTATAAAAATGCCAGAGATAGTGACCAAGACTACAAGGGAAGCAGTAGGGATCACAAAGATAGTAGCAGGGACCGCAGAAACAGTAGTAGGGACCGCGCGGATAGGAGCAGGGACTATGATGATGATAGGGAGGTCTATCGTCGTGAAGATGCGGGAGCGCCTTTGGATAGTTGAGTTTGTCCTATAGTCATAACCTGCTCCGTTGTCAAATTCGAAAGTGATCCGAACTGCTGCATTATCGTCTCGATTCGGATACTTAGTACATCAATATCATACTTTCTGTAGTACTTTACATGAAAATTGTTTAAATAAATAACGTCTATAGTGAACAGGTGGCTGTGCTGCGAGTCCTCGATTCAGTTTTAGCCTGAGTTTAGCCCAAGTTAAAGTTTATCCTTCGGCTCGACATCTTCGACTATATCTACGTAAATCCTGGAATGTTGCTACTTTAGCATCCCGTTACAATGCTCACAACTCTTTTTGTTGCTGGTCTTGGCCCTACTACGCGGGCTCGGGAGCTAGGAGAGGTTTTTGAAAGGTTTGAACTTTGAAGACCTCCAACTGTATCCAAAGATATTCACGAGCAACTTTAAAACTCATATCAGGTATGGCCGCATTTCACGATGCGACATTATGCCCCCGAAGAAAGGACGCACTCATAACAGTAACAATCCGTAAGTCCTCTTAAACATACTTTATACCCTGTATGAGTGTTGTGGTTCAAGCGTAGCAGTGGATCGAAGATGATCTTTTCTCTTACCAGACGAAATTAACAACGACTGACTGCCATTACTGATACGATTCACTTCAACAGATACGCTTTCGTGGAATTCTTATCCAGTCGTGACGCGGACGATGCTCTTAAAAGCTTGTAAGTTTGATTTCGTTCAAGTTGCATGTCACCTTATAGACGGCTAATCTCAACGTTAGGAATCATACCTATGTTGAAGGATATTTATTGAAGATCGCTGTGAGTCTATTTCGTTCATCTGAGCATTCGTTTGATTGGTTTTGAATGATCACCATACTCAACAGTGGGCTGAACATCCTCCGAATCAAGATGACCCTCATGCTCCGCTATCCTATCCTTCTCAACACCGTATATCTAATCGATCAAGAAGCCGCAGTCCATTTCCAAGTCGTCGAGACGTATCCTCCGGAATGACACGGATAATACCAAATTTATATGATTCTTCTTTCCTTGAACGCGATCAGTACAATAATCATCATTCAAACAGAGAGATCTCCGACATAGCTTCTCGAAACAACGATGCTCGAGCCCACTCGAATTATCATGCAATCGACACTAAACGCAGACATCGGGACGATGAGCGGTATAATCATGGATATGAAATTCGGAGTGATCCGAATCGTGGAAGGAATGGGGATCCACATAAGAGGTTGGCTTCGAGTTGGGATAGTAGACATTACGAACCACAGCAACCACAAGATATATTCCCAGAAAGACGGTCACGGAACTGGGACTCGGAATCAGCACCGCATCGTGAGCGAAGGAAGGAGGATTCACGTTTTACGGACCATCAACATACCGATCATCGTCCTGTTCATAAGGACGCAAGAACGTCGCGCTCTTGTACTCCGCCCTCGGCACGAACCTCCCGCGCCTCACGATACGCGTCAACCCGTGCCGGAGATGTTTCCTTTGCTCTTGCAGCTGAAAAAGTTGGCAGTGCATCAAGAGAAATAACCGAAAAATGTAGCTGGGATCGGCCTTCGACAAATTTGACCGAGGTTGGCACGAATTTGCATCATTCGTCCCGCCAAGTACCTTATCCCGACGATGAATCGACACAAAAATTCACCCCTATTCGTTCATGGCGCTCATCATCTTACTCAAATCGAAGGTCGCCCTCTCCCGTTACCCAAACACGAATTCCAGCTGATCAGACAGCGCAATCCCCAACACCTCGGAACATGCAGTTTACAGAACGTGTAGATTACGCTCGAACTCCACCGGGTCCTCCTCCTCCCGTCGAAATGGTTGATGTTGAGGCAGATAATTATGCGAAAACCCCGCCTAGAGAACCGTTTGAGAATATCGGCCATGAGGCGGAGGCGGAGGTGCATGAAAAACAGGATCCGTGACGAAGCAAGCACCAAAATGAAAATGCGCCAAAGTTATGAACAAAATCTTGCAACGTACATGACACAGAGTACTCAGTACTAGGGGGGCTAAGTGTTGGACTAAATGTCAGCTGGTACAGGGAAATGACGAAACTCCTTGACTTGTTCAATCTTGTACGCTGCAAGCATGCGGATATGATACGTACATATAGTTGTAATGTTTCCTTGTCGTTATACTTACTTTCTTGCTGTTGTCGTATCGCGCTGCGGCTTCGGATGCCGAAGTTGACCATACATACATGCATGAATTCGAACTCACCATATATATGTATAGTCGTTGATTTTATAGATTGAGCAAGTATTCAAGGCTACATACATTTCGAGTAGATTTCAATGAGGGTAGACTTGATCAAGTCCGCCAGTTCAACTATACAGTAGGCAGCAACTAATCCATTGGTCTCTCAATTAAGTCGAGCCCCGTAATATCAACTCCTGCAAAATCGCGATTCTTGATTCGCCTAGTTTCTCGCTCGCGCTTGACGAGCCATAAACGAAGGAGATTCAAAGCGTCTTTCGCGACTACAAAGATGCCAAACCCAAGGGTATTTCTCCACCTAAAAATTATTGTCAGATCAAAACAAGCAAGATATAGACACGAAATTGTATACCATATAGGATCAAACTCTGCCCAAGCTTTTGATCCACCCCACAGTGCGCGCAATACGTCCTTCCAAGGAACATCACTCCCAAGGGTTGTTGAGCCACTCTTATCAAAGTTCCACCTATAATTCCCGACTCCAAAGCTCAATGATGATCCTGGCTCAGCCTTCCGACTCGCATATGAAGATGGGGAAAGTGAATTCGCATCCCACCATGATCTATTCGGAGCAGACCTCGGTCCAATAGCAAGGATATATCGTAGATACCGCGCAAGCACACCTGGCTTACGCGCGAGATGGAAGAGGATGTTGCCCATGTGTCGGGCGACCATTGGTACAAGAAGTGCACCGGCAAGCTTGCGGCCTAACGGGGAGGCGTAAATGGTGATGGTTTGGTCAGCTGGGTTGTGTTCGGCTACTGGGTCCTCCAATCGGGGTTGGTTGACAGCTTGGTCAGCACCTGGTTCATTTGCGTCTGCATTGTCAATGTCGGGAGGCTCTCCATTCTCTGCAGCGCCCCTCAGACGGACAACCATCAATGCATTTTCATCTTCCCCATCCACAGTAGGTATCCGAGCCCCTAGGACCCACTTAGTGACCCTCTTCAGTGCTTTATTATACAAGAAGCGAACTAGTGGAAGAAGAATGAATCCAACAGTATACGGTGAAGGCGGAAAGACGGTTATGGTGTTCCATTCGATGTTGGCAGGACTCTGTAGACCGCGATCGTAAAGGTTTGGCCATTCGAGGAGGGCTGAGACGATTGGGAGAAAGCTGAATCTTGTCTCGAAGCGAGAGGCGACGAGAAATACAGGAATGAGAGGAAGATTGATGTAGGCACTCCATGGCCACTTGGACAAGTCGTCTGTTAGAAAAGCGTCGTATACTCTGTAAATAAGGAAATCAGTTGCGCTAGGCAAATTGAACTTCAAGTCATTTACTCTTTTCCAAAAAATTCGCGTATGGAATATGCACCATACTTTGTTAGCATCCAGTAAGTACCTAGAATAAAATTTATGAACAAGGACGTTGATAAAATGGAGAATTAACTTGCCTGCCCCTACAACACTAAGTATTGTCGAAGGCACCATAATGAGGAACATTTTGCCCATGTACCCCACGATGATATTCACATCAGTAAGCATTCTCCAAGCGCTTCGTTGTAGAAAACCAAATTGCCCTCCACTGTGCACTATCTCGTATTGAGTTGCACATTGTGGACACTTGAGTGCATCGCGGCCGGACGGTTTCGCTTGAGCAGTTTCGATCCAGGAGAGCAGACAAGCTTCATGGGCAATTAATGTACATTTGCAGGGATGTGTCCAGGCGCGGGGAGGATCAGAGGGTTCTAAGGAACTGTTGAGTATCAATTGAGAGTACAAATACCTAACTTGTGATAGACCTACCGTCGAAAGACTCTTCCTCTCGACAGATATAGCACATTTTGAGGCGTATATCATCGATAGTAGGTACGTATTCGCTCATTGTTTGATCAGAGTCGGAAGGAAGGAAGGCGAGAAGGATCTGGATTAAGAATAATGGAGGTAGAAGTGAAAGGGCGTCTATAGGCACGTGCTCTGAGAGAGGGGAGTCATCTTGCTAACCAGGACCATCCATATTCATTGATCACTTTCACTAAAAACGAAGAAAGTATGGCCGACGAAGAAACACTGCAGAAACGTGAAGAGGATTCTGACTCCGATGCCGAGGATGAAGACATCGTCGATGATGTACCGAAAATTGATATAGACCCATCGAAATTAACACCTCTTTCGCCTGAGGTTATATCTAAACAGGTAAGCTACACAATTGGAGATCAGAAAGGATCAAGGGTGCTAACAAGCATGAAAGGCTACAATAAATCTCGGTACGCGCTGCTTTGAACTTTGGGATGGAATTTATCGATGAGTCGATCGGCCTTGTTGCGTAGGTACCATTGGACATGTCGCGCACGGAAAATCAACAGTAGTGAAGGCAATATCGGGAGTCATGACTGTCCGTTTTAAGAACGAGCTTGTGCGGAATATCACGATCAAACTGGGTTATGCCAATGCTAAAGTACGTTACGCCCAACGTTTGGTGTTTTTTTTTCTTACTCATCGACGCTAAACATTGCCTTTATCAGATCTACAAATGTGAAAACGAAGCTTGCCCAAGGCCGGGCTGTTACCGGTCATATCGGTCGGACAAGGAAGATAATCCTCCCTGTGAACGCCCAGGATGTGGACATCGTATGCGACTAATTCGACACGTTTCGTTCGTCGATTGTCCCGGACACGATATTCTCATGGCTACCATGCTCAACGGTGCCGCTGTCATGGACGCAGCGCTTCTTTTAGTTGCAGGAAACGAAACCTGTCCTCAACCACAAACTTCTGAACATCTTGCTGCAGTCGAGATCATGAAGCTCGAAAATATCATCATCCTCCAAAACAAGGTCGATCTGATCAAAGAGAGCCAAGCGCTAGAGCACCAGAAGAGTATCGCAGCATTCGTCAAAGGTGTGTAATTTTTTCAGCGTGTATAGCTCCATCCAAAGCTTAAAAAATCATAGGAACCGTTGCTGAATCATCACCCATTGTCCCGATATCTGCTCAATTGAAATATAACATCGATGCTGTCAACGAGTACATCGTAAAGCGTATACCCATTCCTATTCGGGATTTCACCTCGGACCCAAGACTCATTGTCATTCGTTCGTTTGACGTCAACAAACCTGGAGCTGAAGTCGACGAGCTTAAAGGCGGTGTAGCTGGTGGTTCCATTCTTACCGGGGTCCTTCGGTTAGGAATGGAAGTCGAAATCAGGCCCGGCATCGTGACAAAGGATAGTCAAGGTCGAAACAAATGTCAGCCTATCTTCAGTCGAATCATGTCTCTTCACGCAGAGAACAACCTCCTACAATTTGCTGTCCCCGGTGGACTAATTGGTGTCGGTACTCGAATCGACCCTACACTTTGCAGAGCAGATAGATTAGTAGGTCAAGTTTTGGGAGCTGTCGGAAAGCTTCCCAAAATCTACACTGGTTCGTTGTCTCTATTATTCTTTTCTGCGAGAAATTCACCGCTCGGATCTAGAACTTGAGATCAGTCTATTCCTTCTTCGTCGTCTGCTTGGTGTTAAGACGGAAGATAAAAAACAGACCAAGGTTTCCAAACTGGCAAAAAACGAGCTTCTCCTTATCAACATCGGTTCTACATCAACCGGCGGTCGTGTTCTCAGTGTGAAGGCTGATTTGGCCAAGATTCAGCTTACGTCTCCGGCATGCACTGAGGTGGGCGAGAAGGTTGCGCTCTCTCGTAGAATTGAGAAACATTGGCGATTAGTCGGTGAGTAAAAATGTTCCGCTTCTGTTCAAGTGTCTGTACTAATCTTTCTTCTACAAGGTTGGGGCAGTGTCCAACGGGGTACGGTATTAGAAGTAGATTAATTTATCGTTTGATATCATGTTTGGCGTGCTTCCACTGACCGCAAATACTGCAATGCTAATTACATACCTTCGTGCCTTGCTTTGATTGAGTGGGACCGAACTTCCGAATGCATCTCTAGCTCCGCAAATAATTGGTATACAGGTTACGTCCATTTTCCTATCCCTACAACAACAATATATTTACTACTTCGTACAAAGGCCCTCCAGTGGGTAGTACTTCGGACGGATCTCGAAAGCTGTTCAAGAGACGAAAATGTCAATGAGATCTGACCGCAAAGTATATACCACATTAAGTTAAGCAGACTGACCATGATCTTCATCAAGATATTGTATCATCAAGGGGTCGGGGCTAGAAGAGCCACGGTAGCACACATGGCAGAACAAGTCCCAAGGGCCGCATTACACCCCAAGATAACAGCAGGTGTAGCAGGCGCAGCGATGACCGTGCCAAAGGTGAATCCTGCGGCAGCGTAACAGGCGCCCGCGACGGTGTTGCATCCTGCAAGACGAAGATCGAGACCGTGATCAAGAGACAAAGAGCAGCGACCGAGAGCGACGGAACCATGTCAATGTCAACGGTAAGTCCCCATCGTTGTTATCTCGGAAGCTGGCATGGAAACTGCTTACCAGTCTGGCAAAGCCCGTACGCGATAAGACCTGCTTTTGCACCTTGTAGTCCTGCGAGGACTGACAGGACAGGTACGAGGACGTTTGTGAGACGCATCTCTATCGATATGTGCGGTTGGTTGGTTGGTTGGACTTTAGTGGGGATGGCGCAAGTAAGAAACAAGGATGGGTTGAAGTTTGACGCCTTTCGAACCTTAAGCTTAAATGAGAGCGCTAAACCCCATCGTTTCATTGTATCTAAATGTGGTAATGTACTTGGATGAGTACGTTTACTTTGACCGCTGAACAGCTTTGATCACCTTAGAAGGTAACAGCGGCCTTGTCACAATGATCTGCTCGGTCTACCAGACAAACGAGATCCCCCCAGTTCCTATCTCTATACAGTGAGTTGATTTTGTTCATCATTGCTTGAAGTCTCATGTCTTTTAACAAGGGACACTCATCAATCCTCATCAATGTACGGGGTCGGATAGGATTCTAGGAAAGATACACATACTATGGGGCATCACCTTGTTAAGCAAGGAGGTTAAAATCTGTTCCAATATGAGCTTTGCATAGGACACAGGTAGATGCAATGGATTTGCTTCCAAGAGTGGCTTTTGGGGAAAGGGAAAGCACTCATTGGAACAAGTAATACAGAAGTGACAATTCTCTCAACTCTGGTGCATCGTAATCTGTACGATTCCATGAAACTCAAAAACTATAAGCAAAGAAGCCCATCAGTCCCGCATTGTCCTTATGGCTTGGTTACCAAGCCCTTTAGGTGAATAATCAATTATATGATTAAAGTTCGCTTGGGGAGGTTTCACCCTCAAATAGGGGCAGTTTCCGGTCTAGTCTTTAGGGTGTGGCTTGTCATAGCTATGATCTTTTTAATACATGAAATTCGTCCTTTGTCTTCCTTACCTTTGTGAGATTCAACTAGTCCTACAGTGCACACATGATTTGTCACATCAGTATTGTAGTATGAGTAGAAACCATCTACTTATTGAAAATAATGGACATGCAACTATCGCGAGAATAATTCGAACCACTAGCATAAAAATGAAAGAGGGGAAGCTAAGTAAACATTCAAGTCCAGCAACCAACCTCAATCTTCTATTAATACCATGTAACAGCATGTAACGATAGGTCGGCTGGTATGCCCAGCCGCCCTTTTTCTGTAGAACATATCCAACAGCACCCTCTTCATCTGTAGACCATTTCACTCTTTTCCACTGCTCGTCGTCTTCATCTTGCCATCTTAGACGCGCCTGCGCAAAGTCAATGATGACGGCTTCGCGGCATGTCTTCGGTGATCCAGATACCCCAGGATTCGATGGTACAATGAAGTTCTCCAGACGCACATCCTTGTTCAATACACCTCTGTCTCCAAGCTCCACCACAACGTCTACACATTTTTGGCAACGCGTCGGAGAAAGTGCATCTGCAGAGAATGTGTCTAGCCTTTGGCCCTCCACGTACTCCAGCAAAATCCCAGGCACTTCTGCTACAGCCATCCGGTGGTCTGTTTGAACCTCGGGTGATTCGACGAGAAACCGTGTTCTACCAAAAAAGCGGGAATTTCGTTACCCTGCATAGATACCAATCGCTCATATACAGAGCTCACTTTTATAATAAGACCCAAGAAGTGTGGCGAGATATGCCTCAGTTTCTTTTGCAGATGCTTGAATATCAAGTTCACCATCGGCACTACACTGAGGCCCCTTCCCGATAGCAGTATACATGAAAATTTTCGGGCCCGGGGATCCGAGGCTGTATAAATCGCATATGGATTATGACTGATTATGAAGAGCGAACGACTTTCCTCGTCTTTGATTATTTCAACATTAGCCGGGTTACTGAACGGTACAAGATGACACGGGCTTACATTGGATCGGGACCGCACTACGTACTTTATATTTTATCAACCTTGTGCTTTCTGCTATACCCTACCTAGTGCTTGATGCAATGTATGTAGTTATCACCTAAAGAATGGTGGCAGGACGCTTGTATCGAAGATTTGGGTAAGTTATGCGGTACGGGTACATCCCTGATTCTGAACTTGAACATGCCCATGCGTGAAAGGATTTTTCAGACTCTATAACTCTGGAGCATTATAGAATTCACGCAAGTCTTTTACGTACTGTCTGTCATAGACTTCGAGATCCAAAGTCGACGGGAGGTAGGGCGAGCGTGATGCATTCGTCAACGCAACTTTAAGCGCTGGTGATATCGCGATGGGTCGATGGGTTGATGGGTTGAAATACTTCGAGAACTTCGATTTTGACTTTTGTGACGGGAGGAACTGAAAATCCAAGCCCAGGGGCGTTTTCGAGGTGATATCCGGCACCAGAGTAGTAAGGGCTAGTAAGGGCAGCTGTACATTTGCAGGCTACTTGATGACTAGAAAGGTGGCCACTGGCACTTGAGAGTTTCTGTAAATTTACAAATCATAACTGTTGTTTGGTGTTATTTGCGCCTACTGCATCATCGACGACTAATCGATATAGGAACTCGAAGGAATTCATTGCCCTCCTCCGACTCGTCCCCTCTTGTCTTGCTCAAAATTGATTCATGGTGAGCGAAATGAAACATAGGCGAACTTTTCAAGACCTACTGTTAATCAGGACCAGCTTTCGGAAGAAATAGAGCTTTCATCTCAGAGCCTTTACCATACACTCGCCATATTGAATAATGATACCTACTCGCCCGGGATAGATTCTGAGGGGGGAATTGAGGAAGTTCTGGGCCGCAGGGCATGGATAATATTGGTCCACAATGTGGAGAAGACCTGGAATATGAGAATCAGACATATCTGGCTTCAAGTGGGTACTCACTTCATTGTTCCAATAGCTTACGTCGCCGAATAGGCGGATTCTTCACTAGACACTCCTTCTATTACTCGTCTTGCATCCGGGGCTTTGCATATTAGGCGAAATATTGTGGCTTTATACATTCGAACCATTCTCAGCCAGGTGAAGTTTTCGCTTCAACCCTTTGCCGTATCTCTGATGAATCCTAGCGAGTTCAAGAGAATTCTATCGTATTTGTATCGGGACATCAAAGCCGCCTCAATCGCCGATGTTACTACCCTTCTCCTTCAAATCCCTCGGGTCGTGTATGGGCTCAAACTCGAAATCTGCATCCTTCTACCCTTAGTTCTTCTTTTGACGTCTTTTTCAAGAGCCCTCAAGAAGCGCGTCAATGTCTGTGCGCGGGTCTGCACTCAAGTGATAGTCGATCCTTCGAAAGTAGACCTGGAAGCTCTGGAATTCGCCCCTCAATCCACTTGTATCGCCGACATCGAAACCGCATTCCTACGAATACTGTACTCTCCTGCACAACATTCGCAAGCAATCAATATCCCTCAAACATCAGTTGTTTATATCGGAGCATTGAATACGATTGGCTCGACAACCCTATACAATTCCCCATTCTGCGCGTTTTTTCACTGTCCTCTCATTGCTCTTGTGTGTTTCTTGAAGTATTCTATGGTTCCTTTACTGGTCTCCGCGCTCGGCTTAGGTGATACTTCATCCGAACACGATTCTCTTCCCCCAATGTTCATCTTTTCCTTGATATTCGGCACGATTTATACGTTCGCACTCCTGGCTGTGGCTGTTATCTGGGCTCTGTTTGCATATCACCATTTGCCAACGGTGGAGGATATATGTAGTAATATCGTGAAGGACATCAATCTTTTCGTTTCTTCCTAATCATGTTCAGGATATCGGAGTCAATCGTGTCAATAATCATACTCCAATGTCCTCATGCGGCATGCCGAACCTCTTCGACCACTAGTACTTTTCGATTGCTTATAATCGCTCACCTTCAGAATACCAAGCGATGAACGTATCCAGGTGTCGAGACTGCAAGGTGATTCTTCGATAATGAGGTTCATTAGCGAATGGTGATAGGTCTTGATAGTGTGTTCAATAATTACTTGTGTAATTTGAATAGGACATTCCGACAATGCAAAAGATGGGTTGGCCCTGTTGGAAATCTCTCAGTAACAATCTCCTCAACGATGAGAAAAATGCTCGCTTCGTCATACAGCATTACCCGAATTCATGAACTCATGATACTTACTTACCCCCGGCTCTCTTGAGCAACATTCGTGAGAAGTCCTGTCGAAATAAGGAAGGTTTCGTAGAAGAATTGAGGTAATAAGCAATCGATTGTGTGCCGTCGGTGTGGTGGTAAATTGAAGGCTCCCGATTGGTTTATTCACTTGCTCTGAGAGATTGTATATAAGGCTCTGAGAATGTAGAACATCTTGTCCGTACAGTACTGAAGATGAGTGAGTCTCCTGCAACCTCGAACGACTTCAAGTTACTTAACTTACTCTAACCACACTTAACCCCCAAAAGCATCTGTAGGTCTTCTCGTCCCTCTCATCGCAAAACCCTCCCAAACCAAAGCTATCACCGATTTCCTCCATACCGGATATACTCTAGTCCCATCCGAGCCTCTCACCAGAGAATGGTTTGCAGTTAGATATGAAGACAGCAATCCACCTACATACGCTATATTCGATACCTTTGCAGCCGAGGAAGGTCGCCAAGCGCATCTTACTGGGCAGATTGCTAAAGCATTGATGGACAATGCATCGAGTTTGTTGGATGTGAGCCCAGAGATTGCGCAACTTGATGTCCTGGTTAGTCTCGTCAGACCCAGCAAGGGATCCGGGGAAGGTACTACAGCAGGAGTGACGAAAGGGCTGAGGGTATTGTTTACTGCAAAACCAGATAAGGTCGATGCAGTTAGAGATTTTTTGAAGGTGAGTCGCTACAATCAAAGTTTGTGCGGACTGTTGAAGAGACTCTTACATGACATTCACTTGTTCGAATTCCATAGAGTGCTATTCCACTCGTGGAAGCTGAGCCCGAGACGACATACTGGTATGCCGTGGAATTTCCCGGAACAAACACGTTTGGCGTGGTGGACTTTTTCCCCGACGATTCTGGTAGAGGAGCGCATGTCGCTGGCAAAGTGGCGGCTGCTTTATTTGGATCAGCAGACGAGTTGTTGACTGGGGCCCCGGATCTGGTCAAACTCGATGTTATTGCTGCAAAAGTTTGAAGCTGCTGTACCCATCGACGATTCAGTGTGTAGTAACATGAGTGTACTTATAGTTAGATGGAGGAAACCATGCATTCTTTCCTATTCTTTCACTATTGTCATTGGTAACCTCAATGATGCAAGTTTCTTCCGCCGACTCGGATATGGTCAAAGACAAGGGAAAACTGTTAGACCTTCCGTCGCCCGCCGCGATGTTGTATTGATATTTATGCCGGACTGACACTTTGAACAATACCTGATGCAGAAATATGTTGCATTATGAGGGTTTAAGCACGTTGAGAAAATCGCGAGCACTTTGAACAATACCTGATGCAGAAATATGTTGCATTATGAGGGTGTAAGCACGTTGAGAAAATCGCGAGCGTGACTGAAGGGGAAAATTTAGGCGCTGATACGGTGCATAGCTTAGCGCCGTAGTCAGTACGCTATAACCACAAGTCCATTCAATCCTTATCTTGCCCTTCTTCCCTTCTCCATATGTATCTGCCCAAGAACCTCGGAAAGCTTCTCTTCCCTTGCTCACGAGGGTTTCAATTGGTACAAATGGCATCTGCATGTGGTCCTATCACCTGCGAAGTGAGTACCAATACGCAAAGATCTACTTCTAAGTTCTGATACATACATATGAATAGTGAACCTTGCTGTCGCTAGCTACCCATGCGAATATTCTCACTCATTGAGGACGTGGCTGCCATCGTCATACATAGGCACTTCTCCATAAAATCCATTCGAGCTTCTTGATGAATCTTTCAGCTGGATCCCTTCTGATTCCCTCATGCTGCTCCTTTCCCGCACCCTTTACAGCCTTGCTGTTTCTCTCTTCTCGCTCTCAGTCTCTGCAACGCCCACAATCACAAGAAGGCATGTATCCAGTGTAGGTCCTCGAACTCCCTCGTCGCCCCTTCCTGCGGCAGATTACTCGGTAGCCATCACCGCTTCTGTCCCTCGGACGAAGGCGAAGAGGTTCCTGATGCAGGCTCTGCGCGAAAGCCAAGCTGCTCAAGCTGGGAGTAATTTCACCACAATCGTCGGAGGGTCCGATTTCGATGAGGAATACCTCACCAATGTGACGTTTGGAGAACAAGATTTTTTGCTTATTGTTGATACGGGAAGGTATGTGCACCGTGTATCATGGTACATGAATGATATATCATTGTAGTGACCCTTTGATATCAACAGCTCAGATACCTGGGCTCCAGAAATAGGATTCGCGTGTTTTGATCTTGATAACAACCCCGTTCCGCAGTCCCAATGCGCCTTTGGCACTTCCGGGTTCGACGTCAACGGTTCTTCGACTTTTGTAGCCGACCCAGACACCAACTTCAACATCGAATACGGCGACGGCGAGTTCCTCACGGGTACAGTGGGGTTCGACACGGTCACTGTAGGAAATATGGTGGTAATCAATCAGGAAATAGGGATTGTGACGAATGCCGCATGGGAGGGAGATGGGTTTAACACGGGTTTGATGGGGCTGGCGTCGCCGAATTTGACTAGTGTATTCCAAGGGACGAATCCCGACGACGATGAATTCCCGCAAACGCAGATTCCGTATAACCCTGTGTTTTATTCAGCGGTCCAACAAGGAGTGGTTTCTAACCCATGTAAGTGGAGTTGTTTCCCTCCTTTTTTGGACATCGGAATGTCTTTACAAGGATATTTCTATTTCTCCGAGTTTAGTCTTCTCGGTAGCGCTCGACCGTGGATCGTTCGCGGCTGAGAACAGCTCCGATTTGGATCAAAATCTCGGCTTCATCGCGTTCGGTGGTATCGCCCCAGTAGACGTCACGGATTCAGCTGTGACTGTCCCAGTTCAAGGCTACAACGCTGCGAGCTTCCTTCCTGAAAACGGGAGCAGCGTCACTTACTTTTATTACACCGTCGATGTTGAGTCGATGTCCTTCACTGGTAATAAAAAGGTGTTTGGTACAACTAACAGTATGTTTTGATCACGTTGTCAACATCAGTTTGGTTAACTAGATATCTTTTGCAGACATCATCCTAGACACCGGAACCACCCTGGACTACGTTCGTGAGTCGTTTTCTCCCTTCTCACCTGCAATCTCGTGGGTAACTAACCTTACTTCACTTTCAGCAACCCAAGTCGCAGATGCATTCGCCGCCGCTTTTGATCCTCCCGCTGTCAAAGACGAAGACGAAGGCGTCTACGTAGTCGTATGTAGCGCCACTGTCCCCGAATTCACAGTCAACATCGGCGGAGTAGAGTTCACAGTCGATCCAGCTGATAATCTTCTTCCTCTGGGTGTTCAAGATGACGAGGGGAATGATTTGTGTGCTAGTGGGACTTTTGGTGAGGATTTTGTTTCTTTTCTGCGTATAGGTATGTGGTGTGCTCATCCGCTGTTACGCTAGACGGAGGCCCTGCAGAGGAAGGAAATATATTCATCTTGTAAGTGTCCTGTCCGGACAGGTCTATTATAAGAGCTAGATACTAATGGTGTGCTTCACATTTGTAGAGGAGACACATTCCTACACAACGTCGTGGTTACCTTTAACATCGAGACAGACGAAGTCACACTCACACAACGAACGCCATACACCAACGGTGGTAATGGTGCAAGGCGTCGCTCTCCTCCTTCACTGAGGCGACGAAGTCTGTAGAGATTTGGGCCAACTGGAAATAGTTTTGTGATGAAGTTGTTTGATTTCATACTGTATAAGAAGGAAATTCAAAGATTGTTATAAACAAGCGCCCGAATTATAATAAGCGCCTGTGGCTGACGTCGATATAATCCGCTGACGTCATACCAAAATTCAAAAGCCGCAGTGGTGCGCGCAGAACACGTACGCTTAAATACACTTGTCTTTTTACCACTTCTCAGTTTCAAGTTCAAAATGACTATCTACTATTCTCTTACTTTCCTCCTTTTGGCGGCTGAAATGGTGACTTTCACTGGGCTAGTGATACCTTTCCCCTTCGTTGTCCGCAAACGCGTCTTCACTTTCCTCTCTCAAAGCCCTATAGTGGCTAAAGTTGCATACGGGATAAAAATCAGCTTCATGTATGTTCACTAAATGTTCTTTCGTGGTATTTGTTAATCTTTCAATTATTTCATAGATTTGTCGGGATTCTATTCTTCGATGCTTTACAACGCATGTTCCGTATCACTGCAGAATCGGATCTGGCTAAAACCCAACCGTCGGTCGGAGATCTCAGGACAGAAACTAGTTTTGCTGCGAGAAAATTCTAGTGCGTACTATTACCCGTGTCGTTTTGTTGAGCTGTGGTAACGGTTTCCGATGTAGCGCTCAGAGGAACGTGTATCTTACTGGCTTCACACTATTCCTCTCGCTTGTCCTCACACGCACCTTTGCCATAAACCTCGATCTCATTCACACCCAGGAAGAATACGCCAAACTGAAGAAGGCTAGCCCATCCAGTGATTCAGGTAATTTCGTTCATGTGCCAATCAAACAAAGCGTTGAGCTACCATTGCTGTGCAGATGCTGGAAAGAAGGCTCGTGAATACGACGCGCTCAAGGCCAAGTTCGATTCTCAGTCTAAAGAATACAATCAACTCGCAGACAAGTATAACAAGGTCACCGGAGGCAAGGCCGACAAGAAGAAGGATTAGAATTCGTACGCGAGAAGCTTTGAAAGGTTACTGGAAGCAATACCAGAAGGATGTATTTATTTAAAATCATCGTCGGCTTTTTAGGTCACTTTGTATAAATCTGTAACCAAGAAGACGGTTATGTTTGAATGATATGTTCTAACATCACTCAAAGTTCTACCTACGTCCAATCGTCTCTGGGCACCCATCTCATAAATTCTTCCACCAACGTTCATACAACACCCCAAGTTTTAAATGCTCTACCCTGGCTCCCTTGATGTTATTGCCATTGCCTTGGTCTCTGACATTCCGATTTCCTATTCCCAATTGTCAGGCTAGCCCATTGATATAGGGGAGTCTTTTGCGGTTCTCAACAATGCGTCCAGTTTCCCGCTGCAAGCCAAAGCGACTTTTGTTAAACGGTTACACCATCAGGCGAGCGTACATTGACATTCCCAGTATACACAGAGATGAATATTCTTCCTTTCCACAGGAACAATTCGACCATCGCGGCACAACTTGGATTTAAAGGTTTCCGGTTACATAGGGTTACATCCGCAAGTCGATACATAGTGGTGGTGGTCAGAATGGCACTCGGGGACATGAAATGCACATTCGCCAATCAATCGGAATCGGAAGAGAATTGTTTGCGGTGGTAGTCAAAGGAGGAGTCGGAGTCTTCGGCTGCGGCTGCGGCTGCGGGGGGCGAGTGGGAGACAGGGGGAAGACTAGCAGGATACTCGGTTTTCTGAACATCTCCCGAAAACCTATACGTGAACGAAAACCCTGCATCGGTGTCCCCCAACATGTACTTGCCGTTGTACACAATCGGCACCTTTCTCATCAAATGATCTTCCGCCCATTCATTCAATCGAGTTCTAATTTGCGGAGGCACACCGACAGCTTGAGGCTCGTGCACAGCCTTTGCAGCATTCGCACTCGACGACGCGAGAGGCTTCCCTTTGGGATCAAACCCAGCTGCTTCCCCAGTAAATGTAATTATTATCTTTTTGCTGCCGTACTTGGATTCTGTTGGTTCTTTTACATCAGGATGCCATTGCACCTTCTTGCTGCTGCCCCCCTTTGTCTTGGGCTCTTCGAGCTTGGAGTGATCATCTGGAGACTGCTGAATCTGAGCCGGAGCCCCCGGACTCTGCTCAGCTCGAGACTCCAAGAGGGTTATAATCTCTCCAGAGCGTCGAACGTTCACCAAATTGTTGTCATAGGCCTGTACAAGAGTATCATGATTAGGAAAACAATGAGTTCATGGAACGAAGTCCCTGTGGCATGAGGACTTACTTTGAAAGGAGCAGCATGTACAGCAACTGCAGCGAAAAGCCCTAGAAGAGCTATATACGTGGTAACGATGAGACGCATCGAATAGATGTTTTGTGGATTGGTGAAGGGTGAAGAGCCAAACGATATGACGTCGGAGACGAGTGAACGAGGAGATGAACACTGAACGGAGGGCTCTGGAGTCCAAAAGAATTGTAGGCGATGGCGAGAGAGAAGCTGGCCAGCAGTTTCTAAGGATCACTACTTACGCTCTTGCTGTTTATATGTACATATGCACTGCCGGCTAAAGATAGCAGGTACTTAGTAGCGCAAAGTAATGAAGGGTGATGAAGGGCTTCCCTGGTGGAGCACCTGGATAAGCTTGATGGCCGCATGGTAGACGCTGGTAGACGTACTGCCTTGTACTACCCAGTAGACTGGAAGTCACTAAGTACACGTATAACGTGCTCTCTAATCGTTGTTCGAATCCAAACCGACGGACAGGAGAAATATAAATTATAAGAGAGAACATTGTGGGGACTGAGCTAAATCTGCGGATTGAACTTGGTATAATCGCTTTCGCCCGCATCACTAAATTTCAGGGATCCCTGTGCCGGACCTCCTTATCTCAACTTATTGACATTCTGTCTAACTCAACTCATCATTCATGGTGAGCCAATTTCGTTGCTGAACCGACTGTGGTATACAACAAATACAGGGTGAATGCCATTGAGTGAGCGATAAGGTTAGAGGCGGAGAACGCAGACTTGAAAGGCATTTGGTACAAATTTGGTATGATGATTTTGATAGTAATTATATGGAGGAATGAGATACAGTCTAAGACCTCTGAGGGACTTGGAGTGTGACATGTGTATCCGAGTTAAGGGAGTCGTAGGAGGACCCAAGCGGGGAGGGAGGGTTGGATTCGGAAACAAACCCGCTCCTTAGTATTTTCTTGTAGTCTGGGAACTTTTTATACTTGAATGAGAAACCTCCCTCGACATCCACCATTATAAACTCTAGATTTCCCACAAAATTTATATCCGCGTCACACTTCCAAGTGTGCTTGAAATAAAACTTTAACCGAGCTTCCAACCGCGACTGGACCACTTCATCTTGGAACTTCAGTTGCTTGTCTGGTGGATGTCCGGTGGTGATCACGACAGCTCTAATCGCGGTGATGTATACTACGATCATGGGAAAATGCTGGACTCCTTCACCTGCCTGATGGTGCTCTCCAGTCCTGGACTCCAAATGGGATTCAGAGACGATGTTCGAATTGGCACTATCAGTGACCTAAAACAATATTGAAAATAAAATAAAAGAGTCAGCCAGTTGATTTTTGATATAGGTTCCAACATTTTCAGAACTTGCTTTTCGAAGAAAACTCACTTTGATAGTAGCGGGAGCAGCATTTACAACGGAGATAAAGCCCATAAGGAGGATATAGAGTAGAGACGCAGGGACAGTGAGATGCATGGATAGTCGTTCTTTAAGGATGTACTGGTAATTTGTTGAATGTGATCGAAACTAGTGGAAAGAACAGTGCGGAGGGGAAATCTGGCCAGCAGTTTCTGGGGAAGCTGACTTTTGTTTGATTCTGCCTTGGCCCTTTATATGCTAAGTACATAGGCAGACATAGGCCAGCCAGCGGAAAACCTTTTATCAGGGTCCTTCCTACACAGGCCTACACAATCCTCTAAGCCTTACCAATTGATAACATGAAATTGGTTACCTGGTACACTTGTTTATTTCGCCAGGCTAGCCGACTGGGTTGTTGAGAAAAGGCGAGAAAGATTAGCCGTAGTCGGGGAAGATGTTCGATGAAATTCCGCGCTCGTTCAGGCTCAACCATCAATCACCATAAGGTGTCGTAGGCTATGTTGAGTAGGCTCTATAGTATGGCCTATAGTAGGGGCTGATAGGGCCGCTTGGAGTTATTAAGGCTGTTTAATGGATTGAACGGATGCCCAAGATCTTGAGATGAGCTTAAATTGCGGTTGCTGGTGTTGTGGTACTGCAGGTGTAGTTTTGAGTCCATAGTAAATATTTGGAACTAAAAGCAATCCAATTCACACAGGAATTTATCTTTATATAGGACCTTGGGTCGGAGACGCTTCTTTGTCGGTAACTGGAGCGTCAGGCTGGGTTGCATCCCCGAAGCCTGTCTTCTTTTCCTTCCTTACGAATAGGAAGTGCTCTCTTTGTCGGTATTCAGGCCAGAATCCAAGGTTGCGATGATATCCTCTTCACGAAAATCATTACGTGCGAAAGTGGGCCATCGCGCTGCGCGCGTGGCAAGAACGAGTCCGAAAATCAGAGTCGCATATAAACAAGTGCAGATGCTGTGTAATCTCTGCAACAGAGTAAATCTACGTGAGTGATTGCATTGGCCTCTAAAACCATATTCCCTCCATCTCCCATCCCATCGTGTACCTCGTATTGAGGGTGACGGATGAGGAGGAAAGCGCTCGAGAGGGGCAGCAGTTCCCAGCCCAACATGGGCACCAGTGGATGCAGCAAGCCAGGTGGCAAAACAAACACCATGCAAACGCAAGGAAAGTAGTGGCCAGGAGTGCAAAAGTTATTGAATTGCGCAGAGTAAATAGATGCAGTACATAGCGGGGTAAACATGGGGTAGATACAGAGATAAGTAAAGCACCAGCGTTTGGGAATGAAAAGTGGGCCGGCCATGCGAGGACAGTACGAAGGATGCGGGTGATGGGATAGCAAAATATGCTGAAAATGGTGTTTATGGTGCTAGAAGATAGCGCAGAGGTTGTGTACCGCAGGCGGCAAAGGAGAATGCAGACGAAGTTGGAAAAAATATTGGCGATGAGAGATAGGCTGGTGAGTGGTCGAGTACTTCGTTGTGGTGCCAAAGACCGAGCAATATACCTGTCGTTCCCATCTTCAGCTGCAGCCCCGGCGCGCATGGACAAGAAGAGGAACGCACCTCTCTCCCCTTCGAGCCCCGTCCCAAAATCAGACTGTTCTCTCCAACCCACCTACCACTTGGTCAGCTCCATTCCCATCCTCGAATACCCCAGAAGATGTGGCAAATTGGCCATCCTGATTTGGTCGTTGTTTTCAAGACTTTTGTTGATGAGCTGTGGCAGAGGCTTTTGCAGAAGAATGCCGGAGAAGTAGGATGAGAGGGGGATGTAGTGCAGCCAAGAATTCGCGGCAAGATGTAGGGCGCAGACGATGTTGGAGGTGGGGGCGCCGTAGGTAACGCAGAGTGACGAAAAGGTGACGAGTGGTGCGAAGCGTGACAGTCCAAGTATGGGGAAAAAAAAAACGCTGAAAGAGGAAGGTCAAAAATATAAAAGGAAGAATTCCCACGCTGGAACCCACTATAAGACGAATCCTTCATTACATTTCGGACTCGTAAAATCGTGTCACCCTTGTGCGAAGTGCAATTGAGAATGACGAGAAAGACAAAATGGTCACATCAGTCACAGGATGGTGACTGATGCGACTCGGTCTGAGGATGCGTTACCCGTCAGGTAATCATCTGGCATCGAGCGACGGGACCAAATGACGCCGGACGTCCAGCGGACGATCGACGGCGGCGGGAGCATAAAAAAAGAGTCATGGGATCGAAGAGTGATTGAAGAGGCAGTAGAACAATTATGATCAATCTAGTACTTGGTTAAAGAATGTAAAGTGGAGATCATGTCGAAAGTCGTCAAAAGTGAACAGAGAGAGAGCGAGCATGAAAGGCTGAAAGGTAAGGGGCAGATCTGAGCTTCGTAAATTTGTGTTGGAAGTGGGAAGCGGAAGTGGTCGAGACTGGCCAAGCACCTCGGAAGCACCTCCAAGAGCAGAGAGAAATGAGAGAGTATTGAGAGAGTATGAACTCACGGAAAAGGGAATTGCACAGCAGACATTTGCAGTCAAGTAATTTGGATAGCTCGCAGCTGAAAGTACTGATGGGAGTTGGAAAGAGAGTGCGATAAGTCGAATAACTTTGCCCGTTTGAATCATGAATGGTGCGTCAAGTTACATTACGAAACGGTGGGTCCATGGTTGACGTATAGTGTGTTAGTCTTTCTCCCAAGCTACGGGAGGGTCTTTCTGAACATGTCTTCGTGAATCTCACAGATTTTCACTGCCAAAAAAAAACACGAAACTCTGTTCACAGGTAAGAAAGACGTTTCACAAGCACCTGAATTAATTCGTACTTTACTCATGTGATCACATAGCATTCCCTTTCGCTGTCACCTTACGAAGGTCTCTAGAGCATCATATCAAGCAGTCAACAAGCTATTGTTGACGAGGCAGCCTCTTGTAGGTGATTTCGGTAAGAAGGATTATACTTCACTGATGTGAACAGCTAAATATTGCCCATATAGTCTCGATGAAACTCGTTGGAGATTTTTTGAGCACAATGAAGCGCAGGACGAAGCGCACTGGGCTTGTAGTTGTACGGAATGTGTGCCCATTTGGTATGCCTTTTATGTTTATTTCAAGAGTTTTATTGAAGGCTTATGCTTACAGTGGTACAAGAGGGCTTGTATGAAATGTCTCACCCTCAGCTCAACATCTTTCTCTGCTTACTTGTCTTCGCTTGTCACAACCCCACAACTCCATTTACAAGTCTACTGTTATCTGGATTGAAGCTCCTGTTCACCACAATTCCATTCCCAATGTCAACCACTGTGCAGCCTTGGCCGTACGCATCATCAATACTCTCATCTTGTGCTTTCACGTTTAGTCTGACATGGACCCTCAGCGTCGTGAACCGAACTTGCTCAAACTCAGGATTTGAGGACTGATGACCAGGTTCTCAGGGTTTTTATGCTCCGTATGTACCATTTCGAAAAATTGCCTTGCTATAATCTTTAGAATTTGCACTACAGTTGTCAACTTCCTCGTTTCTCTCCTTATGAAGAACCATGTCTCCCACTCCCACTCTCATGTGTCATCTACTATATCTCATGTTGTACATGCCTTTATGAATATGGATCTTTTGTTCTGTTGCCTTGCACGTATTGACAATTACTCAACTTTTATTGACCACCAATTTTTGGGGTTGTTTCTTGTCCCCGATGAGACCTTTTCAATATTGCCTTTCCAACCTGTCCTTCAATGTACTGAGATAAATATTGTTTCTAATTATATGGTAAGACGGAATAACTTGATACATATCATAGGTAGGTTTGAGGAAGTATAGTATCTGATAATATAGATCCATTCTTAATGTTAATCCTCATCATCCGAGTCGGTTAATTCAATGACTCCGAGATTCTTGGTCCCAGTATTGAGCTTGAGATGTGTGAGCTTTGTTTCTTCTGTAATAGAATTCTGTTTTCGCTTGAGAGAAGAACCGGAGTGCCCGTTGCCAGAGTTGCTGGCTGATATGAAATAATTAACACGATTACCTCAGTATGAACTTCGACTTACTTGCGGATTCCATTACTACTGAACTGGTAGCTGCTGTCATTGAATGCGGACCTGACCGTAGACCTGAAGCGTTTTTGGTTGAAATACCAGCGGAGATATTGAGATGTGATGACATACCAAGCAATCCTTCTAAACCTTTAACCGTGTGAGTCCGCCTCTGAGCAACCGAAATCAGGGCTACTGGGACATTCATCCTCCTGGTAGTTCGAGATGAGTTTGATGCTGCAAGGCCAGTGAGTTGAATAAAAAAGTTCATTGTAAATGTGACAGAGATATCATCGTTAGGCTGCTTTCCAGCCAGTTTCGGAGAGCCTCGGTTCTGAATTATGGTTGAGAGAGTGGGGACATAGGGTTTTCCCTGATTATTGAAATCAAGGCTACCCTGAAGCTGAGGAACGAGAATTTCGGAGTTTCTGGGATTGTACACAAGGAATTTCTGATATGAAATCAAGATATACATACTAACACAAAGCATAAGGTATGAATCTTACCGAGTACAGCATCTGGATGATGACTGCAGGCCAAAGATCATCGTGAAACTTCTTGAGCGCAAGCTGGGTTGGCCAATTGAAGTGTTCCCTACAGAATGCTGAAATCCGGACCACGTTGGGAATCCTTGGTGGCCAATTGTGAGCTGGTGATACATGGACAGTTGGCATGAGAAACACTTTCAGAGTTGTCAAGCTACGAGATGATGGGAAATTTGAATCCCGGAATATCTGTGCACGGGTAGGACTGCATGAACCGAGTTTCAAGTGTGTATTGAACTCGATTTCATGCGCTATATCCTGAATTAAGTTCTGAAAAATGTCAGAGTCAGAGAGTTCTGACGATGTTGCCAAAAACTGATTGTAGACAGTGAGAAATCTATCTCCAAAACCACATTGTGCGAGTCCCAAGGCAGTCCTTGGACCAATTCCGAGGACGCCGCTGTCAAAATCATTCTGTAGAAGCAGAGCGATCAACACGAAGCCGGCTCGAGAAAGCTGCAAGTCATTTTGAATACTGTCTGCATCATAAACATCAACGACGAAGTCCCCAGATTTTTGACTGTGTTTCAGTTCAGTATCTAAATGTAATGAACAGCAATAGCAATACAACTCACAATTCAGGCACTAAAACATGTTGAGCACCAAATGGAAATACATCGCTATCTTTTGTGAGCACGGCATCAATGATTCCTTGGTTATTTAGGTGAGCCAATTCCGCTTCTGCATCTCCTCTAGCCTAGCTAGAAATTAGAGTATCCCTAGATATTGCATGGGACCTAGGACTTACAGCATGACTGTAGTACCCAAAACATTCTATTAGAGCTTTGGCGTGCTTATGATAATCTGGTTCTCTATTGATGACATGTCGACCTCGTTTGATAGCAGAGCATTCAGGGCCATCGAAGAAAAATACACAGTTGACACCGGCTTCGGATAGCTGACACAGGAAATATTGAAGTTGGGTGAGAGTAGTGTTGGAGAGGTGTAATGAGTGCTGAGATGCGCCCCTATTAGCTGCATGGAAAGTATCCAATAACAGACTACAAAGCAGGGTTAATGAATGTCAACAACATGATCATTTCCATCACACCTTGCATCAACTCCGATATTCAGTGTCCGGGATTTATGATGATTTCTCATGAAACCATATTCAAGATTGAGGTCTTTGAGCTTCAGTCTGGATGCTGCTGGGTGAATAAGCTAAATCACATTAAGCTAATGAGCTGGAAGAGTCAATCTTGCTCTTACTGGCCACAATCCTTTGACCCCCATTGATATTGTTCTTTTCAATGGTACTCTCAGTGATTCTTGATATGGGCGTGATTATGAATAAGGAAGAGATACTCAAATAGGAGATAATTTTCTCTGATCAAGATTAGATTATGATCATACTGTATATGCACGTCAGTGAGCAAAGCTGAGATAGCGTTGACCCTCCAAAAATGGCTTTCACCGAACCGTTTCGATATCTGCATCCTCTTCCACATCCTCGCTTTGATTTCATTTTTCTTTCTCTAAGTGTTTACTGGGTGCTACTTTCTCCAAATGAAAATCAACTAATAGACCACCCTCATTCAGGACATTCCATCCAAAACAGCCGCAGCGTGAGTATTCGATTTTTGAGACCTGGCAAGACGCACGGGATAGTCACACTGGAGTCAATGTTTTGGGGAGCTCACTCGCAGCTGCCCTTCTCTCGGGATTGCGCCTCTTGGTCTAGGAAAGGGTGTGTTCCAGGGTTCCAAAATCTGCTTGTACAAACACTGACCAGCGTAACACGAACAGAGGCCATTGCCGCCCTCCAGGCTTTCCGTAAGCGCGATGGTGAAACTTAGCGCACACGAACGACCTATTCAAGTCAACCGACCATTGTCAGCTTCTCCCACTATTGTTCTGTCTCAAAGAACAAGGCTATTGTGGACGAGGCTGAGAAACTGCTAAAGGACTTCAAGCCCATTACCTACCTTGTTAGCAAACGCATCAAGACGATTGGGGCTTTCGAAGCCAAAGCCGTACGTGCTCAATTTTCTACTGCACCGCACTGTGGGATCTTTGAGCCGTGGCTCAAGTCAAGATGTTTTCGCTGTCGCATTATAGGTCTCTACAGCGAAGGAAACAAAGGAAAAGATTGACGTGGAGCTTAGGGATTTGCAGGCAACTCTGGCGAATATTGAGGAGGCCCGTCCCTTCCAAGATCTTACGGTGAGTACAATGCTCAAAATGAATAAGAAATTAGGAATTAATCGTGCTGTTTTCTATTCAGGTCCTGGATATCGGCAAAGCCCACCCACGTATAATCGAGACGGTCGAGACGATGATGAAGAAAGGCAAATGGAGTGTTCCCGTTGAGTGTTTTTTCACTTTTACGCAGTCACAGTATTCTCAATAGATATATAGGCTACAAGGAGAAGCTCAGCGATCTCAATCTCATGTAATTGTTATACTCACCTAGATATTCTTACATGAGAAACACATTGCTTTTGAACATCTGTATACATTATTTCCACACTGAGCGCGGGTTCGACGGTTTCAATTTTGATAAGAGGCCCTCAGGAGACTCTACACTTCGATTTGAGGATGTCCAAGTTCCGCGACTATATCTGCACGCTAAGAAAAGGCTCAGTTATTCTTATCCCAGTACTCTCACGACCCGCTCCTCTGAATGTCCCCATATCTCACTCAAATTTGTCGTCGCTCAACTCCCCACTGCTCTTTCATGCCGCTATCACAAGTTCAAGATACCTACCTTCGCAATACCCTGTCGATGACCCCGTCCGCAAACTACGTGCTGTACCTCTTCCGTGGTGTATGGGTTCCTTCATGCAAACTTGAAGGGCAGGAGAAGAAGAAGAAGTTACAAGGCCAGCGATTGGTTGACATGCTGAACTGGGAGGTTCAGTGAGTTATTTGAATGTGATTGATTATAGCTTAAGTAAGATTCATTGAACTCACAGACCCGTTAGCTGTCAACATCGGCACACCATGTATTACACCTCCCGACACATGAATATCACCTTTGACACAAGCCCCAAACATCTGCCTTTAGCCGGAGCTGCCAATGTCGAACAACCCGCGCTTCCAAAAACCTCCGCCACGACCAAGAACCCACAAGAGAAACCCAGTGCTCCGCAACCGCGTACGGAGCGGCCGCCCCCTACCCCGCTCGAAGATCATACGGGACTGGGTGAACTAGATACCAGAACCATAACCAACGCCAAACCAAAATACAAACAGTATCACAAGTTCAGACGAGTAGAAGGATGGGAAGATCATCTCAAATGGCTCGCCATGCCACGAGAAGGCGAAGAAGATGCTGTCAAGGAGGATATGTTGGTTATATAAATGCTGGCGCTCATGTACGCTTGCAATCAGTATCTTTGGCCGATAACAATGTAGCTCACCAAGTTCTTTACTCAGTGGTTGCGTCATGGACTTGGAACGTTACCCGCTCCTACAGATGCACAAGAACAGGTCCTCTCGGAAGATATGCATCCCTGTACGGTACGTTTGTACCGCCTTGTTTATTCATAACAAGTCCAAGTCCCGCTCAGCCATTGCCAGTAGATCGACTTGGCCATCAGCCGTCTCTCACCCATCAAACAGGCATGCATTTACTCCCCCGGTCACCCACAGCATGAAGACCATTCGACTTCCTACAAAGACACGGCCGACGCCCGGTGAAAAGAACATAGCTAGCCCAAGCCTTGAGGAAACAGCTTCTACCCCAGGCAACAAGAAACAACGCTGTAGAGGGGATTGGGCTCCGTTCGGACCCCATAACGAACGGGATAATCACACAACACAGGTAACAACACAGGTAAGGATGAATACAGACCTGCGGATTCAAAGGGTGCAAAACGGCGTTGTTCTGACCTGCGGGGCGCCTCTATGCAACGCGCTCACCTGGAAAAGGTTCTTTACGCCGTGAGTTCCTCGCTGTCTTTTCTTTCTTGAACCCCTGGCTCCTCTTCGCTGGGTGCTTTGTTGGTACTTGTGCATCCGCGTTACTGAGAACGAATACACAGGGTATTTACCAAGCATGTTCATCCCTGGCCTCAACGCGCGGCACTCTTTCACTAGTCCCCTCTCTTATCTGCTCAAATTTGTGGACCAAACCAACGCCCAGTCCATCATCTAGACAAGGCTTGGTTTAGCCTTAAAATTTGCCCAGAAGGCCGCTTATCTGCTTTTCGGATATCTCCTCCTGCACCGCTCGGCCCTCTGAACTTTGTTACTGAGTAACCCTACCACCATACCTTTGCACTTCATTCCCTATCACTCCGTCGTTCAGCATAGCTTATACAAACAGAATATTTTCTAATATGTACCGCTGAACATAGTAATCAAAACGTGTTTCTTGCTTAAGGCCCCGTGTCCACCGTGTTCTAAGCCTTGCTTCAAAATAGGAGGTGAGCCAACCATATATGAGCCGGATGTTTCGCCCAAAGCACCCCCAATCAACTCCTTTTCTATGACCATCAATATCTTGGAGGACGATGCCTACATTGGTGTTATCCAATCTATCAACGACTATGAGAGTATGAAGCCGGCGGATATCTTAGATGACCTAGAAGAATCTCATGACAATGTTGGCCTTGAACTCAAGGATACAGGCAAGGTTCAGCCAGACAATGACCCAGCCATTGACATGTCAACACTACTTGATAGCATCAAGGAGGTCTCCAAGGGTGTTTCTGAAAAAACAGGACAAGAGTATGGTCGGTATGTCTAACAAGGAAGTCTATAATCTACTGAGCCTAATTTTGCCTTGGAGCCTGATGAAACAGTGCGAAAAGTTCCTTCATAAACGCAACATGATTCCAGAAGGTATCGACTTCTTTTGCGAGAAGCCCCATCCGCAGTCGGCTGTATATCTTGCAGCATGGATCATGGACTCGTCAGTGGTATAATCTTGTGTTCTTCTTGCTCATACTAATAATCCCCCTAGTTGTGACGAACTCAACCTGAACAATACAAAGAAAGATGTGTAAGACCTGGGTCAAAATAGGTCTTAGGGTAGGTTTTGGTATGTGGAGGTTTATGTTGTAGCGTGCTAGGAGCAGGCTGGAGCTCGAAGGGAGCTACAGAAACCGCGACCGAGGACGGGAATGACCTAGTAGTGGCTGGAACGACGGGATGGTGACCCTTGAGGGATTCCTAGGAGGTCCAGGGAGGTCCCTAAGGCGCAGGGAGGTTAAGGAAGAGTGCGGGACCGTACTATATTGCGTAGTAGGAGTTGTACTCGCTAGAACGTCAATATAGGATCGAGTAGGTCGTATGTATAGATGGGTCTCGAGGTGGTAAGCTCCCGAGAAGGGATGTGCCAGGGAGGGTAGGTCCTTGGGGGCTAGGCTTGAGGATGGACGTCCTCGAGTGTGGGAGGTGGTAACGGAGAAGCAGTACGTAGTTCGACGTGAGGGGTAGCTTCGACGTTACCTAGATTGAGGTCCTGAAGCCTATAGAATAGCTAGGGAGCTCGAGGAGGTTTGGGGAGGTAGCTCACAAGGCGGTAGGCGTTGGGGAGCTTTAGTATTGTTCGAGGGAGCTCGGGAACTCACTCGGATTGCTTAGACGTAAAGTAAAAGCGTGTATTGGGTCGTATAGACGATCACAGAGACGATAGACAAGAGTTGAGAGAAACAGAGGTAATGAAACAGAGAGTAAAGAGAAATCCGTATGGTTAGCAGGTACAAAGGGACAGGGACTGGACCTATGCAAAAGGGTGTGTGTTCAAAATATACCAAGCTGGGCTTCTGACGCTCCTGGACTGATTAAATACGTATAGGGAAGTTAACAAGGAGACATAGTACGAAGCGGGCACTTAATGGGGATTCTAAGTACATGAGGATGGACATGATGGACGCATGTACGGGGTTCCAGGACCCTGTCGTGGAATGATTCGGTTGAATGGAGGGGAGCTAAGGGTTGCGGAGGTGGTTTCTAGCGGTAAGGAGGTCTGTGGGACGTTTGAAGTGTTCTCAGGATTCATGGAAGGGTCCTGAGGAGATCGGGAGCTATGCTAGAGAGCTTATGGGCTAAGGAATCTGGGTGAGGCATGACATTACCCACCCTCTACTCCTCCGAGCCTCCGAGGAGGTTCCTGTTGCCGTCATGTGCTTTCCACGTGACTCGACTTTTTCCGTTTATAAGTTCGTTTCCCGTTGTTCCTTATCCCTTTCCGCATTTCTTCATCGTTCTCCGGGTTAAACTCGACTACTATGAGCCTCTCCTTCTTCCAACGCCGTTACTGGAGCTCCCCGACCCTGTCTTGCCACCAGTATCTTCTCCGCCCACCCCGATCTTGCGGAACGAGTCGTAGATGCCGCTATCGATGAGCTGGCTAGAACCCTGAGGAGCCTCCTCTCGGTCAGCTGGCCCTGTTTAAGTCTGGTTTCGGCGTAGGTGTGTCGTTGGCAAGGTACATCGTCGACGATCCCCTTTGGCCATTGCTAGCAGCTGCCGGTCTCCCTTGCTCCTTCTGTGTTAGAGGCAAGAAGGAGGCCAACTGTTCTGTAGTTCCCCACCTTGCTCGTTGCAGTAACTGCGACGATAAGAAACCTGCAGTTCTGGGTAGGCTTGCTCGTTTCCATTACTTTTCGCGTAAGTGTTCTCGCGATTTAGCGTTTGCTCGAAGGTTTTTGGAGGTGCATGGGGACCCGGGTCAGCGAACCCGTTTCGCTCTCCCTTCCAAGCAGTGGAGGAACATTGCGACGAAGGTCGAGGCCAGTACCAACTTCCACTGTCGCCTTGATGGAGCTAAATGCCCTGGACGAGCAAGATCAGCGGGAGCTGGATCGTTTAGAGCTCGGAGAGTTCCGTCGCCAGCAGCCTCAGCTTCCCCGACCTTTAACCACCAGCTCCTTGCGTTCCCAATTCCTTCTGCTGTGGCGACGAAAAAGAGAAAAAGGTCTGTCCGGCAGGAGGAGGGAGGTCCTTCCTCTCACAGCGTGCCGTTGGAGCAGCTCCGGTTCTGAGGTATCTCCCAAGGTTCACGACCGCAAACGTAAGCGTTCTGCTGGGAGAGTCGGGATGCTGAGGTCCCAGACTACCGTAGGGTGGTGCTGGTTCTTCGCCCCCCCCTTGTCGATACCCCTGGTTCGGCCCCTTTGTCTGGTGGTCGTGCGAGGAGGACGTGCACTCTTCTCCTCCTTTGGGAAAACAGGGAGTACAGGAGTTCCTCCTTCATTATCTCAGGATCGCTCTTCCGGTCTTCCTGTTCGTCGAAGAGCCAATTCGCCTGGTTCGTCTAACCAGTTTATTCCCCCGGTGCTGTCGGAACGTCGGCCGGTGCTGACCATACAAACTCCTCCTCCTTCTCAAGTAAGTTCTCTTCCTTTTCTACTCTCGTAACTTATGTCTTATACCTGTACCCCAGCGTTCCCCCGATGTTCTCCACCCATTTCCCCGAGCTCGAGCTACTGCTGCTTAAGGGCTGAAAATGAAACTTTACGAGCCGAGGTAGCCGACCTCCGCAAGCTTCTGGAGACTTCCCGGGCTGAGACCTCGACGCTCACCTCCCTCCTTCGGGACACTACAACTTCTTTGGACGATCGTAACAAGGACCTAGAGGCGAGTCGTCGTGCCTTGCAGGATGTCGCAGCAGATCGTCTGGAGTACTCCCGTGTTCTGGCTCAGTTAGGGCCATTGAGGCTGAACTGCCGGAAGCTCCTCTGGAGGTAGGAGTTGTTCCCCTTCTTCCCTCTTATTTTCTACTGACTGGTAACTCTTGACCCCAGGACGCGCTTACAACGGTTTCATCTTGCGGTTGCGCAAGTAGACTCCTATAGGGAAGTGGCCATAAGGCAGAAGCAGGAGCTTTCGGAGCTTCGAGAACAGGTCGACAAGGACAGAAGCGTTCTTTTGAGGCCCACGAGGAGCTGGATGCTGCTAACGCGCGTGCTATACGTATGCGGGACCGTCTGGAGGACCTCGAAGAGACCAGTCCATCGCTATCGGGCACGGGCTCATGTCGCTGAGGAGCTCATTCGAAATATCCTGAGGATGAGGGGCTGTATGAGGTGGATCTACCCTCGCTCTCTCCTTGCAGAATCAGTTGACGGCTTCCGAAGCGATGGTGCGTCGTCTGGCCACTTTTGCACATCGGTTGTATTCTGCAGACCCGCTAACCTCCTCCACCATCACAACATGTATGTGGGGGTCTCATCGAGGCGATCATCACACTCCTGTTGCGTAGTCTCCTCCATCCTCCGAACGATGAGAACTGTTGTCGAATTGGCTCTGGAGTATCTGTCTCAAGGCCGGACTTACCCACGGCGAGCTACACCTCCGTTCGACCAGTAGCTTGTTGTATTACTTACTCCAATGCTGCTGATCGTGTCGATGGGTTGTACCAGGACATGTTTACCCACTCCCATTTTTCCTCCGACGAGGCGTTCCTTACTGCTGCCCAACACGCAGGTTACGTCGATGCTCGTCCTGGTTCCCTAGAGCCGCCCTTACATCGTCGACTTTTTTCTTTTGATCATCCCATACCCCTTCCTCGAAGTCCCACTTCCGATCATATCCCCGCTGTTCCCATGATGGACACCGTAATGCTGATGTGGGAGGATATGATTGGGGCCTATGTGAGGGAGGTTTTAGGTTATCCTGCCTCCCCAGGTCGCATCTTGCCCCTGGTAGAAGTTCCAAATTCCACCGATCCCTTGCCGGCAACTACCTCCTTGGTCGTGGATGACCCTCCCGTGCTAGGTGCGAGTGACTCCGTGTCGCGGAGCGCCCCCTTGTTCCTACCGGGATCCCTGTCTCCCACCTCCCTCGTTCCCCTTCCCCCATCCCTTCCTCCCCCCGTGTTCCTGATGTCGCTCGCGAGGTTGTCGATTTGACTATGGATGACGCCGAGGACTTGTACGAGTCGCAGGAGGAGTTTCTCGCTCGGACGGGTGGGACGGTGACCGTTAAACAGGAAATTACCGAGTCCGATGTATTGTAGTTCTTTTTTGTCGTATGTACTTACCCCGAATCATATCCTTATTGATTTCATCGCCTCCGTTAAGTCTGAACTCTTGTGCAACTGTCGAGTAAGAGACAAAGTGGAGCAACTAAGGAGAATTGTACCCCCTTGCGCCTCCCTTTCCCAAATGGAGGTACCTCAAAAGGGTTTGTCGATGCAGGGTCCCAACGATCCGGTTCGGTTGAGAACTGTTGCAGGAGGCACATTCTGGTTTGGTTCACCAGTCGCTTCCCTTTCTGTTCGAATTCCTATAAAGGGTGTCGGGCAGGTCCTCCTTCCTTCCATCATGCCCACTCCTCGTCCCACCTTGGTACCTCGCACTTCCAATGCTCACCCTTACCGTGCTGAAAACCAACATCTCGTTGCTCGGATTCGTTTGCTGGAGTCTCAGCTTGCTGACTTGCAGTGGGAGAATTCCTCCCTTACCTCCGCTCTTCGGAATACCTCCGTGCTCTCGAATCTCGGCAACGAGAGTGGAGCAGCTATGGTTTTCTTGTCGTGAAGTCTTAGAGCGTGAAATGGAAGACTGCCGAGTTTTGGATCAGTTTCCTGCTTTAGATGAGGCCTTACCGGGGGCTCCTGGTCAAGTGAGTACTTCATTTTCCCTCGTTTCCCTCCCCTGTTTAACCCGTCCTCTCAGAGTGTCTCGGAACGCTTCCGGAAGGTGCAGGAAGACCTTCAAAACGCCACTAGGGAGCGGAGAGTCGCTGTGGAAAAACTAATCACCTCCACTCGTAAGAACTCGCAGTTGAGGACCACCCTACTGCACCAACAAGGTCTTGTGGATGAATCGAATGCTTTGGCAACACGTCAACGTCGTCTTGTGGAGGAGTTGCAGGAGGAGGTCCATCGGGTTCGCGGTCGTGCCATCTTCGTCGAGCAAATGCTCAAGGAGTACCCTAGACGAGGGTTACTATGAGGTCGTTCTGCCCCCTCTTT